GAAAGGTATATGCTAAGTCTTCTGCCGTGCTTGATTCTAAGTATAGTATGAAATACGCGTACTTCGTAAATCTATCTATAACCACTAGTATACTATCGTACTATACTTTAGTAAGTAGTTCTCTCGATTTTAGTAGTTTGACGATAAAGTCTAGAAAGATTAAGTGCCAGGGTGCTGGTAGTACTAGCAATAGTTATAATTCTCCATATGGTTTGTATCTGCTGGGCTTACTTTTTGCGCAGACTTCGCAATCCTTGATTACGTTAGCAACGTCTTTTCTTATTACTTGCTTATCGTAGTATTGTCTATTTCGTTTCTAGGTTTTCGTAACTCCTTAGTAACCGTAAGTAGGTATGCTATATATCTCCTTATCTAGTCGTATATTATCCTCCTAGTTATACTAGTCTTAATACGGTTACCGATTATTAAAAGTTTCGTAATAGGTATAAGGTTGCTATTATCTTTTTTAAAGATAACCTAAGTTTCTTCTAAGACTTCGTCTTTATATGTTACGGCCAGCTATCTGACAGTAGGGTTCTGCTAACAGAAGGTGCAGTAAGAGACTAACACTGGTTCGTAGAGGTCGTTCTGGTAGATCGTAGGGTTAGGGTAAGGTGATCAGTCTTACACTATGGTAACGAGGTTCTTAGTATTCACAATACTGAGAGGTAAGCTGAAAGTCATTCGAGGATGAATCACAAGTTGATTGCTGAAGAACTATCTAGAAGGCTTAAGCAGATGCTCAAGTCCTGGTCTATATACAAGTCCCGTTTCCCAATGTCTTAGAGAGTCTATAGAGTCGCTCGTCGACTCTATCGACTCTCTTCTGATTGGTCCTTTACAGGAGTCTACAGAGTCGCTCGTCGACTCTGTCGACTCTGTCCTGATTGGTCGATTGTCACGTGACTTGTAACGTAGTTCTTCCTTGCCGAGAGGTTTACCCTTGTTCCCGTGATCCTACGTACATATGTCCTGTCGTAGCCGCCCGACCCAGTGGGTCTGTTAAGTGCATCTGACGGGTCGTAACATCAGGTCTCCCCTCGATGGTCTTGTCCTCAAGGCCAACATAAGTAGGTCGTGGCTTCCCAGGTTGGGGAGTCGTCAATCGTGCTTCCTTGTTTATTCATAATGCTGACATCATGTCAGGTCGCGTTCAAAAATCCAAATCAAAGAACCCTGTGGCTTATAAGGAACTTAGCCAGCTTGTCGATTTGTTCGGGTTCATCATGCCTGTCCCTTGTTCCGGTTGCGCGGCTGCCGGTGTCGACTGCGTCGTTTCCGAAGTTAATTCTTCTCGTTGTTCGCGTTGCGTTGCCGATAAGCATTCTTGCGACATTCACGGTCCTTCCGCGGCTTCCCTCATTCGGGTTCGGCAACAGAAAATAAAAATTGATGATGAGCTTGAGAAAGCTGAAGAAGAGCAGTTAGCTCTTATGGCGAAGATTCGTCGTTTACGAAGGCGTCGCAAGGACATCAATCGTGAGGCGACTGATCTCATTCGATCTGGTTTGCGGCGTGTGGAGGAGGTTGAGAATGAGTATCGTTCCGAGGTTCTTGGTTTGCAGAGTGCTAGCTCGGAAACTGTGGGTGCACTTCATTCCCTGGGTGCTATTGGCGTTGTGGATTGGTCTGGCGTCGGTTTGGACGACTGGGGTCCAGAGACGTCCTCTGGTGCCAGTATTGTTGGAGTTCTTCCTGAGCGTGTTCCAGGTTCTTAGCTGGTTCCCACGAATCGTCTTCGTGTCCATAGTTTTTCCACTTAATGAAGTATTCTGTTGTTTCGTCATTCCTCCGGTGGTCTAGAATGCGTTCTACTTCGTATTCGGTGTCATCTGTTTCCACAATGATGCAGTCTTCGGTGTGTGTACCGTCCGGTGCTGGTTCTAATAATGAGACGTGAAAGACTGGGTGACATTTCATTGTTTCCGGTAGTTTCAACTCGTAGTTGACTTCGGAAATTTTCTTCGTGATTTCGAAAGGTCCTAGTTTTTTGAAGTCGAGTTTGTCGCTAGGTCGTTTCGTTTTGATGTTTCGCCGTATGAGGTAGGCGCTACCTCCCTCTTTTAGGGGTGGGCCTCTCACCCTATGTCGGTCGGCGTGTTTCTTCATTCTTTGCCGTACGAATTCGAGTTCTTGGGGTAGTTTTTGTTGGATTTCCTTAAGTTTCTTGATGTCTGCTACTGCTTTTATCGCGGCAGAGCCGGTTCGGGGTTCTCCATAAGCGGTAGGGTTGAATCCATAGTTGAGGAAGAAAGGTGATTCTCGCGTGCTTTCTCCTATTGAACTGTTGTATGCGAACTGTGCGGTTGGTAACAACTTGACCCAGTTGTCCTGGTCGTAGTTCACATAACTCCTTAGGTACGTTTCCAGGATCTGGTTGATTCTTTCCGTTTGTCCGTCGGACTGCGGGTGGAAGGCAGTGCTGAGGCTGTGCTTTGCTCCGAGCTGCGAGATCAGGGATCTCCAGAACTTGGACGTAAAGACTGATCCTCTGTCTGATACTATTTCCTGGGGCAGGCCGTGTTGGCTGACAATGATCCTGAGAAAGGTGTATGCTAAGTCTTCTGCCGTGCTTGATTCCAAGTATGGTATGAAATACGCGTACTTCGTGAATCTATCCACAACCACTAGTATACTGTCGTACTGTACTTTAGTGAGTGGTTCTCTCGATTTTGGTAGTTTGACGATAAAGTCTAGAGAGATTGAGTGCTAGGGTGCTGGTAGTGCTGGCAATGGTTGTAATTCTCCATATGGTTTGTGTCTGCTAGGCTTACTTTTTGCGCAGACTTTGCAATCCTTGATTGCGTTAGCGACGTCTTTTCTTGTTACTCGCTTGTCGTGGTGTTGTCTAATTCGTTTCTAGGTTTTTGTAACTCCTTGGTGACCGTGAGCGGGTGCGCTGTGTATCTCCCTGATCTGGTCGTGTGTCATTCTTCCAGTCGTGCTGGTCTTGACACGGTCGCCGATCATTAAGAGTTTCGCGGCGGGTACGAGGTCGCCATTGTCTTTTTTGAGGATAACCTGAGTTTCTTCTGGGACTTCGTCCTTGTAATCGGGTCTTCGGCTGAGCGCGTCTGCTCTGCCGTTTTCTGATCCTTTCCTGTAGATGATTCTGAAGTTGAATTCTGAGAGGAATTCTGACCATCTGATTTGTCGTTTGTTGAGCTCTTTCGAAGTGGTGAAGTGTGCCAGATTCTTGTGATCCGTGTACACTTTTACTTCGTACTTTGTTCCTGATAGTTGGGGTCTCTATTCTTTGAATGCGTCGATAATTGCCATAAGTTCCTTATCATGGATCTGGTAATTCAGTTCAGGTCCTTGGAACTTCCTTGAAAAGAATCCACAGGGGTGTAGGACTCCGTTCTCGTCCCTTTGGCCTAGCTGCGCTCCTTCAGCTTCGTTCGAAGCATCCGTTTCGAGCTCGAAGGGCTTCTCAGGGTTCGGAATCTGGATGACGGGTTCCGATGTGACCTTGTCCTTGACTTCTTGGAACGCTTTCTGTTGTTTGTCTGTCCATTCCCAAGGTGCATTTTTCTTAGTGAGTTCGGTAAGAGGCAATATCGTTTTGGAGTAGTCTTTGAGGAATTTTCGGTAGAAGTTGACAAATCCTAAGAAGGATAGTATGTCCTTCGGGTTTTCTGGTGTAGGCCATTCTTGCACAGCCTTGATTTTGTTAGGGGACATCTTGATTACGCCTGGCGTGATTGTGAACCCTAAAAATTCTACTTCCTGTTTGTGAAACAGACTCTTCTCTGGTTCCACAAGTAGCTTCGCTTGTTCGAGTGCTTTGAGAATCTCGTGGACATGCTTCTTGTGTTCTTCCAACGTTTTGGAGAATATAAGGATGTCGTCGAGGTACACAACAACAGACTTGTCCAGATATTCCCGTAGTACTTGGTTGATCATAGTTTGGAATGTAGCCGGTGCGTTGGTGAGTCCAAATGGCATGACTAACGTTTCAAACTGTCCTCTTCTCGTTCGGAAGGCTGTTTTCCACTCATCTCCTTCTGCAATTCGGATAAGGTTGTAGGCTCCTTTAAGGTCCAAGGCTGTGAACCATTGGGCCTCGTAGAGTAGGTCTCTTAGTTCCGATATGAGGGGCAGTGGGTAACAGTCTTTGATCGTAATATCGTTGAGTCGTCGATAATCGACACAAAGTCGTTTCTTCCCGTTCTTCTTTGGTACGAATAGTACGGGGTATCCTGCGGGTGATTTCGAAGGTCTGATGAATCCTTTCGCAAGATTTTCGTCAAGCCATTCGTCTAAGGCTTTCATTTCTTCTTGGTTGAGTGGGTATATTTTGTTAAAGGTGGGTTCGTGTCCTTCCTTAATTTCGATCTTGTGATCCCACTTGCTGTGTTCCGGTAATCCGGTCTCGAGTTCTGGTGCAAAGAGTTTGCTGTAGACCCTGTATTCAACAGGTATCTTTGACATTGGATCTTCCGTGACTTTGTCAATCGTCGTGGCTGCTAGCGTCCTAGTGCCAATGTCTTTTATCCTTAGCATCAGGCGTGGTCTTGCTCTGGTTGCTGCTAGTAATCCGCATGAGGCCTTCGTCGAGTGCTTCTCAGAGGCTGGATTGAATTTCATTCGGCCGGTAACCTAATCGATTTGTGGGTTATGTCTTCGTAGCCATGGAATTCCGAGGATAACGTCGTGGTTTCCTATCTCCGTGATGTCGAGGCTGATAAGCTCCTGATGGCTATGGTAGAGCAAAGGGAGTTGCGCTGTCTCCTGATCAATGCTGCCTCCGCCATACTCGACTTCTTTCCCTTCTACATTCCTTAGTCGGTAAGGGTTTTGCTTTTGATTCTATGGTATTTCTCGCTGTTGCACTATTCGGGGTGCGATAAAGTTTCCTTGGGCTCCTGAGTCTATCAGGACCTGTGTGGTGTATCCGCCCAGGTTTACTGTGATCTTCATTTGTGCGTCGTCGTCGAATGTAGCATATAGGGACTTGCTGGGGGAGCTCGCCATGTGTCCCGGACAAGGCGGCTCTCCTAGTTTTTTGAGTAGAGGGCCTTCTCGCCCTTCTTTCGGTCTCTGCCGAGGTTACTTTCTCTGATTCCTAGACGAGGTGGGCTGGGCGTCTCGCCGTCCTGTCCTTGCTTGTCTAGTTCTTGTTGTCGGAATCTCCAACTTTCGCTTTTTGGAATGTAGTGGAGTTTGCATAGGTCTTCCCTGCAATTCCACCAGACTCCCGTGAAGTGGTTCACACACTTCTGAGGGTATTCGACGCTGGGTCGTAGGAATGCTATTCCATTGTTGTTGGTTTTCCATTCTCCGGGTTCTCCCCGTACTTCCCAATATGAGAGTTCTTGTTCCTCATGGGCTCTGCGGATTCGCAGTTCTTCTTTTCTTTTGGGGTATAGTTCGTTTTCTGCTTTCTTTGAGAGATGGTAGGCGCAGTGATCGAAGATGCAGTAGATCCATGCTATCTCCTTGTGTTCTCTGTGCTGTGTCGTAATCCTGGGATCGTCTTCTAAGAATATTTCTTTATCCCGGGTTTGTGTGATTGTTGTAGGGATTTTGTTATGATATTCTTCTGCATGGAAGGCGATCTGTTGGCAGTCGTCTTGGGGGTCGATGTATTTGTATTCTAGTACTTCCTTAATTTTTTCCATTCTGTCGAGATGGTGTTCTTCTTCTGCGTCTTCCGGGTCGGTATCGTCTATCGACGTTCCTTGTGGACGTACTTCCGCCGAGGGTGGTCCGTCTACGACGTCTTCAGCCCATTCCGAGATAGGTTGAGGAGTAGCGCGGGTTCTTTGTGGCAATTCAAAGGTCGAGTCGCTGGCTACCGTGGTATATGGTGAGCTCCATCGTTGGCTTAGGTTGTCCTTTGCTTGGTATACTCGGGTCTGGGTGCTAGCGTCCCTGAATTGTTGTTGTCTTAGCATTTCATCCAATTGCTCGGTGGCTTTGCGGGCGTATTTGCTGGCTACCGCGAGGGTTCGTTCCGTCTTTCCATCGTTTTGGGGTTGGTAGACAAATTGGGTTGCTTTGTACTTGAGTTGATACTGTCCTCGGGTGTTTCCGCGTAGTGCGATGCGGCGGTCTCGGGTTTTCCGCATGTGTTGGAGGGTGTCTCCAACTTCGCTGTTGTTTCGAATTTGCATCGTGTAGTTGATGGCGTCTTGTATCCGTTTGATGGCTGTCTCGTTTTCTTCTTCGAGTTTCCTAGCTTCTTCTTCTGAGAGACTTTCCGGGGTGTTTACTTTATTCGTCTGTCGATAGTTGGCGAGGCGTGGGATGTCCCATAAGAGTCCCGGTTGGTACACAATGCTACCATCTTGGAAGGCGTTGTTGAGTTCCGCGGCCTTCTTCGCTTGTTCCTAGTCGTCGAGTGGCTCTTGTCGCTGCTTAGTGTAATCCGGTCCACCGGTGTATCGGTCTATCACAGCAATGGCCTTGGGTATGTTGGTGGTGTCGTATCCCGATCGTCCTGCTGGGTTTTGAGGGTACCATCCACTATTCTCTTTTGCATGCCTGTGCGTAGTGCAATCATTGTCATAGCAGGCTGTCCATCCCTTTTCTTCGTGGCTAGGGATTTTGGTTGCAGCGTTGGCTTGCTTAGGGGTTGCCGTAAGTTTCTTAGGCTGTATGCAGTGTCTGGCCATGTGTCCTGGCTTGTCGCAGTTATAGCATTTGAATTCTCTGCGTCTGGGTTTGTCTTTTTGCGCGACGCTCAGGTCCATGGGTCCACTGTGTTGTCCATGTGCGGTGCTCTGCTGATTGTTGTTCCTGTTGTTCTGGTTTTTGTTGTTGAACTTGTGTTGAGGTTGCTATTGGTATTTCTTTCCTGAGTTGGCTGTTTGACGTTTTTCTCCTTTTTCCTTGCGTCGTTCAAACAGTCGGTTGTCAATCTTAATGGCGTATTCGACATAATCAAGGAAGCTAGGTGGCGTGTCCACTTTGGCCATTTCGTCCTTGACGTCGTCCTTGAGACCCTGGTAGAAAGCGAAGACTTTGCTTTCGTCGGTCATGTCGAGTCTGGCTGCGAGTCGTCGAAATTCTGCGGCGTACATTGTAGCTGATTTGTTTTGTCGTAGGCTCGCTAGTTCTCTTTCTGCTTGTCTTTTCTCATCGGGGTCTAAGAAGAGAGATTGAAGGGCTTTAACATATCTACTGAAGCTGAAAAAGATGTCCTTCACTTCTTGACTGTATCTCTCGATAGGGGTGTCCAGCCATTCTTGTTGGAGGGGTTCGAACCAAGCGAGGGCCTTCCCTCTCAAGAAGGTGGCGGCGTGGACGACACGTTCGGTATCGTTCTGGAACGTGTTGATGTGGAAGGCTTGGTAGGTCCGTATCTGTACCAAGTATCCTTTGAGCTGTCCAGGGGTTCCGTCGAAGGTGGTAGGGGTGTTGAGCTTAAGGCGTTCTCTTCCTTCGACAGGAGCTGATATGACGTTCGCGGCAGCTCGAAGGGTTGTGACTTCCTTCTCTAGTTCTTTGGTGCGGCGGGCTTGTTCCTGTAGCTCCTTGAGGGCTTTGACGTTCTGGTTGAACAGGTTTTTCATTTCCCTGAGCTCGTTGTTGTTCCGCTCAAGTTGCCGCTTAAGTTCTTCATTGTCGTCATCGCTATCGGATTCCTCCTTCATTTCCTGGTCTTGAATCTCTTGGGCCAGATTCTGGGGAATACGTCTCTCGGACGTGGACGAGGTTCCAGGAGTAGGGTTTTCGGTAGTTCCGTGCGAAGACATCTTGTCTTATACTGTTCGTTAGTCTCAAAGGGCAACTTACTGAACAGGAGCAATCAAAGTGTTACGGCCAGCTATCTGACAGTAGGGTTCTGCTAACAGAAGGTGCAGTAAGAGACTAACACTGGTTCGTAGAGGTCGTTCTGGTAGATCGTAGGGTTAGGGTAAGGTGATCAGTCTTACACTATGGTAACGAGGTTCTTAGTATTCACAATACTGAGAGGTAAGCTGAAAGTCATTCGAGGATGAATCACAAGTTGATTGCTGAAGAACTATCTAGAAGGCTTAAGCAGATGCTCAAGTCCTGGTCTATATACAAGTCCCGTTTCCCAATGTCTTAGAGAGTCTATAGAGTCGCTCGTCGACTCTATCGACTCTCTTCTGATTGGTCCTTTACAGGAGTCTACAGAGTCGCTCGTCGACTCTGTCGACTCTGTCCTGATTGGTCGATTGTCACGTGACTTGTAACGTAGTTCTTCCTTGCCGAGAGGTTTACCCTTGTTCCCGTGATCCTACGTACATATGTCCTGTCGTAGCCGCCCGACCCAGTGGGTCTGTTAAGTGCATCTGACGGGTCGTAACATTATAATTAAGTCTTCGGCTAAGCGCGTCTGCTTTGCCGTTTTCTAATCCTTTCCTATAGATAATTCTAAAGTTAAATTCTGAGAGGAATTCTAACTATCTAATTTGTCGTTTATTAAGCTTTTTCGAAGTAGTAAAGTATGCTAGATTCTTATGATCCGTGTATACTTTTACTTCGTACTTTGTTCCTAATAGTTAGGGTCTCTATTCTTTAAATACGTCGATAATTGCTATAAGTTCCTTATCATAGATCTAGTAATTTAGTTTAGGTCCTTAGAACTTCCTTAAAAAGAATCTATAAGGGTATAAGACTCCGTTCTCGTCCCTTTAGCCTAGCTACGCTCCTTTAGCTTCGTTCGAAGTATCCGTTTCAAGCTCGAAAGGCTTCTTAAGGTTCGGAATCTAGATAACAGGTTCCGATATAACCTTATCCTTAACTTCTTAGAACGCTTTCTATTATTTATCTATCTATTCCTAAGGTATATTTTTCTTAGTAAGTTCGGTAAGAGGCAATATCGTTTTAGAGTAGTCTTTAAGGAATTTTCGGTAGAAGTTAACAAATCCTAAGAAGGATAGTATGTCCTTCGGGTTCTCTAGTATAGGCCATTCTTGCACAGCCTTGATTTTGTTAGGGGACATCTTAATTACGCCTGGCGTGATTGTAAACCCTAAAAATTCTACTTCCTATTTGTGAAACAGACTCTTCTCTGGTTCAACAAGTAGCTTCGCTTGTTCGAGTGCTTTGAGAATCTCGTAGACATGCTTCTTATATTCTTCTAACGTTTTGGAGAATATAAGGATATCGTCGAGGTATATAACAACAGACTTGTCTAGATATTCCCGTAGTACTTAGTTGATCATAGTTTAGAATATAGCCGGTATATTAGTAAGTCTAAATAGCATAACTAACGTTTCAAACTATCTTCTTCTCGTTCGGAAGGCTGTTTTCTACTTATCTCCTTCTACAATTCGGATAAGGTTGTAGGCTCCTTTAAGGTCTAAGGCTGTAAACCATTAGGCCTCGTAGAGTAGGTCTCTTAGTTCCGATATAAAGGGTAGTAGGTAATAGTCTTTAATCGTAATATCGTTAAGTCGTCGATAATCGATATAAAGTCGTTTCTTCCCGTTCTTCTTTAGTACGAATAGTACGGGGTATCTTATAGGTGATTTCGAAGGTTTGATAAATCCTTTCGCAAGATTTTCGTCAAGCTATTCGTCTAAGGCTTTTATTTCTTCTTAGTTAAGTAGGTATATTTTATTAAAAGTAGGTTTATATCCTTCCTTAATTTCGATCTTGTAATCCTACTTACTATATTTCGGCAATCCGGTCTCGAGTTTTAATACAAAGAGTTTGCTATAGACCTTGTATTTAATAGGTATCTTTAATATTAGATCTTCCGTAACTTTATTAATCGTCGTAGCTGCTAGCATCTTAGTATTAATATCTCTTATCCTTAGTATTAAGCATAGTCTTGCTTTAATTACTATTAGTAATCCGCGTAAGGCCTTTGTTAAGTAACGTCCCACACCCATGTTACGACCCGTTGGACATGGTCGCCAACACGACCCCGCCTGGATCCCGGCGGCTAACGCAGGGCATATGTAACCCAGCCGGACAGGTGTAACCAGGGATCCTCGGAACGGAAGAACTATGGACAAGTCACGTGGCCTCGGGGATAACGCGGGGTAAGGACAACCCGGGCTGGATATGTTGGATATGTCAGATATCCAACCGATCCCCGGATATGTTGGATATGTCAAATATCCAACCGATCCCCGGATATGTTGGATATGTCAAATATCCAACATAGCCAAGATAAGGAGGACCGTTCAGGACTTGTATATAGGATGGACTCGAGCCGGGCTCGAGGACAGACTTCCATAGCTCTTCAGCAATCAACTTTGTGATTACCCTAACCGGTACTTTCAGCTATACCTAAGTGACGACTACTCTACGACTCTTGTTGAGGCCTTGACTGATCACCAAGACCTTTGAAGATCTACGATTCAATCGACCAGACCCCAGAACGACTGTTACTGTTGTCAATCCCTGGCTTACTGTTAACACAAACCCACTGTCAGTTAGCTGGCCGTAACACTAGGACTATCTTTTTAATATCGGTTTTATATCTTTTAAAAGCTCCCTCATAGGCTTGTTCTAAATCTTAAAGCTATTCGGTATGCTTTCGGTAGCTAGTTTTCAGCGTAAATACTTCGATATTCTTAACCTTGATATCTCCCCTTTCGCTAGAGGTAAGACTCTGTTTTAGTCGTACTAATAATATCTGCTAGAGCTACTCTAATAGATCGTTTTAGCGTTTAGTTTAAGATAAAGATGTCTCAAGTTAGGCGATTCGCTCTAGAAGAGTAGTATAATCAACCTCTCTTAGCTAAGTATAGCTACTATTCTCTTAACTCGCCGGTTCGTCAGGAGGGTTAATCAGGTCAGGGGATTCGCAAATTCGTTCATCTTCACTACCACTTCCTACCATTATAACTATTAGTAGCTAATAGAGAAGAATCAGAATTATTACAAGGTTTTAGCTAGGAATAGTTATAATAGTAATAAATATCGTATTTTTCCAAAGCTAATTCTTGATCCTCTAGATCAAGAGTCTGGAGCTAGAACCTGTCTTTTATCTAGGTATTATGCCCCGCTCGGTGAAACATATGTGTTAACCTTCTTGGTACAGCGCCCCATAGCGCTTCTAGTAGTGCAGCGCCCCATAGCTCTTTGCCCTGTTACAACTAGCGATAATTACTAACTACCTTAACCTACTAACGATTTAGATAGTTGTCTATACCGATTCTTATTCGCTATACGAGTGTCTTATAAAGCTAGGCACTACTAAAGAAAAGCGACTTATAATCGATATCATAGCGTTAAGACAATCGTACGAAAGACAAGAACTATAAGAAATTCGTTAGATTAACGGCGAAGACAACCTTGCTAATGCCCTTACGAAGAGCATACTAAATCAAGCCCTCGAGAGATTCGTTAATAGCAATACGATAACGATATGTATAGAGGGATAGGTAACAAGACCGTAACTACGGGAGAAAGTAGGGATAGGAGGCCGAATTGACGAGGAGACGGAACTATATAGGGACAACGTATTCCAACCGCTTTAACACTATAAAAAGAGAGTTTCCAGTGTTGCGATAGTTGGAATACAGAGTCGTGTAGCACTTCCAGCCACACGCCCGCCAGGCTGAGAGGCCCAAGCCTCCGTAATACGGAGTCGTGTAGCACTTCCAGCTACACGCCCGCCAGGCTGAGAGGCCCAAGCCTCCCAGACCCACGTGACAGGCCAAGGGGGAATATCCCCACCTTCTAGTCAACAACACCACTTTCAACTATCATGAACCATCGATTAGAACCAATTTACTGTTATTTGTTATTGACGAACGGAATTCCGTTTCACCCCCTGTGAAACCTACAAAATGATTTTACGAAAATACCGAAGCCTTGATGTCAAGGGAGATGCCATGGACCTCATTAGAAGCGACACATCAAATACCAAAACATTCTTCTTTTAACTTGACTGAGCACTCAAAATTCGTGATTCTTAAACTCCGATGCAGAGCGAACCGCGGCACGCAGCATCTCGACATTGTGTGGTGAGAATATGCAGCCAGAGTGTCTATCTTTTCATAATCACCTCTCAATACTTAAACAAGCACCGGTGTAGTATCCGCACATTGCATAAGACCATATTTCAATTCTTGGCCCAAAAGTCATGGAATGAATGTAACACGCAAGTGGCATCCCTTGAAAAGAACAAGTAGCAACTGTTAGGCTTGAAATTTTGACTCTGTGATACAGGCTATTAAATTATCTGCTTCGTTCAAATGTAGCTCCCAACTAGTCAGACACGTGGCGTGGATGCTGACTTCGATTTAGCGCAAGGGAAGCATAAAACCAGTCGTGCAATCTAAACCGCTACTCCCGCTTCACTCCCTTCGAAGCTCCTGAAGTCTTCACCCCGATGCCAAGCACGATGAGAATCCGGACCAAAACCATCGGTGCCGTCGAATAAAAGATGACATAATCCTCCACCGTCCATTCGGAATAATTCAGCCAAACCTTCCAGCCTCCGATGGCCTGCGCCGTGCCGTGGCAGTAGGCGGCGTCGCTCAAGAGCATGCCCGCACAGACGACGCGCCACAGGTCAAGGTCATCAAAGAGCCGCAGGACCACGCCTTCGGTGAAGGCGAAAAACAGCCAAGATCCGCTCAGCTGCGTGAAAAGGAATCGCGTATTCGGCGCGTACGGGTGCGAGTTGCGCGTCAGTCCCGCAAGATACTGGTTCGGTGCGTGGAGAGTCATAACACTGCCCAACAGGGCGAAGATGGGTTCAATGGTCATGAACAAGATTTGGTAGATTGCCGGGACTGCGGCCGAGGCCGAAATCGGCACTCGAGGCTGAGCTGTCATTTTCGAGTGATTCCTTTTTTCGGTATTGGTTGTGATCCGATATCAGATTGCTCCCGGGTGCACTGCTATCGCCAGTTTCTAAGCCTCCTTACTCTCGACTTCGCGATAATGTGTGAATTGATGTAGATGCAAGGTCAAGGTGAGATATGGCCTGCTGTGCAATGAAGAATGCAGATTGAATGAGATGAGCTCTCCTGAAAAATTTCTCCCTTCACCACTAGCTCAATCACTAAGGGCTCGCGAAAGTTTATGTAGGTCAGTGAAACACGCATGTCGGAACGACCGGCTGCGGGGTCACTGTGATCCGAGACAAGCAACACCCAAGCATCCCGGCAAAAGTGAGGTTTACGACTGGCTCGCACGGCCTGTGTTGACCTAGGAGAGCCACCAGAGACAGCTAAAGCATGGCAATAGTAGCAGGCATAAATGCATTGTTCTCGAGTGTTGCCTAATCAGGCTACTTGGCCTCATAGTGAGCCCGAACTAGTGGCCCAAGTTTCGCAAAGGGTTAACTGCTGTCAACTGACTGGCGTTTGCCGCGCGTGCACGGCTATTGAACGCTCAGGATAGCCCCAAAGATACTTGAGACGACTGGCATGCATGAAGAACTATGTTGCTGCGTATGCAAGTCAGAAGCAACGGTGTCGCGGCGTCTCCGGAGTGCCAGTTTCATCTGATTTCATCCTGGGCAATGATCTTGTTGTGTTGTCAATTTATACGTAAGGTTGATAAAAAGAAGATTGACAATGTTCTTTTTCAGTAGGTGTCCGTAAGATCGACGCAAGTGATAAGATATTATTTCAAACTTCGTAATGATCGTTGCGAGGATTGATGTCTTCTTTCTATTCAGCACGGGAAGTCTAAATTGAGTTGATTTGGACATAGCCCAAGTACCTTGACACTCTATTTGCGTAATATTGCGCCAAGAGAGTTAGTTACTCAAATAAATGTAAGGCTTAGGAATTAACAATCCAAATATGAATCTACTTCTTCGTGTCGACAGACTGTTCTATAGCCTTGTCTACTTCGCCTGTGCTTTCGTCTGCTTTGTCATTCTGTCCGATGACTCCGGCTTCTATTGACGTCCCCGGGGCCACAGGGTTCCGCTTCTGCTCTCTCAAGAGCAACAATCTAATGCCGATGACAGCAAGAATCGCGGCAATGATAAAGCCAAAGGTAGCAGGGAAACCACGTCCTAGAAGATAAACTATTAGTTACGACGCGCCCCAATAAATGTCGTGGCATTACACAACGAAGGAAATTTAGTATCGTTGTATCATCCGGACAAATGAGATTCGAACAGAATACGAAATACTTACTGAAGCTGGGTGCCATTGTTTGAGGGAAAATGACAATGGGCAACCAAGCATCGACTGCATATTGCATTCCATTCATGCTGCTGATGACCAAGGCGCGTTCTTCATTGTCACCGGCACAGACTTCATTAGCCCAAGTGTAGCTAGGGGTTTATTAGCGGTAAGTTCTTTCTAATGTAGGCCTTAGTTGAAAATGGGTTAGTAAACTTACAAGACAGCAGTCATCAGATGGATACTGCTCGTGAGGAAAGCGAATTCTTTCAAAGCCACGCTCGGTGGCCAAACAGCTAGAATGCCGTTGGGGATCAAACCCAGAAACTATGTAGTCTTAGAGTTAGGACTGCGGGCGCTTCCAACGGGTTTTCCATCTGATGATAGCTTACCAAAGGGCCCACAATCAGGGCAAATCGACTCCCAGTGTAATCAGACAGGAAGCCCCATAGAACGACACAAAACGCCATGATCAATCTCGAGCCGGTGGGAATCACGTTTCGGTCCACAACTGAGAAGTTTTCTGACTTGAGCCAGATGCCAAAGTAGCCGCTAGCCTGGCAGGATTCACCATACAGCTGCAGTGGTCTTGTTAGCAATGTTCAAAGTGTTTTTTTTTTTTTTTTCAGGAAGCTGACAGGTACTCACCACATAGCCTAGAACGAAAGCATACCACCTCCACTTTGTCAACACACGCTTGAACGTCGCAAGCGTGACCCCTGCAGGTGCTGCCTTTCCTGCCTTTTGCACTCGTTCGATGGCCAGATCGCATTCCTTGGACGTCAAGAACTTTGATTTCGTGGTGTACGGCGTATCCGGGAGAACAAAATAGGTGGCTAGGCCTACAGGCACAGTCATACACTAGATAACGTTAACAATGATCATACGAGACATTAAGGCTTGTAGACTTACGCCGCAGACAATGTACAACCATCGCCAACCGGCCAGGCCGTGAGCGCCGTCGAGGCTCTTGTAGACTGCCGCTTGGAGGTATCCGCCAAATGCAGACCCCAGGGGTGCTGTCATGTGAAAGATTGCAACTCTCTTCGCAAGCTCAGTTTTCGTGTACCACGAGCCAAGCACGTATAACAAAACAGGAAAGAAGGAGCTTTCAAAGAAACCGACGAAGAACCGGAAGGCGTAAAGCTGGCTGGAGCTGTGTGTTCCGGCCTGGGCAAAAGTGAAGACTCCCCATGCGACCTCCATAGCAGCTAGCCAGATGCTGGGCCTGATCTTCTGCACGATGAGGGTGCTGGGAACTTGCATGACGGCATATGCGCATGTGTAGGCCGTCTGGGCATACGTATACTCGTTGCCGAACATTTTCAGGTCTTCTTGCATACCTGATACGTAGGCATTGGCGAGGTTTCCTTGGTCAAGATACTTCATGAAGAAGCCTGCAGCCATTAGTGTCTTTCCGCTCCAAGTAGTCGAGGCTGAGAAAGCAATGTACCTAAGCACCCGATAGTCAAGATGGAGAAATCCAACTTGCGAAGGAGCTTGCGCTCCTCGGGGCTCTTGAGATGAGTGTCCGTGTCCCAGATGAAGGAGCGGAAGGACCGCGAGGGCGACTTCGTAGGTTGCGTTTCCGCCATCGTGTAGGATCAGTCGGAAAACTTGCCGCGTTGATGGAGTGACTGGGCTGTGGCTGGCTTCTGCGAAAACGGACTTGGGCATGGCAACATATATATCTCGTTGCTTCTTGGCACCGGCGCGAGTTGCGCCATCGGACGTACCAATTTTGGGAGACCTGGCACATCGATCCTTGAGGCCGCACTAGAGGAGCTTGAACTACACGTCGGCGCGGACAAAGTTCCTGAACAAGACAAGCTGGGTTGCGCTTCAATCCCGCTGAGAAGCGTTGCTGCAGAGCCTAACTTGGTGTAGACGAACATCGGGGAGAACCCGACAAGCTTGGCCAATGGTGTTTCACGTAGTATCGTGGGGTTGATCGGCTCCTGCAAGACGACACAGACGGGGGTGATGGCGAGCTTATCAATGGGACAATATCACAGTATGGGGCCACGCCTGAATACACGTTGGGACAACCTACCAATTGGTCGTCGGTATTTCATCTTTTTTGCCTTGTACGAGTTCAGTCACAAAGCGACCACCCCCCCTTCGCGAGGAGAGGTTGCTGACGACGGAAATGTCATTTTCAGCACCGCCAGATATGGGTTATTTCCGCCCCGTCGGCAATAAGCAACCAAACAGCGCATATACTCGACATTGAAGTATTTGCCGAGAATTTGGCCGCTCCCATCGACACTGTGCCTCCAAGGCAAGGTGGGCAAGGTAGGCAGAAAATGGCTGGCCAACAAATTGTGCCGGCGCGGATTGCGAATGACCGGGTATGTAACTGATGCGGGACCGGTGGCCGCCGGCTAAGGATCGGGCTGGTCGGTCCCTTTTCTCCGTCAATTACAGCCGGTCTTGTGCACGAGTCATGTTGGATGCGGAAGCTTATTTGGAGCTGCCGGCCGGTCGGAGAATTGCTTTCATGCCTCGCCAATGCCGTCTCGGCTTTGGGGCCGGTCCGTCGGGTTAGAAAGTGACAGCACGGCAACGTGGGCAGGGCAAATGATGCTGCACTAATGAAAGATATCGACCAGCTAGTTTCTCGAGTAAAATCAGCCAACATGGCATTTCCAAGCGCATGAGTTTGACTTTAATGGAGGAGCAGAATCCCACGAGATCCCTTCACCAATGGCCAGAGAGAGAGCCAGAGTGATGGCAACACCGGTGTACAATAGCATTCATTAGATCATTATGTGCATCTAGTAACCACCACATCCTTCACTGCTTTGATTTCTTCCACACACTCATATGCCAAGCCCCTCCGCACACTTCGCCCTCCTTGTTACCCCGACAAGGCACGTTGCAGTTCCACGGCGACGAAAGAAGCTTGCTCTCCGGAGGCGTGCTGGAGCAATAGCACTCGCCGCCGGTCTCCGTAGCGAAATACCCGAAATCTTTTTGACAATAGTTCTTGCACTCCGAGTTCGTCTGGCTATCGGTGAAGTTCGTACGCGCGCCCCGGAAGATTCTCTGGGAGTTGTCTCGGTAGCATCCGATGTACTCCCAATCTGGTATGTTTACCCACGTAGTCGCTGCTGCTGGAGCGGATTCGGTTCTGGAGGGGTAAATGTTAGTCGGGCTGGCGAATGCTGCTTGACCTGGCAAAGATAATCGCAAAAAAAGAAGCAGAAAAAAAAAAAAAAGGATGTCTTACGCAGTTCCTCGTGAGCTTTCCATACTCTGTATCCTTGACTCTTGCCGCGCCAGCATGGCTCCGAATACACCGCCGATGACGACCAGCAGAGCAACCATGAAAGCAATCACACACCACAAAATGAACATGGCTTTGCTGACGCCACATATCCTCCTCTCATTCCTTATTGGGCCATCGGTGGTGATCTGAGTATAATCTCCCTTCTGCGGGCCGTGATACGGCATGTACTGCGATGATGACGCCGATTCGTTGACGATCACGTCCGAGTGAGGTACGGGATAGAGGCCGTTGTCGATGTATGCCATCTCGGTGCCTCGAGGCTGTCCAAAATCCGACGCCATTATATTGCGGTATGCTGCAGTCAATTCATGAATGATGTCTTGGTGGGTGTATGCGATGCAGAGAATAGAAGTGAAGGTTTGAAGTTCGGGCTACGACGGCGCTGATATTTTTTCAGCCTTAGCAAAGCTTTTGAAACCAGGCAGTTAAATTGGGAACAAGAAATGGCGAATCAGCCTGGATCATCATCACAACACCCGCGGCACAGTAAGCTGCGAGTTACGCCCAGCGGCTGAAGCCCAGGATGCGGTTATGCATGCGCGCTGGAGCCTGAGACCAATCATACAACGCAAAACCTTCGTTCCTACATCCATACTTAGCATACTGTTAAGCTCAGGAATCGGTCTGCGTCTGCTTATGGCTTGGCGTAGGATAGTCTGTAGCATTGTTGATCATGATGCTGGTTGGTGTATCCGCCGAGTATACTTAGCCACGACAAGGCACAAACTTGAGCAGCCTGCTTCGTAGGCAGCAAGTTTTGGCTGTTCCTTTTCTTCTGGTTGGTACCTACACTACTTTAGGCCGCATTTTCATACGAGCTGAATGTGCCGCAGTAAGGTCTTCCCACCGACACAATTCTCCGGGGGGCGCAGAACGCGTCGAGTCTTGATTTAGGGTTACATTGTCGATTGCCACACGCCAGGGGTTTGCATCTTGGCAATCCGGGTAGGGCAGGTGCGAAACCCCCAAACTCCAGGGATCTGCGTTGCGCCAGATAGCAATCAATAATCTTTTTTATCTGCGCGAGTTTGTGAAAAGTGGCGATTGATCCGTCAGTGGACGACACAGCAAAACATCTTCACGGAGAGAGTAAGGCATTTGACGAAAAGTATTCGTTTATTCAATGACTATATACATTGGTATCATAAAGACATTATAGTTTATACTCATCTATGGCCTCGTTTGCGCCACTTTTTTTTTTAAACGACGTGCTCGTCGCCGTGGGAGCAGCTCTTGGCGTGGTCAGCCTGCTCGGCGGCGAGAGCCCACTTCTGGAACTCGCGGCGGATGGCCTCACGGCTGCGGCGGGCGGGGGTAGTCTTGCTGCGACGGGGGAGACCGGCGGGCAGCTCGTTGGCGAAGTCGGCGGCAACACGGGCGGCGGCCTTGGTGTTGATGGTGAGGGCGTCCCAGTTGATGTTGTCGAGGGTGTCGCAGGCCAAGTGGTAGCAGGGGTCGGTCGGGGCGCCGGCACCGGTGAAGATGCCGGAGGACGGGATACCGAGCTGGAGGAAACCGACGTAGTCGGAGCTGCTGCCGAAGCCGCCGTAGCTGGCGGGCTTGCCCTGGGCGGCGATGTACTCGTGGATGGGCTGGGCGCCGAAGTTGTCGCCCGGGTTGTCGCCGCGGTAGACGGCGTAGACGGGGTTGATGGAGCCAATCATGTCGTAGTTCCAGTAGAAGCGGATGGCGTCGGCCTCCTCCTCGGACAGCTTGGAGGTGTAGTAGAGAGATCCGACGAGACCGCTCTCCTCGGCACCCCACCAGATGAAGCGGACCTTGTTCTTGAAGCCGGAGTACTTCTTGAAGGAGCCGGCAATCTCGAGGAGGGCGGTGGAACCGGAGCCGTCGTCGTTGACACCGGGACCGGCCTGGACACTGTCCAAGTGGGCGCCGAGGACAATGACGTTGTTGGGGTCGCCCTCCTTGGTCTCGGAGATGATGTTCCAGGTCTCGCGCTCATCCCAGATGGCATCGACGAGGAGGTTGACCTCGAGGGTCTCGCCAGCGGCAATGCGCTCCTTCCAGGCGGTGGCGACCTCGAGGGGGATGAGGCCGACGGGCACCAGCAGGCCCAGGTTCTCGGCACTCAGGGTGGCGGAGCCAATGTCCGTGCCGGGGGTCTGGTTGTAGAGGATGACGCCGACGGCGCCGGCAGCCTTGGCGAGCTTAAGCTTATCGGCGATGGCGCAGACACCACGCTTCACGAGAGCGAGCTTGCCGGTGGCATCGATGCCCTCCCACTGGTCGGCGAAGCAGCCAGAGCCTGTTTTTGAGATTGGTAAGCTTTCATTGTCTCTCTAATCATTAGAATGTTGCTTTCCATACCTCGCGCATCGTCAACCGGAATGTCGATGAGAGGAGCAGTGTCACCACCAGGGAGCGTAGTGGGGTGGTTGTACTGGAGCTGAACGGCGTAAACATCCTCGCCGTCAGGGCCAGTGACCTTGAGCTCACGGGTCTGAGAAAAGGTGTGGTTGAAGTACTGGATCTTGGTGTCAAGCTGCTTGTGGAAGCGGCCCTGGACACGCTCAAGAATGTAGTCTGAGGAAGCCTTGTATCCAGGAAGACCGAAGGCACGGTTGCCGCCGTTTTCGCGGGCAATCTTGTTGAAGTTCCAGAGGTTACGCTCGAGCCTGAAAGACGGGATATTAGAATCGAAGATTGATCTTGACAAATTTGGTAAAAAAAAAAGAAACTCACTCCTTGGTAAGGATATCGGCCTCGGCCTTGTCGGCAGTGAGAGGGTCGGTGGCAAAGGAGCGCGCCGCGAACAGAGCCGCGGCGAGGGCGGTAGCGGTCTTCATCGTGAAGGATGGAAGCTATTCTCAAGCTCCAATTAAGGGCACGAAGTGATTATTGAACAAGCTTCAATGGATCCCAGTGAGAGGACTGATCGACCAGAGGAAAATCACAATTACCAAGGTGGTGGAGGACGGGGAGTTTTATATCTTCTGAGGCCCATGCCGTCTGGGCGCGTGCCAAGAGGCAGGTCGCCGAAGCAGCGGGATTGCGCGATAAGGCGACATGCCCCCCCGAGTCTGCGATGGTCAAGGTTGGAGTGAGCTCCGGTGTTCGTATAACCGCATGGTGGCATGTTAGTAGGGCAGAGGCCTACGGTGTAACTCTGGCAACTGCCAGGTCACTGCAGTGGCAGTACAAGGAAAAGGTTCGTCCAGACCCATAAAGCGGCGAAATTCAATTCAAGGAACAGTGAATCACAATATCGCGGAGACATCCAAGAGGCTGGTCCTCGTGGATTAACCACATGGTTCGAAGTCACTGAGGCATCGATGCAGACCAGGCGATGCTACCTCGGGCAGGTGAACGATGTCGGTTTGTCTTGGCAAAGAACTTTTGCGCCAGTGGATGGCGAATGTTGGTCTACATAACATGGTTGAAAGATATGGCTGGCATTGCGTTTTGCTGCTAGCACGCGGATAGAAGGTCATTTGGTAGGGGGCAAATAGATGAGAGAAAGGCAGCGGAGAAAAGCCGTGAACAGGGGCACGAAGCTGTTGTTTCTGGGGCCGGCCCCTCGGCTTTGTGGATCATCAGTGCTTCATCAGGCAGGTGCCAAGCCTAAGAGAGGGGGAATTAGAGTCGGTGGCTGAGGCGCTATGGCAATCGGTACCAGGGGTGCCGTTGTTTAATCCCAATAACCTTTGGGAGAGAGACAGAGTAATAGTAGTATTCCGTAATTGGGTTGCCTGTAAGCACAGTTTATGGCAACTTAAGCAATGTCGATCTCACAACAGAGCCCTTGAAAGTTACTTTTGTGGAAAATGAGTTTGAACTGTCCACCTCTATTTTATTCTTCACCCTGACTCGCCTTGCCGATGGCGGGTTGAAAAGCCCAGCCAAATGCCTCGCCGAAACCCTGTTCGCCAATGATTTCTTCCTGTGGGGATAACTTGCTCGTATGTGAGTAGGTGCCTGCATATGGACGCATTCAAATAGTTACAGTGCATTGTCGGCCAAGAATTCAACTCAGAGGACCACATGGGCAAGATTACGCCATCGCTAAGATCCTGGTTCGAGCCAACCGATACCCAATAAATCATGATTAAATGGGCCAACATGAGAACCGAGCAAAAAGTATTGGGAACTTCATCATTTCAGCACTATATTGATAATAGCGTCAATGGCGACATTAATATCATAAACTGTTCAAAGATACACAAGAAATGGATGTTTACTTCTTCTCATTCTGGCAATGTCATCGGTTCAAAGTGACGTTAAAACAATGAGGCGCTGGGCCAAGAGGACAGAAAAGGCATGTGCTTCAATCGGGGACCCGGCTAGGCCTTGGCAAAGGGAAAACCGCAACCAAGAAGCTCGGCAAAGCGGGGAAGTTTCGATATACACCGATCATGATATCTCGGCCCTTGTTGGTCTGGCTTGAACGGCGAACCGAGCTTTGTGAAATGCCTTATCTTGTTTAGCTGCCGACTGCCAGCTTCCATAGCCCGCCCCGCTGTTGGTGGCTTGGTCATAATCAGCCCCCCCCCCCCCCCCCCCCGGACTTTTGCGATACCGACTGAATAAACGTTAAGTGAGGTCTGTTTCAACAAGTATGCGACAGCCTTTTTGAAGAAGGTATGACAAGTCTTACAGCGAAAACGGGTTCTGATGTAATTGCTATCTGGCATATTATTGACTGTTTCGATATGTTCTCGCCCAGTGTATTTCTTTCAGTTCGGGCAACTGTTGTTCGAACTTTGGTTTGGATACCAGATGTTTCTCATCACGAGAACCGCAGACTCTGTATTCGTGTATCACTGTTTTGGACGGGCCTGTCTGCATTCTTTTGCCTTTTCAATGGTTTGGCTGTTCAAACAAGCTTTCTTAAAGATGGCAAATGCTGTCTAAATGACTTGCATTCACTAGTGCCCGACTTCTCGGGTCAGCCAGTTCGAGCACCTTGATGGTTCTGAGTCCTCTTCGCGAACCTCTTCGGCCTCCCCTGACTATTTGTCCCGCAGCCCCTGATTATCACGGGCCGCGGTGGAGATTGCCGATCTTACTTGGCCATCCAGGCTTATGGATTAACAGGCTTGAGGTCCCATTCGGTCTGCAGTGTGTCTGCTAGGATTCTTCCACATGCGGGATGTAACTATCCCCTGATAAAGATGCGACTAGCTGCAGAAATATGACCTTCTCCACACGCAGAAGCCAGCGTGCCATATTCTACTTCTCTATAAGACCACAGAATGATAAAAAACCACAAGGCTAAGAGTGCTTAAGTGGGACAATTCACATTCTTCGACCTCGGCATAGATACCATAGTGGCCGGTGGATATTTAAGAAACCCAGTTACCAACATTTCGAAAGGAAAGGTTTACAGGCTTTGACGTGGTCTCGCAGTTAACACATAACAGCAGCCTTGCCAGCGTACATATCGCAACCCAATGACATGCAGCTCCTGGGGGCAAGTAAGAGTGTAGGAAAGGAGCTCTGCATCAATATAACCTATTTATCGCACCAAAGATTATGATCTGTGTCTCTTTAAATACATACAATACGTTCACTTCTATCTCCTCCCACTTAATGCAGAGACGTCCTTCATCACCGCGTACTTGTCAAATGGTGTCAACCAGGCCAGGTATCAATTTGCTACAAAGACAGGCCATCCAAACCAGTGCTTGGTCTTATGATACTCACCACTACTTCAATGTGTCAATGACTTACTTCTGGATTCATAAAGAGAATTCTGGGGGAAACATATTTCGATCGTCTTTGTGAATTCGCCTCGAATTGTGCGAATAAACCGGACTGTACCAGTTAGCTTCCCCCGGTGCTCACAGCTTCTCAGTCTTCTCAAATCATTTCAAAGAGAGATCCAATAGTCGTGGAAGGCGATGGTAGCATGTGTGGATTTCGCTGCTGTTGTTCGTTCAATATCGAGCGCCTATTTTCTTTTTTTGTGTGACTTTATTCCTAAGCTCTATAGAATCAACTTGTCTACATTTTCGAAGCTGTTTGGTTTGCATGCTGAACAATTACTTCACAAATTTCTAAAATAACACGAGAGTAACAGCTGCACACGTGTCTATAGCCCTAGTCATCGACAATGCGAACGGTGTGTCACATCCAACTATGAGACCTTCACCATATTGAAAAATGGGCTTCCTTAAATTCAGCCATTCAAAATAAATGACACAGTTGATCAGGCCGTAAGCTGGCACTACCGAGGTCAGCTCATTCCCTGGTTTGTATTGAGAGCTTGCATTAATATAGTCTCCTAGATGTAGAAACTTATCGCCTGGCCTTGTTGCTAAAAGCTACGGTTTTAGACGATCGCGGTCGCTGGAAGTATAAACTAGGCGTCTCCCAACAACACTCTATATTGCTTTCAGCTGTGCCGGCAAAATAGTTTAGTTGCCCAAATTCTCTCGAGTTTGTAACAGTACTGCTAGACAGGTATATACTTGAAGTCCACAAAAACACCCTTCTTGTGATTGCACACAAAGGAATCCCAAGTCTCGAGCTCTCGTGTTTTCAGCGTCATTTCAAAGTTCGTAAAGAGGTACGCCAGCAGCATGGTAGCCTCAGCATGCGCGACACTGAGCAAGATATCAATACACGTTCCGACCCGATATGAATAGCAACTTACTTGATCCCGATACACTGGCGAACACCCTTCCCAAAGGTATACAAGTGTTGATCGAGTGTCTTGCCAGCGGGGCCGAGCCATCGATCCGGATTGAAAGAACGGGCGTCAGGGCCCCAAAGCTCAGGGGATGTATGCATCGTATAGGCTGACATTCCAATTATGGTCTATATGTTTTTAGCATCTAACGGTAAAAGTGATCATCGCCTCTGGAAACATGGACATACTCCTGGTGGAATCACTTTTCCATCCACAACAAGAGGAGCCGCTCCCTTGGGAACGACTCTGGGCAGCTGGCCTGCCACCGGCATGGCGACCCGTAGTGATTCTTTAACACAAGCCCACTGTGACATCTTGGTTAGAAAGGTTATTGCGGTTATGAATTGCGCTTACCAAATACTCAATTTTCTCCAGCTCTAGCAGTGGAGGCATATCGCCACGATTCGGTATCGCAGTCCTCAGAGCCGCAACAAGCTTTTCTTTAATTCTCTTGTCTTGTAAGATGTAAAAAAGCGACGTTTCAACCGTGAAGGCAGTTGTGTCACACCCGGCTAAAAGGATATCGACTGCCTCCATCGCTTGTTCCTCATGGGAGACATCTTTTAAACTATCAAAGATGATGGGATGAGGAGCTTCAACAGCGCCACTTTTGTAAAATCGGTTGTAATCTGATACCGAGTCCCTGGCAAACTTGTAGAGTTTCAGTATTCGTATTAACGTATTTTAGACTTTTCCGGTACGTACTTGTTGGAGATTGTGAATCTGTCTCGTCGTGTCATTAAATTTCGATATAAAAGATAGTGGCACTACACTAGTGAGGTATCGAAGCAGCGGGTTGTGTTGAATTTCGGCCAGGCTATCACCTCCATCATCAATGGCCTTAAGAAGGTCGCTTTCAAAACGATCTGGAACTTCAACTTCGTGAATCAGGCCTCTCGAGCGTCCGAAGGCAAACTGAGAGATGACGTCGACTGTGAGGCACCTAAGACCCAAAGGTCAACCAGGCGTAGACAATGGTTAAAAAATCAGAACCCACCTGAACGCGTGACCCACCTCAATCGGTCCGTTGGGTCCGATTTTCTTTACCTTTGCTAGAAAGAGCTCAATCTTTTCCGTGATAATAGGTTCAAGCTTCAGGACGCCAGTTCGGGAGAAGAACGGGTTGAGGATTTTCCTGCGTTGTTTGTGCAGCTGCGGCTGGCATTCGGCAAAAATGGTGTGTGGAGTAGAGAACGAATCGTAAAATGGCTTGTGTTTTAGGTAGGGTGTTGTCTGGTTGTAGATCGTCTTGTATAGAGAAACATCCGTCAAGTGAAGCTCGTTCGGTCCAATTCGTAAAGCCCTTGTGTCTATATTGGGGGATTGTTAGATGTTGGCTTCAGCTACGATAAAATACATAGGAGACCCACCGTACTGGTCATGCATCTCTTCGAACACAAACTCGGGGAATTTGCCCTTTTTTTGCTTGTAGAGCCAATCTCTAGAGGTGGCTCCCTCTCGCGGACCTGGGAATCCAGCGAGCGGATGAAGATAAAGGCGATAGACCCACAGAGAAAGTCTGACAATGAAGAGGATGCATAAGCAAGCGACCACAATTCCCCGGGTGCCTATGGTGACCCTAGGTCCATTTTCTTGATCCAGTAACTTTTGGAATCGTCCAAAATTTGAAGCGGCCCGGGCTTGCATTTGAGCAAGGTTTGGTGCTCGTTCCGTATGTGGATTTGTTTTGATCGTAGTTAATAGTATTCAACTCACCAATTACTTGAACACCTGAGGAGAACGCTAAGGTGATAATAGGACTATCAGGAGGAAGATAGTGTATAATGCATTTTTATAGTAGAGCATTGGGGTTCCCCGGAACTACAGCTATTCGCGCATATGTCCACAATGCTGTTCCGGGGAACTTTGGAGCAAACAATGCACAAGGCCCCGCTCCACATTTCACACCTACGAGTGGAGAGAAGTTTCACTTTAAGATAGCTATGCTCTGTCCCACGGTAGTCCTAAATGACCGCTCAGTTTCGTTGCATTATAACTACGCGGCTCAACGTTGTTGGGCTCTTCAGAGACTAACGTGTCAGGATGCGAGGCTTCGAGCTCTGAGCTCATTAATTTTGACCTCAAGCGCTGAGCATGTCACAGCCCTGAGAAAGTCAAAGTGCTGGAGCTCAAAATCTATACCCGGCTCATCTACCAAACTTGCCGCTTCTAAGTTGTTGCTAGCTTTGATTGCATAAACACATGACCACACTAACGAAATCTGGACAACTCATTGCCACGAATTTGAGGTAATCAGATATGATCGTCCTCTAGTAGGTGCGGGGTCGCGGAAGACAGCTCTCATTTCTGGTATATGTAGAAATCAAGGCACCGTACGGGGTTGTCATAGCTTCCGGGGTTGCAAGGGCCTTTTATGAAATTCCCCAATGGCTGGAGCCTTCCGTGATCACAAACTCCGGGGAAGACAATGACCAACCCTTTTAAAACGCACTCCTTCACGCCATGACTCAATAGGACAGAGCTACATATCATAACTCGCTCGTTCAGAAAATATCTTTGTCGGAGAAACTGTCAAGCCTGTTTGTTCATTCATCAAGATGACTATGACATTAATCCTGACAGCTTGAAGCTTGACTCAAATAGATCGGAGATAGATCGTCGCAACTCGAGTCACACACCATATTTCCTATTCCTACCTTGGAAATGAACATTTGTATGGGAAGTTGAGCATAAAAAATTTCTTCTGCCTGCGTCTCTCCTTTCCAATAGCTTTCACTGTTTCCAAGTCGCTTGGAGAAAAAGCTCTGCAAAGCTGGGGAGTTCGGCAAGCGGACGTGCAGTTAAGATATTTTGGAGACTAGCTTCTTGACTTTTGTATGGACATAGTGGGGCTTGAAAGGCCATGAGCAGTGAAGAGGAGTTTCGGGGCCTGGGGTTTCGAGTAGAACTACAGATGGAAAGAAATTCTACTAGGCCTACTGATGGCGTTTAACTATTGCGACGAAACTGCGTGAAAGCGCCTTATGATGGAATTTAGACAAATGCTAATTGCACTTGGAATACTGTTGAACTACATCAGTTGTATCTAGTTGTAGGTTGTAACGGAAGGTTTGAAAGCATAGTATATGGATATGTTTCTCTTGCCTTTTTTTTTTTTTTTCCAGAATCGGTTGCTAAGCTGTTTTTCGCTTTACTAGACACCGAAAATTCCATATACCATACCAAACACGCCAAAGGGAAAAGAAGTATTGGTCACTTTCAGACTCTCTACTGGAAACAAAAGGTAATTGCTGTGACACTCGGATTGGTGGTCGACGTGCAATCACAACCACATCGGTAGATTCCCAGCGAGCACCAATGTGCCGGCTCCAGTCTCGTCAGTTGTATAGGTTGAAGGGTAAGTAGAAAGGATTTACTATCTCTTATTTCCATCTTTCAAGAATAACAGTCCAAGTTGAGGGTAATGAACAAGTTGACTAAGGAATGACCAGAGACCATTGAGCCTATATTGAAAAAAAAGAACAAGTGGATAGTCCTCGCCCTGTGAAAATGAACTGGGATATCAGTTCAGCAAAAGTGGCCATGGAAATATCATAACAAACTTAATATTGGATATCTGCTCGCGAAGCAGTTTGCTTCCGAGCTGGTAGCGGCACGAGATCTTGTACATAATAGCGCTCAGCGAAACGAGAGGATCCAGTAAGAGTAAACCGTGTGTTGGCGAACACAACAAATAGGTTGTGTCCTCATACTGGAAATACCAGCTCCACTCAACTGACACTTGAACGTGTCGCTTCGATGAATGGAGTTATTAGTTTTTAGCATCAAGTGGTTAATCGAATACGAAGCTCCAAGTGATTACTTTTGGGCGAGATGAGAGATTAGCCAATAGTGGCTGCAATCCCATTACCACTAGTACATCTTGCCGTAGTCTAAATGTGTGAAGAGCCGGACAATGTAGATTGATTGACTGAAAACAAAAGGCAACGTGACACTTCAGATGATTTGAACTATGTCGCACGCCTATCGCGGCCTGTTTGCTCCTAACCATGGCTGTCAGCCCATAACACGCACATGGATGCAGCCATGGACGGGAAACCAAGCACACGCCCCAAAAAACCATTCCGTCTTGGTACCTGACGGTCAAGAGATGCTGCACTACTGCCTGTCAAGATTCCATCGCTTCTGGGCATCAGCTCGCTTAGAAGATTCGCGTCTCAGATTGCTTCGCAAAGGAAAAAGCTGTTGAGATGGCATTTCAACAGTCAGATATCATGCATGACACCGCGTTGATAAGTTTGACGCGACGCCTACAGCTAATTCTTGGCTCCAATGGTGTAAGAAATCAGCTTCTGGACTCCATACGCATTGTTCTGGTTACGCGAGCTGCCGTGAAAGGCATGCCAGGGATGCATTAGGGTCGGAGAGCAGTCCGTTCTTGGCAGCACTCCGTGGGACGCTACCTCTTCGCTTCTGAATGCGTCCGGGATAGGCCAAATACAGGACATCGATACGGATCAGAATATCAGATCCAAGGCAGTCTATATGATAAGTATGTCAACACTCGTGTCGGCTGTTATCCATCATGATGCCATGTCAACACCTCAGTCGAGTTACTTGGCGATGATGCTTTCATTTTAAGCTTTCTCCTCGGTTGCTTACCATATGTTAATGTGGCACACCAGAGGGGGGCAGCAAATTGAGACATCATCCGCAATCTATCCGTCATCAGCGGAAGAGGTGGGGCTTTGACACGCCATTTTGCTTGCTTTTTTTTACCCCGCCACCACCAAACAGGGCGACATACAGTAGTTTGCGCCAACTCACAAGTCGCTTTCGACAGGAACCAGCAATCTCAGTATTATTGTGAGAAGGCTGTAGCGTGCATCCGATGGCAGGACCTTTTGTGCTCTCTGCACCGATAATGTGTACAGCATGACAGGGACGTTATTGTGTTTGTTCACATCCAAGCGTTCGGATGGCACGTAATTCGACTTGGTCTAAATTCGGAGGGGCTAGGAACAACCAAAGACTCAATTGGCCATATACATGGATCGACAGGGACCGCTCGAATATCAGACCTGAACTCGGAATTTGAACAAGAGATTGGCGCGCCCGTTGAATTCGGGTTCTTTGGCGCTGTGTTGAAGTGGCTACAGCGAGCGTAAAATAGTCGCCATTTCAGCTTTTCCCTTCAATAATCAATAGTATATGCGAACAACGTGAACCGACTTTTCCTCTACCTGAAAACCGGGCACTTGGGATCGACCCCAGGAATATTGGTAGCCCTGATGGGACCCCAGTAAGATCCACTTACCTCATAATATGCCCCTAGCACATTACGATGTGAGGGGGGTCGCGGACGGTTGGTTGCATGGCCAAATGCAGTGTGAAAGGCAACAAACAAGGTACAATCTGGTCGCGAAGTTATGATTCGCCTCTTATTATCGTCTTGTGATAGAGTGCATAGGTATGCGACAAGACACCTCAAGCATGCATTCGAGTGATGAGGCTGCAACCGAGAAAAAGAAACGCCAGCACAATCAAATATCCAACCGCAACTGGCCATATCGCTCTGCTGTATGCATGCGATACAACCAGGGAAGAAGCAAAGGGAAACCTCTTCGCGAAAAAGCTTTACCCCTCCTAGGTAATGGCGCTATCCTGCGCACTAGCTCTGCTTCTGCAGTGTGTCTTAGGTCGGCAAAGTATCTGTGGTCTTCACAACGTAGCCCGAAGGGCGATGGAGGCATCTCAAGGCTTGGCTTTCCGTGTCTTTTTTCAAGTTTTCTCCACAGGTTCATCTCTTGTCTCTCCTCATTCATTAATCTCTATATACAAACTGGCAGACATCCCGTAGCAAATCGTAACCGGTCCATCACCAACCTCTCGTGAACCAGGATCATACCAGCAGCAGCTTAGAGTGATTTCAGCCCTACCATTCCAGCCAGGAAAAGTTACTGGAGTAAGAGCTCTTCCAGGGGAGCCCAGACCTCTAAGCGCACCGGCTACACGCCAAGTCCACCCCCGTCGCCTGACTCGAACGGACATCCTCTGTGCGCCGAAGACCGCAGTTTGAATAGAGTTCAATTAAAGCAATCCAAGGTCGTGCTAGACAAAGCTAAGCAAGCAAAACAAGGGCCGGCTGATTACGATAACACATCGCAGCCAAAACCAAGTTCCCCTTTCCACGCCAGTTGGCTATTCTTCACTGGCGTTGAAGAGAACCTCCGAAGGCCACTTTTCTGCGACCAACTCACTGGTTGTAATTGACCTAGCGCTATCATTAACCCCCAAGATCTGCTTGGGCGTTTATTGAACCGGCACAAGAGGCGACCATGGTGACGGGAACCAGCAGTGGGAGCCCTCGCGGTAGCCCACATCTCGAGCAAGCCGAAGGTAAGCTGAAAATATCTTCTCCCAGCAGAACGACCACAAAGGTCGAGCCTATGCTTAGTTTTGGTCTTCTGGACTACGCCGAGCTGTGCTAACATTTGCAGCATCCACCCTGCCAATCGCAAAGAGCCCCAGCCCTGAGCAGACGCCTGCCGCGACATCCGGTGCTGAAGCGACTGCGACGACAACATTGACCGAACCGGCCGTCCCCACTCACGAAGAGTCTTTAGAAGCCGGCGGGACGGATGAGGAAAACGAGTTCGAGCCGAGTGTCTTCGATGCGGAATCTGTTAGCGACCGAACGGATTCAACGTCGCTCAATTCGAGCGTCTACGAACACAGCTTCAAGAACGGAAGACGTTACCATAAATTTCGACATGGACGATACCCAATACCCAACGACGAGACCGAGCAGAATAGAGAGGACATGCTGCATGCCATGATGTTGGAGGTCACGGACGGGAAGCTCTTCTTTGCGCCGATTGGAGATAGTCCGCAAAAAGTGATTGATTTAGGCACAGGCACAGGGATTTGGGCCATTGAGAGTGAGTCCCACCCCTGGAAGTGTTTATCAGAGTGCTGACGAGAGGTAATACAGTGGGCGACAGATACCCAAGTGCCGAGATCCTCGGGCTCGACTTGAGTCCCATTCAGCCTGTCTGGGTACCGCCAAACGTCAGATTCATGGTAGATGACGTGGAAGATACCTGGCTGAACGGCAGAGACTTCGACTTTGTGCATTTGCGCAACATGGTTCCTGTTTTGAAGTCCCCAGTGGACCTCCTCAAGAATGCATATCAGTACGTTGATCCGATAGCCAAAAACGCCAGTACAAGATCAAAACTAACGGGTAGCAGACATATGAAGCCAGGTGCATGGGTAGAGCTGCAAGACGTTGATGGCCAGGTCCACTGTGATGACGGCACCTTGCCGGACGACTGGCCCCTGGTCCGCTTCACGAACCATGTCCTCGAGGCATTCGCCAAATTCGGCACAAACTCCCATGCAGCGATATTCGGACGTCAATATCTTGAACAGGCTGGTTTCGTCAATATTCAGCATCATACTGTCAAGTTACCTTATGGAACTTGGCCCAAGGATAAGTAAGCATAGCATCTCTTTATACCCGATATGAGGATTGCATATTAACCGCAGTTCCACTAGAACGATGCGTCTTGTTGGTATGTACTACCGCACGGCTTGCGAGGAATTCTTTCCAGCGGTTGGCGCGATCCATTTTGAGTTGTTGGGGTGGAGCAAGCTGGAGATGGAGGTCCTTTTTGCGCAGTGCCGTAACGCGATGAGAGATCCCCATGTCCATGCCTATGGCAAGATGCACTTCTGGAGTGGGCAGAAACCATTATGAGCGACAGAGACTTCACATGAGCCATGAAGAGGATGCGGCGGATGAAGGCTATACCCAGCTTGGAAGCATAGGAGACAGGAGTTTGATGAGACAGTGCTTTCTTTTGTCGTTTCCCACACAACAATACGATCTTCACGACTTTCCTTTTTCATCTTTTGCTACGGCGTCATCAGGCGGATGGGTCGATCGCGGAGATGTATCATGTGCGCGCCAAAACTCGTAGGTGGACCAGTGGCCATCACCGGTTGTCCGAGTGTCTGCGTAAGCGCCCGCGCATAAGCCTGGCTTCTGATATGATAGCCTTTTTAGCCACCCATTTCGTCTGAGTAAATCAAGATGCATATACGTTTGTAATGGTGATTGGGTCTTTGGCCATGCTTATATTTGAATACTGCGGTGAAAGAAGCTTCAACGGTTGAGTAAAGGATTGCGTGTACCAATGCCTATGGATAAGTTTATTGGTCTCCGTACTACGGCGGCAGCGGCCTAATGGGTGTCTGCCAAATCGATTGACAATTGTATCCTCTTTGATCATACCAAAGTTCCTGTTCAAGCCTCCAATCTCATTGCCACGGCTTCCATGTACCCTGATTCTTGTTAGCGTTTCTTTTCACCAAGTCGGCGTTGTTCCGGTGACCGAGCGTCTCCCAATCCCGACCGAGCATGTACCAAAAACGAAAACGTCCTGGAATCTCCGATTCTGGTCTCACCTGTGTTCTTCCATTTTATTCCTTCTTAGTGACTCGCCTAAATTACCCACAGTCTCTTGGCCGAACCTTTCTTGTTAATGTATCTCCACCGACCGCCTCCGCTGATCAAAAACGCCCGAATCACTTGGTAGCACAAGAACTTCACAGATACTGCCGAAAAGAGCATGTGGGGGCGATGGCTTTAGACCCTGATCCCTTAAGTTGCCCTGAATCCTCTGCCTTGGATATCGTGGCTTGATTTCTTGTCATACATTGGCTACTGTATAAACGGATTACTTACAATACTGAATTGGTTCTTTCCGATGGGGGCTAAACTGTTACAGGAAAATGGGAAGCAGGGGAAATGGCTTCACACCCTTTGAAAATCGCAGAACTACTTGCATCCAGAAATGGTGTCCACTGGGCCAATTCAGCTCGCTGTAATCCGTACCTACGCTATACTTATGGTTGTATGAGTTCTATCTCATCTTCCCAGGGGCAACGCGGATATTCCCTCCTGGTGTGCTGACGTGTACCCAGATCGCCCCAAAGTGTTGTACACGATAGCCTTACAGCTGCAGCTTACGTTGGATTTCATGATCACCCCCTACACATCAGGTTAGCTCCAGCTATTCTATCCACTTTGCGCTGCTCAATAATTAATGCAGGCCGTTATGCACTGTAACAACAGACATGTTGGACTCAGCCCTCACTTGGCAGTGTGGTAAGGTACGAGATAATGTATCAAATGCTGAACAGGCAGAGAGTTACGATGTGCGAGGATTGGTCGGAGACTGAGACTACCAAGACAGTTGAATCAGGCAATGGCACTCAATGGGGTTATGTTCTTTTTTTGGGTGAATCATTCTACACTACAGTCTGTATTGAAATATGAAGCCTCAATCTCCCCAAATCTTGTAGAAGCTTCTGTTTTTTGCTTAAAGTAGCCTTCAACCTTCTACTGTTCCCCCAAAGGTCCTCTTATCTTCGTTCCAGTTACTTGGCGGCTTCGAAATTGCTCCGGTTTAGCTTACCATGGCACCTTTTCTGGATGCATCTACTGATGCCTCTGAGGTAAATCTCCGAAGCATTGTCGAAACACTGTTACTAATCAGACCGGAATGTAGGTGAATGGACAGGCATCATGGTCCAGTGACTTCCCTGGAGCCGCGGAGCCCATTGCCATCTGCGGCATGGCCTTGAGGCTGCCGGGTGGTATTGCGACTCCAGAACAATTCTGGGACTTCCTAGTTGACAAGAGAGATGCCCGCGGTCCAATCCCAGAGACAAGATTCAACGCTTCTAGTTACTACTCAGACTCAGGAAAGCCAGGTCACATGAAAACAAAACATGGTTACTTCCTCGATGATTCCGTTGACCTTGCCGGGCTCGACACTACATTCTTCCGGATGCCGAAAACTGAGGTCGAGAGGGCGGATCCGCAACAACGACTGCTTCTCGAACTCACACGAGAGTGTTTGGAAAGTGCTGGAGAGACAGATTACCGTGGAAAAACCATTGGCACATTTGTCGGAACCTTTGGTGAAGATTGGTGCGAGATCTTGGCCAAGGATGTTGAAGTTGTTGGCCAGTACAAGCTCACAGGTTACGGAGATTTCATGCTCTCCAACCGTCTGTCATACGAATATGACCTGAAGGGCCCCAGTCTGACCATCAAGACGGGCTGCTCTTCAGCGCTTATTGGCCTTCATGAGGCATGCATGTCCATCAGGCATGGCCAGTGCAACTCAGCCATTGTTGCTGGTTCCAACCTCATCATGGCACCTGACGTGTTTGTCAGCATGTCGGAACAAGGTGTTCTGTCTCCAAACGGATCCTGCAGAACCTTTGACGCTGCTGCCGATGGCTACGCTCGTGGCGAAGCTGTCAACGTTGTCTATGTGAAAAAGCTTAGCGATGCCATTCGCGACGGCAATCCGATCCGGGCTATCATTCGCGGAACGTCGAGCAACGCGGACGGCAAAACACCAAGTCTTACAATCCCGAGCTTCGAAAGTCACGAAGCTATGATTCGTCGCGCCTATGATATAGCCGCCATTACCTCTTCGGAAATTGCCGAAACTGGCTTCGTGGAGTGCCATGGTACTGGTACGGCCGCTGGAGATCCCATCGAAACGACTGCCATCGCAAAGGTCTTTGGAAAGTCCGGTGTTTACATCGGTTCTTGCAAGCCTAACATTGGACATTCAGAAGGTGCATCTGGTATCACCTCTCTAATCAAATCGGTGTTGGCGCTTGAACACCGGACCATCCCACCAAACATTAAGTTTGACGTTCCCAACCCGAAGATTCCATTTGAGGAGACAAATCTCAAGGTTCCCGTCGTGCCCACACCCTGGCCTGAAAACCGCACCGAGAGAGTCTCTGTCAATTCCTTTGGCATTGGAGGCGCTAACGCTCACGTGGTGATTGAGTCTGCTGCTAGCTTCCTCGGTCTTTCTTACAGCCCTGATGTGAAGAAGCTGCCAGCTTCGTCAGAACACTCATCACATCTGGTAGTTTACTCTGCCAATACCGCAGATTCTCTCAGACGCCAAGTCGTGAATAACCAGAAATATATCTACGAAAACACTCGTTCACTTGACGATGTTGCATATACTCTGTCATGCAGGCGTATTCATCTCCCGCATCGAGCATTTTCTGTTTTCGACAACGGAAACGAGCTCTACACATCGTCCTTCACAAAGGCACCTCCCTCACCATCAGACCTTGTTCTGGTGTTTACGGGACAAGGAGCGCAATGGCCTCAGATGGGTGCAGAACTGCTCCAAAGTAACACAAGGTTCGCTCAGTCAATCAGGCAAATGGATAAAGCTTTGAGCATAGATGGGCCAGCGTGGTCTCTGACAGAAGAGCTTCTCAAGCCCGCAGAATCAAGCAACCTACACAAGGCATATCTTTCCCAGCCGATATGCACCGCAGTGCAGGTTGCATTGGTAGATGCCCTCAAAGAAGCAACAGGGCTACAGCCCTTTGCAGTGGTTGGTCATTCCTCGGGAGAGATAGCAGCTGCTTACGCTTCTGGGAGACTCACTGCTAACGAAGCCATATTTGCGGCATACTACCGCGGCGTTGCTTCCGATGAAGTGACCAAGATAGGAGCGATGGCTGCTGTTGGCATGGGTCGTTCAAAAACCTCGCCGTTCCTAGTTCCTGGAGTTGTTATTGCTTGCGAGAACTCGCCTTCAAGTGTGACAATCTCAGGAGATGCAGACCGTGTGGAAGGGGTTCTCTCAGAAATTCGGAAGCAGTATCCAGATACTCTTGCCCGCCTGTTGAAGGTAGAAAAGGCTTATCACTCTCATCACATGCAAGAGGTAGGCGATCGATATCTTCGTTTAGCGTCCCAGTACATCGACAGTACTCGGGAACTTGAAACATCCGAGTCGCTGTTCTTCTCATCGGTGACTGGAAAGAAACTCCCTCAAGAGGTACCGACGGATGCAAAGTACTGGCGATCCAATCTCGAATCTCCGGTACTGTTCAACGCAGCTATTACCAGCTTAATCACGCATCATAAAGCCGAAAGCAGGAGCAAAATGATGTTCCTTGAAGTCGGGCCTCACTCGGCTATGGCAGGTCCACTCAGACAAATCCTTGCAAAGGAATCTCTCGAGCTCTCATATGCATCATGCTTGATACGGTCAAAGAACTCCACAGAAACATTTTTAACTGCCCTAGGTCAACTATGGCAACAAGGAGTCAAAGTCGACTTTAGCGGCCTCACGAACCCGAATGGTACTGCACGGGTTGCAACAGACCTCCCTACATATCCATGGCAGCACGATCACTCTCTCCTATTCTCAAGTCGTATCACGGACGAATGGAAATTCCGCAAGTTCCCCAAACACGAGGTCTTGGGTAACAGAGTGCCCGAAAGCAGCGAAACCGAGCCTGTGTTCCGCAATGTCCTGGCTCTGGACCACGTTCCCTGGATCCGTGATCATAACATCAAAGGCGATGTCATCTTCCCATGCGCCGGGTATGTTGGTATGGCTGGTGAAGCTGCAAGACAACTTCACAAAGGGACATTTGCCGGGTTTTCCTTGCGCAATGTAGTCATTGATATGGCAATGGTCTTGAGCGAAAACAAATCCACTGAGATAATCACCAGTCTCCGACCAGAAAGACTTACAGACAGTCTCGACAGTTCCTGGTGGGAGTTCACGATTACTTCTTACCAAGGATCAAACTGGTTGAAGCATTGCAGCGGCCAAGTACGAGCTTTGGATGGTACTAGCAGGAAGCAAATTGGAGCTTTCCCAAGCCTATCTCGGACAATCGCACCAGGGAAATGGTACCAAGCCTTCCGAACAGTCGGTGCCAACTACGGGCCATACTTCCAGGGGCTGCAAGGTGTCTCTTGTTCTCCGACCGAACATAGAGCCCGTGGTAGAGCGACGCACACAACTTCGAATGGATCCTACTACTCAGTGCACCCAACGAAGGTCGATTTCTTCCTACAGCTCTTCAGCGTTTCTGCGGTCAAAGGCCTGGGGCATAAACTCGATAAGATGAATGTGCCTACTTACATACAATCCCTGGAGATCTTTGACTGTGACTCTGAGATCGAGATGGAAGTTCGAGCAACACAGACACCCCGTGGGGTTATAAGTGGTGGCGGTGAGGGAGTTGACACCGATGGCACAATTGCGCTCTCTATCAAAGGTGTGAAACTAAGCCCCCTTGAAAACGACGCGTCCGAAGAAGATCTCGACCCTCACGCCGGCGCAAGAGTTTTCTGGCAGCCCGATGTCGACTTCTTGAAGATACAAGATCTTATCAAAGCTCATCCGAGTCAAGACGAACTCTCTTACATTCAAGAACTCACCCAAAACTACATCCAGGAAGCGTTAAGCCGCTTGGAAGGGGTAGATACCGCAATCCCACATCTGGTCAGGTTTCATAAGTGGATGAAAGAGCAGCCTATTCCGCGGAGACGCCTAGACACCGCGTCGTCTTTTGCCGCTGCTTTGACAACTGAACCTTTCGGCTCTTTTGTTGTGGCGATGAAACAGGTGGCTGACAGCATTGTCCCCATTTTCCAGGGAGAAACTGAACCGCTGGAGGTCCTCATGCCCAACAATGTTCTCACGCACGTTTACAATTCTTCGAATGTTACTGACAGGAAGCCACTCTTCCAAGCTTTGGGTCACTCTAGGCCTAATCTTAGGGTGCTGGAAATTGGTGCGGGCACCGGAGGAACCACGAACAAGGTTTTGCAGTGGTTGCGTGGACTAACGGGTGCTCTGCTCTACTCTGAGTACACCTATACCGACATCTCAGCGGGCTTTTTTTCTGCCGCTCAGGAGCGCTTCAAGGACTATCCAAACATGTCTTTCAAGGCTTTGGATATATCCAAGGATCCACTGGAACAAGGCTTTGAACCGGCGTCTTATGACCTTATTCTTGCGGCCAATGTTCTTCACGCAACTCCAAGCCTCCACGAAACACTTTCCAATGTTCGAAAGATTCTCCATTCTGAAGGCAGGTTGTATATGGAAGAACTATCCTATGACACCCTCCCTATGAACTTCATCATGGGTGTACTTCCAGGCTGGTGGTTGGGTGCACAAGATGGGAGGCCCGACCAGCCTCACGTTGCTCCCGAGCGATGGGATATGGAACTCAAAAAGGCTGGGTTCAACGGGCTAGAAGATGTTGGCTATGATTCAGAACGTCCGAACAATCTCCTTGCCTTCATGACGTCGAGACCAGCCCAGCTTCCCGCAGCAACCAAACCGGTGGCCGTTTTATACAACACGAAGTCGTCGAAGATTGCGAATGACATGGAGAGCACGCTTATCGAGAAGGGATTTCAGGTTATCCTTCATGATATCTCTACTGGCTTACCTCCCGCATCAGCCGACATCCTTGCTATACTCGACGTCGATGTTCCCTACTTTGAGAACATAAACCCTAAGGATTTCAACGATTTCAAGGCCTTGGTCACGGAGGCGTCGAACTCTGATACTGGAATTTTCTGGTTGACTAGGCCCTCACAAATGAGATGCGCAGATCCCAGGTGGGCTCAAACCATTGGTACCATCCGGTCGATAAGAAGCGAGCTCAGTCTGGACTTTGTGACTTGCGAGGTTGACGACAAGACCTCTCTCTCAATCGTGGTGCAAGCATTCCAAAAGTTCCAGCGGCAAAGACAGGAACGCGAACGACGACCTGAATATGAATATAGTATTCAGAGCAATATCGTGCATATTCCAAGAGTATACCCCGTCAGCATTAATGATGAACTGCGCGAGAAAGGTCAGCAAAAGGTTAACGCAGGCGAGGCGACGAATGGCGGGGAAAACCACCCCAGCGTCCGCTCCGGCACAGATTCCAAGAAGAGAAACCTGGAGAACACAGATGCCAGCAACAATAAGGGCATAAATACTTTCTATGACCTACAAATTGAGAAGCTGGGCCGTCTGAATACACTTGTTTGGACCCCAAGACGAGCGAGACGACTTGTCAATGATGAAGTCGTTGTTGAAGCCAAGGCCGGTGGTATGAACTTCAGGGTAACTTTTCCTCCAGTAACCGCAAACCGAGAATTATGTTAACCTGAATTAGGACGTTCTTATTGCCATGGGCATTGTCGACCCCATTTCCTCCAAAATTGGCCTTGAAGCAGCTGGTATCGTCCGGGAAGTCGGGCCCGAAGCCAATGAGCTGGTTCCAGGCGATAGAGTTTTCATTCTCGGCGGCGGCGGTTTCTCCAATGGTATTACCGTCTCAGAGAAACTATGTGTCAAGATTCCAGACACTCTTAACTTCGAGGAAGCGGCTACAATGCCTTGTGTGTTTTCGACCGTCATTTACGGCCTCCTTGACGTCGGCAGGCTGGAAGCTGGAGAATCAGTACTGATTCATTCGGCTTGTGGTGGTGTTGGCATCGCCGCAATCCAAATTTGCAAAATGATTGGTGCAGAGATCTTCTGCACAGTGGGCAATGAAGAGAAGATACAATACCTCCAATCCAACTTTGGCATCCCCAGAGACCACATTTTCAACTCGCGAGATGCATCATTTCTTCCAGATGTTCTCAAGGAAACCAATGGAAGAGGTGTTGATATTGTTCTCAACTCTTTGAGCGGAGAGCTACTTCACGCGTCCTGGAGCTGCGTCGCTGAGTTCGGCAGGATGATCGAGATTGGAAAGAGAGATTTCATCGGCAACGGCAAGCTCGCAATTAAACCCTTCGAATTGAACCGAACCTATCACGGGGTAGATCTTGGACACTTGATGGATGCCAAACCGGCAATGGCCAACAAGTAAGTGTTATGTATCATGCTTGTCCAAGTCAGCACTGACCCGTTGCCAGATTGTTGAAGAAAGTGGTTGAGCTTTACCAGGAGGGCCACATTCGCCCTTTGAGCCCCATCAAAACCTTTACTGCGGACGCGGTAGAAGAATGCTTCCGATACATGCAAAAGGGACAACATATCGGAAAGATTGTATTGAACATGGAGGGGCTCACAGATGTGACGAATAAGACGGCGCCTACGTTCAAACCAAAGTTTGAAAGTGACGCGAGCTTCTTACTTGTCGGTGGTCTTGGCGGCCTTGGACGAATTGTGTCCAACTGGATGGTTGAACACGGCGCAAAACACATCGTCTACCTTTCTCGCAATGGCGGTAACTCCCCTGGAAATCAAAGCTTTTTTCAAGAGCTCGAAGACCAGGGCTGTTCTGCTACTGCCATTCAAGGAAGTGTGACAAATCTCGCTGATGTTGAACTGGCCTTGAAAAGGGCACCGAGACCTGTTCGTGGCATTATTAATATGTCAATGGTTCTACAAGACCAGGGCTTCACCAAAATGACGCACGAAGAATGGGTTGCTGCGGTGAACCCCAAGGTACTAGGCACTTGGAACCTGCAGAAAGCTTGTACCAGCGCTCGAATCGACCTTGACTTCTTCCTCCTCTTCAGTTCTATCTCCGGAATCGTTGGGCAGAAGGGACAAGCCAATTATGCTGGAGCCAACACTTTCCTGGACGCATTCGCTCAGTATCGCCACAGCCTTGGGCTGAATGCTGCTTCCCTTGACGTTGGCATGATGCTGGACTATGGATACCTCGCCGAGAATCCTGCACTGCTAGAAAGTCTGTCTGCGCAGGGACTATACGGAATGAAGATCTCTCAGTTGTTCGACGGTATTTCCACCATGATTGGTGATTCGACCGTCAGCGGCGGTTACGCGTCAAACAAGACCTTTGTCAACCTGTCTCAACTCATTCTTGGCCACCGAAGCTTAACATCTCTTTCAGATCCGTTGAATAGAGTCATTTGGAAAGACGATCGTCGCATGGCATTCTACCACAACTCCGACAAGACAAAGAGCACAGCTACAGGTGCATCCTCCAGCTCTGGCGCGTTGGAAGGATTTCTCAGCTCTGCGGTCGCGGACCCAACTGTGTTATCATCCTCAGATGCTCCCGCTCTTCTAGCAAAGCAGATTGCGGTCCAACTATTCAGGCTACTTCTGAAACCCTCAGAGAATGAAGAGGAAATCGATGTTAACATGTCGCTGCAAGACGCCGGATTGGACAGTTTGGTTGCGGTGGAAATGCGAAGCTGGTGGAAGGGGGTTTTTGGCTTCGACATTAGCGTTCTCGAGATGCTCGGAATGGGAAGTCTGTTGGCTCTTGGTGCGAGGGCCATAGAGGGATTGAAAGACCGCATGTGTGAGCCGAGCGGTGACAATGGCGACGATGGGGAGAAACACGACACAGAGGGTTATCTGAAGCTCAAAATGCCTTAAGCTGATATAGTACCGTTGCTCAAGTGTATCTCTTGTCTAAACTAGCACCAGATAACGATTGCATTCGATTGGGTCATCTCGGGACTGGGCTGAGCCCAGATAAGCTGGGAAACAACCCCCTGGTTTTGTAATCATCAACATCTTATTTCACTTCAACAAACAAGCATTGATAACAGAAAGAATCTGAAGTCCATTCGTGTCAATCATAGCTGTGCATTCTTCATTCTCAATTGTTTTTCATGCCCTGCTTCAATGCCAACTCTTGAGGGCTTCATTGTGGACGTTCATAGTGATTGAATGTCTCTTCAATTGTGAATATGAGGATTCATTGGTTTCAACCTTGAGCGTTGGCTTATCAGAAATCAATTTTGAAGTTACGCCAGAAGGTGTATGGTAACTAACTATCAGCTAGGCAACAGGCTCTGTTGTGCGTTTTCTGCAAGACCTGGCCGTTGGAACAAGTTAGACTCTATTCCTACTCTTTGGCCGCTTCCCGTCGATCTGACCTTGGGGGATATCTAAAGTTGTGCAGATAACTGCATGACTCAAGCATGTTGTACATGCCACTCTCGAAATAACCAAAAAATTGGTCGTATTGTTCCTACGGCGAAAGATTAGCCAATGTGAGAACAGGTTTACCACAGCCGACGACCAGTTTCTGCTTAGCTATCCAGTTTTTTGAACTAAGGTAAGTCACATACCAAACCCAGTGGGTTGACTGTTTCCCTCTTGGTGATGAATTCCTGCCTAGCTGCAAGGGTCACTTCCCAAAGAGGGCCACAGCCTGTTTGCCTCTCAGTATTAACGTTGGCGTTCTGCTCTGCCGCGACAGTGGTAGTGGCAATAACGCCCACAACGGTGTAAAATGTTGAGAATCGCATAATCAGGGAGAATAATTTCGCGCTGAACGAGGTGTTATACTATGGCGTGTAATCTTATTCCAGAGTGACTTAGTAAAGGCGTGTAGTTGTCATAATGGATGAGACAGTATTGTGATACGGAAGCGGGAATAGGAATGACATCTTACCTTTCATTAAATTGCAGATTTTAGCATGGCTGAAAGTTTTGAGGACCTCGATAACGCTTTGGCCAAAGGGAGGATGTAGTTGTTTTATACTTGGAAACTATGATGGAAACTTGGACAGACACATTTGCCAAAGTAAGCCCATCACCGGGTAGTCTGGTCGCATGCATCACACACTATTGAAATCCCACATGACACGTCCACTAGCAACATACAATCACAGCTTCATTTCGAATGAACACGCCAGATACCTCTTGGCTGCTTGAGTTCTGCAGGTTGGCTATTCAGCTTACTCTTGGCGACGCCACTTTCTCGTATTGTATTCTGTGTCCCGGTCTGCTACCATCTAGCCGGGTTTCGCACCATGTGAGACTCTTATCCAAAGAGTAGCCTGAAAGCCTGCACTACGACTTCTGAGTGCATTACAAACATTTAGCATGTTAGCTCAATTATTCCAAGCACCAGCGTAGACGGGGCTTTGCTCATCCGATTGGCTTACAGTTTTCAATAATATTTACGTCTTTTTGGATACAAGCCCTTTCTGCACGTGTACATCCGTCTAAATAGTAGGCGGCATGTGTTGGACAGGCATGGACTGGTGATTCTCAAGAACAGTCTGCTAAGTTGAGACTAGTGTGAGGTTCATGAGACGTATGGTGACAAGTAAAACCAAGGACATGCAGTCGGAATGCTTCGCAGGGTAGTATTGTCGTTTCGTTTCGTGCGCTTTTATTACCACAGTCTTTACACACATCCGCTGTCAGTTTCTATAAACGGAGACTCAACTGAAGCAGGCAAACCAACTGCTCCGCTGATGTACCCCAAAACTACGTAGCAGGTGACCCTTGCTTAGCCCTATAAGCAATTTGGGGAAGGATACCCACAGCTAAACAAACCACTCTTTTGAATTCGAAAAGCTTCATGATACTTTTCCTTTATTTGCTCAATGACTCGCGAAGTTTTGGGTTCCCTACCTACCTCCCGATGCGGCATCCTATCCCAGATTGTGTGAATTTTTGAACTAATTAGAATAGCGGGCGCGATCAGCTGGCGATATCAACTGTACATTGTAATGGAGAAAGGGGAAATTGCTTTGACCCACAAGCTTCAGTGACCAGTGCAGGCGTAGTAAGCTTGGACGCTTGCAACCACTCGCTAGCAAAAATCTGGGTTTCGTCTGCTCAATCCCATCATACCTCATAGAATTGTTCATATTAGTTTAGAATTCTTGACTCGCTCACTCAAATATTATGCAGTTAGCACGAGACATGCATTAAGACATATTTCAGAGCTTGCTTTTCCCTTCGTTATCACGCGTCATGAGGCATCGCAGTACCATTCCCCACGTTCCGATACCAATCGCTTGATGACAACGCCCCATTCCGCTTGTGGCCCTTGTGGAGTGTGACGTAAGATGCGTAGACTAAACGGCCTTAAAGGTATGATGCGCGTGCGGACTGCACGGGAGTATGTATTGCCTCGTGGAGAACGAGACGGTTTGCCGTGAAAGGGGCGTTGTCGGGCAGAAGCCGGCACCGGCGGTGCTCTCCGCAAGATGGATCTGTGGATAAATTCAGTGTTCGCCTTGGTAATTTAACCGCAAACTCAAAATATTCCACATGACTTCTACACAATTAGATGCTGCCATCTTCATTCTTGGTAGATTCACTGTCATTGGAAAATTTATGATAAAAACTAATGTGTACAGACATCATTTGTAGCTTAATCGCCTAGACTGAAGTCAAGAAAGACTCGTCATACCACACAGTCTAGCAAAACAAGCATCCAAAGAACAACGGAGCTGCCAAGAAGAGGGGACGCAACAAAACACTCCCAAAAATTCAACGATATCGGCGTCTTGACCAATCCAAGTATCCTTTCCCGGAGGTTCCACATCATGACTTTCGATATGTGCGGGGAAAGTGGGTATAAACAGCTTCATATTCCAAGGTTGTAGATCAGCAGTACCGAATGCGACATCCGGGGCGACTGTTACCCACCAAGAAACACACAGTTCGACTTCTTTAAAAGGAGCGTCCTGGGCCAAATGAGTTCGCCTTTTGCTACGCCGTAGCGACTAGTCAGTTTTGGAGACTATGAAGGTGCCACGCAACTTCGCCGTCGGCCTCGGCGCCGCTGTAATTGGAACTGCTGCCGTTACAGAAGCCAAAGATTACACGCCATACGTTAAACCTTTTCTTGGTACTGAAGGTCCTACACCCGGATCGTCATACCAAGGCGGCAATGTTTTCCCTGGTGTCACACTGCCTTTTGGTGGTGTCAAGGTCGGCATCGATACCACAAGATGGGACACCAGATATCAAGCCAATGCGGGTTATACCGTCGAAGGCAATGTCACGGCAATTTCAATGTTGCACGTAAGTGGCACTGGAGGTGCTCCTACTTATGGACTGATCCCCCAAATGCCTCTTACGACATTAGAGGGCGTAAACCTTTTGGACAACTTGACGTACATGCAACCGAGGGTTGGCCATGATGTTGCGGAGGTCGGATACTATAAGACTTCACTGGAGAATGGAGTTACAGCTGAGATAAGCGGCAGTATGCACGCTGGAATTCTGAAGTATAACTTTTCAAAAGACGGGGGCCGTCATGTTCTTGTCGACCTCAGCCACTATCTGCCCACTCGCGGAAAGGAATCTCATTGGTATAGCAACGGCTACTTGGAACGAAGCGACGACGGCTCCTCGTACTCTGGATATGGCGTCTATAGGGAAGGCTGGGCGCTCGGTGAGTTTTGGCAGCTCGGGACTGAGCATCAAGGCTAACACGCATAGGGGGTGACTTTAAGGTCTACTTCTGTGGACAATTTGACACCGTCCCAGAGGATGCGGCTCTATTCTCTGGTATCTACACAGACCCGTATTGGCCCAACACTACAGATGTAAAGCCATTTTACAACAACCAAACCTCCATCAGCGGCGGTGTGAACGGTTATCAATACGCCAACCGTATTGGAGGTCTCTTTTCGTTTCCATCGAACACATCTACTCTTACCTCCAAAGTCGGCATCTCATGGATATCAGCTGACAAGGCTTGCCAATTCATTAAAGACGAAATTCCACACTGGGACTTGAATAAGACAGTCTCTGAAGCGAAAGCTGCCTGGAACAATGAGGTACTTTCAAAGATCGATGTGAAGACTGAAAACCAAACGCAGCTGGAGATGTTTTACACTGGCGTTTATCATGCTCATCTGATGCCCTCTGATCGAACGGGCGAGAACCCGCATTGGCAATCAAAGGAGCCATACTATGATGACTTTTACACGCTATGGGATACTTTCAGATGCACGCATGCGCTCGTATCTCTCATTCTCCCGAGCCGTCAAGTTGACATGAGTAAGCATTATTCTCTGGCTTGTTGACGGGTTGCATTGACTGACGGAAATAGTCCGAGCCATGATTGATATCTGGCGACATGAGCGATTCCTGCCGGAGGGCCGAAGCCATAACCACAACGGCCGAGTCCAAGGTGGTTCCAACTCTGACAACATTTTGGCTGACGCCTACGTCAAGAAGCTCGATAAGAACGGGCTTATCAACTGGGCTGATGGATATGCTGCCGTGCGCACTAACGCTGAGTTGCAGCCCTACAACAATTTCGACTTCAACGACCCAACGGGAAGTACCAAGGAAGGCAGAGGTGCTTTGGATGATTGGAAGAAGTATGGTTACGTGACTGTCAACTATGGAAGAAGCGTTAGCAAGACGGTGGAGTATTCATTGAACGACTTTGCCGTGTCACAAATCGCGAAGGGCGAAGCACCAGAGGAGGCCGCAACTTATCTGAACCGATCAACGTAAGACTTCATCCCCCCATGTTTGCAAACCTAGATACTGACAGAGACAGTGGATGGCAAAAGATTTGGCTAAAGGAGGTCACAGCTCTGAACTTCACCGGCTTCCTAGCCCCCCTACAGCCAAATGGGACAGTCCTACCAGGTTATAACCCACTCGAGTGCGGAGAATGCAACTGGAAAGCAATTTCTTACGAGGGTACTCCGTGGGAATACAGTTTCGGCGCACCTCATGATATGTCTACGTTGATTACATTGATGGGCGGCCCTGCCAATTTCGAGAAACGCCTGGACACAAGTTTCATTCACGGCCTGGGTCAGCAAGATCAGGGAAACAACGGCATCGGCAGTATGCTTTTCAACCCCGGGAACGAACCCAGTTTCATGACGCCATTCCTATACAACTACATTGGCCGCAAGCAATGGAAGAGTGTGATGAGGAGCAAGTCCATCCTCGACGAATACTATCACACTGGAGCCGGCGGAATTCCAGGTAACGACGATGCAGGAAGTATGAGCAGCTGGCTCGTGTGGAATATGCTCGGCTTATATCCGGTTGTCACTCAGCCTGTCTATCTCGTCTTGGCCCCAAGGTTCGAGGAGATTAGCATTCGACTGGGTGAGGCTGGCGGCCTCCTGCATGTTACCGCCAGCGGGCTTGAGAAGGGGCCCTATGTTCAGAGCCTGAAGGTGAATGGCAAAGTTTGGGACAAGAGCTGGGTCAGCCATGAGGATCTTCTGGGAGATGATGGCAAAGGAGGCCGGTTGGAGTTTGAAATGGGCGCTGAACCGCAGGAATGGGACTCTGGGGAGTTGCCACCCAGCCCGGGTGCTCTTTGAAATCCGCCAGTCAGCTCATCGTCGTCATTGTTTCTCAACGGTATACCTTACGGCTTGAAGTCGTAATAAGAAGCTTGGATGCCGCATCACCGCTAATTTAGCTGATGCAGCAGCTCTGCAGTTATCATATGAAACAAATAATGGGTGGTCAATGAAATTAGTAAAGATACACAAAGTGGAAATTCATATGAAAATGTGACAATACACAGTCTACCTATGACAATTTGACACACAACTTTCGATTATAGACGTCGGGTTCTAGTCATAAAACTCAGAACAGTGGCTTTTTTTCTTCTTTCCGCCTGTCCAAGCTGCTGCCTATCAGAATGGCCTTTAGCTGTACACCAAAACAAGATCTTCGTAGTTCCCGCTTTTAATTTTGGCAAAAGCAGCGTAAGGATTTACCCGGAAGACAATAACGTTTTCAAGGACTTTGCGACATAACAGGTTAATTAAAGAATTGCATTTTTATTGCAGTACCTTCGTCAGAATGGGTAACTTCAACACCATGTCTTGTTGAGAGGAGTCGGGAAGCTATGGGGTGCCTACAAGTTCAATCCACAAGTCTCTAGAGCAAGTACACGTCAGTCTCATGGTCAAGCCCGACAAAGAAATCCGCTCCTGGCTTCCCGAGGTATAACACCTTAAGCAGCTTTCGCAGTATCTGATTCAGCCAGATAGTTGTGCTAAAATTAACTCAATCTTTGGAAAATGGAGGAGAATTTGCCGGTCTGTCGTTGACTTTTCACTATCAAGCTGCAATCCAATTAATTGTTGCCAGGCCTAGTAAAATCGGTATGATGCGAGAATCCACGACAAGGCGACAATAAAAGCATGAGTTGAGTGGTTGGTTTCAATACCTAATTGGAGACCCATGAACAGCATATTTGACGGTTGGTTGCCTCACCTCACCTCATTTCTTTCCTGTGGACCGACCACACCTGCATTTTAGGCCGAAAGAGTTTTTAGCGTCGTATTTTCTTTTTACTGAAGATGCTACTTTGTACTGCTCTCTGCGGGGGTGAACAACCACCTTGATTAACCAGAATGAAAGAAACATACCTTGGTTCGCTAGGAAAGGATCATTAGACGCTGCCTGCTCATGGATTACATCATTAGCTCGCTCATGAACAAGGACCCTGAAAGCCAAATCGACGTTTTTCAGCCAACGCCCAGCGTCTTGATCACTCCGTATGCCTACCAAATTTGACTGACAGAACCATTAAGCACTCGGACATCCCGGGACCCCTGCCCGATCTGGCTCGGCTTAGCCAGTTCAGATCAGCACAGCAGGGATCCCCTCCTATAGTGACCCTTCCGCATGACCAATAGACCCCGACAGGCATATCAGCACTTTCTAGGCACCGACAATAAGCTCTTCGAGAATGAGATGTGATTGGATACCACTCGAGTTTAAGGGCACGTGGAGAGGGCGGAGCTATCAGATGGCACTATTAATCAACCCCTTGCTGAGGTATTAGGATATGTCGCAAGCCTGAAAGAAGGTGGCACAGCACTGCCAGGCTTACCCCCGATTGAATCACATCAGCTGTTCGCTCTAAAGTGTCGCATACACAAATAGTCCGCTTGGGACAGTTGCACTTCTCCTCATCCATTCCTTTTCTCCCTCCACCGGTCGCATTCAAACAAACACTGTCGTCGAAAGAGCCCCCAAAACAAGAAAATCACTGGTACATCGAACCCGACTCAAACTCTTCCGACCAGCGCAAAGCGCTACCAACTTCACAACCGCTCCAATAATGCGAAACCCATTCAGGATCAAGAAACAACGCCAGACGTGGGAGGGCAGGCCGAGAGGCCTCACACTCGATGATCCCGTCTTCAAGGATTGGGACAAGGAGGACATTCAGATCCAGCCCAAGGAGCGAAAGTCAGATGGAGATATTCAAAGAAAACCAATTAGAAACGACGGCGTAGACGGCACGCGTTACGCAAGCGATGACTCCGGTCATTACTACAACCACAACACAACGCTCGGATACGCATCTATTGCTGGGGTTTTGTCTGGCGATGCAGCGCAAAACACCATGGACAGCAGCTCGGCAGACTGCGGTTCCGCTGGTTCCGCTGGTGGAGATGGATCTGGAGGTCAATGAGGCCGCGCCGAGACAGCACGGATAAACTCCAAATCACCGGGAATGGTTCTTCGCATGGGATCGGCGTATGGCTGGCGGAATTCGAATGGCTTGTGACTTTGAAACGACTAGATTAATCGGGCATGGGATATGTGGGCTGGCGCTTGGAATTTTGCTCTCGTGTAACGGATTGATGACATACCAGGAACGATGGTCGAGAATTAAGGTGGTTGTTTTTTGTTATTAATGGATGCCAAGAAGCTGGACATGGCAATGTCAGTGAAAATATATCGCAAGTCAAGAGTATCAAATACAGTGTTGCAGCAGGTAATGGTGCTTGCCAGTTTGGAGTTTCTTAATCGGTCATATGGTTAGCTTTTGACATAAATTTACCAAGATGTTGGACATATGAAGCCCCAAAGCTTATTGCCTGCCCGTGAAGGCTTCGAGATGCCTCAAAAAGATTCATGCACCAAATCTGCCGTCGACGAATTTCTGCAAGGTTACTCTACCGCTCTGCTCAATATGGCCTGCATTTCCCACAGAGTTCAAGTTTTGTGCCGAACCCGTATGATTTGGATAGCATATTTCTAGGTCAAGGAGGACAGTTTAGTGTTTTCCAACGATGAACCAATGTCATGAGGCTACCGCACCTGTCAAAATAGGTTTCAAAACGTCTTGATGACACAATGAAGTGACTTATACAGCAAGATTGTAAGAATTTTGTACTCTTCATATGCGAACCTTGTTTTCGATATACACAACCCTCGAACTGATGATGTGCTAAGCGGCTTCCCTTTTACATTTCACATGCCCAAGAGTAAGGGAAACGGGAAATCAGGGAGGCAGCCCTGCCACCGTGCGGAATGTCCTTGCGAAGGTCTTGGATCTGTTTGCCTTCCTATCTTCTTGCTAGCTTGTGTAGTGACAATGGATGACTTTTGTGGTGATCTGTGGCTGTTCATAGTCTTTTAAGCTCCTAGTGTCTGAATAATGTCAAGCGTATAGGAGGAGCAGCCTTTTGGGACGGCCCGCTCTTAGGAAAGCATCCACGTCAACCATCACTTTTCCCGGTCTAGCTTCGCATCATCTTCGACCTACTAGCCTCTCTTAAGTACTTTAGTCGTGACATGGCCTGTCAAGTCACAGACTATGTGTGCGCGAGGATTTACACATATTGCATGTAGGTGGCTTGCCCCTGCCCCAAAATGCTCCCATGGCAATGTCGATCGTAATAGCAAAAAATCCGACCTCAGTTTAATTGACACCGCCAGCGACCCGGCCGATATTAACACACCGAAGGTCGAGATGGTATCTCTAAATGATGGGGAAACTACTTCAGGATATAAGAACCCAGGGCCAACACTAAATGATCGTCCATCCTTTGGCATTTTCTGGTCAAGAAATCCACTGTTAGGTATAATCTCTTCACTGTTGCTTGAGGATCGTCGTCAATAAGCTTATTCTGCCTACGCTGCTGGATTCCGAGACACTGACAGTCGAGTTGCGTTACACAAAGTCCAGTTTCTACCCCCATGTACGAGCGGAGAAGCCCGCCATTATCCTTGCACTGTCAAACCACACAACGGTATGGTGGCAGCTCTCATTCGTACACGGTGATTGATGCAATGAAAAGAACCTGCACGACTGTCACTAGGACGTCGGTCCCTAAAGCGCATACGATGGAAAATGAAAAGTCGTCCTGCGAAGCCAAGGCCTGGAGATCAATTTCTAATTCTCAACAGACTCAACGGAGAAGCCCCCTGAGTCTGATTTTTCGTTCCGGATAGTGAATGAAGACACAAGAAGACGCCTACGTGTGGTAGACGGTGGCATACGGATATTACTCCAAGTCCAGTACCGTGAGCGAGAGCTTTAGCTTCCTCGTCCCTGAGGATGGAACCGAGACCAGGCCAAATTGTCTCGCAAGAAGTGTCGTTATAATAGCACTCTTATACATTCACTATTGCCCTCTATAACTGGGCGACTTCACATTCCAGGTAAATGAGCCCGGGATTGGGGGCTACATAAAGTGTCTGGCTGCCATTCTCAATTGGTTTATAGCTCTAAGAAGCCTATTTGCTTTCTTGCTATTGGAATTTCTTACCTTGTTACACACTGTATCATGCTAACAGCGTGGTCAACTTTGAGGTCGAAGTATTTGATGCGGCACATAAGTCTGGGAGGCGTAACGGTATTGCACTGTCTCTCTCACGCAGGCCAGAGACAGGATTCAAATGACATCGTGGGACGACTTGGCTTGATGCAAATTTCCATCCGGGACGCTTGGCATAGGGACGCCTGACCGCGAAATCATCGATAAGCTTGCAAATTGGGAGCACGTCAACAGCCCATCCCTTGAGGCTGGATATGTAGACATGAATAAAAAGTACTAGCATGCACGTTGCAGTCAATGGAAATGGCGGCTTAATGAAAACAGACGAATTCGAACAGTCTTGCTTGTCATGTACAATGACAGAAAATATTGACAGGCAAGGTATGCAGAAGTTAGTTGGTTTAAACACATCTTGACAGAAGCAGAGGCAGTGGGGCAAGTGTTGCATCTTAAGTCAAAGTCCGTCACAAAGAAAGCAGATCAACTAGGAACAGCATAGATTCGCTCCGAAGGCAGTGATTTCGATTGTCGTTTGTCATTAGCAGATGCTAAACACCTAGTGCTGCGCAATACTCAAAGAGCTTGGTCATCATTGATACCAGTGTCAAGCTTGAGCAACGGCCCCGATAACCCAGGTGCTCGCGTGGCCACAAAGGCTCAGTAAACGTTGAGTATGTTACTGTGGTCCGTCCATGGTTTACAGCGTTCTGTTTCATTTCTGTCATCATAGCTTCAACAGATACCGAAACAGATGCTTAGTAGGCGTTGACGGTTGACGTAGGCGGCTTGGAGACTACTCCGAAAACCGGGTATAACCTGTGGGCTCTGCTTTTCTTTTGTTAGCATAATAATACATTAAGTGTTAAAGACGTACATACTCGGGTATCCCACGGCATTGACCGCTCTTTTGTCCCATAATAGGGATAGTGTATGGGCCTCAGTGTTTCCAGCAAAAGCGAGGCGCTGACCCCTTTTTAATTGAGGGGTTGTCCAGCGCGGGGTATCATAGCATATCTTCGTCTTCGTCGTAATCGCCATCACCGCTTCCACGCTCCTCCTCATCTTCACGCCTGGCAGCTTCAGCACTCGCACCAACTTTCCTCACGCCCTCTATGACGCCAAGGAAGAAGCCGCGGCTCTCGGCCAACTCCATTGCACCCACTCCGCGAAGGCTCATAACGCCTTGCACCTCGCTGAGATCTTCCGTACTCTTGCGTAATTTTGCAGATCGTACCTCCTGAAGGTCTCTCAGCAATGACCTAACCTCGGAAGAAGATGGTATATCGTCGTTCGCGTGGGCCAACAGCATCTCGGCGAGCTCGAACCAGTGGTAGGGCAAGGCGCCTGAAGGGGCATCTGCTGTACAGGATGGCAAGAATGGCGCTGAGAGGGTCTGATCGTTGCTTCCGCCATATCTTCTAGCGTTACCTCTGGCGTCAGCGCGTATTGGGGGTGGAGGTGGGGGTGAGAAGGCGTCGGGCTCGATCTTAGTTTCATGGTGGACGATCTGGGCGAGAGAGGTGGGATGGAGCCATGGCGGGGGAACGATGTTGGCTCGACGCTGCTTCTTGAGGAGAATTGCAAGCCATAAAGGTATATTGGCGCGAGCAGGAGGTCGTAGGGCGGGTGTTGCTCCCTGCAGAACATAGGAGCACGTCAGTGAGAAATTCCATCGCGACGCGTCGCGGGAAAGGTGGGGGGTCTCACGCTTAAAAGATCGATGCTTTCTAGCCGCTGACGAGGAACAATTGTGATGAGTTCCATTTCACATAGGAAGGCGACTTCCGCGGGTACAAGACCCGGTGGCAGAGGCAAAGCCATGATGTGTCGCGGGGTAGTGGTCGCGATCCACGGTCTCGATGATGTTAGAGCTTTACCCTAGAATGGCAAGTTTGGCGGCGCGATGCATATGGCGGGGGAGCCCGGAATTGAAATTAACCGGGCCGCCGCCCTGCCAGTGCACTAGGTACTAGAAACACTAAACAGACCTTGCTTACGGGTACGTACCTCTTGTCGGAGCCGGGCTATAATCCCCGATCCATAGAGTTCCCGAAAGCTCCACCCAAAGCCCGTCCTCCTCCTCCCCCCCGGGCCGTCAATGAGGAAAACGGGCGAGAAGCAAGACAAGCTGAAAGAGGGTATGTATAAGGTGCGCAAAATTACCGGCAAGGATCAAGATGGGTGCTAGTCCAAGCGTAGTTGCATCCTCAGCTGGGTCTTGCCCTACCAGGCGAGCTGAGAGCCCTATTTGGAGCGGGCTCGATCACCACCATGTCCGGCTGGACCAGTCCAAGATGGCATGATGCGTTCCAGACCTGAGGTCTAGACTTGGCCAAATTGTGGCAGAAACACGGCGACCTGCAGCATCATGAGCATGAGGGAAATCTCGGGGATTATTTCAAAGTCATAACTGCAGCCATTTGGGTGGCTGCGCCAAGGGAGAATAGTTCGCAGATGGATACGTACGAAAGATCTAAGCTTCCTTTTTCCCTAAGGTAATTAGGGTCCCTCGGGGTCTTTTCTCTGACATTTTTACACTAGGTGGGCTGGGTGAGTGAAGCCACATTGGGGGTGCTTTCCTAAGAGCCAATAAGACGCGGTTATATCGCGCGGTCGTAGCCCCGAGACATTACTTATGTAATCGACCCTTAGATCTCTGTATTACCCTTATCGACCTGGGAAGGGGGATCTCTCATTGACGGTTGTCGTGAGAAAATGCCGATCGCTCCCTTTTCATGATGGTGCATCCTCCACAATTGGAATGCTCCGAACAGCCTCGTTCCACATGGAGTTCTCACACCTGTTGGAGCTCCACTGATCCTCATTCCATAGTTTCTAGAATTAGCGGTCCTGAGAAAGAAATACCACACTCTGAGAGCTTATCACGTTCAGGCTTCTCTGTAGATGTTGTTTTACCATCGCTAGGACACGGATTGCAATAGCAATCTCATACAATCCCATAAAATTGGGAATTGCCCACAGATTGAGACAAGGCAGCAAGCATTTGAAGCATGGATCTTATTAGGCTACGCATATGGTGTGCCTCGGTGGTCACAGCCCAAATATCCGCACCCCCGCCAAACATTGAGCCAACAACTAAGGCCATCGTCCTGCTTTCCATTTTCTCTTGAGGGGAAAGTGACGCAGTCGTCTCCGCCTATTCGGCCGCAGCTACCCTCATTGGGATTTCCGCTTCTGCAGGGAAGTAGGTGGCCCAGACGTGGTATTCCTTCCTTGGGCCACTCCATTGCTGTAGTGGAGTCTTTCAGCTGGCAGTGTCCATCACTCTCCGATACCCTGCCTCATTTCATACACTACGCGTGACGGCCCGACCCCGACTCCAGTCGTCATAGTAGGCAATTCTACCTTTGAAAGGTAGTGACGCACACTTTGGGATCATACTTACCTTGCGGAACTCCATCCAGGCACAGCGCTGTTTCCAACGTGAAGCCTGGCTATCCCACATTGAAGCCGTCATCGAATCCTGCTACGGTACTGCCAGCGATTTGCGATCCCTTTTTTTTTTTTTTTTTTCTTTCTTTTTTTGTGCAGTGTTTTCCGGTTAAAGCTCCATTAACCCGAAAGAAAAGTCTGCAAAGGTGCCATAGACAGCTCTAGGGTTTTTGGCGCTGCATTCGCTCCCAAAGACAGTTGCTTTACCACCAAACCCCTCCTCCGCCAACACTTCAGAGCAGAGCCTTGCCAGCTGCCTAGAAGCTTTTGCACGTTACTTACCGAGTGGGTTGTCTGCCTTTGGCTTGTGGCAGAACGTTAATCACAGCCATGTCGACTGGTCAAATCAACTTTAACAAGCCATGCAATTCATGCCGCCGTCGAAAGGTAAAGTGCGACAAGAACCAGCCATGCGCTCCTTGCGTTCGTCATGGCACTGCCGCGACCTGTGCCTATGATGTTTCGAGAGAGTCCTCCTCTCTTCCCGCAAACGAGAGCCAGCAGCAACTCCAGGACCGAGTGGACCGGCTCGAAAGGGTGATTGAGGAAATGAAGACTATGGCCTTACGAGGCGAGCCTCTCAAAATTCCAAACGTTGCTCTCGTGTCGCCAAGTCCAGCAAGCTTAGGCGATGTCTATCTCGAAGACTCTATGGCCGGCGACCCGGGCATGCAGGTTTACGACGAGAACGTGTCCTTCTATCTCGGTCCCAACTACTGGCTTAACCTTCAAGACTACGTCTTTGAACCCCGACATCTGTTCCTCATAGATTCAGACAAAAACGGCAAAAGTCCAGATAGTCCTCCTGACTGGCCAATTGGTCGAAACCCAACACTGCCAGACCTTGCTCACCTGCACCTTCCACCTGAAAAGGAAGACGTGTTAACCGACCTCTTCTTCGCACATGTCGAACCCTTTGTTCGAATATTCCACGAGACTTATTGGCGACAACAAATCAGGGATGCCCGACTCGGCGTCAGTAAAATACCCGTGGATGTAGAAGTAGCAATGTTTGCCGCTCAGACAATGACGGTAGCTGCCATGCCAGCAAGGCTTATAAGAGATAAGATCGGAAAGCCCAAGGATGAGGTCCTACGTCACTTACAGGAGGTTTCGCGGCTGGCACTTGAGCGGGCAGATATTCTGCGTAGCAGAAAGCCTCTTGCTTTCGTTGCGCTGCTGTACCATATTGTTGGTCACTCTTCTGGCTTCATTCTCAAATCACGATTTTCGCATCATAGAAGAACAAGTATCCGCTGACCTATATAGCAAATGAAATTCATCACAGGCAACGGAGAAACTGCCGTCTCTCTGCTTGGCTTGGCTGGCCGTTTCGGAACACGGCTTGGCCTCCATCGCGATCCAAGTAATTACAACTATTCCCCATGGACTTCCAACATGAGACGAAGGATATGGAGCCACTTTGAGTTTATGGATAATCCGGTTTACAATCTGGAAGGTGCCGATTCTGGCCTGCCTTTCATCTCCGATAGCCAGCCCCCGAAAAATGCGAATGAAAGCCAGTGGAATCCAACGCCATTTGCCAAACCTGGCTCTGCGCCCACCGATCAAGATGGAATTACCGACATGTCCTTTGTTTTGGTGCGACACTGTCTGTCAAAAACGATGCAATCCCTCATACGAAGGAGAAATGATGCTAGTCCCGAAGAACTTGGCCGGATCATCGACCACACCGATAGCTTCTTGAAGACGAAGTTTATGAATCATGTGGTCCCCGCAAACCCCGACCATGCTGTTCTTTGCTCGCATTACAGAGTATCGTTAAAAAGCATGAGGCTTCTTGTCCACCAGGTTCATGCTCACTACGTAGTTGGTCCCGACCCTCTGTTTCGGGCTAAGTGAGCTTTAAATACCCAGTCAGTAGTTTTTCATGGGCTAATCTATTGCACATAGGTTCTATCAAGAGTGCGTTGAGATCCTTGAGGAGATCGAACAGGGCGAGGAAATCGCAGTCCAGCATCGCCGGGGATGGATTTACCGATGGCCAACCACACCGTGCTTGATCTCTAATGTCCTCATCGGACTGCGCGACCAACCTAGTCATCCGATTACAGATAGAGCCTGGAGACAGATCAACGTAGCCTTCAGAAGACACAACAACGACGATATCAATATGCGCAAATTTGCCGCGTGGCGAGTCATCGAGGCGCTTTGCGATGAGGCCATGCTCTACCACAAGCAAGTATCTCACGAGGGAGCATGGTACAGTCGCAGACATGATGCATTCGAGTCAAAACACTCTGCAAAGGGCAAGGAACCGGTATCCCTTAAAGATGCCACTGTTCTTGATATCCTAGCAGATGTGGGAGATGTTCAGATGTTTGGCCAGCATAGTACCCCACAAGGAGGCGTTGTCGGTGGTTCTGTTTACTTTGAACATCAGGCTCTTCAGCCCATGAACTATGCTTTGTGGGGTCAGCCAGGCCAGCATCCCGTTCAAACTCAATCGCAATCGCAGGTTCATGCTTCTGACGATCATGGAGAGATGTGAGTATTGACACAGTCTTGTATTTAAGGTTCCATCAGGGAACTAAGCGCATCGCTATCATTACTGTGATATTACGAACCGTACACCAGCACTCCATACCCGATGTCATATACCGACGGCAGAGTCATTACGAAGTAAAATCTCGAGTTTTAGCTCGTTAATGCTTGCTAGGCCTGTGGGTTCTTGTATTTCCAAAGGGCCATCCGTCTACAATTAAGGTCAGTCAAGCTCTAAGATCACACAGTGTCGCAACTTACATTGACTGGGAAGGTAGATGTCAACGCCCAGCTCGTCAGCCCAGGTCCATACCAAGCTGGGATTCTTGAGGAAAGCTCTGCCAACCAGGACAGCATCCGCTTGTCCATCAGCAAGAACTTCGCTGGCTTCTTTTCCGGTTGTGATGCCACCAACCGATCCAACGTAGGTGTTGGTGCCCTCAACAGCCTTCTTTACCGCTTCGGCCAGATATGCCTGGTATTTTGGACCAGCTTCGACCTTCATCCTGGCATCGTTGGCACCAGCAGAGATGTCAAGGAAGTCGGCACCTTTGTCTGCAAGGATCTTTGCTAGCTTGGTAGCTTGGGCAATCTCCCATTGGGGGATTGAAGGGTCATGTTCCAGATAGTCGGTGGCTGCTAGGCGGACCAACACTGGATAATCCTCAGGAACATTGGCACGAGTCAACTCTGTCAGCTCCACAAGAAGGCGGGTGCGGTTCTCGAAGCTGCCGCCGTACTTGTCGGTTCTGTGGTTTGAAGCAGGCGATAAGAATTGGTTGATTAGGTAACCATGGGCAGCGTGGATCTCAACGGTCTGCAAATACTATCAGAATCATGAGTCGGATGAACAGTACTGTCAACTTACATCATAGCCAGCCTTAACGACACGCTTGACAGCCTCAACCCACTTCGTTTTGAATGTCTCAATATCTTCGAGAGTCATCTCCTTGGGCACGTACGTGTCCTTAGTGTACGCCTCTGCAGATGGACCGTAGACAGTCTTGGGCCATCCGCGACCCTGTACGGTGTTAGTAGTGGTTACTGGTAATGCAAAGTTTGGCCTAATACCTTTTCGCTGGCAACCGCCTTGCGGTCAACCCAGGGCGCAATCGTACTAGCCTTGCGACCGGCATGCCCAATCTGTGCACCAATAAAGGTTCCCTGGCTGTGCACAAAGTCAATCACCTCTTTCGCGGCCTCGATATGCGAGTCGCTCCAGAGTCCCAGGTCCTCCGGCGAGATCCGACCTTCAGGCACCACAGACTGCACCTCGGTCAGAACCAATCCCGCGCCGCGGACCGCAAAGCTAGAGAGATGTGTCTTATGCCAGGGGGTCATGTGCCCATCGTCGGCCGAGTACTGGCACATGGGCGACAAAAAGATGCGGTTGTGCAGGGTCAGGCCGCGCAGCTTAAGCGGGGAGAAGAGCGTGCCCTCGGGCTGCGCATCCCTGGCCGTGCCGGCGGCAGGGTTCTGGAAAGGCGTGAAGTACGGAACCTTTTCTCCGGGAGATTTTTTGTTAGTGACGAATGTTCAACAAAAAATTGGACTGTCGATCCGTAGATGGTTGAAAGAACGTACGTTCTTGGCTCCCTCGTTAATCAGGTAGGTCTCGGAAACCTGTAGTGCGCCATCGACGGGAACCTGGTCCGCGCCTTGGGGGGCTTCGACTTTAGTCATGGTAATTGAGTGGAGGGTGATGTGATGTCAAATGGAATGGGGAGGATAGAGAGTAGCTAGGTAGGTTTCTTTTTTCCCGTTTGCCGGCGTTGCTTGCGATCGGTGATGTACGTTGTATTTTCGATGGTCGGTATTGCTCTGCGAAAACAGATCTTGAAATCTGCAGCGAAGTTGACCACATTTTATAGTATACGTAGAAACACCATGATATGGTAGTATTATGTCGGAATATGGCAAGCAATTGAACCGCGTGGAGCTGATTAATCGCTTTTTTTCCAGGACCGACATCACCAATGTCGGCCGTTTACTGTCTCATCGGCCTAACTGACAGACCCAGAGCGCCGATGACGCCAGGGCCCCTTGAAGTACTTACGACCTGCATGGGCTACGAGCATCCCAATCCTGACCCAAACCAAGCTTTAATCGGCAAGTGTATTCTGCCATGTGAAATGGCTAGATTATGCGAGTGCTGACTGCATAAAAGAGCGCCCTTTGGTCAGAGAGAGATGTGTGACAGTTGTACATGTGCGAGCGGCAAAGCCAGCGAGAAATGTCACCATATGTCGCCAATTCAAATGTAAGCTTGATGAGTAATGTTAGTAATTGAGTGGTTTGATCAGTTACACACGCATCATGACATTGAGCACTAGACCGAAAATGGTCAAGTTTGAGTGGTGAGGTGGTCAACAAGCTCACGGGTAATTTTTTGGGGGGGGTGGAAGGGAAGCAGGGAGCTATTTTTCGAGGTGCATCAGGGAGAGGGCTCCCTATGCTTAAACCCTCCCTCTCATGTGTGCCATACATTAAAACCATAGTAGCTGAATGGCTGGTTCTCTGGCATGGATGACTGATGCTCCTACAGGCGGCTTCTGGGTATGCGGATGTGGCACATTTGAGGGGACCTGGTGGAGGATTCGGATCCCTGATCTACCTTACACTCGGCCCAACGATGGGGGGGGTCTAAACGGGGTTCGCTGGCTCGCCGACTCGCCGACTTTTTGCGGATGACAAGGAAAGATGGTCCGGCCGCCGATCGTGGGGTTAAGGGGGGGGAAAGCCCAAACCATGCATTATTAATGTCTCACTCCCCGGATCGAATTTTTCTTTTCTATTGTTTTTGCTTTAGGGCGTGTCGTGGGACTTGGTCATTGCAAAAGGACCTTTTTTTTCACGAGTTTCTCGATGCAGAAAGCTTGTACACCACTTCGTCCTTGACAAATGTCATCAGCCTTTACGAGTGCCTAGGATAGGGTTGCGATGATGTTATATACAAAGTCTTCAGGCCTGTGACAACTCCTGATCTCATTACTAATCGTTTAGCACTTACGATATCTGTAATAATGATTAAAAAAAAAAAAAAAAAAAAGAGAAGCATGTGGACAAAGGCTTTATGCTGTGTGGCGTAACATAATCTAGGCGCGGTATCCCTTTCACAAACGCTCTTCCTGGAGGGTTATTGCTCGGCATTGGCGCACTGCATTTATAAGCCAACGACTACACCGGAAGCAATCACAGTAGAAGAAGTGGTCAAAATTGTCAGAAACATGCCGCGAGAAATACGAATTTGACAAAGCCGCTGGCCAGACGAACAATGAGCTGTACAGCCAAAAGCCGGGTTCCAACGGAGCTGAATTATTTAGGACTGCTGGGCAGTGCTCTGGAATGCCGAAAACAACCGTTTCTTTGATATACTCGACCAAATCAACTCAACGGTGTCTTACTAGGAGCCAAATCATTAGCCATTCCAAAGACGTAGAAAAAGATGCAGGTGCAAGTACCAGAAGCAGAAATGAACAAAGGACCAGGAAGCCTTAGAACATTGCTCTCAGCTCTTAGTTGTGGTACTGCCCTTTACTTGTGGCCATGGCCATCAGCTGTTTGGTGACGTCTACACGTGACAGGCAAACATCAAAGATATCCTACTGACAAAAGATGGTTGGTATACTACAAGGACCAGGCGTACCAAAGTGAATAAATCATCAAACTCGGAAACGAAGTACTTTCTATAGGCACTCGAGGTTTGTCACCCTTGAGAGCAGTCAATATACCTGTACAATACGGCAATAGAGAGAGATTAAGATTTCATGGTTGGTCATGCTAATAAGTGATTATTGATTATCTAAAATTACCAAGCAGAGCGCATAGTCAAACTGCTATCTATGTCGACGACTGCTAAAAAAAGTCTCGATATTTATTAGTTCCAAATTTTCCCTCCCACTGTAATTAAAAGACACATAAGAAATATTAGTTGTAGAAAAGCCCAATGACCATGCGTGATCTTTGAGAGGCTCTGAAAGATTCAGAGACAAGGTTGCATCAGCATAATGTTGGTTATGCATCTGATTTGCACCTTTAGATGGTGATCTTGGGGGTGAAGCCGACGACGAGGACAGGGTTCAGCTCGAGCTTGGCGTTGGCGATTCGTGTGATAAGGCTGGTCACAGCGCCCTGTGCGGTTGTGGTAGTAGTCTGGGCAACAGCTTGAACCGCATTCTGAGCAGTGCCGAGTGCGGACTGCGCAGTGTTGGAGATGGAGCTCAAGGAGCTGCCAGTGTCAGCCACAAGCTTGGTGACAATAGCAGAAACATGGGTGGTAGTCTGTGCGGCAGTTTGGCCGATGATGGGTACAACCGCTGCAGTGGTAGCAGCAAGCTGTTGTGAAATCTGCTTGCTGAGCTCTTCAAACTGAGTGTTGGCAGCAGCAGTCAGATTCTTGGCCTGGCTCAGAACCTAGTGATTGTTAGCTTGGCCGTTCAATCCATGTTCGTCAAGACAGTTATTTGCATACCTCCTCTGCCTTTGTGGTGATGCTGGTGAGAGACTGAGTGAGGGCCTCAGCGCCGTTCGCAGCCGGAGTAGCAGTAGCGCCGTTGCCAGGCGTAGTCGGGCTGGGTTTCGCGGGAAGAGCGGGAAGAGCGGGAAGAGCTGCTGTGATCTTCTTTACAGCGCTGTTCACATTCTGGTTGATTTGGCGAGTTTGGGCTTGAAGTCTAGTAATGATGGTAACGGCCTGAATGGCTCTCTGTTGACATCTGTTAGTCTCATCAAGTCTAAAGGATTAAACATGTAATGAAAGGTGGTAGATGAACTCACAGCCAGAACACTCTTTGAGACAGCATCGCTGACCTGGTTAAGCTGAAGGAGGATAGCCGTGGCCCTTTCGATATCTCCCTCGAGTTGATCAAGGAGGCCAGAGACGGCAGTGTGGACACCGTTCGGATCAAGCGTGATACTGGGGAATTCAATGGAGCCGGCGCTAATGGTGACCCTCTTCACCGCAGCAGCGTGTGCTGTAGTGACAGAGAGGGCGGCGATGGTAGCAGTGAAGGCCTTGAGCTGCATTTTGGCGGTTGTTATATGTAAAAGGCACAAATGTATTTCCAAGACAGTGGAAGGGCGGGTTGGTTCTGCGGAAAGTCACTGGCTTTGAAGATCCGGTTGTAGGAGTTGACTAGTAGATGTGAGAAGGTGTTCTTGGTTGGGATGATGATCAAAAAAGATTGTATTGGGGCAGGAGGTACCCGCACCTCTTATAGGTAATTGCGGAAGCAAACAAAAACTCATGATAATCCTCGCTCTACCAACGTTGAGTGCATTGCAAAATGCGACAATGCGAATGGGTTACCAGAAGCGTCAAGTCGGCTTTTTCGGCAACGCCACCTCTTCGAACTACAATCTGTATTCAGATTCTCGCCGTTTGTTACCTTGTGCATCATTCTTTTCCTTCGTCGTTAAGACTGACACCACAAGACTTCACTCAATGTCCGTTTGATTCAACAGCTCTCAGGAGCGTCCGTTTGCAGGAGGATGACGAGCTGCCCTCGGGCTTGGTGCGTTAGTGGATCTTATTAGCAACCTGGTGGCGCCGCGCTAAAGGGACCTCCCGAAGCTGACGCCGAAAGTCTGGGCCGATCCAGATGGGCCTGCATGCTTCGCCAGAAACGAGCACTTTAGCCACCAGGCTTTGATCCGTTGCTCGCAGGAAAGAAAAAATAACACAATCATTACAAGGGTCTGCCAAGAAGCCAATGTGCTCACCAAAAACGTCAGAGTATCGTAGTTGTCGGAGTGCACAGAGTCAGGTTGTAGAACCCAGGCGTGTCACCTTACTCATTTGCCGAACCTGCACATTAGGTAGGTAGCATGAAGACGTTTTTGTAATTTTGGTAGATCTTTTGATGAATTACATCTTCAAAGCGTCACTATCTACATCATTTACGGGTATATCTCCCTCAAAACCCCAACCTATGTGAGAAGGATATTCTGGTACGCCGTCTGGGATGTCTGGCATTGAAGTTGAAGCCACTTCTCCCAAGGACCCTTAACTGCAGCTGCTGGAGTCTAACTGAGACGCACGTAAGAGTGGAGAGACACGGAAGTGCTGGATGACTCAATTACAAAGAGGTCGTGCGGGTAAGGCGTCCCTTTCCTCCCCATTTTCTGGGTTATATTCTTTCACCAGCGTCCAATGGCCTGGACACCCAACCAAAACGCTGGAAACGGATGCGATGGCGGATCCCTTTATTATCCTACCAGCCGGAGTACTCCGGGAACCGCCCTAGGTCCTAAAGTGTCTCAAATTTCCTCCAGCGAATGCCCAAGACAAATACGGAAAATAACACACCGACCACACCTACTTTACGTCAAGCCCGTTTACCCCACATTGAGTTGGAACCGCCTCTGTTTACCGAACCCAAAGCTACTTAGGGTGCACACTGTTAGATTCGGGATTAGTCGACCGTGATAGCCACTAGACTTGGGTTAGTGCTATCACAGTGGATAACCAAGGCATTTCGGGAACATGTCGGCAGCGAGCCTCCAGAAAGCTGCATTCGTCAATAGCAGAGGCAATAGATAAGTCTAGTCCTGGAGCCAGACTAATCACGTAGGATTTCTGCGAGAGTCTAGCTATTTTTGTCCATGTTGAAAGTTATAGATCGTTGTCACGTCTGAGACAGCGTTTGCGGCCATAAGACAGTGGAAAACTGCAAGCCAGTTTTGTGGTGAGTGATCTTTCAGCACTACCAACCTCCTATGACCCTGACAGTCCTTTATTCTCCATAAAAGTACACTCATTATTTCCTGCAATATAGGATATCAACCTTATTGGGAAGGTATAACATCACCCATCGTTCCAGTGATCATCAAGACTCATACCGGACAACCTGTTGACAAATCCATACATGAACACTGCAGAATATCGTTGGTTGAGTTTTCCATAACAGCTATTGGATCGCAGTTTGTATGTTTAGCGAATCCCTTCAAGAAAAAGTAGACTGAAAAACGTTTCCAAATTCTGCACAGTTCTAATCATTTCAAATTTGATGTTCAATATACAAACGGAAAATCTTATAACTACCACTTATTACCAGCTGGCTACTTGGAGAGATCCGCTGATATGCAATTGAGAGTTATAGATTCCAAGAGCTTATTTCACATTTCAGTGACACGTCAAATCGTCGGCTTTTCTTTCAATCTTCATTAAGGTATTGCCTATTTTGCGTTACAGAGTGTGTTATTTTCAGAACCATTTTAATAATCTGCGTCAATGTACTCTGCGCATATGACCTCTCCCTTCAAATCCATGACCTCAGAAATAGTCTTGTTAGGCATAATACCACCCATCCAAAGAACGTGGTTAAGGGTAGTTTCGTTTCCAGGGTTACCATCGTAATCGGTGTACGCCTTGGACGGGTAAAGCCATCTGTTCTGTTGCATGATGAACTCGGGCGGGATGATTTCGCCACTCATATCAGTCAAACGAGCAGTCAGGTTGGCCTCCTGCCACTTTTGCCAAAGTCGATCAAGGTTGGCGTGGTGCAGGAAAAAAACTGGGTCACCAGGGCTGGCATTTTGGTTTTCCATCTGAGATCTAATGTTAGAACGGTACAGTTTAACCATCAAGATTCAAAGACAAGAGACACTTACGGTTCCTCCAGTTGCCAAGTGACCACAAGAATGAGGCGAGTCAACATAACAGAAGTTTGCTTCATTGTAGTTGTCTTTCGCGAAGCACGTATCGACGTTCGTTTGATTGGCGAACTCCCAGGCCGTTTGGTTCAACTTCCGAGATAGGCAGTACTCGTCATAATAATCGACGCCCCAGACCTGATCCATGCGGAGGGTAGTATTGGCGAATGGACCATCAATAACACAGTTGGTCCCGGCGCTGGTGTTGACGCCGTTAGTTCCGAAGCTGTATTCGTCGGAACCCCACACAGATGCGTTCTCGATAGATCCAAGGACTTCCAAATCCCGCTGCTCATCCCAATACGGCAAAGCACCCTTGTAATTGCACTCGTTCTGAAGAAGCATCTCGTGAAGACGGAGGTAAAGACGATGCCAAGGCAAGAAGGCACTACTCTCAGGTTAACCATTTGACTTGGTTGAATGCTGATGTGAGAGACCTACCCGACACCGTGGATAAAATTCGACTGCTCAACGTGGCAGGATTGTAGCTCATCCCATCGTGTCTGAGCACCCGTGATACCACTCTTGGCAGGGGATGTCATGAGACACTTTACGGCCTGAAGATAGTTGTATCTCTCGTCATTTGTGAGAGTATGCCTTTAGAACAAGAGTGTTAATCGGCCAATGTGAAGAATAAAGTTCGCCTGGACATCTTTTGTGGGTCCACTACAACTTACCATGCTTTTCTCTGATTGAGTGAAGTGCAAGTAGAGTTAGAGTATGTCCCGTTGCGGGCAAAGAAGGGCGATGCACTGGCCAAGCCCAGCCAGGAAACAAAACTCAAAAGAGTGGACGATTTCATGTTGGCCGACAGATGAAATGCAAGTTTCCAAATAGATCTGCAGAAAATCTTCGGACGATAAAGGTAAAGCAGCCCGACAGTTGGGTTGGCAATTTTCTGGATGAAACGGCGAGCTTACGAGTCTCACTTATACTGCAACCCCAGCTGTGCCAAGGAACAGCAATGTCTCCTCTTGCTCCAGGATTCTGGGAAAGGGGAGACCGATCTCAAAATCTCTATCCGTTATCTCCACCTGAAAACCTGCGATTAGGGTGCATTACAATTTGTACAAGCAATTGACGCGCGGAATCTGTCCCAAATGCGGAATAAGAGACGCCTAAGATAGAGGTTCACCCTTGTGCCATGTAGTTTCAAATTTGTTCTCTAGGTGGGTGCTTTCCAGGATCTGCGAGCTAAGTCCCATCTTGTGTTCATCCTATAAATTTTATATGGTGCTTGTAAGCATGGAAGGTGACCGAAAGCGGATACATATGGGTCAAGATGGACCTGGGACGGTTGTTTATTTGCTTCTATTCACTGACTCCCACATCCCGTTATTCTGGGTCGGATGCGAAAACGATTTGTGCAAGGCACGCGTTTAGGCGCTTACGAGTCAAAAAAAAACCCACAAATGCCGACAAAAGCATCTCGGGAGCGTTGACGCCCACATCGCCCTCGCCGAGCGTAAAGCCTGATAGTAAAGTTCCTTAAAGATGCTGGTCAACCAGCTCTGTGGCGTGGATGACTTTTGTTTAGTTGTTGTTTTGACCCGCAGCAGAGCAATGATGATGGAGTTCTGCATCATTGCAGCTGCTGGTTTACATATTCTAGCGGGAGGCGGGCCAAAAGGAAAAGGTCACACAATGTGGAAATGAGCCGGATCTAGTGTTTTTTGGTGAGTGATGAAGCTCAAGTAAAGGAGGCAATCCGTCCACTTGACATATATGAAAGATATCAGACTCATCCCTTAAGCCGATCATCTCGGGCCCTAAAGCTCGAAGACATAGCATCCATTTGTACTTACAGAGCTTATCGCTATTCGCTTTAGGCTGGACTGACATGGATATGGGCTTAACCGTCAGAGCAAAGACTTTAGAGCCACTGACATGAGGAATCGAACGTCCACAAAAACTCTGTTATTTGAGACATAGAGTGCTTAGGCTATTATTCCTTGGTCATAGTTTACGACGACTTGACTTGATGGCTTGGACTACTGTTGAGATTGTAATCTAATCACTACTTGAATAAAGGGTAGTCACCTATGTCTTCTCACCCTGAACGAGAGGTTTGGTCAATATCTCCTACCGAAGAGAAATGCCTTTCAGCAAGGATTCTTACGTGATTATAAGTAGCCACCTACAGCATCATATTGAGTCAAGAGAGAGAATAATATATGAGCAGTGGCCTTCAATGTAGACACATCAGTGGCTTTAGAGGCAACATGGTCACTGGAAATATCGCCCCATCGTTCCATTATAGCAAGAATAAAAGGATCTTTAGGGTTATTTTCAATGCCATCAAAAGCACCTTGTTTCTGCTAATGATACTTAGGTCATCTTCAACTAATTGTTCCATAACCTCCCGGCGCTTTACCAGTCAGTCTCTACATGGATCCAGATTACCTCAACATGGCTTGCATCTATTCAAGAGTAAAGTACTTCTTGACTTTTGCCAATCGCGTTTCTGCCTCAACAAAGAGCGTCTGTCCCAATTTAGCCCCGTTATCAGGGAACTTGAAGATGGAAATCTTCCAGACCATTTCTTCACCCTGTGACTAAGTGAGAGATTAGCTTTCAGTAAGACATCATCATGTTCCTCGTACTAAGGTGGACAGCAGCAGACTACCAGAAATTTAGAAAAGGCCTCTACGTAATATTTTGGCTTGGAATTGACTTTAAATCAAGTTAGTAGACTCTTTTAAAATTTTCCAAGCAGGTCCCGCATCGTGCGCCTCGTCGTTGACGGAGTCCAGGTAAGGTAAGTAATGAAGAGCCGCTTTATGTGTTGAAGCAGACCATGGAGAATCTGCCCCATTTAGCAGACCAGAACCACGAAGTACTTGAGATAGATTATGGAGTTTATGACAAATCCTTCCTAATTATGACAGTTGGGATGTGTAGTCTCAGGCCATTACCAGGCACCTTGTGGATGATTTTTCTTTTTTAAAAAAAAGAAAAACAAAACACTGCGCGACAGAGCGGGAAGCACGAGATAGAGTACTAGTGCTTTTATTAGAATACAAGATAGCTATTAAGTAAAAGAAATATGACTTGTTTTTGATGTCATTGAAGCAAGTCTGCTAGCACACCAGAGCACCGTTAACCTAGGCTGTTACAGATCTAAGTGCCTAGCCAGAAGAAGATGATTGCGAAATACGCTATCATGTCGGTTCCCTCGTTATTTGCGAAACTTTACCACATAGATTACGACTCCAGCCTACAGGGAATCGAAAATGCTATGCTGATAGCCCTTATTTGAAATCGCCTTCGCCGTTGCAGCGGGAGAGCGGGATGCCTTCCTGTTTCTTTGCACAGACAGTAATAGCACCAGCAACCCACTTGACACCCTCGTAAGAGCCTTCCTCATAAGAGTCTGCAATCCAGGTGCCGGTCTGTTTCAGAGAGCCGGGGCAACCCTGGAAAGCGCGGCCATAACGACGAGTTTTCCACGGCTTGGTAATGACGGTACCAACCCAACCTTCCTCAATCAGACCGCGTACGGTTTGTGTAGCTGTAGTCGTCCAGGTTCTAGTATAGCTGACGCTGAATTTGGCGGTGAGTTTCTTCTCAAAAGCCGCAGCATCAAGACCGGCACTAACGCTCACAGCGTTTGCAACGGAGTAGGACGAAGCAACAGAGACGTGTATGCCTTGACCAAAACCAATGACTACAGGAGACATCTGCACATCCCAGTCCACGAAACGCTCAGACTTATCTTCTACAATAGAAAAGGTGCTAGAGCAGTCGCGCGTGTGAAGGTTGGAGTCCGAGGTTTCGTTGAAGGCAACAGGTGCGAGATGAGCAGCGTCTTCAAGCCAAGCCTGGTCCAACTTGGGAGTGACGGGGGAGATTCCTTCTTTTGAGAGGAGAGAATGCCAATCACTCTCATGGAGTACCTCCACTGCGGAGTTGCGGTTAGCGAGATCTTATGTGTACTGGCTGGGATATTAAACTTACTCTTGCCATCGCGATACAGCACGACTTCATCATTTTTGAGGTCTCGAGTCCATTTGGTGCTGTTCGAGTTGCGCACGTTGAGGGAAGGCGTGGTCGTGTTGCGATTGGCAAAGGAAGATACGGTTGTCTTGTGTGTTCCGTACGGTGCGGCACTTACTACCGTGGCCAGAAAGATGGTAATGAGGCTTGCGGAGACCATCTTGGGTAGCAAAGATCTGTCGGTGTATGAATTTGTGTTGTGTGGAAGACAATAAAGAGCAAAGACAAAATTCCTGAGCTAGAAGACATCTTCAAGGTTTTATAGAAACTTTTTGCAGACTTTCATTTCTTGAAACTGAAACTGTCGGTCTACACCATGCGTTCGATCTGCAAACTCTCCATGCAAGCAGAGTCCGAATTTTCTCTCTAGTGGATATTCTCCAACTCGTACTGAATTCCTCTCAAAAACCCTGGCGGGTACGTTCATGAGCCTGGGCTGATAAGGACATCCACTCCCTGCCGCCCAATATTAATGGTTGTGGAAATTCTCCCCATAGCAGTTGTTTTACACATGTGCCTATTGATATTTAAAAGGATAAGATCGTCTTCATGCCCATTGAAAGTGGTGCACTGATTCAATAGAAAGCGCTCCATCCTTAGGAAACAGGGGTTTCCTAATCAAGTATGGAGATCCATGGATACCAAAAGCTCCATACTACATGATTCAACTACCCTTCACGTGGTGAATAGACAGGCTATTAACGAACTACAACAGCACGTATCTGTTTGCGACAGTCGTTTGAACTTGATCTGACGTCAAGCAACCACCACATGGAATTACAGGCGCATCTTACCTTGGTGAGTGTTTGTCGCTTAGACTAACTAAGCAGACTAGGCACGGCGATAGCTTGAGGGAAACAATAAAAAGCGACTTCTTTCACTTCAGTTGTTCGTATTAATCAAACTTCTTTCCTCAACCTGAACATCCCGATTCTACCTAAGTGTACATATCTAAATCGTCCTCGGATTACCGCAACACATACCTTATTTTATCGCTGTCTTTTCAGAGTTATACTGAATTCATTATTGACTTTATCAGTTGCATGCGATTATCCCTTAAGCCCGCTATCAAGATGCACGTTTTCGTCTATCTTACGTTCGCGATACTTTCTATTAGGTTCGTTATAATGAAAAACTGCACTGGAAAATGTCAACTGTCGCTAACTTGGCAACAGTGTCACTGCTAAGCTGCATAAAACAGCTGTCTGCGTCACCAACAGAACCAACACGCCAGTTGGCGGTACCCCATTCAGCCCGAGCTACAACTGGGTTAAGGACTATGAGATCCTGCCAGATGAGACCAAATGCGCCTGTGATAGATACAAAGCTCGCAACACAGGCAACAACCAGTGGGATCAGTGTCCTGACTGTACCTTTGTAAGTCATCCAGAACTCTGCTTAAGATAGAAGGGTTTAAGCTAACTAATCTTTCTCAGGATGGTCTTGGTTGTAACTCCGAAGGGTGGCACATTGGTGGTGACGAATTTACGTACTATTGTGAGGAAAAATGCGGCGCGCAAGGCGCTGAGGCGAATTAAACTGCTGGCTCAACTATTAGGAGGCAGATGGATGGTCGAAAACATTATGGGCGCTTGTAGTCATTTCCAGTAAACGAAGAAGAACATAAAATCTGCCATGAAATGGTGCTTTCAGTTAGGCCAAGTACCATATGTGATATCGTGGCAATTCTCTTTGCCTGTAGGGTGTTTCCAGCATTGTCACAAAGGGCAGAATCCGTTACTTTTTTTTTTTTTTTTTTTTTTTTTTTAGCGAAATGTCTTAGTTTCGCGCTCAAACATGTTTAAACCCAACGGCTTCCGACAGGAACTTCAACTGTAAAAATATAAAAATACACACATACCACCTTATCTGCTTGAAAGTTCCGTAGCGAGATTTCCCGAGCTCTAACCCCACTCTATTCTGAAAATGAAAACACAACCCAACCATGGTATATCTTCGACAGATATGGATAGGTTCAGTTCTCACTCCCGTTTCAACTCCTAGCCCTGTAATTCTTTTCATTGATGAGGCCAAGCTAAGTCCAGGACCACGTGTAAATGTTAACTGTCCAGTTGGGGATCTTCGTTGCGCCCACGTGCTGGAGATAAGATGCTAGTGATCGGCACTTTCTCCATCTAAAGACGACGATCAACAGCCTTTGAGTACCATTCAGACGGGGATAGTCTGCATTGACCAGGCGCTGACCGTCAATACGGGTTTTCTCAGATCATCGGTTATCCCTAGAATTCGGTAGATGAAGTGAAGAAGAAGACTTGTCGCAATGATTTCGTTCAGCCGCAATAAAGAGCCATCAGCCATAGCGATGCTCCCCCATTTTTATTGCACGGGCTATGTATGCAAAACAATTTCTTCCTTGTTAAACTAGGGACTTGATAGATCGACAGTCGATGAATCAATAGTCAAATCACAAATACTGGCAAGTTCAAGGGCTGTAGCCAAGGCATGCATTCTCTGTACTCGAGTCAGTATTGATAACGAAGTCTATAAGACACCCATTTTGACCATTAAACATCACAGGAGTTACTTGAGGCTTTATTCTGTGTTTTCTTTTAATCAAATTGTTGTTTAAACGTGGCTGTAATCATTGGCAATCTCCTTTGCTTGACTGGCAGTATCGGAACTTGCCTGGATTTCGAAATGGGAGGGGTATGACAAGGACGGTCACATCTTAGCATCATAAGCTGGGCCTAGTAATGTTCCTGGAAACAGATGAAGCAGATCACAGCTTGAAAGGTCTTTTATTAATTAGGCTTCTGTGGAAACAGTGGGCGACATGAAAAGAAAATCACATTAACTGTAAGAATGACATCGTTTTGAGCATCTTCCGGATATCACATTTTTTATTGACCGTGGGGAAGGCCTTGACTGGGAATTATCAAGCATCACACCCTTGCAAATCATACCTCTCTGGGGTCGAAAGCGAATCAAATGATGGGAGATAAAATCAGTCATGGAGCCAATGCGACTCAGAGACGGGGTTCTGACAGGCAGTGAAAACTTGAGCAACAAAGTCCCTGTCTAACCCATGATCCCTTCATTTCCCTAGGATAACAGGATCTGACTGCAACATACAGCACCGTCAGTTAGCGTCTGGATATGTAGCTCAGCTTTCTTGAGGTGAGATTTTGTGTCTCTTAGATCCACTCTCCATCGTAGTTGAGTAAGCTGCAAACTTAGAGAATATGACACCGTGATCTTCCAAGGCTGGGGCGTTTAGACCCAGAATATTCAACGAATAAAAGATCGTCCGAACAGATGCATCGAATGATAGTACTCGCAGTCCTCACCAATTTCTTTTTTCTTTTGGGTTGTTATAACGAGAGCGCACTACCTTTTTTTTTTTTTTTCATTTTTTACAAAAGTTCAAAGTTGCTTATTCAGTCGTTAAACAATCGCTATGTCTGATGTTTAATCGGCTGTGGTACAGACTTGAATGTTTACATGGGGGAAGAATTGCCGTAAGTTCAAAGCTCAAAGCAAAAAGAGAAGGAATGCTGACGCTTCGCACTTTCCATTCAATCAAACTTACTGGGGTTTCCACCTCGGCCAAAGTTGTGCTGGATCACAAGGGGAAAATCTCATCTTCCTGGACATCCAGCACAATCATATGACCTGGCGCATGTCCCATCACTGTACCTTTCAGGTTTGCCCTCATGACAGCTTCTTGTGGTGTGACGCCACAGCCCCAAAAAACAGGAACGTACTCTCCATCGTCGCGCTCAAACACTGTCTTTCCATCTGGCTGAAGAGCCGCGTCTCCCCAGTCAGGTTTCGTGATATCCTTGATACCAAGCCTCTGTGCTCCATCCCACCCCCACGCCATTGGTTCTCCGTGCGTCGTTACAAACGGTCTGGTGATGTCTCGAACCTTCTCAATGTCTGAAGATTTATACGGCCGCATAGATACAACATATGTTGCCCCTGTAAATGCTCCCGCCGGACAGAGTGGGATGGTGGTTCGGTAAATCGGCACGTTGCGGTTATGTGTGATGTGCTGTGGTGTGAGACCAGCTTCATGCAGAGCCCGCTCGAAACTGAATGAGCATCCGACCAAGAAGCCAACATGGTCACTCAGCCACTGGTCAGACACATTTAATGGCTCGGATACGGAATGTACAGCAACATGTTTGCTGTTTTTGTATACTCTGTAACGGGGAAAATCGTGTCGCAAATCAATCTCTTTTGCCACTGGAATTACCCTCTTTCCGTCAAGACTATGAACATATGACTTGAGCTTTTTAAAATCCCCAGGGCTTTCTGACTCGGCAAGGAGAGGGCATGGAACAGGATTTCGGTGACATAGGAGTCGGAAGTCGTCAGCGTAACATTTAGGGAGGATGATGAGGTTTGCTTGGAGGTAAGTTGGAGCCTGGCCGGCTGTCGGATGAGTGAAAGAGCCAGAGCGGCAAGCTAAGCGAAATTCCTCGCCAGTCTTGTGAATTGTATTCATAATGGGCATAGAATGCTTGCGACAATGAATAGAAGCGTTCTTTTAGAGTATTTGATGATGAAGTGAACAGCTGACTTGACGATGCCTAGTTTGTCCTACGTTGTTGGTTGCGTGGACCTCGAGAAACGATTATGGAATTTTGCTGTAGTTGTATGTTTTGAAACTCGACAATATTATAAATCAAGACCCCATACTGTCATGGATTCGTAAAGACTTAAAGGATCCTTTGATGGTGTGAGCGCCGAATCGTGTTCCTATTTGCGGGGTTGAGCCCGGCTGCATTCAGCGGGGACCCACCCCGATCTCCGATTGCATTCCGGTCCTCGGAGCTGTTCCCCGAGGCGAGGCGAAAGTAGTCACAACTCGAGTTGGAACAAGGCAGTACAAGACCATGTAAAAGGCATTAATTGAAATCAAAGACTTAGATGCGCTGATCCACCTCCGGGATCTCGGACCGAAGCACCTCCGCAAAGTCTGAGGACGGGAGTTAAAGCATCTTTGGCAGGAAAAAATGCAGTTGCCTACTTTCGATTATTGACAGCCCCTTTTACTCTTTCAGCGGCGCAGAGTCAGTATAACTTCCAAACAATGGTCCTCGATGACCCTGAACATCTGCCTCATTCACCAACGCCCTAATCTCCCTCTGCTCCTCCTCCGACAGCTTTACCTTCAGTGCACCAAGATTCTCCTCGAGGTAAGGAATCTTCTTCGTCCCAGGGATGGGAATGATATCGTCCCCTTGCGCAAGCAACCAAGCAAGCGTAAGCTGGCCGGCAGTGCACCCGTGTCTCTTCTCCGCAATCTCGCGGAAACTTTCCACGAGCTCGACATTCTTCTTGAAGTTTTCACCCTGGAAGCGAGGAATTTGCCGTCGAAAGTCCGTTTTCTCAAAGTCGTCGGGGGACTTGTACTTTCCGGTCATCATTCCCCGGCCAAGAGGCGAGTACGCAAACGTCGTGATACCGAGCTCTCGGCAGGTCTGGAGGAGATGCGTCCCAGGAGGACCCTCAATATCCAGGGACCAGGGGTTGTACTCGACTTGCACGGCAGAAATGGGGTGGATTGCGTGCGCGCGTCGGACAGCTGCGGATGAGCACTCCGAAATCCCCAAATACTTGATTTTGCCCTCACTTTGAATTTGTCAGCACCATCATCATCTTGGAATAGGCCATGCGACAAATGAACACCTGGTAACTTACTTCTTCAATTTGACCATCTCTTCGATGGTCTTCTCAACTGGCGTCGTCCCATCAAGTCGATGAATGTAGTAGAGATCAATATTGTCAACGCAGAGTCTCTCCAGACTCTTTGCACACGCCTCGCGGCACCACTCTGGTGAGCTATCAGGCAAGTACCCAAATGAGCCATCTGGTCTGAAATCCCCGCGCATGCTGAACTTGGTTGCGAGGAATATGTCGGCGCGGCGCTCAGGGTGCAGCTTAAACCACTTGCCCAAGATGACCTCGCAGTCACCGTAGAAGTCGGAGGTGTCCCAGTTTCTGGCTCCGAGCTCCCAGGCACGATCTAGAAATGCAAGTCGCTCTTCATCAGATCTTTTAGCATTACCTGGTTAGTCTTGTGATTTCAGTTTTAATCCATGGACGGGATGGCACGAACCCAGGCTTTCCATAAGCAACGCTCAAACCCATGAGTCCCAAGCCAAGGGCAGTGATCTCAGGCCCGTCTTTGCCCAGTCTGCGAGTTGGAAGGCTTGTAGCAGGTGCCATGATGGTGTATTTCTGTATGTAGTTGAAGCGATATTTTAGTATTCACGATGTGTGTTTTAGAAAATGTTTTGATCAGTTGTTTGGAAGGCAGCTTGGCAGAGGTTTATATATCTTTTACAACATGCCGACTTTGATTCCAAACCTGAATAAGGCGAGATCTCACTCGGCCATAGTCTGCCACATTTCAGATTCATGCAGCAACCGTACAACTTCATCTACAAACTCGCTGATGGGCTTGAGCATGACGTCATGGGCCAGCGCCTCCATCACCTATCTGCTCCATAGTTGAACAAGAACTGGTCAAATAAGCGAAGGTTGACCTCCTTACATGTTCTAGTGCTTATCGTTACAATTAAGCGACTACAGGCCGCCAAACCGAAACAAGTGAAACGAGGTATCGAAACCCAACCTACAGGTTGACTATAGTTTGTGGCGTGGTGCACACGGAAGCCCGCTTAAGTCCGGCTTATCGGGCATGGCGGCCGCTGAGGCCATGGCTGGCCTGTAAACGCCGAAGGCCGATAAACCCCAACTGAGGATTTTCGGAATAAAGAAACCTCAGGCAAGAATGTTCAAGTGACTTGAAGTGCTTACCAAAACTGCTTTGGTAATAGTAAGAGAAACAATGGCATGTAACGTTGTTCACAGCTCAGCATGCTTTGTCTGCGCGGGAAGCACCACTCCAAGCAATCCACTGCTTCTGAACAAACCTCAGTGGCCCCTTTATTAGACTGAAGCCATATTAATGCTTGCTTGTGTGTGTGCATCTCTATAGAATCCCATGAGTATTAACCAAGCCAAGTCAAAATCAATACCAAAAGAAGCAGCCAACAATCTTGCCACAATCCAACCGAGTAAATACTGACTTGCAAACCGCAATGCCCGAAATAACGACGATCCTCTGGCCCCCAAATCTCCTCTCTCACACCACCACCCTCTTGACCAGCTACCTAGAGCGCCACTTCTACCTCGCGACCATTTACGAAATTTGCCGCATTTTCTCTTCTGTCTCCGTCTATGTGACACTATGGCTCAACGTAATTATCAAAATCACTAACCTCAATGACAAGCTGCAAGAAGCTGCCAACTCAGATGCTTACAAACGCATCAGCAGCGTCAACAAGTTTCTTCTCAAAGGCTACCTGCATGGCTACTTCTTGATCCCTAACCTCGCAGGTCCAATATGGGTGTACCAGTACATGAACACGCGCCATGACAATCTCGAAAAACTATCAAACCTGTACGGCTTTGCGATTGGCGTCTTGCACCTGCCTTTGCTGCTGAGCGTAAGTATGAAACTGTTTCTGCCACTGGTCTTCAGTGGGCTTTGCACTGCAGTCGAGAAGCTTTCAAAGGTAATCTGGATGGTGTCGGCTTACATTCCCAGGAACCCTGTCGCCGCCATTCAGAGTCTTCTCAGGGTATTACGTGACTTTCTCCACGGCCTTCCGCATAAGATTGTGAGATTACTAGATCGCCAGATTCTCAGATCGGAGAACAGATTTCTTGTTGCCGTCATGTGGTTCGCTGTTCTCGTGCATGGACTTTTGTTTTACAGGATGATTGTCGATATTTTCCGGCCACACCTGCAGCGCCTAGCTATTGAACTTGTTGCAGATGGTCTCATGACTTTGGGAGATAAGGTATTCGAGCTAGGCATGTGGGTCGAGAGTTTGGTGGTGAGAAGGGGGTTATGGGAGGGCAAGGGATCATGGGAAGCTCGTCTATTGTAAGCTTGTTGGTATAAATATCAACTTTTGCTTCTTCGTCAATCTGCGATCCGACTTTATCTTTCGTCCTGGCCAGGAAGTATGAAGAAGGCTCAAGATTGTGCAAGGTAGCAAATCATCTAATCATTACCGGGTATAAGACTCCGTCTAATTATAATTACAAGAACAAGAAGGTAAGCTTGCCCTAAGGACCTTAATTCAGACACACCACTCGAAATAATCTTTCAATCTCTGATTTTGCCTCAACCCAACAGAAGACGTCTAAACCAAACCAAAGGATCTCATCCACCAACACTTTAATTTTTTTTCATGTTCTTTAGTCAAAAGTCTCTTCCAAATTGTCGCCATTGTGACACAAGTGAGGGTGTTTGGTTCGACGTTGGTCAGTCGAACATGACAGATTAAACGCTGCATTACGAGCTCGTTTGTCCTGCAATGGTAATACCATCAGAACCAGTCTCGATGACCTTGTATCCGTCGGCATTGCCAGATCCCTCAGCAGCTCTGTCATAAGCAGTGTCACTCCTATAGAAAGGTTAGTGGCAAGTCCCTGATTAATGGGAATAAATTTCTTACCTGTCACAAAGAACATCCAAATCCTTGTCGCTCAGGATCTCATGGCTTCCAGAGTATTGGAAAACTTGACCATCCTTGAGGAGCAGGCTCTTGAGGGTCTCTTTGTCGAGATCCTCCTTCAAGTCCATCTTTTGGCCCATTGTTTTGAAATTTCCCTTCTTGATGACGAGCTTCTCCAAGCGCCGCTTAGCGTCGGCACTCAACAGAAGCTCTTCCTCAACAGTGCCCTTAGTGGCGAGGCGGTAGACGATGACAGGCCGGGTTTGGCCAATGCGATGACAGCGATCTTGGGCTTGGAGATCTTGTTGTGGGTTCCAATCACTATCAAACAGAATGACAGTGTCAGCGCTTGCAAGGTTGATGCCCTGACCGCCAGCTCGGGTAGAAAGCAGGAAGATCCTAAAGTCGGGATTTTCGTTGAACTCTTTGATCTGGTCACGGCGACTCTCCTGTGAGACTGAGCCATCGAGGCGGCATGCTTTCCATTTGCGAAGCGCGCAGTAGTCGTGAAGGATATCAAGTTGCGTCTTGAACTGTGAGAAAATCAAAACCTTGTGATCCCTCTCAAAAAGGGAGGGGAGAAGACGGTCAAGAAGCAGCATCTTTCCAGACGACGTGACGATACTTTCATCAACGGGGGGAGCACCCTCATAGCTCCATGGGTCAAAGAAATTGTGTGGGCTATTGCAAACCAGGCGAAGTTGCATGATGGGGTTTCCAAGCTTCTTTCCAGAAAGTTCCTTCTTCGCATGGTCGACGATGTTCTTCCGATATTGCTCCTCGGGGGATAGAGTAGTGACATCCTGATCCTTCTCATCATCCAGGACTTCCTCTGCCAACCTTGCTTCGAACTCATCATCTGAAAGTTTATCTTCATCGTCTGGGTCGGTTTCGGCATAGCGGCGACGACCTCGAGTCACGCGGCCGCGACTGCTCACTGAGGGGCTAGACTGGCGAGAGGACTTTGCACTCTTCGGTTGAGGTGTCTCCGTGGTAGGTGGATCCTTGCGCTTCGAGCTTGAGCGAGAAGCTGTCTTGGCTGGCGTCTCCTTAACGGCAGCTTTGGCTCTGGTGGAGGTGCTTCTAGCCCTGCTCATCATAGCAGAGAAGGCATTAGGTTTCTTGGGCTCGGTCTCAGGAGTAACCTCCGCCTTCACCTTTCTAGGGCTGCTTCGAATGGGCATGTCAAATTTGTTCGATTTGACTTTCTCCTCTGCCTTAATCTTCTGTACTTTTCTTCCACCACGGGAAGGAGGCGCCGGTTTGTTGACAGCTGTCAGACGCTCAACGACTTTGGCCTCCAGAAAAGCGCGCGTGTCCACGTTCTTGTCGTTGATTGCATTATACATGTCGGTTTGCTCTCGGGTCATGGGTGCGAAGAGGATATACTCGCGCTTCTTTGGCAGGTACGCCGCGACATCAGCCTTGATGCGACGAAGCAAAAGGGGCTGGAGGATGACGTGGATCTTCTTGATGATTTCCTGATTTTTGCGGTCGGCGATGAACTCCTCCGTACCTTCTTCGTCTTGTAGGTCATCAAAGTCAAACCACGACTCGAACACCTCCCATTCCTTGAAGATGCCGGGAAGCAAGAAGTGGAGCAGAGCCCAGAGTTCCTTGAGGTTATTCTGCAGTGGTGTACCCGTAATAAGCATACGGGTTGCTGACTTGAAGTTTTCGAGCTCTTGGAAAAGCTTTGAGTCGAAGTTTTTCATTCGGTGGCCCTCATCCTGCAACAAGGTTAGCGTCGCATAGACCAAAAACACAAACATCATTCATAGCATGCCAGTGCGATCTAAACTCACAATAATGATGAAGGCCCAGTCGAACTTTGACAAGGCGGCCTTCTCTCTAAGAACCATCTCATACGAAGTACAGACGACCGGGAACTTCTTAGTAAGCGTGCCATCTGAACGCAGATGAGGCTTTATGTGTTCGGCCATAATCTGTTGCCTGTCTTTCGGTTCTCCATGGTAAAGAACAACTGGAATCGAAGGGCACCATTTCTGAAACTCATCCATCCAATTGGAAAGAGTGCTGAGGGGAGCAACGATGAGGTGGGGCCCCAAATAATCTTCTTCTCTGAGGCGAGCAATGAGCGAAATGGTCTGAACCGTCTTGCCTGGGAAGAGTCAGCTATATGTTTCGATTGGTTGAAATTGTTGAAGTCGTTGAAAGTGGTGAGAGACACATACCAAGTCCCATCTCGTCTGCCAAAATACCAGACATACCCTGGAGGCAAACTTCATACATCCATGTCAAGCCTTCAAGCTGGTAGTCTCTCATAGTTCCACCGGTCATGATTTTAGGCTGAGTGGCCATCTTCAAGTCATGAGCACCCAGGGTTTCGCCATCCAAGCTAGATCCAACTCTTCCCAGGACTTCTGTCTTTCTAGTCAAGATGTCACTGAAAGCAGCGGACTTTGCCAAAAGCTCGTCCAGCTCACGAGCCTTCTTTTCACGCTCTTCCTTCGTGAACTCAACCTTCTTCTTCTTTCGGCGCTTGGCAATGAGGCCAGCCTTCCTTTTTTTCTCAGCTGCATCATTAGCAGCTCTGGCCTTAGCCTCCTCATCAATCATCCGCTTGAACTCTGAGTCTATTGGCTCTACTGACTCATCTCGAGGAGGAGAAGATGGTGCGCTGGTGTTAAGCCGGGTAGTCGACAAGATGGAGTCGACATCTGAGGTAGCCGATGAATCCATGCTGGTAGCAAATTCTCTGCAACCGTGAGAAGCTGTGCAAATCGTGGAAATTGTTGTTGAAATGAGTGCGAAAACAGGACGGGACAAGGGCAGCAGAAAATCGATGATGCGATTGCCACGCTTCCAGGCAAGTTACGCTAATTTTAGCGACCTGGTGCGTGCTCCAGCGATACTTGGTTCTGGAAAAAGGCAGTTAAAGAGTGGGAAGAGTTGCATCCAAGGGTAAGGACGATTGAAATATGGAAACTGTAGGATTAATAATGAACACCCCAGGTCCCAATGGATCAAATAAGAAGGGATGGGGGGTGAATGGGAAGCATAGGCAGCGATGAACTTGTCAATGGGAAGGCGCGATAGGGGGGCAAAAATCTGGGGGGCGCGACGCGAGACAAAGGCGGAGTCAGGTGACTTCGTGTTATTAATTAAGACCCCTGCCTTTGTCTGAGAGCATCGTCATTAAATGCCTAGCAGATCGAGACGGAGATGGGGGACTTAGCGTACCCTTGTCACTGGTGTATTTCTTAATTGAATTGTTAGGTTCTTCCCAGTGATGGACAACCATTGAGTACGAATTGTTAAAACTTCTGATAGGAATTAGGAGTCGGAATGATCATGCTTTGGTGCTACGTAGATAACCGGATAATGGTATTTTGATTGTGATGCTTGAAGTATTGCCTATTAGAATCTTTGACTCTTTTCATCGCCACGTTTAGCATTCAAGTTTGAGTGGGGACTTGATGAGAAATTTTTCAGAAAAAGAAAAAAAAAAGGTATGGAAAAAAAAAAGCAAAGATGGGAAAGACTCACCTACACCGATCCTCACCGAGGCAGATGGGGTAGCTCAGTGGTGCCTAACCAATGAGGCACTGACCGCCGATTTGGAGGGGCATTGTACCTGTCCGTGCTACCCCGCCAAACCACACTAAAATTCTGTGATCTCTGACCATATCCCCCCCTCCTTTCCCTTCCACTCATGAACTCCCTCCGTGCCCTCCGACCAATCTCCCGCAGCGTCTCGCCCTATCGGTTCGCAAGAATGGCCTCCAACACTACCTACACTCCCAATGAGGAGACTGAGATCCAGCAGTGGCTCACCACCGCTACCCGCCTGCAGCAAGCCGCCGGCGACCAAGCCCAGGTCTCCCCCATCCTCGATACCCTCAACTCCCACCTGAGCACCCGAACCACCCTTCTCGGCACCAAGCCCAGCAAGGCTGACACTGCTCTCTACTCCGCTGTCCGTCCCCTCGTCGCGAACTGGTCCCCCGAGCAGCGCACCGGCGAAAAGGGCTACCCCAACATCGTCCGCCACCTCGACTTTGTCCAGAACTACCCCGCCTTCGCCGCCGATGTCAAGCCCGAGGACAAGGTCAAGATTGACCTCGATGAGGTCCTCTACGTGAAGCCTCCCGTCGACGCCAAGGCCGAGAAGGAGCGCCTTAAGAAGGAGAAGGCTGCCGCTGCTGCCGCCGCTGGCGGTCAGGAGACTTCCCTCCCCGACCGTTCCAAGGACAAGAGCGCCGGTGAGAAGGTCAAGGAGGCTGTCACTGAAGCCAAGGACAAGGTCAAGGCTGCCGTCGGCGCCGGCGAGGGCAAGCCCAAGAAGGAGAAGAAGGCTAAGGAGCCTAAGCCCCAGAAGGCCCCCGCCGCTGCTGCTCCTCTCTCCCCTGCCCTTATCGACCTCCGTGTCGGCCACATCCTCAAGGCCATCAAGCACCCCGAAGCCGACTCGCTGTACGTCTCCACCATCGCCATGGGCGACAAGCCCAACGATGACACGACCGAGTACGAGGGTCAGGTTTGCCGCACCGTCTGCTCCGGCCTCAACGGTCTTGTTCCCCTCGAGGAGATGCAGGGTCGCAAGGTTGTCGTCGTGTGCAACCTGAAGCCCGTCAAGATGCGTGGCATCAAGTCCTCTGCCATGGTTCTGGCTGCTTCCCCCAAGATCAAGGAGGGCGAGGTTGACGACCACAAGGGCCCCGTTGAGCTTGTTTCTCCCCCTGCCGACTCCAAGGCTGGCGACCGTGTCTTCTTCGAGGGCTGGAAGGGTGAGCCTGAGGGTATTCTGAACCCCAAGAAGAAGATTTGGGAGACTTTCCAGCCTGGTTTCACCACCACCGACGGTCTGGAGGTTGCCTTTGATGCCAGCGCCGTCAAGGAGCTCGGCAAGGACGGTGTTGGCAAGCTTGTTACTGAGTCTGGCGGTGTTTGCACTGTTCCCAGCCTGAAGGGTGCCACTGTCCGGTAAAGACTTGGATGCTTTGATGATCCAACAAGCACAAAAGTTATGATAGCTTTGCTCTAACGAATTCTGAACAACTAGATAAAATATTCCCATTGGCATGTACAATTGCCTCCTTCACTCTTTTGCTCCTGTTTTGAAATCACGTGTCGATTAATGTTGTCACCTATGTCTGGTGGGCCTGCTAACGACACCTGTGCTCTATTGTGATGGCTGTCAGGCTGCCTCTGCAGTTGCTGCTTCCTTCCTTCCTCATATTGACCTTCTGTATTATTTTCCCATTTGTTCAGCATCCACTTATGTCCACCTGCAATTACCATCTCGTTGTCTCTCAGCAACACCATATCGTCATCATGTCTAAAACAGAAGTTTGGGACAAGTACATCTTGCCAGTCATCGGTGCCTTGCTGGTCATCCAAGTGGCCTACTGGATGTCTTGCGACTACAAATACCTCGAACACCAGATCTACAATCCCGAGGATGGCACCATCATCGAAGACACTCAGGCTCCCCCAGAAATCCCAGTCCCTGAGAAGAAATCGTCTCGTCTCTTCCAAAGCCAGTCCTTTATCGGTTCCGGATGAGCCCCATTCTTCTCTGCCTGCGGATGCGCTCCCAGATACTTTATCAATAGGTAATTCATCCGCACCAGCAGCAATCACCAGCCATCTCATAGCCCAGTCCCGCGCCAATCAGCTCCTACCGACTCAATGTCGACTTAGATAGCGGTTAAAGAGGCAAACCTACAACTCGGTTCTTCGCCATGCCCGCAATGGCCGCGGCAGATAGGTTCGTTCGGTCTAACAACGAGACGTAGTATACAGCACTAATAGTAACAGCGAGACGGCGATGGACAACAGATGACTTGTCCTTTATGAAGCCGCTATCGGTATTAGCATCCTACGAGCCGGTAATTTTAGCCTTCAAATGTCGTCAAACGAAGAAAGACATAGGAATAGGCACAAGTCATAAATTACCTTTTCCGAGGCTGTTCAAGCATTTGCGTTTAGGCATCTGTATGGATTGTTGAGAAGTAGAAACACGTGCCCCGGTTCAAATCCAAGAATTAAGCGCGATATGTCCATTTCTCCAAGAATGCCTTCATGCAAGCCGCTGCTGTAGCGGCTGCGTAACCCTGCCACTTCTTGTGTTTGTGACTGTCGGCATAATCGCACACTCCCTTGATGACCACGCACGGGAAGTTGTCCCAGGCTCCAGCAGCTTCCATCTCGAACGCTATCACCTTTTCTCTCCTTGCGATTCGATCTCGGTGCTCGCCTGACTTCATGACCGAGTTCCCTGAGGCGACGAGCCCGAAGTGCACGCTCGGCAGCACAGCCGTCGACCGTGGAGAGGAGCTACAGAGACGCGCACGCGGAACTAGCTTGCTATTATCGCAATTAAGTTCCTCACAGGTAGCGGTTCTAGCTATTTCACAGATCGTGTTCTCCTCGCTATCATTACAAATTTTACAGCCGGAAGAGGGACTGTGTTTATGTTGATAGGTACCCTCGAAGAGCATGTCGTGGTCGGCGCCGGGGTAGAGCAGGTCGTCCCCAAAATCGGCAACCAAATCTTGGAGGTAGTGAACGAGCTTCTCGTTCAGATTCTTACGGTCATACCGGCCTTTCAATTTAGCCAGCAGGTTCCGGACCACGGGCGGAGGCTTCCCCAAAACCTCCAGTATACCAGTTTTCCTCAAGAACATATCAGGGTACTGCCTGCCGAAATCGTAAGGGACAACTCCCTCGCTGATGATGACGTCTCCCAACACCACGTCTGGTACTCCCCTCTCGGTGGTTACCGGGACGCCGCCGCAGATGCCCACCAAGAGGGCGAGGACGATGCTGGGGAAGCTGGCTTTGCAGTGTGCTGCCGCCGCGGACGCGTTCGTGGTTCCCATGTCGGCCATGTGGATGAGAACGACGTCGTGGCGGCCGATCCTGCCCATGGAATACGCGTTGGTATCTCCTTGTCGAGGCATACTCGCCGTCACATTGTCGTCCCAGTGGTCGTCAAAGAGAGACTTGACGGCGTCTGCCTCAAGAGTCAGGGCGCACAGGATGGCGACAGTGATGTTATACCGATTGTACTTTCTTGACGAAGTGTCCAACGCCGCGATAGAAGGTGCCGAGGAGCGTCTTGCAACTTCCCTAGGGCTGGAATCTTCATTTTGTTTCCAGGGAGTAGCTACGTCTTGCTGACTTCTCGTCAAAGTCAGAGATGACAATGACGTTTCTTGAAAATTGAGCTCCGACGCCAAAGTAGCAAGATTTTCTGGATTCCTTGACTCGAGCTGGCTGCCGATGTCAAGAGGCTGTTTTCCAGGCAGGGTATTGGCACTATCCGAGTTGGACGATGTATTACCAGCCTCTACATGCTGCCACCTGATGTCTTTGGGGGGAAAAGAGGCTTTCCTGGAACTGGGATCGAGTGTAGTTGTTACGGCTTCTGATTCTTTATCTTTCGTAGCATTATCTAGCAGTAATTTCTGCCTCCTGTCTTTAAGCTGCGAGATCAATGCGTGTTTGATAGAGGTTATGTTTATAGACCGAGGTAGCGCCTTGGATGGCTTAACGACGATAGAGGTCGTTGAATCGATGTCAATACCCTCAGAGGCGCGTCGGGTGAAGAGGATGATCTTCAACAAAGTTGATGGAGATTGCACTTGAACATCGCGGAGGAGGCTTTCAAAGGCCACGGGGATACGGATAGATGCTTCGATATCGTGGCTGACAAGTCCGACGTCCAAAGCGATATATAATTCCTGGACATGATGTATGATGCATTGAAGGACCTCGAACCAGTCCTCGAGAGACTTGGCCTTTTGGAACCGCTCGACGATGTCGGAAAGAAAGGTGATTGGCTTCGGTGCTGGCACCTTTTGCAAAGCCTGCAGCGCAAGTTGTCGTATCACTTGCTCTGGTTGAATTTGTCCAAGTACGCTGGTGGCTGACCTTATGAAATAGATTGTAGAAGCGTTGTCTCGTAAGAAACTCGTTATGTCGCAGCTGAACAGTTCTAATTTCTGAAACGTTTGGTACTTCCCCTGCACCAGCAAGAGTTGAGAATTGTCAGAAGTGATATAATCTTGCAATGATTTCTCGGCCCATACGTCGTTGGCACTGTCCTTTGAAATCTGTCTGGCCGCCCGATTAGCCTGAGTTGCTCGCGCCCGGTCCAGAAGCCAATCTGGCTTGAAGAAGTAGGGTGTTGGCTGCGTAAAAGCCGCAATCTTCCACAAAAGGGAGGGATCCGAGACTGTAGATTGACCGTCTGTTAATATGTCAGAAGGAGAGTCACGATATACCGGGCTGGACGACCCATTTGCCGGGATGTTCGACGTTTACCATTGATTTGCCGGAGCAGAGCCTCCAACGCATGAACAAAATCTTGTAATTCCTGCTGGAGCGTTGCAACACCGTCAGAATCAGGTATGCTGTCTGTGGATTCTGGTTTGACAGCTCGACCTCTGCAAATATCTATTTGCCGTTTTATCTCGTTTGCAAGTTCATCCATTATAATTGTTCGGCAAGGCAATTGAGACGGCTGAGCTGAAGTTGGCTCACCAATTGGCAGCCATAGAGGACAAAAGGGTCAGATACGTGTTACCAGTGTCTCGTCGTGTGAATAGCATTGACAATATGAACAATCGGCGATAAGAAAGAGTCAAGAGACCTCAAAGGAGGGGACCCAGAACGAGCAGGGTGAGCGTCGTGCTGCCGCAGTGGGGATTGTGTTGCTGCATGCCCAGTAGGAGGCACAGTTACGCGCCGCACACCCAGGTGTGTGACTAAATCAGGCTCTCCGTGGAGCGGCAATCAGCCAGCCTAATCTGCCTCTTCTACATGACCAGTATCTCTTCGGGGCCAATATTTCGAGATTCTGAGTCATTCGAGCGACAATGGCATACCGTGAGAGGTCTCGTCAGTACGAGCATCTGGCCCCGACGTCCCGGGACCGCCCGGACACTGAGACGGACGTATCGCGTCGCCGGGTACGGCCGCCACCCCGCAACCCACCGCCACCCCGCAGCAGAAATGTCCCGCGACCGCGGCCGCGACCGCCGTCTTCCAACTCCTGCGATGAGGAACAAGATGAAGATGAGAGCCCCGACGATGAAGGTAAGATTGCACAAGACTGTGTCCAAGAACCAGAACTAATATCAAACGCGCAGCAGTCTCCGTGCTATCCCGATCCCCACCTCCTCAAGTAAAACATCGCCCTAAGTACATCATCAATTGGAGAAGCGAGCTCTGTCGCCTGCTTCAGGTGTCTGACCATACGTCCGACGATGAGATTCTTGAACTGATGGACGAGGCGGAGGAGAAGCTGAGGGACGCAGAGAGACTGCAGTACCAGTTTGCCACAGACCCAGGCCCGCTGCGGTCTCAGGTGGTGTACAAGATTCGATGCTATGAGGCGCGATACAACCCGGACATGGTCTATCTCGATCCGCCTTTGGTGGTCGACAGTGGTACATATCATTCACATCTGATAGGCAGTCGAGGCATCACCAACATGGAGCTTTACCTTGAGCGTAACAAGAATATCAGTGTCCTAGTCCATCGAGAATACGCATGTTGTAAGGGCCCTACTTTCGTCAAACGACCAAGCCAGGGCGAAAAGTCTACCGAGGCCGATCTCGAACTCTTTTTTGAGCGGGAGCACGTCGAGCTGGTCTCCGAAGAGTTGCAAACAGCCCTCACGGACCTGTCGGAGCTGGCACTGAACGATATACCCCATCCGCGCTTTGATGGTGGGAAGCCCGGCGCTATATCATACCCGTACTTGTGGTGGTTCCACCGTCGAGGCGAAATTGAGAATGCGTTGAAGAAAATGAGCCTGGCCGACCAGCTGCATATCGAAGTAGTCCAGAATTATATGCAAGAACGCTTGAAGTCAGATTGGTCTAGAGTTGATGAGCTGACGGCGAGGGGAATGATCACGCTTGAATTGCTGGAATACATTTTTGTGAGTTTTCAGCTCCCAAAATCTACTAGTGCCCTATAAGAGTTTCACTCTAACAAACAATAGGTGCCAAACAGCATCCTTATATCAAAGGCCAGAGGCAACAGTATTGCTCAACTGGATGGCCTTACAGCTCAAAACTGGCTCATGGTTGATAGCTACTTACCTGAGCGATTCGCTGCGCGAATTCAAGGCTCATTTTGGGAATTCAGCGGATCCTTCCAGAGCAGATCAGTCACGCTTCCGCTTGTTCATGTCCCAGTCATATCCTCAACTGAAGAGTTCCGTATCATAGATCTCGCGGTATATCCTGCGCGTTTTGCTGAAAAGAGCGTTCCCGAAGCGCTTCGTCGACGTGGAGAGATGTTTTGGAAATGCCGCTATAGACACTATGTCTCTTACGTCAAAGACGCCCCAGATGTTGTACAGCCTTTGGTAAATAACCCGATCCCTCGAGCTATATGTCGCTGAAATTACTCAAGTTCAATTCACGCTTTATGGTCGATATGGAAACGTACAACAAGATGCACTCGGTCCAGCCGCAAGAACAGCGACCGCCAGACAGAAGGCATCACGAAGCGGAAAGAAGTCCTATCGATATGAGCAGCGAAACGCCACCTTCAGAAGATGGCTTCTTGATGTGCCTTCCATCTACCCTGAGAGGTTTTGACATGAATAAGAAAGAGTGGAGTAAGTTTTTATGACACATTCTGGCGGCACTTTGGTACCTTAGGTATTGAACGTATGCAGGACTGCTTGAGGTAGCTTTCATGCGTGAGGTGGTTTGGAATGACGAGGCCTTCAAAGACTTAGTCATCAATCCTAAAACTAAGAGGCTTGTCCAAGCTGTGGTCACAAATCGATTACGGTCAGAGGAAGGTACAGATTTGATTAAAGGGAAGGGCAACGGGCTATTCATACTTCTTCACGGGTAAGTATACTTTGTCCAGAAGTTCCATTCTCGGTGGCCTTGGTGATGCTAACTTGAATGCGCGGCAGCGGCCCTGGAACTGGCAAGACGCTCACGGCTGAAAGGTTTGAAATTTTGACTACATGTTGCGCCCTTGGGTGGCTGCTAACAGTCGCCTCAGTGTCGCTGAAATCGCCAGAAAACCTCTCTACAAGGTCACATGTGGAGATATCGGAACCAAAGCTGACGAGGTCGAAAAGGTCAGCGCTCACACCTCCTTCTCGTGAATTCTGTTAATTTGTTCAGTATCTGGAAGTTGTTTCCTTACTCGGAAAGACATGGGGTTGTGGTATGTTGTCTTTGATCCTGGCGCAAGTATCAGAAGCTGAAACCTTTCTCAAAACAGTTGTTTTGCTTGATGAGGCTGATGTGTTTTTGGAACAACGATCGCTTGCTAACCTCGAGAGGAACGCACTGGTGTCGGGTATGTCTTTATTATGTGTTGCCACATAACCTAGAACTGACTATTGTTGTTGTAGTGTTTCTTAGGGTGTTAGAGTATTATGACGGTAAACTCGGAAGCTGTAGTGAAGAACGAATGATAAGTGAGCTGACTAAAAGCAGGCATACTAATATTAACGACAAATCGGGTTGGGACCTTTGACGAAGCCTTTAAATCCAGAATACAACTCAATTTGCGGTACAGCAATTTGGATCGTGAGCAAAGACTCATGATCTGGGGTAACTTTATCAATCGACTGGAAGCGATGAGCCGCAAGCAGACCAGTGTATCCGGCGAGTACGGAATCAATGCGGCAGAAATCCGAAAGAACCTCGATGCTCTCGCCGACGAAAATCTTAACGGTCGAGAAATTCGGAACGCAATCTCAACGGCTCGACAGCTATCTTCTTACCAAAAAGAGCCGTTGGAGTATGAACATTTGAAGACTGTCATAGACGAGGCCAGAAAGTTTGAAGGTTACCTGGAGGAGCTTCATCAGGGACTTTCTGCCGACGAGATACAGCATGATATAGGGGCGAGGTGACGGCGTAGGCTTCATACATTTGAGCGTGTTTAGTACCCTGTAGCTATCGTTGAATATAATTGGATGTCGAGTGCCAGGTGCATTATCTCCGGATATTTACCACTGCAGAGCACGTGGTTGGCTGATTTACTATGAGGATTCCTCCGCTATTTTCCCGGGCTCGCCTTGCCCTCTTGTGTCACTTCATAAGCTGTTGTAGGCATGTTGCCTCGATACCTCTCTGGCTCTCGTTGCTGCACCCAACCTCAAGCTTTATATCCACCACTATTCCGCAGATACAACGCGATACTTTACAACCTTATTCTTCAGGCGGCCGAGCGATTGATTTGCTGAATGGACCCCGCACGTGAGGCTCGCCTGCTGAGCGCTTTTGGCGCAAGGCTTGGCCAAACCGCGACGCCAAAGATGCCTGCTGGTCTTTCTGCGGTGGCCATGAGTTATACCATCTCCAAAGACAATACTGCGGGAGATTCATTCCGGCACGATTGTCTTCTTGAAGAATGGGGCCAGAAAAAGCAGCGGCACAGTTCACAACGACAATCCCGCATGCGACAGACGGGGTCTCTGCATCGAATGACTCCCGCAGAACTTACCTATCAAGGAGAAAATGAGCATATGATGCGTAGCAGACTGGAAATAAATCCCGAAGAACAGCCTCTCGCGGACGATAATGGCCAGCATTTCTCAGATCTTTCCTTAGATCAACAGCAAATTGACTCTGGCGATGACGATGCACGCGCCGCAGAACTCCGGGAGAGTAAACGATGGGAGCGTATGAGGAATCGTATGAGGACGCAGGAGGCTGCCGACGAGGCTGCCGACAGGGCTGCCAAATTGGATGCCAGAAGGGCTGCTGAAGTGAAGGAAATGCGCCGCCAACAGCGAAAGGCCTTGGAGATGGCCGAGGAAGAGCGGATGCTCGCGGCCAGAAACAACGACACGACAATGGATGCTCCTGATTACTATGATAACGATGATAGTGCTAGTTTGGGGCCTTATTCTCTGCGTGATTCTCTTTACGCGGCCGCCCGTCCCACGCCTCAATCCGATACGGAGTACTCAACTCTTACCAGCACACCGCCCTTCAGCACGCCGCCCGAGATCCGCGAGGTTGTGCGCCCGCCTCCAGCATTCGAAAGGTCTCAAACTTCCCCCTTTGACGATGATATCGATCTGAGCCGTGGCGCGTCACAGGTTGACAATGCCGGCATTCCGTTGTCATTCCCTGAGCGCGCGCAATCACGTGGTTCTCCTGACCCTATTGACTTCCTGAGTCTTTCAAGGGCTGCTAGACGAGACCAGGAGCGGCAGCTTAGCGAAGGGTGGAACTCCCAAGACGACTATGAAGACGACGATGAAGCCGACTATGGACTCCTATATAGTGGATATCAGGACTCTGGAAACTATCCTCCTCCTCGCAGGCGTTACCGAACCGGGACGAGGGAAGCACTCCCTCTCTACTATAATCAGCAACGCTCGACGCGACCCCTGGATAGTTCTTACTACGTCCGCGAATCGTTGTCCAGTGGACCTAGATTCGATACTGAGGTCAAGACCTCCACAGTCTACACCGCGAAGGATGTTAAGTACAGCAATATTCCCCACAGATATCGAGACTCCGACTTCGCCTACTAGCCAACTCTTTCTTGAAAGCCGATCCTTACATTATCCATGACAAAGGCGTCTTTGAGGTTAAGATGCAGATGGCGGGCTTTGGTAAAAATCTGATATGATTTCCCCCTGGCGCGTATAGGCCTAGGGCCGAATTCTCATATGATGGTCCTCAGCTAAGCGACTGAATGAGACTTAAGACATGATAGGATGCTGCTGTCTTTATCGATGGGTAGTATCTATCTAAAATGAAAGCCTACCCTACCGATAGCACTAGTTCGATGTTTATTTAGTATAGTACATTGGTATTTCAATGGTTAAAAACGGGGATACGCCATTTTTGGTTGCTTCGTCTGTCTGTAACGGGTTAATGAGGTGGGACACCAATAAACAACCTTATTTTTAAGCGCCCGTATCACCATCTCCTGGCAATCCGCTGGTGTTACGCCGCAATCCTGCAGAGCACGTGGGTACTGCGTAAGGGGCATTCCTCCGTCATTTTTCCGGCCAAGTAGCCTTATCGCAAAACAGGCTGGGGATACTTCTTGTATCGCTCCTGTAAGCTGATACAAGCGTGTTGCCTCAATGCAACTTTAGTCCTCGTCGCTGCCATTGAGTCTGCCGTTGATACCGACCAAACCTCTCGCAATTGCGACGCGACATTCTGTAATCCTTTTCTTCAGCAGCAGAGTGATGGACCCCCCACGGGAGGTCCACCTGCTGAGCGCTTATGGCGCAAGACTCGGTCGAACCACGACGCCAAAAGTGTCTACTGGTCTTTCTGCAGTGGCCATGAGTTACACCATTTCCAAAGACAACACTGCAGGCGATTCATTCCTACAAGATAGCCTTCTCGGAGAATGGGGACAGAAAAACTGTCTCCCCGCCCTCCGCACCGTGACGCCCTCCAAGACTTCATCATTCGACTTTGGAGGAGGAGGAGGAGGAGGAGGAGGAAGAGGCACGCCTGGTGTCAACACCCGAACGTTCCACTTCAGCACAGGCAGTGACAGTCGCGGATTCTCCTTTAGCAATGCTGACGATATTTATGCCGAGTTTATGCGCTCTGGACCCACGAAAGGTGCAGGCGAAGGCATGGAGGACATTGACGGCCTCTTCAAGCCGTCTCTTCCAGACGAGGAGAGGGAAATAGAGCGCGAATCGGCCCTTCGCGCCATGGAACGCCAGAAGAGGGAACACACCGCTACTACAGAAATAGAAGGGGAGCATAGTATACGAATTAACACAGCTTCGCGCAGAAACATGGGATCAAATTCCAAAGGGCAATATAGCGTTGACGATGCTACCATGGACTGGCGACAACGACGGGGGCACTCAACCCCCCCTCCATTTCGTCCGGCTCGGCCGGCCGGAAACTACGAAGAAGCAAAAGTCTATCAACAACGGCCGATACGTCAACCTTCCTTGGACAGATCTGTGTCTTCCGTTGATAGTTATGACACGTATGAGGCAGCCGATTCTCGAGGTTATCATGGCAACGACGATAGGGCCGGGTTGGGGCTTGATTCTTCGCGTGGTTCCCATTACTCATCACCGTATGGAAGGGCGGGGGATGAAAGTTACGGGAGCCCAGAGGCGTTCCCGTCGCCGCAGCAGCCATCCGTCATGCCCCGTATGGCACCAGCTATCGACATTGAGCTTGCTCCCACTTCAAGAGCAAACGCTAAAAGAGAACATGAAATTGGGATATTTCGTCCGGTTCTCAAGCAACCGGAATCGCACCCTTTCAACCGGTCACGCGACTACTATGAGCCTGTTCTTCCGCCTCCGATATCCCAGTACGCATCTTATACCGAAGCTGGCTCGCCGCTAACTGACGTCGAACGGCCAAACACTTTCAGAAACGAGTACGCGCGTCCTCCTCCGGCACTCACAAGGGCTCAGACCTTCCGCCCTATGGCCGAAACCGATCCGGGAAGGGGTAGCCGCTCGAGGCTGCAGCGGCAGGATAGCGATGACTCGGATTCTGATATAGACATCCGCATCACTCCAAGGAGGCGACGACGCAATGCGGTGGAATACTATGATCAGCCGCGCTCTAGTCGGTACAATGTTTCCGGTCCACGAGCCGTCCCGACGGGGGTGCCACCTCCTGGTTCGTATTACCGCGATGAGTCTCCAACTAGGGCTTATAATGAGACAGAAGTATTTTACGACGGTGATAGATTCGTTACCACCGAGCCGCCACGCAGATTCTAGGATACCGTCAATGTTCAGTTTAGCAGCATCCTTTACAGGTACCGGGATCACGAGTACGCTTGTTAGCGACTTTAATCTCTGGCGTTTATTCTGCTGCTCTACACGTTAAAAAGGCGTCCTGGTTGGCACGAAGAATGCCGTTGGACCGTGCCTTGTAACTCGCAAATCTGTTTGGTATACAATCAGGCTTCGGCGAAAGGCCGTTATGATCCTGTTTGGCCACAGGCTCAGGATCAATTTCTCAATTTCTAGCCAGAGCGAAGATGAAATCCACACCAGCACAAGATCTGTCCAAGGTCAAGGTCCCAAGGGGTCAACATAACGGCATCAACATACGAACTCACAAGGACACCAACCAGCCTCATGTGGTGGATGAAAGATGAACGCATAGGAGGCCTTTCAGCTTGATGTGGATTATAGACAGCTTCTGGACAAGCGGCATGTGGGGGATTTGATGATTGGCGGATATCGTCTTTTTGGGTATCAGCGGAAGCTTACTCACCATCTATTAGAATTGCTGGCCAGGGGAGACATACCAGTATGTCGGCAGAGGGCGGCTCAAAACAGCCTTTGTACATCAATGTCCATATCAACCAAAGCATGGCATCACCAAAGCACAAAGGGGGCATCATCGTAAACACCATTTCTTCGCATTATGTCCATTTGCTTTTGTACATTCCAATAACTTTTGAATAATCCGTCTAGGGTATGACCACACCACGCCTGAAAAAAGGGACTAGACTAAATAAAGGGCCTATTTCTTACCAGCCTTACCGCCAGCCTTCCTCTTGACGGACGCAACGAGCCCGCCAAGATCATCCGCATCACCCTTCTTATCCTTCTTCGCCTTCTTTCCCTGCCTCTCGGCCGGCGGCTCCTCGTCATCAACCTTTCTCTTCTTGCGGCCCTCCTCGAGCAGCTTCTGCATGCCCTCCGTGGCCTTGAACTTGGGGTTAGACGGGTCGATGGCGTACTCGTGGCTCTCGAACACGGCCTTGAAACGATCATCACCGACGTTCATGTTGAAGCCCTCTTGCAGGCCAACCTTCTCGTCGTCCTCGTCGCCGCCCTTCTTGTTCTTCTTGTTCTTGCCCTTGCCCTTCTTCTTCTTCTGCTTCTCCGCCCTAAGGATCTCGTTCATGTCAAAGTGGTCCAGGTGCTCCGCATCCTCGCCGTCGTCGTCCGCCATAAGCAGCTTCAGCTGGGCCTTCTGTTCCGCCTTCTCCTTCTCCTCGGCCTCGCGCGCCGCGCGCTTGGCAAGCCTCTCCTCCTTGCGAACCGCCGTCTTGGTCTTCTTGGCAGGCTCTTCAGCGGTGAAGAAGGGGTCGTCAAAGCCAAGGTCATCTGCTTGCTCCTCGGTCTCCTTCTGGGTCTCGGCAGCACCAACGTCGGCACCTTCACGCTTGGCGCGCGCCATTTCGCGCTTCTTCTCCTTGCGCTCGCGCTCTTTGCGCTTGTACTTCTCAATTGTCGTCTCCTCCTCGCCCTCCTTCTTCTTGTCCTTTTGCGTCTCCGTGAGCGCGGGGGTGAAGGTGATCTCCATGTCACCAACGGGCACGTCCTTGGACTTCTTCTCCTCCTCGGCGCCAAGACCCAGCATCTCTCTCATCTTACGGCGCTGAAGCTCCTTCTTGGAAAGTTTCGGCTCCTCAGCCTCAGCCTCAGCCTCAGCATCAACCTCTTCCTCGACGCCGCCCAGGGACTCTTCGTCTTCGTCTTCACTATCACTAGCCAGGTACGCCTTCAAGTCGTTCTCTTCAAGCTGCGCGCGGCTGCCAGTGAAGGCGCGGTTGATTGATGCCTTACGAGCCGCATCATCGGGGTTGACATCCCAGGTGAGCTTGACCTTGGAGTGCTGCAGCGCGTCGGTGATGAATTCGACAGGCTTGTAGCCCTCTGGAATCTTGTCGCACTCATCCCTAGGTTCGTCGTCGAATGTGACATCGTCGGGGACGAATCGCAAGTCCAAAAAGTTGGATGAGGACTGGTATTCCGTGCCGTCGGTGGCCTCGTACAATTTCTGTGCCGTCGCCTTGTCAGAGCAGACCATGACGGCGTAGTAGTACCGCAACCGATCCAGCTGGTATTTCCGCAATGCGTCGCTGTCAAAGTCCTCGGCATCGCCCTCCTCGAGCAATTCTTTCTTGATGGCCTCATCCTCTTCCTCGTCGCTCGATTCGTCGCTGTCGTCGTCATTCTTGAAGATCTCCTTCGGGGGTCCCTCGAGCTCTTCCCGTTGCATGCGTTCCTTGCCAAACTCGCTGGGGTATACGGAGACCTTCTCAATGCGGCCGCCGACTGGAGGCAAGAAGCTGGTAAAAAGGGCAAAAAGATCGGCGGATTTAATGTTGTCCCAGTCAAGATTGACAATTGCTATCCTGTTCGTGACCTCGCCGTCCTCGACGTCGGCCTGCTCATCGCGCAGTCGTGACATGGACGCCTTGGGGTCAGCAACGACCTCCGCCTCTTCCTCGTCATCATCGTCATCTGACGACTCGGACTCGGACTCGGACTCTGAGAAACCGCCGCCACGCGCAGGGTCGTACTTGGCGTCCGCCTTAGCCAGCTCCCGCTCGACAACGTCGTCCTCCTCGACCTCCATATCATCCTCGCCATCCTCTGCCTCATAGAGTCTCTCCAAAGCCTTCTTCTTCGAATCGGACTTGACTTTGCGACCGTATCTGTCGACCTTTGCGGTAGCTGTGAAGGAGTCGTCTTTCAGCATGCGTGAGAAACGCTTGTCGATTGTCGTCTTGGTCTGCTTCTTAGAGGGCAGACGGAACCGGGGGTCGGTCTCGAAGTTCGAGAACCGAGAGTCGGTGATTTTGCCATTTTTTCCTGATTTCGAAGACATGGTTGCGGCAGTGGTTGCTGACGGGCGTGTTGTGTGAAATTGGAATGCCTTCGCCTCTGTCGCATGGAAAAATGAATGTGGGGTGGAAGTTGGATGGACAATTTTTAAGTGGAGCCTCGGTTTCTGCCGAAGGCGGTCAGTACATACCCGGTGGCTCTCACCGAGCTCACCGAGATGACTTACATGCTGAAGCCCCATGCTTAGGACATCTCTGATACTATTAATTCCCAACCATTGAATGGAATAAGGCCAAGATTTAAACCAACCTTGCGAACAAGATAATATGTTACTTTCGCCTGTCATTGCAGTTCAATAGTCTCACTCATAACAAATCTGCCTCTTTCCTTACGATTTGATTACTGAATGGCGACTTCCTCCTTTCCTTAGATCTCCTTTAAATCGTCCCTTCCACAGCAACACGATATCCAACGAATGCAAGCTCTTGCTCTTTTCTATCTACTTAAACCCCCATCTCCATTCCTTTACTTTACTCTACTCTCCAACCTTGACCCTAACAACTACTAGCACCTCAAGTCAAGTGCACACGTATTTATCGGTGTGTTTCTTCTTCTTCTTAGAGACCAATTACTATCCATTATTTTCTCTTCGCCCTCATTTACAATAGACTTTCTCTCTGCATGCACCTAATTCTTCGTCTTGACATAACCTCCTTCACGATCAATCTATCTTCTGATCTCTATCCCTTGAGCACCAGCATAAATAGGCAAATCTGGCTGATTTCATCCCGTTCTACCTAGCTCTCAACAGAACACTACGTTATTTCGGATTACACTCAAGCACAGAATTTAAATCTTGAAGTCAGCCTGATATACTCGTCCTCCCTCCCCAAATTCTCTGCTCTTGCTTAATTACCAGTCCGTTTCCTCCCTTCTTTCCTTTTCAGTTGGAAAGATAAGCGATATCAACCGGCAGGTCTTCTCTCTGGAGGTCCTAAATACCTCATTCATTATTTCTCCCTTCTATCCCACAAATCATTCATCCTCTCAGTCCAACCTACTCAATTCCCGCACCTAACCTTCCCAACTCAAAGTACACCTCTCAGTGATTTCGCCAGTGCCTTCCATCAGCATCAACAGGATTCTTCCGGAATCTTTATTCTCTTCAAAATGATCAACAATCCTGCTGTGTTGATGGATAGTGTAATGGTTGGCACTGAGGCAGATGCAGCTGTACACAACAGGGAGGAATTCCAGCGTCAGGACGATTTGTCGCTCATTAATTTACTCAGCCCAATCTCGCCAATCTCTAATATAACATCTGATTACCAACAGGGCCAGAATATCAGAGAGTCATCACTCAAGGGCGATTTGGACGACCACGAGCCGCATGATAAAGGTCAATTATCCCAGTTCACCAATCAGTCTGACGAAAAAGGAAATGTTGCTCCTAGTCATCATGGAGTCTTTGGACATGAAGACTCTTTAATGTCAGATACTGAGCCTGAGGATGAGCTAGACGATACTAGCTTTCAGTCAGAGGAAAGTAGTCACGAGTCGTCTCCTGAACCAGTAGTTGTGAAAAAGAAGATCAAACATACCACGGGACCAAGATTGAAAAACGCGAAGGAATATAACGCGAAGCGTCAAATTGAGGCCGAAACTAGATTGAAGGGTCACATTCGAAGAGAGCTAGCCAAGAAAAAAGCAAACGAGGACCCCGACTCCGACATCGAGCCCCCGAAGGCAAGAAAAAAGCCGATGCCCTCTAGTCGTGCTAAGAAGACCATGACCGACAATGTCTTTGAGGAGGATCTCGATGGCCCTGTACACCATGATGGTGCACTTCCCTCAGGGTTGGAAAAAAAGGTCGCAAATGAACTCAGACGAAAACAGATCACAGCACATAAGAACCAGGGGTCGAACAACCGACGAAGCAATACACAAGCTGACGATTTAAAAGAAGCTACCAAGCTTTTCGGCCATGGTAGGGTGGAGTGCCTCGAGGGCAACAAGTACCAAATCAAAGGCACAAATATCCGTCTCCACCAGTGGCAGTTGAACCCTGTGGCTTGGATGGTGAAACGAGAAGTGGCGCGAACACCGCCATTTGGTGGTATCTTGGCTGATGCTCCAGGAATGGGAAAAACCGTCATGTCTCTGTCTTGCATCGCTGGGAATCCCCCCATTCAAAAGGACATTGAGGAGTACAGTCGAACCACCCTCATTGTTCTCCCGAAGGCGTCAGTCAGGGATCAATGGGTGGCGGAAGTCAAACAAGGTATCAAATCAGTCCGGACATATTGCTATACACGCAAGTCTCACCACGGCACCGGAGCTAGGCTGGCTGATTATGACATCATGTAGGCAGAGGAGCTTAGCCTTGGGTATTGTGTATATTTGCTAACGGTCTTCATAGCTTGACTACTTTCACTGAACTACTGGCATACCCTTCCGACGAAAAAGTTGCAAAGCTTCAGGAAATTTACGCTGAGGACGAGATTGGTTTCAGAAAGGCCCTTGGGGAAATCGCGGGGGAGGTTTTCAATATGAAATTCTACCGAGTTATTCTTGACGAAACGCACGAGATCAAGAACCCAAAGACAAAGAGTAAGTTATAACATAAGACTGAATCTTACAATCTGCTTACAATATTCATAGCTTATAAGGCGTGTTATGCCCTTGTTGCTAAGTCGATATGGGGTCTCAGTGCCACACCCTTAGTAAACAGCAGCAAAGGTACTTGGAACAAACATCATCAGCCTATGGATTGATAAGCTGATTGAGACAACAGAACTTTTCCCCTACGTAAAGCTTCTGCGAGTGGAAGGAATATCAGACCACGCTGACTTCAAGATTGCGTACGGCGAGAAGGTGAGCTGCTGGAATAACCATCTTCAGATGATCACTAAGAGCGATGAGTGTTGACACTTCTGCATAGCATACTTCTGCGGACAAGGTAGACGCATTAATCAATCTAATTACTTACAGACGGTGAGAAGGTTCAATGAAAATTCATTCGAGCATGGCACTAATCCTTATACCTCAGCACAAAGAATGATGAGTTCCTGGGTGAGAAGATTTTGCAGGGGCTTCCACCCTTCGAATCAGAACAAGTGTGGGTTGAACTATCGCCAGAGGAGCGCTTCCTTTACAAGTAAGTTCAGCGATGTCCTTTTGATTATTAAGAACTATTCCTAATATCTGGAGTAGTTTTGTCACCCAGCACTACGACTCAGTTTCGCCAGAAGACCGCATGATGCAGATGTCGCGTCAGAGACAAATGATTTCACATCCTTACAACATAGAAAGAGCTTTTCGAAATGATTTCGGATTTGAGGCTCTGGAAAGTGTAATGGGTGGTCTGTTGGCATTACAACGCATCAATGCAGACCAAGCTCTGGCCACTGAGGGTGCGACTCCTTCTGGCGATACAGCCTCCGCTAATGACAGTGTGGTTGAGGCAGACCTTTTGGGACCTCTTTTCAGCAACTCAGAACAACCTATCTCAATGGAAGAACAATTGGGCATGAGCTCACTATTCCGCTATGCCAACAATGAGGCTGTGGTTAGGGGTCAAACTTGCGGATGTTGCCAGAAAAGCCAAATTCAAGAACCATGGGTCATTAATGCCGTACGTGCAACGTTTCTTCAATTTGCTCATCAATTTGACCCAAGCTAACCCTTCTTTAGTGTGGCCACATGTTTTGCTACTCCTGCATATCGCGCACCTGGCTACATGGAGCTAAGTGTCCAGCATGCAACAATCCGTACAACCTTAAGGGAGGTATTCGGCCAGTCTCAACCCTGACCACCAGAGAAGAAGAATGCGATAAGAAGGACTCTCAAGATGCATTTGAAATGACGAAACGAGCCTGCGATTCTCCTTCTAAAAAGTCAAAGAGAAAGGCCAAAAGCCCTAGTATGAGGTCCATTGAGAAGACCTGGAAGACTTTCATTGGCAAGCGACATGGGGCCGACGCCAACGGCGTCTTGCCAGCCCTGGCAGATGATGATAAAGCCTTTCTAAAGATCGCCTTACAAGAACACAACAATCTCTTACCTCTTAGCGCAAAGCTACGTAAGGCGCGCGATATCATGCTCGAATGGACTGAGAAACACCCAAATGACAAATTCATCGGTAAGGCATTTGTTCTCATTACTTCTCGCGCTCGAAATCCCTCCAAAGTGAGAAGCTAACTTCATCACAGTCTTCCACGAGTTTGTCAAAACTTCAGTCATCTTGGGTATCATTTTGAACAATGAAGGCATTCCTTTCGTCTACTTAAACGGAAAGGTCACCAGTTCTCAGAAAAACCGGGCCATCCAACAGTTTAAAGAAAACCCTGAAGTTAGAGCCTTGGTGCGTTGAGTTTACCATTTTGCGCCTACATATCCCACCTTTCATAATGCTAACATCCAGAACGCAGGTCTCTTCCGGGAAATGTGGCGGACAAGCACTCAATCTCACGGTGGCCAATCGTGTCCTGTCAGTTGACATGTGGTGGAACGACTCGATGGACGAGCAAGCTGCGGGTCGCGTCAACCGAATCGGACAACGCAAGCAGACTTATGCCGTAACTATCAAAGCCCGCGACACCATCGATGATCATATCGTCAATATGCAGGAAAAGAAATCGACAGAGATTGCACACATTCTCCAGGACGACAATCACGAGACCAAGCTCTTCAGTGAGTGGGAGATTATGAAGTACACTGCGCCACAGGCATGGAAGACGTTGACGAAGCGGCTCATCAAGGAAATTCGCGAAGAAGACGGCATGAGTGAAGACTCGGATAACAGTGACCAAGAGTGATTCTCGACAAGTTCGCATATTGAGAAGGAAGGCCCCAATTGAGGAAGCACAGTGGCCACTTGGGGGACGCAGAGAGCATATCATGGCGTTGTGGGTCTTATTTCGGGTTTCACTTGTTTTTCCATTGAAAATGGTGGTAGAAAACCCATCCTTTGGTATCCCGGACATCGACATCCTGGTATCATACAAAAGAGGTGTGGCAGACCAAGGATTGGTGATGGGTGAAAGCTGAGTTGGCTCTGATCGGAGGGGAACGAGGTGCGGCTTTATATAAAAGGCTCAGCAACAATCATAGTTCGATCAGGAGCTAGCACCTGGTCTAGTCTTAAGGCCGAAGAGGCCTCTATCGTAAGTGATCAATTAAGAAAGTTGATAGACGGTCGTCACCCTTATCCGGGCGTCATAATGCCATATTTCTACTGATTGTAAAACTCAATGTAGTACATTTAAGTCTGCTACCTGGTGGAGAAGTACTATTCCTAACGCGCGTTAAAGCCTATTATAAAGCCACAAACGTAGGCAGGCGTGGGGCTATCTTCATGGCCATGAAAGAAGCCTGCCCACCTCTCGTGGCCATGAAAGGGTGGAGTGTCAGCAAAGCTGGCTTCAATCACTCTATAGAGTTGCATCTCGTCTATGAACACCCTTATTTAGATACACCAAGTTGGCGACCTACTTGTACTTCACCACCCGCTAGATTGATTGATACAGCAGAACCAGAGTCTATTAACTAGGCTCCCCGTTTTATTTGTGGCAGGCAACTTGTGAACTCTCTGATCACCCTAGACAGGTTTGATTGCCTCGCACCGTGGATATTCAATAGCATCAACGTCAAGTAGTATCTGGAACATGTATATTCGCCATCTGACTATCGGCAGCCGTCATACTCTATCTTTTTATTGCAGATAACCAAGCTTAGAGGGCCGAAAGCTTCCGTAAGTTGACCCATCCCGATCCTTGGCATCACCAGGCAGCGGCGGACCAAAGTCGAGGGACGGTGTTCTATCCACTGAGCTAAGAAATTGATCTTTACCAAAGTCCCCAAGTGATGGTTCCTAAACTACTGTGCCGCGCCGCAACATGTCAAAGACGGCTCATGCCACTGTAAAAGTGGAGAGGCTTGCCTGGAGAAGAGGGGCCTTGGTAAAGATGGTTTCTCAATTCGTTGAAGATACCCTGGATTACTGGCCCCTCCACCGGGACAGGGGCAGCTAGTGTTGTTGGAAGCCCCCGCAATGCAACCTTTGTTGCGTCGACCAACAGTTGACAAGGTGACCATGAGCAAGGATGATCCAGCGGCGCCGTTGTTATATGAGGACGACAAGCCATACTCGATCCAACTACCATAGTCACGATTCCCTAGTGTGAGCCTCAGTCCACGTAATGTCACCACCTCAACTTGAATTCCCCTCAACAGGGCCATCCATTTTCTCCCTCATCGCCAAATCACCACCGGAAATCAATACACAAATCTTCTCCCACCTCACCAACAGCGACCTCAAAATCCTGCGTCTTACAAACACATACCTTGCAAACCTCGTCGGACCTCACATCCGCTTTAAAAGAGCCTACATATCCGCCAACGCCCGGGACATTGAAGTCTTCCGGGCCGTCGCAGAACACGAAACATTCCGCCACCGCGTTCGCGAAAATCGTCTGGGACGATGGACGCTTCATAAGATGCCAGGAAATGGAGTCCGGGTACGAGGAGCGCCACTACTACGAAGACTTGTTATCCGAGGACGAGACGCCTCCCCCAGGCGTTCCTTTCTGGTTCTTTCGGGCTTGCCAGGAGAACGTCGAGTACCTGGACTACCGACGGGGCAAAGATGTCAGGACGATACCGCAGCACGTGGAGACTGCGCAACAGCTCGCGAGCGCGCTCTCACCGCTAGAAGCATATAAATACTACCAGGGCCTTCTCGAACAGCGGGACAAAGTGCTAGCCGCATCATCTGACATGGCCGCTTTCGAATGGGCCATCGAAAACGACAAGTTCCCAAATCTACAGAGAATAACGCTTACGCCAGCGGCACACGGCATACTCTTCAAACCGCTCTACCAAACACCGTTAATTCGCTCGTTTCCGTACGGTTTCAACTACCCGCTCCCCCGCGGGTGGCCTACACCCAACGACGGATCCAGAATCGGCTGCGAGAACTGGGAGAACGGGGCGATAAAGAACAAGTGGCGCGGAAACCGCGCCGTCACTCCGCGTTCTCTCCAAACAGCAGCATACCAAAGTTCCGGAACTGATTAATCGACGGCAACCAGATCAAATTCCGGCATCACATCCGAGATATTCTACGCGGAGCCGTGTGAAGAAGTACGACAAACCTAGCAGCCGTACTCCAAAAGCCGGGGGTTCTCCACGCTCAGGTTCAACGTCATGGTAGGCGGGCAGAGCGACTACGGGGTACCCGCGCGTTCCGCAACGGGTGTCTCAAAGGGGGGCTCTGACGGCCGACTTGCGGGACTTCACCCTGAAGACGGACGAGGACCAGAACCTCGATATGGGGCCGCAGTGGCCCGTTCATATGATCCCCCGGATCACTTTATCCCCTTGCAGTCAATCTTCCCGGTGGACGACGCGTGGTCGAATCTGAACCCACTTCGGTCTCGTACGCTTCCTCGTGAAAACAGCGAGACCTCCTCGACTTGCTCGCGTTGCTGCCCAGCACGCTCCGTTCCGTCGAGCTGAGTTTCCTTTGGTTCATGAAGAATAGCGGGCACTATAGGGACCTGCTCGTGGACATGCGGAATACACTGGGCTGGCGCGAGCGGGAGGTTAACTTAAGGCCGCGGGTCATGATCCGCGACGATTCAGGAGCAAGAATGGCCGGGCGTGGCGTCTGTATAGACAACGAAGTCTGTGAGCTTTTGTACGGCAACGGCGAGAACCCTTACCCAATTGACCCCAACCCGGAGGTCTACTTCAGGTCGGTCGGTTACGGATTTGGAACGGAGGAGGATGCGTTCGAGCCCAGATTCAAGCGGCCGTATGTGATATCGACCGAGCTCAATGCGGCTAGGGATCCGCAAGGGGTATGGGGATGACTGAATTGGGGATCAGTTTTCAAAGTGGCGGATGTCGCTGGAAGAGTCTCGGTCCGTCGCCCCCCACGCATGATGATGATCTTGTAATCTGACAAGCATGGTTGGAAATACTGGAAAGGATTTTCTGGTTAGTGACTTTGTCACCTCAAAGCAACAACAAGAGCCCCTGATGTCGAGTGTTTTATGCCCCAAAGTTTGTCTTCCTGTTTACCTTCCACTTGAAGGGGTGGCCTCGGTTATTGGGATGCGTCAATAGCCCATCCAAAAAGACGGCCAAGCCTTTGCTGTACTTGGTTTCCTCCATTCTTCAGGTCCCCTTAGCGAGATATGACTCATAGACTCTACAGCATATCTTACTTTCTCCTGAGTGAAATCTTTTGTAACTTACAGCACATTCATCAAAGCGCAGCATAGACTGTGGTCGTGGGGTAGGCTGTGTAAAGCGACCAAGGTCGTCAAAATGACGAGAAAGTGAATGGATAATGACACGTTCATTATTCTAGCAAGGCATTCTCTTCCGATGTTCTAAACTATAGTACTCTACCGTTGGTCGACTTCCTCTGTGTTACCGCTTTGAAACCAGTTTCTGTCACCTCCCATTGATAGTTTCTTAGCCTACGTTTTAATGGAAACGATGTGGTCGCAAACTCGACCAAGTGGAAGGCAGGCCACATGCGCCTTGTAATATCCAGGCCGAGGCTGCAGCAACACCGCTCCTGGATGATGCGCTCAGGCGAGCATTCCATCAAGCCCCCGATTCCAGGTTAGCCGCTCGGCGTCCTTGGGCGACACTGCCTGAATGAGCATTCACAGCAGCGTCTGCTAGTAGTATATTGAGGGCTGGTCATGTCTGTAACAGGGATGGTGGTCTGTGAGACCATATCCTGTCAGCAGTAGGTAGAGTGAAGAGAAATACTGCAAAGCTCGGTATTTTGAAAAGCCCGTCGCGACGTAGCGCACGGCTGGCTCACTTTACTTTTGTTAGTGAGCTGGGAACACGGGCACCGCGGGTGCCGAAAGTAGTCAGCCTTTGGAGTGGTCACTTCGGAGACGAGTCCGGCTCCATCTGTTGTCCTGATAAGCAGCAGATGCCGATATCACATTGTGGCTGATCATCTGATGTGTGCTTATCGACTGCTTATGTGGTCGAGGCGTTTGCCGCGTCTCCCCCCACATAGTAGAAGTATGTGCTGGGTTGGGTATGAAACGATTAACGTCCGGACTACTCAAGTACGCTAGTGTTCAAATGAGAATCCTTGCCGAGTGATATTTGCTGGCATCGTTCGTCTCAACGTTGTGCCCAAACTCTGAGTGGTCTGACAAAGTCATCATCCTGCAGATAGTCGCCGTTTTCATGGCATATCACAGACGCTCGATTTCAGTGGCAAATTTCACTGCTCGAAGTCAGGAGCTTAGTATCCGGGTAGTAGCAGAAGGCCAAATGGCGTTTTTAAAGTAAAGACTCTCGGCTTTTAGATGACAATGGGTGACTCTGTGGCCCCTGCTCAATCACGGTCTCACGAGATGTTTAACCAACAACGTTGGTTTAGGACGATACTTTTCACCATCAAAGTCATCAAAATGATGCTCCATATATTCCATGTTTTGCGCATCAAAGTCAACCACGAGCCAGGGCGCACCGAGAATTGTAGCATTGGAGGGACTTCGCTACTTTACTTCCTGGATTACCCATCGGAGGGCCAACCAGTGAACAAGCCATGAGATTGCATAAACAAGATAGGCAGAAACCTTAATTAGAACCAACAGCAATCTAGGAACCTCATAAAGCTTGATTGTTATTTAGTTGCCAGCGGGAAGGTGGTTGAATGGCTTGTCTTGATACCCTTCGTAAACACTCACATCTTGTTTCTTTGTGCTTGCTTATTGCCTGTTGTGAAAAGTCTTGCAAGATGGTAAGACATTCATTCCGACTCCATTTTCCGCATGCGGAATTTACATCCACGAGGCTGAGCCCCTTCAAGCTGCCACGGACTTTTCAAATACCGCAACGGCCGCTGTCGACAGGGAAAAACGCGTCTGTGGCGCAGTCTACTGGCCATAGTCATAGCTCCTGACAAGTTATTTAAGCACCAAGGCTTGGTCAAAGCTCCCAGACAGGCCAGCTATCGTAGGTATGGCGGAGTGCCGGTTCCAACACGAACTTTAAGATGCACTAGAGGCAAGCGGTGCCCTGAATTTGGATTCTCAAAAGGTCTCAACCCTCAAGTGGAATGATTTCGGTAGAGTTGAAAGGGGCTGCAAGCTGAACTTGGCAGATTGAATTGCAGTGGCCGTAGATCATGTCTGAGATACACTTGTCTTGGTTATGGGGAGGTGTGCACCTGGCTTGGCCAGACCATGTACAAATATCTCCAGGGATCGACAGGCCCCTTGAGGCACTAGAAAAAGTGTCCAGACCCAATGCTCGCTGGTCTCGGAATGACTGCTTGACTACTGGACCAACAGGAGCACCTGTGAAAGGCTCGGGGGAGTAATTGCCGTAAGGAGGAATGATCCGTCATCCGAAGGTTGAGATGGGGAGCCGAGCAACGGCTTTCTAAAACGCAGTTAAGCAGGACCCGCATGAATGTCAAAGGACCAAATGACCATTTCTGGGACCGTATTGGGTGGTAAGAGTACGTATTGGAGGGATGGAATTAGCCCAGGTCAGAAGGTCTGCTTGAATGGGCAAATTGTTTGGCCTTAAAGTTCATGGGGTTGAGGTTGACGGACGGGCGGAGTCCATCTCGGTCTCGCGATTTTAGTTTGGTCAAGGCTGAGCGGGAGAGAGCACGGGCGGTGGAGATGGAGATTGGAGAGCGGCGTTGATCTGTGTGCGCGGCAACGTGGAGGAGCGACAGCTGGTCGGTTCGGATGAAAAGAAGTCCCACGGAGCCGAGCAGAGGGGGAAGCTTAGGCAGCCGGGGCTTGACGGTGGCGTCAGGTGTAGACTCGACCGAAATATGGACGGGAGTTGAAGGCTCTATTGAGATGGTATTACGTGGTGCTTCGGCATGTGCGGGTTATTCCGTTCTCAAATAGCCTGGCGATCTGGTGGAGATGTTAGTGTTTGTGGTGGTGGTGGTTGTAGTATACAGCCGGCTGAATGCGGATAAAGTTGGCAAAGGATGCTAAGAAAGAAGGTGTAAGCCAACAAAACCCCCTCCCCCGAGGTACGAAGGAGAGTCGAGAACCCCACCATGAATGGATGGGATAGAGCGGTAGAGGTGTTTTGGTCAGTCTGTTGAGAAGATCCCATCCACCATCTTGCCTACTCACAGACGACGATGATGTCCGCGTCCCAGTCTGAAGGTTAAGGTTTCCATCTGTGACCAGGGTTGCACGGCCTCAGCGGGAGGATTAAAGTGCGATGGCGATGTCATTGGAGGCGCGGACACAGGAAGTCAAGATTTAGGCAATTTCAGGTCGAGCTTGTTCAGTCGCGTCAGCAGGGAAAGCCTTGTTACGGAAGGCTGCTCCGATCAGGCGTAGGTTAGGGTTGGATGAGCAGGCACGCAGGACAGAATGGGTTGAATTTTACCCAGTCAGAAGGAGGCGTCCTGTACGATCACCTGCACCCCCCCCCCCCCCCCCCCTCCTCTACAGCCTGGTCCACGAGCTCGGGGTCGCGGTAACATTACCCAGATACGGCAAGAAATCTGGTACGTACTCACCGGCATCTGATTCTTTTCCGAATCCGATGACGTTTGTTTTCTCAACTAGCAGCAGCTGGCGCTGTGAGGTCGGACCTGCTCCGTCTGAAAAGCACGGCAGGTGGAGTTGGAAGGAGCATGTCAAAAACCATAGGACTGGATTGGACAGTAGTAAGAATGCTGAATGTACGTACGTGGCTATACGCCTGGATACGGCCAGCAGGATCTAAAAGGGCAAACCTAAAAAAAGCAGCTGAGACGATAAGATTTGAAGCTTTCGTATCGAGAGTTAAGCTGGCTTGGCTTTGGTTGGTTTGTAGTGCATCGGTCATTGGGCCATGATGAAGCAACTTGGTTCTAGCAGGGCGAAGCGGGCCACCTGGAGAATGCAATGCGGTGAACCGATTTCATCGGAATCATGAAGCAGCGCAAATGGGGAGACTTGAGTTCGAAAGCGTGAGGCCCCAATTTTGTGCTTGTGACGTTTGTCCTCTCCAGAGTACAAGAGACGGAGCAGGGATCACAAAGGGATCAAAGTCCCCAAATGGCGTTGAGACTTGTCTTAGGCTTGCCCGTCGTCGTCGACCGCCTGCGGTTGGGAGAGATTGCAAACACGGATGATCCAATCCAGCGTCCAGACACAGTCCAATGAGACACGAAATCAGGGGTCATGTCTCTGTTTATTGTTTGGCTACGAGAGGGAATGCAGTGTCGGATATCGCGACTAGGAAAAAGAATAAGAAAATATGGGATAGGTCCGTTTCCCGGAAAGATGACCCCAACGTTCCGCTGACCTCCTGCGTCCAGAGTTTGAAAGGGCAAACGAAGGGAAAGGTGTCCGTTCGAATACGCGAATCAGAGCACATTGGCAACGCGACTGAAGACAGACCGCCAAATCATAGAGTGTTTGGTTGTACGGGGGGCTATTGATGCCAGCGGCGGTCACGAACGAAATAGTAGGGTTTTCACCGCCTCCTAGAGTATCTTATCCCATGGTCATGGCAGGAGGCCATCCCCGCCCCCCCCTAACCTGCTGTAGACCGCCCCAGTCAGCGCTGTCGACCTCACAAATAAAGACTGGCGGAACGTTGCAACTACGCAGTTGGCTGCTCAGCCCAGCTGGTAGCGCCATCGGATGTAGGGACGGTGAGAAGGGGACGTGCCGTGGTTCCTGGCAACTGGCGGCGGACTTTTAGTTTTTTATTGTTTTTATTTTATTCGCCGGTCCGCTCCCTGTCCTCCTTGAGTAAGCAATGGCACCGATCCCACGCCCCCTTGGCTCGTGCTTTGGGGGAAAAAAGGAGAATGTTGTGTAAAAAAGAGAACACCCGGTAAGTGCGTCCCGTCCAATGCAAGCTGTTGCTCTGTGCGGTGAAGCTTTTGCAGGCACATGCCTTGTAGAGATAGAGTACCAAAAGAGGTATAAGAAAAAAAAAGTGTAAAGCTTTAGAGTTCAAAGCTGCTGATGACCTAGAGAGGGGAGGGGTGTGGTACCGTGCCTACTCCAAACGGAAAGGAAAGTGCCCAAAAAAAAGAAAGAAGCGAAAAAGTGAAGGCAGGCAGGATGACAAGGCAGCAGTTTACAGCGCATACCCAGTGTGCCAGTGCACCTGCCGTGCTGCCCTGTCGTATCCGTACCTGCGTGGTTATTACTAATAAAGGTATTGGTGTGTCTCCTAGCGCTTGCCGGTCCGGCTATTGCCTCCTGTCTTTGCTACTCCTTGCACCAAAGCAAGCACGGCAAGCTCCTGTCGGCCTGGACCCCCCCTGCAAACCCCCCTTGCCCGCTTTCCGATTTGCTTGCCGGCGGTCCTGGTGCCCTGTTGCCCTAATGGTCCTGGCACTTGCCTTGCTGTCGATCCTACTGTATTGTATTTGTGGTCCCGTCCGTCTATGGCCAGGTGCTCCCTGATTCGATCGGAATTTGGCTCCTGCATTCCATCTCAATCAAAAGTTCAGTGCTCACCCTGACGACGGACCTACCATATCCGCAACACCGTCTTTATCCTTAATCGGGTATATCGTTATTTTCTTTTTTGGTCATTATTTTCCAAAGTCGCACACACGCCGATGCCTAGAGCTCCGTAATCTTCGACCTCAATGTGGACTCCGTGGGAGTTTATTGTCATTCTGCCCTTCAGCGATCAACTTGTCTGTTTCCGTCCATTTGCCCGTCCGTCACTTTCACGTCAGCTCCGCTTCACTGCGTCCCTGCGCACCCGTCAAAGCCACCTCCGGTCTAACCTTGGCAATTCCTAGGTATCCCCTCCCAGCAAATCCAGGTGGCAGACTCGGCCCTCATTGTCTTGATTGACCCCTACTAAGTATTGCGTTGCTCGCACCAACACAATCACTACTTGGTGCGTATACATCAAAGTCCCGCCGTGGCTTTTCGCTACACTCCACCTTTACCAAACTCAGCCATGGCATGCTGTCGGCAGTGATTTCCTAGCGAAAGGGAGACGGTCTTCACTTATCCTTCATTCCACGTTTCCGCCTTCTCAATTTAGTGACTTTCTCACTGCAATATCCCGCTATTCCGCGCCTACGCTTATCATACACATGCTGGTCTTGCTAGCGCTTTTCCTGGCCGAAGAATCCACGAGCCAGCGCCAGACATGCTGCAAACATCTGATCGGATGTGTCCCGTCTCGTCAGTGCCGCGTCAAACGGCAGTGACAAACATGTTTGGACTTGTTTCCAGCTCGACCCCCCCTCAAAGCGACGTCCGAAAAAGCATGGGGACCAAAGGAACGCCGACATCGTTGGCAGTAAAGAGTCTGTTTGGAAACCATCCCATCCATCAGCGAGTATTTTGCCGCTCTCCCATGTAGCTCCTCACTGGGTCGGCCAGCGAGCAAAATCTTCCTCTCTAAGCGGTTCTGTGAAATGTTGGTACTGGTCCCTCCGCCCTTCATCACCTGCCTGGGTTCGCTAAATCTAATTTTGGGCTCAGAGGTTTGCCCATGTCCCAACATCTAATCGTCCTGCATTCGTCCAACTGCCGTTGTTGCTGCACCTACATCTCGTGCTCGACGTTGTGTGCACAAGCTCTCCGGCATAAAATCTCCGCCTCTAATACACCACGGGACCAGCTCTCAGAGAAGGCACAAGACACAGTCCCTCCGTCATCGCCGGCCCATGAGGACCGCCCGCCCGCTCTTCGGTTGCCTACATCCCATTATGCACAGCTTTTGGACAGGCCGAGTCGACCAGCTTGACCTGGTCCAATCCCCAATGCACACAACAGCCACCTGCCGACTCATGTACTTGCTTTTTGTTCAGTTCCAAGGCGCCTAGTAACCCAGTCCAGTCCAGTCCAGTCCAGGTCCTCATCCACGGCCCCCCTGTACCGCCTCCTTGACAATGTGCGCAAGAGAAGCCTTAGTCCCATCCAAATGGTTGTCTTTCTCTTGTCTCTCGCCTATTTGCTGGCTGGGGTTGCCAGATAATATACAGTCCCAGTCATTCATTCACTCTCTCACTCATTCAAAAATGGGCGACTAAAATCAACAATCACCCCTCCCTCGCACACCCTCCCCTGGTCCAGGCTTGACCGCCAGCCACCCACACTCCCCCCTCCCAAACACTGACGCTCTCAATCGCTTCAACCCAAGCCAAACTCAACGCATCGCCGCTCGACTAACACCCGCATTACGGAATACCTCTCACGCCCCCCAATCACACGATCGACGCACAAACCCACAGACACACACACCGCACCGGGTGCCTATTGCCCTTGGCTGCCTCGTTAATTGGCCAAGCTGCCCTCCGTCCAAAAGCCTCAAACCACGACGCTAACAGCTTGTCTTGCTTTTTGTTGCTCGAGCGTCTCCGCCTCCCGTCTCTCCTATTCGCGCTGTATTGTCTCGCTTGCGTCCGTCCCTTTTTAAGCTTCTGTCGCCCTTCCCTGAGCAGTAATCCGATGTCTGCCCTAGAGTGGAACTCATCTCCACGCCCTACCCTGCTGCAAGAACGAAAGGCACGCATAGGACAACATATGTATTCGTATCCATCGCCATTTCTTATATCACACCTTCCTCCCCCAAACCCAATCATTCATCCACACTCCGGCCTCCGAAAAGAAGATACTGCATTCACCGACCGGTTGACTCCAGCTTATCGCTTCCCGCCAGAGCTTGCTACATGTGTATAACCGATTTGCGCTTTGTGATCATCCGCCAAGATCATTATTCGGACAAAGTGACGTCTGCTTTCGGCCCAGCCAGACAGCACATCACCCCCTTCGGAATACCCTTTCCGCCCAAACTTCCACCTTGACTTTTCAAAAAGGCCGATCAGCCCATCTCAGCTACGCCAGAATTTGAGCAACTGTTTCGACGCTCTGCAGATTGGAGGAGAAGAGGTCGAAGAGAAAGACCTGAGAAGAAACGGGGCAGGTGCACGCTGAGGAGGAAGGCCACTGAGGTAGACCAACGAGGTTCAAATTTGATACCACGGGCGACCCGATTCCCGCGACCACCACCATCACCCACTGGCACAAGCTCTCCGCTACGCACATCACCATGAGGATTCCAAAGCCTCCGACGTGAAACTACTTCTCTGCTCGATCCCAAGGTTCCGGCGCCTAGGAAATCGCAGCCGTCATGGCACCCTGGCCCCGCGCACTCGAGGTCCCTGATGGATCGCAACTGCCACCTGTGGCCGCATCTGAGATTCTCAGTGTCCACCTGGCCGCTGCCTATGACCGCATTCCCGACGGCCTGCCCGAGCACCAATGGACGATTATTCAGTCGACATCGTTAGCTGCTGCCGCCCTGAGCGTCGCAGCTGTCAGTATCGCCTTTTACTGGTTTTCTCGAATGAGGCGGAGCTTCAGACATGAGTAAGTGACACTGCCCTGATATGAGTTAGCTAACGGGCTCCTTTGGCGCGTGCCTGGTCAAATTCACTCACTGACAATCCTCTAGCCTCATAATGCTACTGATGTCGAGCGACATGCTCAAATCGCTCTGGTTCATCATTTTTCCTATTGCTGATTTTAAGAACGGCCCCATCCCTTCCGAATCGTCTTTTTGCCAAGCAAGCGGGTTCTTCCTTTCTGTCGGCATAGAGGCGTCCGATATTGCCGTTGTTCTCATCGCCTTACACACAGCAATCTACATTTTCCGACCGCGCGACTCGGGGCGTCAGAATGGGTTATATCCCCATCGCCGGACTGCCTTTGGCGTCTTCATCTTCGTTCCCCTCCTGATGGCCTCGCTGGCCTTTATCAACTGGCCTGGCTATGCCAACAATGGCGAATATTGCTATCTGCCTGTTAGACCTGAGTGGACCCGACTCGCCCTCAGCTGGGTTCCTCGATATATGATCCTTCTCACCATTGTGGCACTTTATGCCTATATTTACATTTACGTCAGTCTACGAATTCGGCGTTTTGGCCGCCTTAGCGCAATGAGACGGGCGAGTGCGACACAGATGCCAGATGACGGAGGACGCTGGGCCCACATTCCCTCCGTGCCCCCTACTCCGAGCTCACGGCGTGGCTCAGAAACCTCAACAGAAGATCCGGAGCGGCAGCGGACTTCCTCGACCGCCACCACGGTGACTCCTGACATTGAACTCATCCATAGTCGCCAGAAGATTCAATGGAACTGGCCAGCTTACGGTAACGAGGACGGGCTTATTCCTGAGCAAGATGAGAGTGCGGAACGCCCTAGTATGGACCCCAGCACCAGCCCAATGTCTCCCACCTTTGCACCTATTTCGCCACCTCCTCATAGTTACGTGCGACGTGACACGATTGACCTGAGCTCGTCTTATCACTACCAAACTCACCCGCACCGGGCCAGCTTCAACACCTTCTGGCACCCACAGAACAGCGCGGCGACCGCCCGCGCCAAATCTCTAGCCAATATTTGGTCCATCCTTCGCCGTGGTACCTCACTGGAGTCGGGCACCGACCACAACGGCACACCTTTCCTATTTCATCCGGCAATGGACGGCACCGGCATGACCAAGACGCGCGACAAGATCCGTCGCCAGCTCCGCCTGCTCTTTGTGTACCCCATTGTATACATACTGATCTGGGCCGTTCCCTTCGTGGCCCATGTCATGCGCTGGGACAACCCAGACGAAACCGGCCCTTTTGCGGTTGTGTTATTATCACTAGTGAGCCTGTCAATACAAGGCCTAGTCAACGCTTGTTTGTTTTGTGCAGTAGAAAAGCCCTGGATTGACAGGAGGGCTAAATATAAGAGAACGCCGTCTAAGCTACGGCGAGACAAGGATGAAGCCCGGCAACGGGTGGGTCAGCGGGCATCATTAGCATAGTCCTTGTTTTTCTTTTTTTTCTGTTTGTTTTTATCTCGCTTCTTGATACCACATGAATGAATGAACAAATTTTCCTGATTACTTCAAATCGTTTTCCTGTCATCGCAAGCCCTTGAAACCGTGACCGTGCAAGGAGAGTTTTGATATTCCGCATCCTTCGGGGGTTCCCGTGAAGGATTTCTTGGCACGTTGTGACACGAACAGTTCGCTTGTCGTTCAGTCACAGGGACAAGGGGGGCGGGGGATGGTGGCCCGCGCTTTTTCCGGGGAAATAATTTAGGCTCTCCACATGAGGCCGAGGTGGTGGGTAGGGGGGGGGAGGGGGGGGGGGGGGACACTTTTGCGGCGGTAATTTCGGCCCCACTGGCGAACGTCGTCGTCGGAGGTGCCGCCCCCTCCAAGCTTCCGTCTCAAAGCTTCCGCAGGTGCAACGTTGGTGAGACGTGCAAGTCGTCCTGTCTGCTGTCACTTGACTGCGGCGCAGCTAGAGGGTAGGTACCTACCTACTTAACTATGGCTGTCATCCCCCCCCCCGCGGGTTGTGATTGGTTATACGGAATGGGCAAGTTTCGTGTGATTTGTGTTGCTGTTGTTTATTGATGTTTTTAGTTTGTTTGTTTGGTTTGGTTCCTTTGGTTAGGTGCGTTGTTCGCTTGAGTTTCGTCGTCTGGGTTTTTCATGTGGTAAGTTCCGTTCACACACCCCGCGGGAGATGTGCCGGTTTGTTAGGGGGGGAGGGGTTCCGTAGTGGTCGTGTTGATACCACTTTTTGTGTACGCGTTCGCGTTCGCGTTCCTCGCCGGATGCTCGGTCTGTGGCCGAAGCTTTCCTGTGACGGATAACGAGCCAGGTTCATTCGGATTGCCGTTTGACTTGTTCCCGTTTCTACTGGTCCATGCGGCGAGCTACTCTTGAGGCTTTTCGTCGGAAGTATGTTCCCGCTGCTTACTGGGCAGTTACGAAGTCCGTCCTCCTTGTGAAAGTGAGTGTGATTCTTGGGACAGTAAATGTAGTCCAGTAAACTCTATTAAATGCAAATCTATGGGAATGCCAGTTGTCTACCTATGATACCATCTATGGTAAAGTCCGAAGGAGATTGAATTCCAATAACATCATACGCGCATTTGCGTGGTGTTTATCTGCTGTTTGCTTCTCTCAGAAGCTCAGTGACGCCGGCTCCTAAATCGCCTGTTCTTCGTTGCCCTGTCTCACAGGCTTCGCGGACAAAATGCCGCCCATGTGGACAAAACCTATCCTGCGACCGAGCATTGATGTGCAGAAAACTGAAAATATTGCAGAAAATAAAGAAAATTCAGAATTGCAATTTACTGGGGCGCAATATTTGCAAGCGCGCTCTTACTTCCTGTAAATTTCAGTAGGTTGAGCCCCTAACTCAGAATATCAAATGTCGGCCGATAAGACGATATAGGTAGCTCACCCAGCTAGGTCTCCGTTGTTAGTGAGTGTCTAGCCGAGATGTTGTAAGTTCATTACCACCCTACTCTTCGGATTCCGCGTCGGTCAAGACTTCTGATTCTTCGATGTCCTCGCGCTCAACATCTTCGTCAGGAACAACAAAGCCTTCAAGGTCTTCGACGTCGTCATCCACGGCCGCACGTCGAGCGCCTTTACGCCCGTGCATGTGAGGATGATCGTCATCGTCATCGTAATCGTCTTCGCCATCAGAGTAATCGGCAACGATTTGCATAACGCCGTTTTTTCGGACCACCTTTCCTAAAAGCTCGGCGATGTCTTCAAGACCAACTTTTGGGATTCTGACACCCTCATCTTGGAGAGCAGCGTCAATGCGAAGAATTTTACGGACCTGCATCGACAGCATACGTTTCTCTATAGGCGTATCGACAATGAACCTGACGAAATGTGTTTCCTTTGCTTGACTGATGCGGAAGACGCGGGAGAAAGCTTGCTGCTCAACGGCGTGGTTCCACCACAGCTCCATCAAAATGACTCGGTTTCCGCGAGTAAGTGTGAGGCACTGTCCGCCCGCGCGCAGTGAGACGATGAGGACTTTGACAGTACCTTCCTCCTGAAAGTCTTTCACTGCCTTCTCACGCTGCTCGGTCGTTTGTTTGCCGCTGAGGTAGTTGAAAGGGATCCCTTCAGCCTCCAGCATGCGGCCCACGACTTTCATGACGACGTTGAACTGGCTGAAAACTGGACAAGAGGTTAGACCACGTCAGCATACATGTATGATAGTTTCAAACTTACTGACGATCTTGTCGTCCGGGGCTTCGGCCTGCCATCTCAGCACAGTCTCCTTTAATGCCGTCATTTTGGCACTCGGCGTGACAGGTTGGTCGGTCTGCTTGTCGCTGATTTGTAAGAAACGAATTGGCTTCTTGTCCTTGCCGTTCTTATCTTTCTTTTCTTCCTCGTAGTGCTGAAAGCCATTGTGATCGAATCCCAAGGTGTATTCTTTCTCATGGGTCTTTCTGTGTCGTGGGCTAGCATCCATGCATGGGTTCGGGTCGTCTTCAATGCCATCCGCTCTAAATGGTTCGAGTGCTTTGGGTCTGCCGACCACTTTCTTGCATTTGGGGCAATTCCTTCCCTGGGAGAAATTAGTAACTCGTTCTTACACCATGCGTAGGACACGTGCCTTCGTTGTTGTATGATTCATCAGACAGTTGGTACAGAATATGCAGCCACACTTCATATGTTAGCATCACAACCTGACACACATGCCATTGCCTTTGCTTACCTGCCCCTTGAGAGGTAGAAGTGGAGGCTTTGCCTGGCATATAACACAACGGGAAAGCTCGAGTTCCTCTAGCCGTTCCAGATACTCCAGTTGCTTGTCCATGTCGAAATGTAGACCAAAATCACTTCGACCAAAAGGTTGAAGTGGTGACATAATCGGAGGGGTGTCGGTACTGGCGCAGCCACTGTTGACTGCGGCGCCTGGGGTTAGGTATTTATCGGGTACCATGCCGTCGGCATCTTCTTCTGCCTCGTCCTGGCTGTCAATTCCATCGACATCTTCAACAGAGGCGACGACTGCATGTTTATTATGATGCTTCCGCTGTGACGCTTTCGAGGCGCCCGAGTTGCCATCTTCATCGTGCTTGGCATTGGCTGACTCGGTCTCTTCCTCGTCTGCTTCGTGAGTTGTAAACTTGGCTGCCTCTTGCGCCCTTCGCTCTAATTCTTCAATAACTTCCTTCACTCGTTCATTCGACATAGCTCGTCGTTGTTCCAACGAGCCAATGTGCTCATATAAAGTCTTCTTGCCCTTCAACTCTGAAAGTCGCCTTTTCGTCGTGCGGAGGTCTGATATGGTGAAATATTCACCCATCATTCCCTCAAGTAGGAATGGATGAGTGGCAGCCTGGCGAAGGCGAAGCAAAATGGTCAAGTAGCAATTGATTTGCTTCTCAGCGTACTCTTCTCCGCCTTTTTCTAAGTCACAGTTGACCCTGCGTCTGAAACATCTTTCCATCATTCTATTATAAATTAGTGATGTATGGAAAGATTCATAACTATAGCAAGCCTACCTGAATACTACCATCTCCTCTTGAGAAAGCTTCAAGTACTGGTGTTGTGGGTGCGTGGCCGGAAGATTCAAAATGGGTTTGCCTAAAAACCAGTCGTTTTGTGTTCTTCTCGCTCATTAGTCGACGCTTGATTTATTACTGAGAAAAAGAAAAACATACCTTCTGTACATTATCTGTGAAATGAGTCTGTTCCGTTTAATGTGCCCGTCCTTCTTCGAAACATCAGCAACGTTCAAAATCAAGATTAGAACAATCCAGGCTTACTTCATTCTCGTATTCCCGGCAGTAGTCACTAAAGTTCTTGATGCCGTGACAACCAATGAACTTAAGATAGGGAAAGAATTCTTGTTGAGATTAGAACGATGTTACAGCGCGCAAGTAGTGTGATGGCAACTTACCAGTATCCGAATTAATCAGTGGAGTCCCGCTTACAACCCATCGGTACTTGGACTTTAGCTCAGTACAAACAAGAGCACCTTGAAATACCTGTCAATAAACGACTCTTTGGAGAAATAGTGGAAACTTACTGTGCGTGTTGTGGTTTTTAATGGCGTGCGCTTCATCCAAAACAACGCGGTACCATTGTATACGGTGCAGGTCACCCGTCTGATCTTCTAGCCACTTGTTGTATTCTTCAGGATCCAGCCTCTGTTGATGTATTGCTGCCCTTTTCTTGGCTGTCGGGCGACTGTCTCGCAATTGACCATAAGTTGCCAATCTATTAAACTCTGTTAGCATAGTCCACGGTGGCCGTGTCCAGGACGACTTACACAATGTTAAAGGACCCCAGCAGCTCGATGTCCATTTTATTATCTGCCTTATATCGCACTACATCCCTGGCGAATCTCTTGTGGCAGTGCTTCTTGATCTCAGATGCCCATACGCCTAGCATTTGCTGAGATGGGCAAATCACGAGCGTCGCACCCTTACCTTTGTCCTTCAGCTTTTCCGACGGAGGATTGCCTGAAATGCAAGATAAGGTCTGAATAGTTTTACCCAGCCCCATTGCATCAGCCAAAATACCGCCGCGAGGAAGCTTGGGGGTATTCTTTAGCTCTCGGCCCATCATCCAGGCGCCAACAACGATTTGATGGTTAAGTAGAGGTGTCTTCAGGATGCCTTTTACCTCCCAATTTCCATCTTTAGGAGTGACAACCCGGGGCCCCCAGGCTCTGGTCGCGTCTCGTAGCTCCTTTTCCTGCTTTTCCAGCAGGTCTTTGTCGAGATAATCGGCAGCGGCAGCTCTCATCTGCTTCAGTTGATCGGGTTTGTTGGTGGCTTTGATGTTGGGCTCAGGCTGCACCTCCCACTGTTCGGCTCGCTCCATGATAGCGTCTACAGGCTTGAGCATTTCAGCGATCTGCCGCTGGACTTCATCGTCTTCTGGGATACTTTCATCCAAGTAACTGTTATCGTCTGGGATGTTGGTGGTGGTTGCTGATGTTTTGGGCTTTTTCGATTTGCCGCCACTGCTGCCCTGTGCGCCCCTTTTGCGACTCGTGCTGTCAAGGTTTTGTTTCTTGTTCCTCTCCTTCTTCTCTCTCTCTGCCCAGTATTCTTCTTTCGTCATTGACTTTCTAGGTTTCTTTTGCTGTTCTTCAGCTTGATTCCTTCTGTGACTAGTGTTTGACTCAGCCATGGCCAAAGCATTTAGCTGGGCAGGTATCTGCAATAGCTCTGCAAGATCTGTTGGGCTTAGCGCACCGCGCAGAGCCATCGACGTCAACTCGGCTTTTCGTGCTTCAAGCGCCTCAATTGCAGCATTTTTCTCTGTCTCTGGGAACAGAGTTGAACCAAGAGAGGCGGCTTCATTCGGCTCTTGCTTAATGTTTGTCAAATCAATGGTCCAAGGGCCTCGTGTCTTGGCCCACTTGGTCTGAGCGGTGGCAGGAGCTTGCGCGGGGTCGATCATCATGAGGTCGTCATCAGATTCGGGCTCAAGCTTGACTGCAGTATTGTCGGGAATTGAGTTACTTTCTCGCCCTCCCTCATCAGCAGGGACAAACATGTCGGTTGCTTCCTCATTGTTCTGGTATTGGACTGTAGATGTGTTTTCAAGGTCAGTCTCATTTTCGTTCTCAAGTAAAGCATTTTGAAGCTCTTGATCAATGATATCGACGTCTTGATTAGTTTCACGAGTCGCAGCCGGGAGGGCTTGGAGACCAAGAAGCTCTTCTTCATCCGAATCGTCGTTGCATGAGAACTGAAAGAGGCCCTTGCTGCTCTTGTGTCCGCCAGCTCTCTCAGGCACACCACCTGTGGTAGGGGACGCCATAATATGGCAATGACGAACTTGAGCGATATGTTGAGGTCAGTGGCGGGTGGGGTGATAAAAATGGGTTTCAGTGAGCACACAAAAGTTATAATGTGATCTATGCTGTGGACATTGTTCGATCTTCTTCTTACCAAAGTAGGTGAAGATGCATAAGTAAACGATGAAGGGATGGAAGGTAGATGGCAAAGGAGTGGTGGTAAGAAAGGTGAAATTGGCGAAGAACCTTCGAGGAAAGAAAATTCAGGTTCTTTAGGGAGGTTCTTAGCAAATGGGAAGGAACTGAGGTGATCGAGAAAAAAGTAAGATACCAGAGATCACCCTCTCTGTCGGAAGAAATGAACGAGAAAAATTCGTCCACGACTTCTAGATAGAACTATGAGTTGAATAAGTGGTATTCGGGATTAGATGAGATAGAGGATCTGGAGGTGGCTAGTTGAGGATAGCAGAAAAGAGGAGATGCGATGGAAAGGTTTGGCGAGTGGAAGGGTTATGGTTGGAGGGAGGAAAGGAAAGGTGTGAGGAATATTCCTAATAGCAGAAGTTGGGTTTGGAAAGTTGTAGAAAGGAAAGAATAGTTCCGTTATGTCTCCAAAGGTAGGAAGACAGTGGCTTTTTATCATAGGAAGGAAGGAGGGTAAGAGGGTTGAATCAAGCTGCTCTTTCCTGTTCAAGTAATCTAAATCAGACTTTAGAAACAAGAAACAAGATGTAGGGTATGGAGAAAAAGTGAGCTCTGTTGATGATCTTGCTGTGCTTTACTCTGAAGGAGGTTATGGGAGTTGGGGATGTATGAATTCAACAGGCATCATCCAACATGCTAGCATGCGCCAAATCGCTGTTGTTGCAAGTGCCAACCATGAACAGAAAAGGGCAGAACGGACGAACATAATGAAGTAGTTGCTGAGAGCCTCAAGATTCTAATAGCACGTGTCTAAACGAAATAAATTTCCAATTGACATTGGTTCCCAAGAGTCCAGAAACGAAGGCTTCGGATATCACAAACAAAACGGAAAGGCACAGACTGATGGGCTAAAAATGAAAGCGAACGCTAGTCTATTTAATCAAATTTGGGAAACAGTATCCTATCATTCTCTCAAGAAACGCAGAAATCCGCGCGCGATACTGACGCCATCGTGCTCGATATGAGTGCGGTTGATGGCGTCTGTAAACATCTCGTCGGTGAAAATACCCGCCTTATGACGGATGTTGAGCACCTCACTGACAATGGGACCGGTGAACTCGGGGTGGCCCTGAACGGTGATGTACTTCTTGGGCGCGTAGAAACCCTGAACGGGGCAGAGGCTCGTGTAAGCGAGCGACTCGGACCCGGGCGGGTTGGCGGTGACGACGTCGCGATGCATTTGGTGGATACGCTGTGAGGGTCAGTCCGGTTCTAGTTACCATATTCCCCGAAAAAAGAAAAAGAAGAAGACAAAGAGGAAGAGGAAGAGATTGTAATGAACGCACCATCTTATCCAGCTGGAAGAGTTCTTTTCCTTTGGGCGTAAGGTTGACATCGACAACGGCAACTTCCCAACCCAGCTCGCTCCTCTTCACTTCGACGCCTAGCGCCCGAGCAACGATCTGGTGCCCGAAACAAACGCCGATGACCTTGATTTCGCTGTCGATGCATTTCTTGGTGAACTCGACCAGCTTAAGGATCCATGGGTCGTTGTCAAATGAGTTATGCTTGCTCCCCGAGATAAGGATGGCGTCAACGGAGTTCAGATCCGGGTAGACAGCTTCATCGCCGACAACGTGGTACACGGAGATGTCGAGAATATTGTCAAGGGGCTCGGGGGGTACAGAAGATAGTGCGGCGGTACGAAGAAGCGCAGTGAATACGCCACCGTAGCCTCCATACTCTGCCTTAGTCTGCGGTTGGGGGGTATCGGCTTCAAGGATCGCCAGGCGAATGCGGGGTGCTTGGGAGCCCATTTTGTCGTGTGTATCAAAGTCTCCTGAGATAAGAAAATAAATCGCAATCCTTGTACAGTATATACAATAAAAAAACCAGAAGATGAGGATGAAGATCGTGTATGTTTATGAGATGAAAGATGAAAGAATCGACAAGAACAAAGATGAAAACGGGAAACAATGTTGACAAAGCCACCCAGCGGTAGTAGCTTCTACCGCGGTCCCGGGTGGCCTAATCACGACTCAGTCAAACTGCCCCGCGATTGAGGGGCCCTTCTAGCCCACCCTGGTGGCGCCGATAGCGGGGGCAAGATAAGCGATAACGGACCGCGCTCACGATAGGTGCCGATAAGTGCTGACCGAATTTCTGCTGCCGTGTCACGCCGCCCTTCGACGTCATTCCGACCTGTCGCTATCCGTGCCCCCCGGCTTGTCATTTTGTACAAACTTTACCCTTCATCCAAGCACGGCGTTCGAGAAAAATAGGCTCAATGTCTGCCAGGACATCTCTGCGCGCGTTCCTAGCGAATGCGCGAACCGCGCTCACCGCGCCTGCTGCGCAGAGAAAGAGCCCGCTGACTTTGGTTGTGGGAAACGAGTCTGCAGGTATGTTGTCCCTTGGGCTCTATAGAAGCCCGACTAACTATTCTCATGTATTTAGACCTCGATTCGTTGTGTTCCGCAGTTTTATACGCCTATCTTCGCACCCAAGCCCCTCCGCATACCCTCCACATCCCAATCTCCAACCTCCCCCGCGATGACCTCAAGCTCCGGCCCGAAATGACCGCCGCCCTCGCCCATGCCGAGCTCAAGCCCTCCGACCTCCTCACCCTCGACGATCTTCCGTCAGGCGCAGACGAGCTGCCGGCAAGCGACACGAGGTGGGTACTTGTGGATCACAACGTTCTCACAGGAGATCTGGCGAAGAAGTACAGTAGACGGGTGGTGGGCTGCGTAGACCACCACACGGACGAGAATAAAGTCCCGAAGGAAACAGGCGACGAGCCGAGGGTGATCGAACCCTGTGGAAGCTGCAGCAGTTTGATAGTCGAGTACTGCAAGCCTACATGGGAGCCTCGTGAGGATGTAGATAAACACCTGGCGAGGCTGGCACTGGCCGCGATCCTAATCGACACGACAACCCTCAAATCCAAAGACAAGACGACCGAAAAGGACATCACCGCAGTAGAATTTCTTGAAAAGTTTGCCGGCGAGACGTACGACCGCGAGGCGTTTTCCAAGGAGATCTCCGACTTCAAGGAGGACATTTCTGCCCTCAGCTTCCGCGACATCTTCCGCAAGGATTACAAGCAATGGGACGACCAGGGTTCTGGACCTAAACCTGCTGTCATGGGCGTGTCGGCTGTTGTGCAGGATTTGTGGTACCTCCTCGACAGGGCGGAGGGCAAGGAGGATGTCCTCCTTGGAGAGTTCGAAAAGTGGTCAAAGGAGAAGGACCTCGACATTGGGTCCATAATGACCACGACAAACTCCGGTGGGGAGTTCAAGAGAGAGTTGTTTCTCTGGGCTTTCAACAAGAATGCCGTCGAGGCGTGCAAAGCTTTTGAGAAGGAGTACAAGGAGGAGCTGGGCCTGGAGACCTGGGGCGAGGGCAGGCTTGATCGGGTAGGAGAGGATGAGTGGCGGAAGGGCTGGAGTCAGAAGAACCTTGCGCATTCGCGAAAGCAGGTTGCGCCGATGCTAAGAGATGCTATCAGGAGCGGTAACCCCAGACTTTGAGGCTTGGAAGTTTTTTTTAAGAATTGGCACATGAAGCACTGGCTTTGAGAGATATCCCATAGATGGCATTCCGCTATTTCATCCGGCGGAACCCGGCATTACTCCACTACACATTACATCGTAATCCAAATGGCTCATGATTGCACATGGAAGCATAGCTTCGGCAAAAAACTGTGAACGTCATATCTCATTTTGCATCCTCCCGCGAAAGCGGTTTCACTCATGCACGCCTTTAAGCAACCTCGGCGACAATAGCATCCAACCACTTTGCCAGTCTATATACAATGTCAGCCGTCGCTCGTACGTTCATGGGTTGTGGACATCTTACCTGAATCCCTGCTTCGCAATCTGCATGCTAACAGTGGGCTGCGCGTTCGTCGTGTAAGCACCGCTGATATCCAGACCTTCGACGCCCTCGCGACCCTTGGGCAGGACGACAGTGCACACGAACGCGTTGCTCTCGGTAGCCCACTTCAGCGCCATGTCCTCGGGGTCCTCCAAGCTCAAGCCCTGGACCCAGCACTTGGACGCGACCCTGAAGTCGCCAGACTGGATCTCCGTGCTCAGGGTCGAAGCCCACTCCTTCGCCACGGCCAGCGAGCTGCCTCCCGTGATGGACTGAGGGATGTTGGTGTCCCACGCCGCGTGCAGGTTCGTGTCGGTGCCGTTGAACTCGACTTTGATGCCGTTGCCGCCGGCCTCGATGTTCTCGCAGTGGAGGGGCTGTCCGATGTCGCCCGTGAAATGGATGACCATCTTGGCTGCAATCTGGCGCTGCTCGATGCTCAGCTCGGGCAGCAACATGCGCGAGGTGTAGTTTGCCAGAGCCGAAACGATGCAGCCCGTCGGCCCGCAGTCGCGTTCGAGGTCGATGCCGCAGCTGGCCGGGGGTTCATCCAGGGCGTCAATATAGTGAAAAGTAGAGGTGAAAGCGCCCTCGGTGGTGTAGCGGTAGGAATCAGCCCAGCTAGAAACGCTGGCAAGGTAGTCCTCTGAGGTATCGCCAAGCAGTTGTTGCATGTAGGTCTTGGTCTGGGGGTTCACAAAGTTGGTGGCAATGTAGGCGACCGTCGCATGGCCCATGGAGCCCCATGCTTGCACCGAGGGGAGGAGGCCAGAGGCCAGGATCGTGAGCGGGAGGTAACGAGCCATTGTGGGATGTCACGCTGAGGGAGGATAAGAAGGGCTTGGCAAACGGAGAAGCTTGAGATTCACGGAGTTGGGGAGGCCATGGTTTATATGTAGCCTTTTCTGGCCGAGTGTAGCATCCATCCTGCCGGTTTCCCGGCCCACGTGCAGTATAGACCAACGATATAAGGTCGGCAATCAATCCAGGACCCATACCAGCGGTAAGGGGGGTGTTCATTTTGCCTGCAATCGGCTATGTGGGAGGGCCATGGAGGTTGGCGATTCAGACCACGTTTTTCTGGTGCTCCTGCTTCTTCAGGAATCGTGAGCTTCACATTAGTACCGGGCTAATGTGAAAACCAATGCCGATTGAGCTGCGGAGATGTCTCATCGACGTTGTCATTGGACAAGCTGGTCCAGGTCAGGGAATGTGCTCCGGGTGTGGGATGTCCCAGGCCCGAGGTTCTAAGATAGCAAAACGGTCCCAAGTAGAAGAGTTAGTCGGCCGAGAAGGAATGAGTAAACATCGGGAAAGACATCAGGCGACAAGTTACCGAAAACATTCCCTCTAGAGACTTGGCAAACAGCTCAGACGAAAATACAAGACTTGAGGCGAAAATTTTGGGTGCATTGAAGTTGGATTACACCTGCATTAGTGCGTGAAAAAAAAATTCGAGCAAATAGTCAGCTCCGATGATCCCCCGCATATCTTACGTCCGACCGCTCAAAGATAAGACGGGGGTTCTTCCGGAATAGGAAGGTCTGGAACTCCGCGAGGGAAGTCTTCCGTCTCCTCAACGAACATCGGTTCCAAGGGGTCAAAGTAAATGGTTTATGGGGATCATGGCAACATCATAGGAGGCATGCAGTTGAACAGAGTGTTTGTGTTGTGGTCATGTGTTGAGTTGTATATTACAATAATATGGACAATGTTGTACAGTATGCGAATGGTGCGGCATCGTATCTACACAAACCATGAACGACGAACGCCTGTCTGGCAGCATTTCAGGAAGTCATCCGGTGAGCGGTGAACGCCGAAACCCGTCCCAGGGATTAAAGTGAGTTTCGGCTCCTATCTCGCCAAGAACATGATTGCCGTCATCCGCCTAGTGGCAGATGCGACTACATGTTTCGGCGAAGAGCTTCAAGTTCCTTCAGCATCCTCACAAACTCCATGCTGGGCGGCTTGTTGCCATCTCTGGCGCCCCTGGACACCATGTGCTCAGCAACATCGATGGCACCGGGGTCAGCCACCCGGATGCACTGCTTGACCGCCAACCAGACTGGTTCTGTCGGCAACACTGGCGGCTCTTCAGCCAACATCTCATCCAGGCACTTCCTCAATGTGTCCATGCACTTAACTTTGTCTGACGTCCTTGCCATAAGCGAGTAGACAAACACGTACAGCTCCGGCCCGCGGCGTTTGCTGTACCTCGGAGGTATACGCCATGTGTCCCAAAACCTTTCCCAGTTTCCCTGGCTTGCGTACGCCCTCATCAACCGCATGAGCTGCTCCTCGGACGGGCAACATTGCGTCCCACGACGCAGGACAAGCTCCAAATTCGACTGAATCATCTCAATCTTCTCTCCTCGTGCTCCAGAGTGGGAAATTGCCTCGATGATGGTAATGATGACTTCGGTGTCCATGATCGACATTCCCCGTTCGTTCATCGTCTCGATCAGTTCTGTGGCGAGATCAGCCTGGGTCCGAGCATGGTTTTCGTCGCTTGAGACTGCTCGAAAGATTTGTTTAAGAAGATGCAGACAGCTGTCTCTGTCAACCTGTTTGCCTTCCCAACGTATCTGCTCGAGCTGTTGGCGAATCTCGGGGAGTGACATTGACAAAAGACTGACATGATCTACGCCGGAATTCTCTGAATGTGCCGGCTTGGTAGAGGCTGGTTTTGTGGATGGTGCCGGGGCAAAAGGCATCGGTCGCTTGAGGGAGGTAGAGAAGGCACGTTTTTGACCCGGTGTGGCAGCGCCGCCCTTGCTGGAGCGATCCGTTGTTGGTGGGAGCTGGCCAAAGCGGTGTTGAAACTTGGCGCCTTCTGTGAGCTTCTTGTTCTGAACCACGCTTCGGGTAAGCTGCTGGCTCCAAAGTCGCTCGAGATCGAGTTCGGTCCGGCGTGCCTGCGTCATCACTTGGACAACAATGGTCGTACCAGTGACTGGGGCACCAAAACCTGACATCTTGCCCTCAGCGTCAAAGTGTGCCGCCTCGCCATATGTAGCCCCTAATGTTCCGAGGTTGATACAGATCCACCCGGTCGTAATGCCGTCGTCGCCGCCTGGGGTGACCATCGCACTGGAACCCAAAAGTTTTGCTTTCCTCCTCATTCTGCGCAGTTTGGTCTTGAGCTCACCAGGGCCAATAAGGCCATCTGCATTCGACTCGATTCTGTGCGCGTAGCGAAGCCATTTGACCAGGCGGGAGGATGAGACGTGAAGGTGTCGTTCGCTCCGAGCCGTAGCGAAAAGCATTAGAAGGTTCGGGCCCAGGGCAGGGGGCGGGTCCATTGCGCGAAGGTCGAGCAGAGACAAGTCGTCAAGTCCCATCTCTTCGTAGACGTACTTCATCAGCGGCTCGAGGATAGCGGGTGATGCATCAGGAAGTTCGGGTAGCGGCGACACATGCTGAGTGGGTGCATGTGTTGGGGGCTCGACTTGGAGGAACCACGGGGTCTCGTCGCCTGCATTCTTCTCCTCGGTCACCTCTGAGGTTTGGGTTTTTACTTCGGAGTCCTGAGCTTCAGGCTGTACTTCCGGTGCAACTGATTCACCTGTTGGTTTAGGTGCGTCCGGGGGCAAGCTCGAGAAAGCTCGATGCAGGTTACGAGGTCGAAGAGGCGCCGTTGTCGCAAGCGCTGGGGCTCGGAGGATAGCGTTTGAATTCGAGGTGATAGCTCTCAAAACACGGCTACGACATTGCAGACAGCCCAGTGCGGCAAAGGCCGGTCGTGAAGCCATGTTTGATACAAGCTTGGCAGAGCTTGAGCAGTACAGAACAGTGTTGTACAGGGTAAGACTTCAGCGCGACGAAGTTTTGAGCAAGGGTCTCGCATAGTAAAGCCCATCCAGAGCTTGGGACCCTTTTTTTTTTTAGCCTTACGTAACCAACTTAGCGCATCAAGCACGGTGGCGCGCCCCACGTTGAGAGCTTTTCAAAGTGGCGCAAAAAAAGACATGTGTTAGTTAGTATTGTACCAATGTACCTAGCTCAAGCTCAAGCCAGAATAATTGCCGATCTTTATGAGTTCTGACTATTTGCTATGTCTGGGAAAAGAATTTCAAATTACATGAATTATAAAAACAAAAAACCAAAAGCTAGAAAGAAAAGATGCAAGAAAGAAAAGACCAATCAGTGAGAAGAATTGAGCTCTCCAAATGCACTCGATGCCTCCTTACCTAATCAAACTACTACTCATACTCGACGGCGTGGCGAATGACAGTCGCGAGACCATGTGACCTAGCAAGAGACATTGGGCGCTAACCTCTCTTTGGAACAGAACGATTAATGGAACATTCTTAGCGACGCCGTTGGTCCATTCTCAACTGTGGAGCCGGATCACCCCGGGCCAAACGATGGCAATTTTTTTCCACTGATAGCTGTCGCGCCTCTCCTATCAAGCTCGTCCCATTCCGAATCCCATCTTCTGTCTCCCTACGCCAAACTCTTGCATGCGCCTCTGTATCGCAATGCAATAGATCCCTTCCCTCTATCTTGTAATATAGTTCTACGTTCTTTTTTACCTTCTCTACTTAATGTACCAGCGCCTCTACTAGACTTTCAATAGTCTCAGTGTGCTGTTGAAACAACACCGTCCCTCCCCATCTCTGTTCTGTCGCGTGAGGGCTTCAAGATGCTCCTCAGGCACGCCCGACAGAGCCTTTCCCTCCACCACGCAGCCGTCTTTCGACCACTCAGGCCAAGACTACGATGTCCCTTAACCACAATTAGCTCAGTCGACAAGAGCAAGCGCTTCTTCAGCACTCAGCAAGATGCTCGCCCGGTGACGAGGAGAAAGAGCTTTGATACCGGTTCAGGATTCAACGCTGGACGAAGTTTGGCCACCGCTGTTGATGACTATCAACCAATCGATGGTTCCAACTATGATGGCCTCAACAGCTCTATCCTACCAACATACGAAAATGCATCAAACAACCAGAGATACCACGAGCTCCGCGCATTCGATCCCTCCTCTCCCCTCGTCCTGCAGGATCCCTCAACACCCAAAATCCCCCGATCACGTATCAATCTGAACGGTATCCCCGGCGATGTCGAAGAGATGCTGCCCGTCTTCGACGCTTGCATACGTGTTGGCAAGATTGCTCGAGCCGAAATGATTCTTAAGCGCCTGACTACCTTCGAAGCATTTCCGAGCGAGGATTTGATTTTTCTTCACAATCGCTATCTGCGGGCTTCCCTCGACCAAATGCGTCTGCACCCAGACCGTCAACAGGCTGAGGGTCTACACAGATGGTATGAGTTGCACATTCGAAGCAAGGGTTTGCTCCAAACGGCCGAGACGATTGCATGCATGCTCAAGGCTTCTCTGCTCTCGGAGCATGATCCTGCCAGGCGGCAACGCCTGGTTACTCGGTATATGGGGATGGCGCCTGGAGAGGCTGGCCTTCGTGTCTTGTCCATGGCCGAGATTCTGAGTGACCAAGACCTGGCCGTCATCACTGAGATTTGCCCGACTTATAACTTGGCGCCCGAGGAAAACAGCGGACTGTCCTCCAGCACAGAGAATGCAGCTGCACAACAATCCCCAGACGAATCGTCTCTGACTGGCTCCATCCCAGAGGTCTTGGCCACCCCTCAGAAGGGTTTTGGACTGAAGACACTGAAGCAGACGCTTACTTTGTTCGATGAGATCCCCCAAAACTGCGATATCTCGACATTACCTGCTCGCGAACGGAAGGAAATCCAGGCCCGCCTTGAGCGTGATTGTATTGACGCTGCTGTCGACCGTTGGCGAGAGGAAAACGAATCGCTGCAAAAGATGGGCTTGAACACATCCGTCGCCCACGCATCCCTCAACTCTCGCCTGTATGACTGGCAAGTCGCACTGGAAGCCCGATTGAAAGACGAAATGGTAAAAATCGAAGCTGCTGAAGCCGTCACGAAGAAGACGCCCGAAGACTACGACCGATGCATGTACGGACCTTTCCTGCGACTTTCAACCCCGAGTCGCCTCGCCGCCGTGACTATCCTTAGCACTCTGAGCTCCATGGCTATCAAGGGTGCTGACCGTGGCATGCCCCTGGCTGGAGCAATTAGCAGCTTAGCCAAGTTCGCCGAGGAAGACATCCGGGCTCAACTCCCGACTAACAAGTCAACATCGAAAACCAAACAGCGAAGGGTGGTCCTCGCCAAGCCGATCAAGGGCGCATCCTCGGCGACAGCGTCTACAGAAGAGAGCCCTCTGCTCAACGATAATGCAGCCAAAGAGACTGTGTTTGCGGATGCTGCATGGCCTCCTGCTGTCAAAGCCAAGGTTGGCGCAGCTCTTCTCTCAGCACTCGTTGACACTGCTAGAATCAAGGTTGTCAAGGAGCATCCTGTATCCAAGACTCTGGTCAGCCAGTATCAGCCAGCCTTTTCTCATGCTGTTCAGCTTAAGAAGGGCAAGAAGATTGGCATGATTCTCCTTAATAAAGAATTGGTTACCCTTTTGAGACGGGAGCCGCAGGGAGACTACCTAGCCAAACACCTCCCGATGGTCGTTGAACCAGAGCCCTGGACCAGCTTTGATAGGGGTGGATTCATCGAGAGCAGGACCAATGTTGTGCGTGTCAAGGCGGGTGACAAAGACCAGAAACTCTACAGTGAAGCAGCCATCGCCCGAGGAGACATGGATCAAGTCTTTAAGGGCCTAGACGCCCTGGGTAAGACCGCTTGGAGAGTCAACACACCTGTCCTAAATGTCATGCTCGAGGCATGGAACACGGGTGAGGCGCTTACCAACTTCCCGCCCTTGAATCCCGACATCACTGTTCCGCCTGAACCTGATACCTCGGATGATCCTTCTCTACGCCGGAACTGGATTCGGGCAGTTAAGCTTGCCGAAAACGAGAGAGGTGCTCTCCACTCCCAGCGCTGCTTCATCAACTTCCAGTTGGAGATCGCTCGTGCATTTAGGAATCAGACTTTTTACTTCCCGCACAACGTTGACTTCCGAGGCCGCGCTTATCCACTGCCTACTTATCTCAACCACATGGGTGCTGACCACGTCCGCGGCCTTTTACGATTTGCCAAGGGCAGGGAACTGGGTGAAAAGGGTCTCGAATGGCTCAAGGTTCATCTAGCTAACGTGTACGGATTTGACAAGGCTAGTCTGAAAGGCAGAGCGTCGTTCACCATGGACAACTTGGTTAACATTTTCGACTCTGCGAACAAGCCGCTGACTGGCAACCGGTGGTGGATGAAGGCCGAGGATCCTTGGCAAACCCTTGCAACCTGCTATGAGCTAAAGGCGGCCCTCGAATCCCCGGACCCAATCAAGTATGTTTCTCACCTGCCTGTCCACCAAGATGGTACGTGCAATGGTCTTCAGCATTACGCTGCTCTTGGCGGTGACAGCTGGGGTGCTCGGCAGGTCAACCTTGAGCCTGGCGATAAGCCTGCAGACGTTTATTCTGCTGTCGCCAACATTGTCAAGGAAGACATTGTCAAGGACGCAGCCGCAGGCCATGTGATTGCACAATCTATAGACGGAAAGATCACCAGAAAGGTTGTCAAGCAGACTGTCATGACCAATGTGTATGGCGTCACCTTTTCTGGTGCAAGGAAGCAAATCTGTAAGCAACTCGACGCCTTATACCCTGATCTACCAAAGGAGAGTGGTCACGACAACCTTACGACGGCTTCTTACATTGCGTCTCTCGTCTTCAAGGCACTTGGAGACATGTTCCGTGGTGCACACGACATCCAATACTGGCTTGGCGAGATTGGCAGCCGTGTCTGCAGGGCTCTTTCTGCTGAGCAGCTGGAACGCATCGTCAACGACGGTCTCCTGCCTTCCCCCTCGCCTAAGGGCAAGGTCGTTGAGAAGCAAACAATTGACGACATTCTGGCGCAGTTCCGCGCCACTATTGTGTGGACCACTCCCCTCCGAATGCCTGTTGCTCAACCATACCGCAAGTCTGGAACTCGTGTGATAAAAACATCCCTCCAGGACCTGTCCTTGACTGTTCCTGAGCGTTCAGACCCGGTTCATCTCAAGAAGCAGCTTCAGGCCTTCCCTCCCAACTTTGTCCACTCTCTCGACGCCACTCATATGCTCCTCTCTGCCTTGGAATGTCACGATCTTGGGCTCGACTTTGCCGCCGTGCACGACTCCTTCTGGACCCACGCCGCTGATGTCGATGTCATGAACCGAGTTCTGCGCGATGCCTTTGTTAGAATTCACGAAGAAGATGTTGTTGGTCGCCTTGCCAAAGAGTTCGAAGCGCGATACCGAGACTCAATCTACCTGGCTAAAATCAACAAAGGGACCGCTGTCGAGAAGGAAATTAGCAAGCTTCGTCTGAGATCCAAGTGGAGTTTGAAGGAAGAGCTTAATAAGGAACACGAGAGACAAGTGCTCCTTCGCTCTTCTAACCCTGAGGAGGTCGCTAAGGGCAAGAAAATGATAACGCCCGCAAGCATCTTTGAGAACATGGCAGCTACCGAGGCTCTTGCTGAGCCTGAGGATATGGAGGCGCTTGGTCTCGGAGAAATCCCAGAGAACATTGACGAACTTGATGCAAAGGCTGAGACTGGCCTTGACGGAGAGGGTATCGACGAGGAGATGGCCGCCAGCGACGTCAATAGAGCGTCTACTATTGAGACTTCTAGAGCCACCAAGTGTTTCGAGACTATGACGGAGAACGCCCAGGTTTCCAACTTTGCGGTCAAGATTGGCGGTACCGGAACCACAAGGCCCAAAACGCCGGTCCGCGACACCATCCAAGTGTGGCTTCCCCTCACTTTCCCCGAGGTCCCCAAAAAGGGTGACTTCGATGTTCGACGGCTCAAGAACAGCGAGTATTTCTTCTCATGAGCACTCCACTCACGGCGACTCAATGTCTGGATGTTTTTGTCATGTTTAGAGACACGAGGATGATTTGTATATACCGGTGCATGTTCCGCAGCGTTGTTACCTTTCACGGAGGCGTTTATGGGCGGGGTGTAAGAAAAGTAGGGTGTATTTTTTTTTTTTCCTTTTCTGAAAAAGGATTGTGGTCTGTATAACTGTATAAAAATTAGAAGGGATAAAGATGTCCTGGCGATATGGCTCAGGGCAACTCCCTCGACAAGGAGAAAAAACTTGTACAATAGAGTCCATCCCCCGAAGGGATGAAAACTGTCAAAACCTCAAAAAATAAGATATTTTACTTGATTAATCACGTTCCCTTGGTCAACGATTACTACTTCGGTCAGTCAGTCATTGCAAGGCACTCGAGATGGTCTTTGCGACGGAATGTGTCCTTGAACTGGTTGTTCGTCCAAGGGCCCGATACTCCTTTCCCACGACCTGGCCTCGGCCCTTAGATTCTATCACATCTTTGTTGTTTGTTGAAGTCATGAATGTTATTTTATTCAGTATTATCTTCTTCCCCTTGTCGAGGCTGTGATCGCATGTCGTACTTCCGAGAGTACTACAAGTCTCAAAATTGGAGGCACCAAATTCGGGTAGTCCATGGTTGAGATAGGTACCAGATAAGGCAGTAGTTCTGCAACAGGTTGACAGCTCGTGTACATACTGTACCCGGTCCGTGTATCCCACATGGTTCACAGCTCAACTCAAAGAATCAATCAGTCCATCGGGTACTGAAAACTCTTCCTCTACCGATGAATTGCAGGGTTTGCAAGCTTCCGGCCCGTCTTGGCCTGTACGCTCCAGGCGTGGCTTGCGTCATTGGGCCCATCTTGTTCATCCATCGCTCCTCTTGCCCGAATAAGCATAGCCTAGGGCAATATTGCCATTTGTTACGAGCTATCAGGCATTTCACAGAGCCGAGAGTATATAAGTGAGGTGGGAGGCACTTCTATCGAAACAGTTTTAGATTTACTTTCTCTTCTGACAAAACATGTTGATTGCATCTGACAGAAACATGGCATCCAGCAACTTGCAATGCATTCTAACAACTCTACTCCTTGGTGTCCGACGGGCCGAGAAAGCCAGAAACCTTTGCTCCGTATCGGAGCCTTTCCTGCGCCGCTAATCTCAAGTCCTCACTGGAAAAACTAGACTGCGCGATAGCTAACAGCGGCCATGACAGGCAGAACACCGCTCGAAACGGCATTCCGTTGGAACTCGCAGAATTTGCAGTTTTCTTGCGGTTGCCTCCATCCTCCTCCAAAGACTTTTCTATCTGTTGCCACAGCTCGCAACCTCGCTCCGACTCAATCGGTTGGCTTTGGAACCATTCTAGGCACACATGACTTCCAAAGGCTACATGCAGCATGTCGAGAATGTGAAACCGGATTGTGAGGTAGTGTACCTTGGCAATTGCAACCGAAGCGGGCGACGAAACTGGAATGAGGCCATTAAAATGTGCTCCAGTCGAGTAGGCGGTCACCCCGGCAGCTTTGCATTCGAGCTCTTCAGCAACCGTCAAGGCAGAGTTGATTATCTCAAAAGCCTTTACAATCGACGGCACGCCTTCGTTTGAAGCCTTTAAAAGCTCGGTGAAGACGTCGATGGATTTTTTAGTGACGGGTTCTAAAGCAGGGAAGTTAGGCCAGCCGGACCACGGGCGTTCGAAATCTTCCTCTAATGAGGACATTTCTCGGTTTTGCATGAATACTTCCATGAGCTATGTTTAAGGTAGTCAGAAACCCTCTCTGTTGATGAGCCAGTGGGATGAAGATATACTCTAATATTGCGCCGAAAGAGAAAAAGGTTGACATCTAGCAGCGTGTCTAAACCATTTTGGACCCTATGTAGTACCAAAGCATGCGCCCCCTCGGCATGCGGTCGGCAGTTCAGCTTGTGTCCCTTCATTCGAGAAGAAGAAATCTGTTGAACTATGATCTTACATGTAAAGTCAGTTTCGTTTGTTCAGATTCGAATGGGCAGAGATAGATACCTCGTAAAAGCCGAGAAGGAATATTGCTGCCAAAACCGAGTCATCACGCAGAGAATTATGGTTGGAAATGGCCTCTCTAAGTGCCCCTGTGGCCATCGAATAAGAACTCCTTGCTCTTGCCATGAGACCGGATTGCTGTAAATGGCCAGACGCACTAGCCAAACCTAGAGCCTTGAGGGAATGAGTGTAGCACGCTGATGGCTGGTGACAAGATAAAACCGGTAAGGCTGCAAACAAGTTTATGAAAGCTGTAAAGGAATAGTCCATGTAGAGCCTTTGAACACTATACTGGCTGTAATCCTGGTTAAGACACTTTTGAGGGCCAGTCTGGGCACGCTTAGTGACGGTAGAGAGGGTTTGCCGTCGCCATTCCAGTTGTTTGTGAACTCTGTCTTGTACTAGGGTGGCTGCGTATCTGTTTTGCTGACGATGAAGACTCTCCCAATGATCGGCGTACCCAGGGCACCGAAGACGAAGGCGTACGCAGCGCCTGCATGATGGCTTTTCGAGGTCACACTATGAATTGTATCAGAGCTGTGTTTCAATCGAAACGGAGACCGACCAACCTTGACGTGTGCGTCCTTACAAACCGAACACCCGTTTGGCCGCCTCAGTGAGGGAGCCATCAGGGTTAAAGCAGTCGTCTAGGGCCTTGCCAGATCCCGCTGTCGAGCAGTATTTGGATCAAGTACCTGCCTGGTTTGATTGGATAACCTCAGCCGCACAATTTCAGTCAGACAGACGGAAATGAAAAGAACAAAAACTGCTGAAACTCCAAACTGGGCGGCTCGGCATGGCGATCGCTACGGGCCACCTATAGCATTGTTGGACATCAAGTCCTGGGGAAAGAGAAAAGTGACAGAAGGCTGCATCCACATAAACGCATGCAATATGTGGTGCTCTTATCACATGCATGTTCCGCTACCAGTGATTCTAACAAGCAGTGTTCTTTGTCGTTCTCCGAGTTAGCTGTCACGCAGTCAATTTGCCCACCACTTATGGGGTAAAAAAAGATGCTTCCATTCCTTAGAGACTGTCTAGGGGTTATTGGGTTGATTATATAACCGTCTATTCGGTAATTACCGATTTGAAGGTTTTCATGCACAAAATGACATCCCCGTTAGTTTTATATGGGAAACAATAGCCGGGTGCATGGGTTGAATGCATGCCCCGATATATGCAGTGGTCCGTGTGACACACCCCCTCAGAGAGGCAACCTGTTGTAGGTTGATTCTCTGTATTCTCATTCAAATACAGAAATGATACTATTCAGAACTCCGTATACTTACTACCAAATTCCAGATTCATACTGCGTTCTTCTCGATCAAATGTTCAATATTCATTGCAGCAATCCATTTGTGACTGTATTGGTGTTTGATCGCTTCACTGTAATTCTTTGGAACTGGTGGAAGTGTCTTTTGGTGTGGATTGCCTAAATCATCTGCTGATGCATCCCATTGATCTCTTCCTTTTACTGTATCCGTAGATTGCAGTGTGAAGTGGGATTCTCTTGCTCTTCTCAGTCTTTGTGATGATCTTGTTGCTTCTGGTGGCTGTTGATTTGTTTGACCAAGAGGGGCTGATCGATTGTAGATGTTGTGATTTCTGCTGCCACGAGGTCTTCCCCTTCTCGCTATGTTTGGGATTACTGTGGAGGAATCTTGTGGTATGATTTCTTCTGGTTCCAATTCTATGACTGGTGTCTGTTGTAGTTCGAGTCGGTCTGTTGAGGTTTCCTCTATGGTCTCACTTTGATCCGATTGTTCTGGAGTTGGCGATACTTCTGGAGTTTCTGGAGTCTCCCTCACCCCCTCAGTTGTTTGAGAATCTGACAGCTGTACTGTTGGTGATAGAGAAGTGGGTGTAGGTAATTGAAAATCCCCTGATTCTTTCTCCTGCATCGGTGTTGCCGGTGTTGTTTCTTGAGCGGCTGGATTCGAGGCGGGTAGTGGCCCGGTAATATTATCGCTGAAATCTTCTCCATCCCAGCCAGCTGTGTCTAGGTCTTGTTCAATTGGATTTGTGAATGGGATATCCATTTCTGTGAACTGGAATTCAAGTTCCATTTGGCTTAACTTGCTGGTATCCTCAATCCTTGGATCATACAGCGTGTTTTCGTCGAAAGTAACGTCTCTAGTTCTCATGACTTTTCCTATTGCTGGGATCCAGATTCTGTAGATATTTGTGCTGTCATAACCACATAGATAGCCAATATGAGCTCTTGGCGCAGTTTTGTTTGACTTTTCTATTCCTCTCTTGTAGTTTTGTGTCAAGGGGTAAGCTCTGCAGCCATATCGCCTCAAGTGTGCTAGTTGTGGCTTTTCAGCCCTCTTGTGGGTAGACTGTTGATGAGAGTTCAGCCAAGTGTTGACCAACCCCAATGGTGTCTGCCACTTGTGGCGTCTTCGAGGCAATCTGTTTGACAGATAAACTGCTGCTTTTGCCAGCTCTGGTGCCATCAATTCAGGAAAGCGAGATTGAAATCGAAGTGCTCTCATGATCATAAACACAGCACCTCCAGCTCTTTCTGCTGGGTTTTGAGCACCAGTGTACTCAGCTGATCTTTCAATCATATATCCATTCACAGCTGCCCATAGTTCAAACGCATTGCGTAAAGCAACCTCCCAATCTAGGCGTAGAATAGAGATTTTGATAAAGCACTGTCTCTCGAGGTATGCTGCTAATTCTGTCATAGCTTGTAGTCCCTCCTTTCGAGTACGAAGAGTTCTTATCCAGAAGAACCCTGACCAGCCATCGCTGACCAGCAGGATTACCTTCTCCCCATTGTATGCTTTGCTAAGTGTAAAGAAGTCGAGAGATAGATAATCTCCTACAGCAGTTGGCCAATGGTCTGGGTTTCTGCGGGAAATTTGGCGAGTTGCCTTCCCAACAGCACAGGCATCACATTCCACTTTTGTGATTCCTTTTATCTGTATCCCAAGAGCTGTTTTAAGTAGCTGTTCCAGTCCCTCAGCGCCTGGATGACCAAGTCTCTCATGCCACAACTTGGCTTCTGCTGATGATGTTGGGAGTGGTTGTCTTGTTGACTGAAAACCTTTGGTTGGTTTCCTTTCTACGGTTGGGCTGAATCTCACAGTCTTCTCGGTATTGCTGAACGAGGTATTGTTCAGCAGAGCTGGGCCAGCTTCAATAATGTATTGACCATATCGGTTTGGTGTTTTGAATAGAAGTCTGCCTTTTGAGTCGATAAGACCCGGTATTCCTGTTGTAAAGATGATCCCTTTTTGCTTCAGCGGTTCTGTCCCAAGGAGCGATGTTGGGTATCCAGGCACAAGCCATACATTTCTGACTTTGATCTCCTTGTTGTTGGATTTGCCGCCTTGGTTTGGTTTGATGATCATTGTGCCTTTCGCAATTGCATGTACATCTCCTCCTCCAGTGGTGAAGTCTTTTGTGACTGTGTAGTCGAGATCATGAAGTCTTGAGGAGTCGTTGCAGATGTGGAATCCTGTTCCTGAGTCTACTATCACACTGTCTGACAGTAGGAATCCTGAATAGAGACTTGCTTCTCCTTGATTGACGATAGTGACGAAAGATGAGAGTGATCCTTCTCCATCAGACACTTCTTGAGTATAGTGGGATGATGATTGTGTAGTATTTCTCCAGTTTGAGGAAGATGTTGCTCGATCTGGGGACTTTTGAGACTGCTGATCGCTTGCCCCTTTTCGTAGTTTTTCAACTATTCTCTTTAAGTGTGGTTTCTTCTGGAGATACTCATTCAATCTTTCCAGTGCTTTCTTATTTTCTGGATTATCTTCATGATAGTTTGGGCCTCGCTTCTTAGGGTTGGCATGTTTGCAATCAACAAATCGGTGACTTTCGTTTGGGCAAGCTGCACACTTTTGCTCTCGTTTTGCCCCCTGTTTTATTCCTTGTTCGTTTTCTCCTTGCCAAGTAGCGAAACTCGTGTCTTTTAATGGAGCAGCATTCAACCAGTCTGGGTGGAAAGTTCTCACCCAACTGCGGAAATCGTTAGCTTGCTCAATTCCAGCAGTCTTGCTGATCGAACTGTAGGTTGGGTCATCCTTGTATCGCTTTGTGAAGTCGTAAGAGGCAGATGTGTAGTAATCTGGTGCAATTTGCTTGACTGCTTTCAAGAACTCAGAGACTTGAGTAACTGGATCGCTGAGAGCAGGGATTCCGATTGTTTGGGCTTCATCCATGATTTCTCGATAGATTATGAGCCATCCTCCAAGTTTTGCTCTTTTGATTGATAGCATATGCTTGTTATATCTTTCCAATACCATTTGTTGTCTCCCAAAGTTGTCTGGCGCTAGCTGTTTTTCAAGAGCTTTTATGATATCCCTGACTGTTTGCTCCTTGCTGACTTGGCTGATATAAGTGGCTGCTACAGTGTTCATGATCCAACTGTGAATTTCTAGAAGACTTCGCCGAACCTGGTTGTATTGGTCTTTTTCTTCTTGATAGATAGCTTTTCCATAGCTGATAACGTTGCTATAGTTTGCTCGTTCTTCTTGTCTGAGGTCTTTTGGGTCTGGGAATTCCAATCTTGGCTTAGTATTAATCTTGGTTCCTTTTGGATTCACATAGTCCCAGACTTCATGAACGTTTGCCAGCATCTGTAAGTTGTTGAACCAGTGGTTCCAGTCGCTGTCAGTCTGTAGCCGCTGTGTGTATTTTGCAGTTTCCGTAGTTGAATTCATGATCTCTCTTGAAAAGAGAACTGGTCTCTCTCTTCTGATCGTTGTGCAGTTGGTTTTTCGCCGTGGCCAAGATTGAGTTCGTGACTAGACACTTCTTGTTTCAAGTTGGTGATTTTGTCGATTGTTGCCTAGAGGTTTGAGGGTATATAGCCAATCTCAACGCCTCAATTCTCAACAAAACGCAAGACGCCCCCCCTGTCTAATGAACCTGCCGTTTAGTGTAGTTGGTCTAGCCACCCAACTTGTAGCTATTCGCAAGGACCGTAAGACTGGCAAGCTCCCCTTCGTGGGTTCAATTCAGGGTTGTGGAGTTTTCGCAATTTGTAAAAAGTCTTATCGGTTCCGTTACACGAAGACTATAAAGTGAACCACCTGTTCGTCTTATCTGCCCGAAGCTTTCAGAGGCATAAAATGAGCAACTAGGTGTCTCTTCCGTTTCGTAATTCCAACCCTCCTGGCTGCGTATCAGTGGTATGGTCGAGCATGAACTTATATAAGGTTCAAGTTAAGAGTCCTGGGTTCAACTCCTCAGATGTGGTAAGTCCCCCTGAGTTGAGATGAACTTTTTGTGATTTTTTGATAAGTGTTGATGATATGAATTGATGACCAGAAGTTCTTTTGTGATTGAATGTTTCAACACTTCAACGTTCAGCCTTGTGTGATTGGAATTGATGTTTTGTTTGGTGGACTTGACTGCCAAAGTCTCATGGGTCGGTAACTTCGTCAATTGAGTGCCCTTGTCTATGGCATAAGTCTGAACTGCTCCCTTCTGGAAGTCGGTTTTTCAATTGGTAATTGTCACCATGAGGTACTGGGCTCATAACTGTCACGCAGTCAATTTGCCCACCACTTATGGGGTAAAAAAAGATGCTTCCATTCCTTAGAGACTGTCTAGGGGTTATTGGGTTGATTATATAACCGTCTATTCGGTAATTACCGATTTGAAGGTTTTCATGCACAAAATGACATCCCCGTTAGTTTTATATGGGAAACAATAGCCGGGTGCATGGGTTGAATGCATGCCCCGATATATGCAGTGGTCCGTGTGACATTAGCCTCCATGACCAATGACAGTGGCAAGCTGCGAGATGCGCCTAACTATTTCGGGTTAGAGTCGCGATACTCCACGATTATTGGACAAGGTCTATGCGGCTCCCTGACATCCGACCAAGGCGAATGTCAAAGAGTTGTGATGTGTGTATTGTATCTGACCCTTTTAATTGTTGTGCATATCTAGTTACCGTCTATGACTGTTTGTGGTTAAAACATTACAACTAGGTAATCATTAAACTCTGTGCATACATGTTAAGTCCAGGTTGCGATGGTTACGATTGGAGGTCTGCAAATACCCATCAAACCTCCACTTATAACCGGTACAATTCAAATCTGCCACTGCATCTTCTCAAAGAACCAGAACTGACCAAGCAGCACCAGAGCGTAAAAAGGTATGACTGTTTAATTAATTATGTAGATAAAGCCAACTATGATTTCCATCAGGGGCCGAGGAAGTAGCGCATATCAATTCCATTACTTTTAGTCTGTGTTTTAGTCTCGCCCAAGCGAAGTCGTACAACTGCTCAATTGTAGCTCTGGTACAGTTACAAACTACATCATTAGTTGAGGCTGCCTCCAGTTGGGCTTACGATTCATCCATTGCAAAGTAGTAACTTTGTAGCGAATCTGAACAGTTTTCAGCTGTCACGGTAGACCTTACAAGTCTAGCTGCGGCATACATGTACTTTTACGCCTTTGAAAATCACACACAAATGCAATAGGGAAGTCACCAAATTTCGCAGGCTTTAGTAAAAGGTTCGATAGCGTAAAAGCTGGTATTATTCTGCATGGCCACTAATGAATCGGTCGATACTGGCAGAGGAACTTACACTCAGATAGCTCCTGTGATTCTCAGGGCTTTCTAACTTTTTGCTGAACTGACCTAGTTCGCCTTGAGCTGACAAGCATGACTTTCATGGTGGAGCTGTGTTGTTTGATAGATATGACCGTATGATTCATATAACCGGGCAGTATTGGGATCTACAAAATGTTGAAACACGTGTTCGGCCAACTGCCTGAACTTTAACTCAACATTTTACAGTGGGGTATTATGCACCCCTCTTTACGCGTGTAACTCAATTCAATGACGCAATTCCCGATCTTGAACGGCTCCAGGAGCTCAAAACCTTAATTACGCCCGAGACAGATTTCGACGAGGCTCGGCTCCTGCGGTACGCAAATTTGGGCAGTTAAGCTCCTTTTCCTTGGAGGATGTCATGAAATATCATATTTCTCTCCCCCGATGCGACTAGACACTCTCAAAACGCTGCTGACGATATGTTCTTAGTGCTCCATTCCCTTGACGAGAGCTTCCCTTTAAATCACGAGAGGTTTTGTCCTACGATATGCATACCGGTAGACGTGCTTGTACAAGCTAAATATCAGACAGATCCGTTGGAGCTTGGGTCGAAGTTTGGTTTGTGCATAGCTAAGCTGACACCTACCATGATATATCTTAGCACTCTGTTATTATAATTGACATGATATTAGTTGGCAATCTCTGATACACAGCAATTACCATCAAGTAGGTATGCTAAAAAACCAAAAGTAGCAAAGACGCCGTTAGCTTCAAGCCGTGTGTTGGGTTTTGAATTTTGCTTGTCAGCTAAATTGCAAATCAATAGTTACGCGATGGTACCAATTCTGTCCACAATCAATTGGAAGCGATACATCTAGTGGCTAGCTGTTGAGTATGGCTTCAGATGACCGGTGTTGTATATCAATCTTTTAATCCCTAGCCTACTTGATATTCTCAAACACCACAGAGACAACGCTTTGTCACAAAATCAAATGAACCCTCATTCAGGCATAGTGTCAGGAATACAAGCGATTGGCTGTCTCTGATTTTGAAGATTATTCAACCTAGCGGGAGAACGTTACATAAAATTGCCGCGTGGATTCAAGTTGCTTTCGGTCTACAGAGTCTCAAGTCTACTTAAGATGAAAGCACTGACTTGACTGGGGCTTCGAAACTGGCTGCGAACTGAACAAGGGGCGGTCTACATCTGGGATATCCCGACAAGCAGTCTTCTAATGCACATGCAGGCTGATAGAGAAAAGATTGAGTTTTCGAGAAAATGAAGGGGTTATCCCAGCTTTTGTAGAGGTCAGTAGCTTGACTCAACCGATAAGACTTTTTTACTTCGTAGATCTTCTCATAATGATTAATTAATGCGCCCAGGCGGAGTTCTAGGCTTTCAACACGCAAGTGAAGTACAGATTCTTTGGTACTTTTCAAATTCTCCAAACTCTGTACTCATCAGTAGAAAAATCGAGTTCTTTGTATGATGAACGTTCAGTCCGCGGCTTAGACACCAGGGTCCTTTTTCTAAACTTTCCCATACGCCCTGAAGATCGAATTAGAATCACATCGGCCTAAAACTTTCAAGTACAGATCAAAGCTCTTGAAACACTAAAACATGGTTTTCATTTGGAAATAAAGAAATGCAAAAGAATTTCACTATCAATCAGTATCTTACGTATACGGAAAACTTGGGTAGAAGCCATTGGCCAAATACGTACCTAATGTCTCCTGAAAATCGTTGAAAACCGGGGTGGTTGGGTGGAGCTATCTATCAACGGTGAACCGCACCGCCTTACTGACACCTTCTGACTCGCTACATAAAGTCCATGAGTCGGATGATTAACACTTTGTGTGACACCGAATGATGTTACTGTGAACATCAGTGATCACCCAATGCTAGGATGAACGAAGATCATTCACTCGCCTGAGTAAAGACATGCAGCACAAGGAAACAATCACGCTGAAACAAAAGGTCATGACAACATAGGTACTATCGATAAAATTTGAGGTATCAAGAAATGTACAAAAAGTTCTGCTCTATGTAGACGTGAAATTTGCTTGCTAGTTTTGAAAGCCGCCCTCAAGGTGGCTCTCAGAGAACAAGGAATGTAAAAAATTTAGATCTTGCCAATGCCAGCACCCTTCATGACCATGCTCTTAACGCTGCTTGCGGCCTTTGGCTTGACAAGGTTAGTCTTGACCTTAGCAAGGTTGGAAAGGCCGGCGGTGCTCGTCATGCTAGTAAAAGTGCCGCTGCCAGAAAGGCTGTTGGCAACGCAGGCGCGGCCAAGGCTGCTAGAGCAGGAGGCAAGGGAACCGGAATCAGGGGCGTTGAATACAGTGTTGACTTTGGCGGAGTTGTCGGTCATGGGTTGTTCAACCTTCTCGAAGACGTTGCCCTCAATAAGAGCAGATGTTCCAGGGTAAATATCAAAAGCATGGCCCGCCATATTGGCGAAGTAGTTGTTTGTAGCATGGACAGTGGTGGAAACACCGTCCTGGCCAAGCTTAGGGGCACGGCCTGAGAGGTCGTGCCAGTAGTTGCGGTCAAGGGTAATCTTGTCTCCATCGGTAATGAACATGACAGTCCAGTAGTGGTTCTTGTTGCAGGTGGCGGAGGTCTTGGTAACGCCATCGAATTCGGTGTTGGAGATTGTCAGGCGGTTTGCATTGTAGCTAAACAGGCAAATGATTAACAGTTGCTCCTGCTTTCACGATGTGATTTATTTCACTTACTGAGCAACAACAAACATACGGCCAACCTTGCTGAACTTGCAGTGGTCAATCCAGACACCGTCGTTGCCTTCGAGCTGAATGGCATCGCCGCCCCAAACGCTCTCAGGGTTGATGTTCTGCGGGATCATTAGCATTAACACTTGAACGAAGTCGAATAGAACGAGACTCACCGTAATGTGAACGTTCTGAATGATGACATTCTTGGAGGTCTTTGGAAGCTTAAGACCCTTGCCACTGATGACGCCCTGACTGCCAACACCAACGATGCTCTTGTTGGGCCCAACCGTCAGCGCGGTAGTACCGGCTTTGTCGTATGTAATCTTGGCCGACTGCTTTTCACTGTCGCCGCAGCTCAAGGTACCGATGTAGTTTTGGCCACCCTGAGCCATAGTGCAAGTCTTTTTGGTGCATCCGCTGTCAGTGGTAGAACCCTCAGAGCCGACGAAGTCGAAAGTTTTGTCAATAAGAATAACACGAGGAGTGCTATCAGATAACCACGAAGCGAGTCTATCATGCAAGGCGGAACAGTCAATTCACTTTCCGGTCTCTAGGAAGTCGTTTCTGGGGTCTCCGAGTTATCGTAACTTACTCCTTGATGTCTTTGGGAGCAGCAGCCTTCGCGGAGCCTCCACCAGTGACGCCCGCGGCAAAACCGTAAGCAGTTCGATTCATCTGTGCAGCAACAAAGGCGGGAGCCAGAGCCACTGAGAGAGCGGTAATAAAATGCATGCTTGGTGTTGTGATTGCGAGTAACGAATGGACTATGAACAAAAACGAATGAGATGAAAGAAGGATTGGGTTAGAGAGAGATGAGAAACGAATCCTTCATCCAAAGGTGTAGAGCGTAGAGTTAAATACTAGAATGTGCTACCTACGTTCCAACACAACTAGCTACTTCAAGAAAGTGTCAGCGGCAATCAGGGGGAAGTATGGGGACGTACCGTCGATAACCAGGATGCTATGGTAGGGGATTTATGGCAAAACCGTATACACAGTCTACTTATGATGGCTCTAGATTGGAAACCAGGCTATTCCCACGGGTACCGAAGCACCTCGACCTATACAACCCTCAGAACAGTATAAGAACGGGGGAACAGGGCCCACCCATGCGGACTGCTCCGTTCTGCATGGGGCTTTTCCAAGTCGTCCGACAAGGACTAATCCCCGAAACCTTTTTGGACAGCTTGGGGATTGAACTAGGGTTAGCAAGGCTTCCAGCCGCCGATCTTTCAGTGGGTTCCAATATGTAGGAAACATATCAAATGGAGGGATGGACATAGCGCCCCATTGGCAGGGATCCGTGCCACAAGTACGTGGCAATGAGATCTAAGAGCGAACCATTTACCAAAACTGGTTCGTTTATCTCCAAGGGTCGCCTTGTTAATTTTGTTGCTCTCTCAGATCTGATGATGATGATCGGAATTGTTACATTCATTGCTTCAGTAAGATTTATCCGGCGATAGATAAAGACAAAACAAGAAAGATCCTGAAATGCACTTATTTCGAGTTGCCTCTGTACCTACGAGCATACAGCTAGTCGCAAATTTTGGGGCCCGTTTTAAACCTTGCTTCCCGCTTTTTGATGTGTACACCCGGTGACCTCTTCATACTCATGACGGCAGCATCATGTGAGTTTTATCTCAGCGCGGAGAACAGAAACGAAAAAGCCAATCTCCATGCCTGCAAATCCTCATTATGGGGAAGTCATCTGAAACAATCAGAATCGAAACCGGTAAGCGTTGATATTCTTTCGCTACTGTATCCGCAGCTAAATCAAACGTTACTGTAACAGTACACAGGATCCTCTTGTGTGCTCCCTAAAGATGAGCAGAAGCCTCAATCTCAACATCAGTGCCAAAAGGTAGTTCCTTCACAGCAACGCACGTTCTGATAGGCTTGACCCCTTCAGTAAAGAATTTCCCGTATGCCTCGTTCAAGATGTCGAAGTTCTTGATATCAGTAAGGAAAACGTTTATTTTCACCTAGACCACAGTTGTAAACAATACGAATCATGTTGTAGGAGATGAACGGTACCTACTGCATTATCGAGGCTAGTACCTGCGGCTTCGAGGATGTTTGAAATATTTTTGAGAATTTGTGTCTGCGTTGGTAAGTTCAGCCTTGCTACGCCGCATTCACCTGCCACCCCACGGAGATTGACTTACAGTGCGATCAGCAACAGTGCCCTCAACGAACTTTCCAGTTGTAGTGTCAATGCCCAAGCTTCCAGAAACGTAGACCATGTTTTCCACTATGACGGCTTGTGAATAGAAAGGCCGAGGCGCAGGGGCACCGTCCGTGCGGACTTCCTTCTTAGTAAGAATAGGCATGTTAACAATACTGCGGATAGACTTGTAGATAAGTTTATGAATAAACTTTGGTGACGTATTGTCTTTGATAAAAGCTTGGGTTAGTTGAAGAAAATGGCGCACAATCATGACTTATATAGAGCCGAGATCGAGGCTTTTTTAGTAGTTGAGGTCCATTAAGTATGTGTCACTGTCGGGCGGGACTCATTGATTCGTCTTCTCCGACTATTTGGAGAGTATCAAACATGGCCTTACGGACTTACCTAGACTGTATCATAAACTATGCGTTGGGGGATATCGTGGTTGGAGGCACCTGATTTGGAGGTCACAGAATTGGAGGCCACGTAGTTGGAGGTCATATAGTTGGAGGCTACTTGAGGTCACGAGTTGGAGAAACTTTCGTTTCGTATACGAGAATACGATGGCAGCGTCTTGAGGAATTTGAATGTAGCGTATTTTCTGTGTAGTGGTAAAAGTCTTGTTGAGATCCATGCTCACAGCTAGCTTTGGGTGTCGGACTTGCCCTTTTGGGCAATGCGCTCACTCTCACTTAGTCAAGACATTTAACTTAGCATGTCTCCCAGTAAACCCAAGTCTTGTTCTCTGATTACACTTCAAAGCCAAAATCATTAATTGCCTTCATCTTTTTTCTCACACATAGTCAAGTTCAACCTACAGCACGAATATGGAGGCTCCTCAAAGACTCACACCACCTATCGAAGAGTTGAGAAACTTTTACGTCGGTAAAGATCTGAGAAGCATCCCATTGCCGGCTGTTGTCTTGGACGTTGCGAAAGTCGAAAGACACTGTCAGTCTATGTTGAACGCAGCCATTGCGCTGAGTGTCGACTTTCGAGCCCATGTGAAGACACACAAAGTTAGTATCCCGATACTGATGCTTGATCACAAAGCTTGGTTCGTTGAGTTATATGTGAACATGAAGTTGACTAGAATAATAGACTCGGGAGATAGCTCGACTTCAGGTTGGGGCCGATTCAAATGATGCCAGGTTCATCGTCTCAACAATAGCAGAGATCGAACACCTCCTCCCACTGTTGCGGGAGCTCAGCCATGCGGGTCGACAAGTGAACGTTCTTTACGGGGTTCCTCTTCTTAAATCTCAGGTCGAGAGGCTTGGAGGTCTCATTAGGCAGCTTGGTAAAGAGAGCATTTCTGTTCTTGTGGACCACCCTTCCCAACTTGAGTTCGTTAGTCGTGTTTGTGACCTTGCTGGATTACCTGCTGGAGTGTATCTCAAGGTCGATACTGGCTACCACCGCGCTGGCTTGCCTCCTGTATTTCTGAACAAAGACGGGCTGCTGGAGAGACTGGTTCAGCTTCATACCGAGGGGCGCGCAAGTTTTGAGGGTCTATACTCTCATAGCAGTCTCAGCTACCAGGATTCTACTGCTGACCAGGCTATGCAAAATTTGGCCGCGGAAATTGAAGGCTGTCTTGAAGCCACCAACGCTCATCACGAAATTTTGGCCAGCATTGGGGAATTCACTATCAGTGTCGGAGCATCTCCTCAAGTGAGCTCGGTTGAAAACTTGACAAAAGGTGCAGAGGAAACAGTGGGCGCTCGGCGGCTTCAGAATGCAATCAAAAAGGTCCAACAGGTGTCACACAAAAAGCTCAAAACAAAACTTGAGCTTCATGCGGGCGTTTACTCTGTTCTTGACATGCAACAAATGGCCACTTGTGCGAGAACTACACTCGGTAGCTATGAAAACGAAGTGGCCATATCTGTAGTTGCAGAGATATGCAGTGTGTACAACAATGGCGAACGACAGAACCCCGAGGCTCTTGCGGCTGTTGGTACACTAGGCCTGGGAAGAGAACCGTGCCTCTTTTACGATGGCTGGGGAGTTACGGACTTTTATGCATATCCTGGTTCCGATAAGAGGCGGAGGCTGGTTGTAACAAGAATCAGTCAAGAGCATTCCATCTTGTCGTGGGAAGCTGGCTCTGATGACATAGGGAGCCAGCCTCCTGTTCCATTTGAAGTCGGCGGGATAGTCAACATTTACCCAAACCACGCCTGCGTTACTGGGGCACTCTACGGCTGGTATCTGGTGGTCGACTCGAACAAATCAGATGCATCCAAGATTATAGCCGTTTGGGTCCGGGCATCAGGGTGGTAAATCAATTAGTTCAGGGTATACCGAAGATTGTTCTACATCATCATATTTCGTGTACCTGCCTGATACTCCGTATTTTTACCATTATATCAGAAGATCTGTTTCTTAGACCATCAATGCCCAATTCCGCAGTATTAAATTGTCTATCAACCTCACTACGACTAACTCTAAGTCCTCGGTGCGTTAATTCTTCTTGCCTGAACTTGATGGTCTAGAGACTGGGCGTCCTCTTTTATGAACGTTGTTGCATTCAAAAGCTAGCTTTGTGATGTACAAATAAACAATGGGCGGAGATTGGAATTCATTTTTCTTTGACAGTATTCATTATTTCCGGAGCTTGTCTGTGACGAAATGAATTTGTGCAACCTATGATGTTATCCTCCATGTAATGTTCGGTCCATTATTTGTATCGGGTGGCCTGATTATTTGATTTGATTTTCTCACAGCTTATCAGATACATGTGGAGTAATGACACAAAGAGGATGAAACATGCGTAAACAGAAGGAAATATACAAGCAGCTAGTGGAACTCCAATGTTGTTGTGTGAGAGACACTTTGAGTGCGGGACGTATAAAGTCCAATGAGAAACCTGCATAATCAATCGCTTCATGGTCGAAGTTCTAGGCTGAAATGAAGCGGAGACCAGGTGTTCATGTTAAAGACTACCTACCATTGTACCCCTCTCCTCAATCAGGTAAGTCTTTTGGGGGTTTTCCGTGACACTTCTTGCATCAAAACCCTGGTTAAACAAATCCGTTACCAGGAAGGGAAAAAACACATATGCTGCCAAGCACAGCGCGTGTATGCAATGTGATCAAAAATATCACGCAGAAACAAGGTATCAAACGTAAGGTCGCTTCACCGGTATGCAGCTCCATGTGCAATACGGGTAAGCTGCATTCCAAAGGCCCCGCTTCTATCGAAGCATCTAATCCATTTAGGACAGCCGTCTTTCCATTGCCAACGTATCAGGTTTCAACGTCTGATGCGAAGGATGCATGGCGTACCCAGTCAAGGCCGGGCAACTGACTTGCATTGCCGCTAATATTTGTTCCCCGAAGTCGAAGTCTTTGGTTTACACTCTTGCTGGAGATTCCATGCAGTTGAAATGGACCCGGGCTCCTAAAGTTTCCGTGGTATTCCCTACACTCTATAACCTTCAGCTGTAGCTTGAGATAATTGCGTGAGTTTGTGTACATTCGTGTATTTCTTTAATCTTTGGTTCATTTTTTCCATCCTCATCCCCTCCCCCCCCCTTTAAAATTCTCCGAGACGTCTTGGCGATCGTTCATCTCAAATTCTTCACAAGAACAGCTCACCATGAATCGGACCGAGGCCTCCTCGAGCCCGACAATGGGTCAAGACTACACCATGTATGCAATTGCAGCATTTTCTGCATTCATTTTATATAACATCGTATCAACCATACGCCAATATTTACGATTGAAGCACATCAAAGGTCCTCCCGGCACAGGATTCTCTAAATGGTGGCTCATTCGTGCAGTGTATGGTGGTCGCGGGCATCTTGACTTTTTCGAGGCCTCCCTGAAATATGGTCCGTATGAAGTCTTCTCTTTGGCGGGTGAATAGCTTATGAATGATAGGGTCACTCGTACGCATTGGACCAAACGATCTCGTGACGAGTGATCCGGACCTAATGAAGCATATGCTTAATGTGCGGACGAAATACAAGAGGTCCAACTGGTTCGACGCTATGAGACTTGATCCCGGAAAGGACAATATCCTTTCTACGAGGGATGATGAAGTGCACAGCATGCTTCGATCGAGAATGGCCGCCGGTGTAAGTATAAGACTTCTCTCAACATAATCTTCTAACTTGTCAAGCTGAACTGTATGTCTCGACGTAGTACTCCGGAAAAGAAGTCGAGAACCTTGAAGCCAAGATTGATGAGAATATCGTTCGATTAATGCATCTCATTGAAAAGTATGTGTCAAAGGATAAAGAATTCGATTTTGGAATCAAAGCTCAGTATTACACTCTCGACGTGATTTCGGACCTTGCTTTCGGCGAGCCCTTTGGTGACGTCGAGAGCGATTCAGATGTTCATCAATACATCCATACAATGGAAGAGAACATGCCTAACATTGTGTTGACGGCTGCGCTCCCCTGGTTACTTAAGTTATTTTCTTCTCCCCTCTTCCGGAGCTTATTGCCATCTGAGAAGGATGCGATTGGAGTTGGAAAGACTATTGGGTAAGACTTCCTGGTATCCTCAAACGAGTCCATAGACCTCTCGTCTACGTCTCTGCCATACCCCTAAAGTCCAGTTGCTAATCGGCAACATTTAATACGATAGTATTGCCAAAAAGGTGGTGGCAGAGCGCTTCGGACCTAATAAAAAGGTCCCAAGAGACATGCTTGGGTCCTTTATTGCTCACGGGCTCAACCAAGAAGAGGCGTCGTCGGAGATTCTCATGCAAATGTAGGAAACGGTCGTTAAACTGCAAAGTACCACTACAATGGCTTACAAGCTTGCTAGACTTGCTGGCTCCGATACTACAGCAACCGCTATACGTGGCACGCTCCTTCATATACTCACAAGCCCACGCGTAACTGAGGCTCTCCGAGCCGAGATCGAAGCCGCCAAGCCGTCATGGCCAGTCATCACGGACGCTGAGGCACGCGAGATGCCGTACTTGACTGCCGTGATCAAGGAAGGTCTCCGCATATTCCCGCCCGTTGTCGGTCTGATGTCCAAGGAAGTGCCAAAAGGCGGCGACACGTTCAAAGGCGTGTATCTACCTGAGGGTACTAGGATCGGGTACGGCGCGTGGGGCATCTTCCGTCAAACCGATGTTTGGGGTTCAGATGCTCACGACTTCCGACCAGAGCGGTGGCTAGAGGCTGAAGGAGAGAAGTTGAAGTCGATGGAGGGGGCGCTGGAGTTGATATTTGGATATGGAAAGTGGCAGTGTCTAGGACGTAACGTGGCAATGATGCAGTTGAGGAAGATATTCGTCGAGGTAAGTTTGCTGGGCTAGCTATCTGACCCCATTCCTTTTCTCTTTCCTTGGGCGAACTTAACTGACGGTGCGGATTCACAGCTGTTGAGAAGGTTTGATTTGACTGTGATTGATCCCACCAAGCCATGGAAATCTCTCAACTACGGCATTTTCGTACAGTCTCAATTTTGGATCAGAGGGTACAAGAGAGACATGCCCATGTGAGCTGGGGATGTTCCCCTGTGTCATTGCGTGTTGACATAGGATTTACTCATGGCCTATTGTCCGCATTTACTGCTTACCTTTGTTTTCCATCTTGGGTTCTTCGATATTCTGAGTATTGAAAAGTTGCTTAGAATGACACGGAAACCACCGCAGGCTAGCTAAGCAAGGTCCAAGCTACACATGCTTACGCTATTGCGTTTAAGAGAAAGCAGAAACAATTCTGTCTTAAGTTGAATTAGCAAGCCCTTTACAAAGAAAGGAGCAGCTGAATGTGTTAATGCAAAAAGTCACATCCCGCGATACTCATTTGTTACTCACGATTTGAGGCTCTTACTGTCGACAAAGCCTTTATTAACTGAAGCCGGCTAGCAGCGGACAAGGTGACGCCAAGGTCACTTGACTGGTGAGAGGACCATTAATATGAACGAATCGTTTTGTTTTCCCCTTTCGATGTGAATTATCTCACCCTGTCGGTCTTAAGTTAAGCATTAGTGATGCCTGAGAATCGGGAAGTCGGCGAGCTTCAGCTACCCATTTGTCAGGTATTTGCCTGCGACGTATTTCGCTCCACGCCTTTCTATGCTGCCTTGTTCCTTCTGTACCAAACTTTATTTCAAGCGGCAAGTATAACCATCGTGACAGTCTAAAAGCCTCTAGTTCAATGAGGCATTCACTCACTGATTCTCAGTCTAACTACCCTAACCAAGACACTTTTAAGCCAGTTCCTTCTTCCCCCAATCTTCTGTAGCGCCCTCCCCAATCATCATCATACGGAAACAACATCATAAGCTGTGAGGGCGACAGTAATCCAGCCAGTAACATTTCCTTGACATTATCTCTAACCTCCCAAACTGTACGATGACACCGAAGAAGAAGGCTTCGGCCCCTTGGGTACACAAGGGACGTTGGTGCCAATGGGAACCCGCTGACGACAAGGTCATGTTCGATATCCTGGAAAAGGGTAGGAGTATGGCTAATGCGATGCGTAAATTGAAACGCAGCAAGCCAAGCATCATAAACCGATTTCGCGAATTGGCCGCCAGCAAGGTAAGATTAGGACTAAAGCAAGGGCTTCCACGCTACGTGTTGCCAATGCAACTAAAGCTAACACAAAGCAGAAATCGCAGAAAGCTTGGGCTTCCGCCGAACAGAGCAAACTTATTGAGATGGTAGCCGATAATCTGACGTATAAGGAAATAATGCAGCACTTTGGATGCTCCAAAACAGCAGTGCAGTCGCAATACGGACTCCTTAGGGCGGTTGCATTTGAAACCAATGATGGGAAGATTGATTACAGAAAGCCCATCAAGAACAAAATCGAAGAGAAACATGGCTCCCCTGCAAAAACCAAGGTTGTGCTCAAGAGCCCGCGGGCCAGAAGGGACACCACTAAATTTACACCCAAAAGTTCCCGGAGCCCCAAGACCACCGCCGATCAAGTCAAGGCTAATGATATGTCGAACCGAAGAAATCTCGACAAGGGCGGTCCCCTTTCTTCGAAAGGAAGTATTAAGGAATGGAACTGGACCGAAGACGGACTGCGCCGCTCAGAAAGTCCTGTGAAGGCACACATGGGAGTTTCACAGCGACTGCGTCTCAAGTGGACCCCTGGCCGTAATCGTGTTGTCGGAGAGAAACGCAGGATCGACGAATCTACTGCCACTGGAGCTATGGAACATAGTAACGACCATGAAGCTGCGACCCAAATGGAGGGCCAGGGACATCAGAACGTCACCCTGCCCGAGGACCGTACTGGAGCGAACTCCCCGACCCTCCAGGCTCAGCAAGTCGCCACTCAGAATGCGAAAAACGCTACCATGATGCACATGGGAGATACGATCTTGGGTACTGGCGATCTGCCTTCTGGGTGGGAACGGAGATGGACTCTTGAGGGACGTCTCTACTTCGTGGATCACAACACCCGGACAACTACATGGGCGGACCCCCGTCAGCAGCAGGACATCCACATGCATGGTGGCGAGAGCAACCAGAATAAGCCTAAGTCTCAGAAACTCGCCAAAAACCTCGAAAAAGCCGATATTGAGGACAGTCAGGCCGCTGGCAAAAAGCACAAGTCCAAGGAGTTCAGTGTCAGACAAGACGAAGCGACTGGAGAAGACATTGCAAAGCCAAACGACTCACAGTACGAGAGTCAACGCGTAGCAGAAGGTCCTCATTCGCCAGCATTCGATAAGGGTGAGCCCCAGCCTCTTGATGTCGGCGAACCATGCTTCTATTGTGGCCAAGATGGACACCTTCAGGCGGATTGCGTTGTGGCAAGGACTTGCCATATCTGCAGAGTGCCTGGACACACTTGGATGGACTGTCCCCAGCGTGCACTCCATCAGCGGGACTGGCTCAAGGTTCTTAACGGAAACTCGTAATTCTTCGTTTGGTCGTTTATCTGAGGGGTCCATCTGGGCAAAGTGGAAGACAACAGGTTTATTGAGGCTCAAGGTATCATCAAGGCGGGAGTTGATGCGGAAATGAAGATCGGAAAGATGGGCGTTTTGAAGATTGCAAAACGTAAACATCGACGGACGAAACGTCAAGAAGTTTGCTAGGACAATGGAGTTTGGGAAATGGTATCATTCCGGCAGACAGCCTTACTTGCGTCATGTCTATTAGAACAGGACTACGGGCGTATAATAGATCAATATTGAATTGCTGTTGCGTATTAGTCCTCGACCGCTTTGATGTTTCTACTGACACGTTGAGAATCACACAGTTACACGTGGCATCCGGTTCTCTACATCGCGGCCATTGGCTACCTACGGTCCAGCATCAATCACTAGAGATGGCGAGCGGTAACGTTCCTACAACGCCTACATCAACCCCGCACCTGGAGTCTACCATGTGCCGTGCTGCAGGATCAGAAATGCAGCGATCGACGCCTCAAACGCCTCATTAGGGGACAGGACACAAAAGCGGCAGCAAAAATCGACAGCAACAATCGTAGCCACACGCGGTGTAACGTCCCCTTGGGATACTTGAAACCGCCGTCGCTCACCTTTCCCACGTAGATAACATCACAACGCCAAACATTTTGTCAGGATCAGTGCCCGCTCATACTGTTACAGCCGTGGTTAAGCCTTTCTCAGCGGCTTTTCCGTCACCAACAAAGAACGTGGCGTCTAAACCAAACGGGCAAACGATGGAAGACGACAAAGAAAATAAGCTAGGAAGCCCTAGTGCTGTAGCAAGGGACCACCCCGGCGCCGTCGACATTGAACGGGCCGAGGCTGCAACGAGAGACGACCGGGTGACCGTGGTGGACGCGAAGCAGCAGAAGCAGCAGCAGGAGTCACAGCACATCGGAACGTTGGAACGCAAACTAAAATCGCGCCACGTTCAGTTCCTCGCGCTGTCGGGCGCCATCGGCACGGGGCTGTTCGTGGGCAGCGGCCAGGTGCTCTCGCTCGCCGGGCCGTTGTCGGCGTTCATATCGTACGCGGTTACGGGGTTCAACCTGTACTGCGTGATCAACAGCCTGGGCGAGATGGCAGCGTGGCTCCCGATTCCCGGGGCGGTGCCTATCTTCGCGGCGAGGTACGTCGACCCGGCGCTTGGGTTTACGCTGGGATGGAATTACTGGTGAGAAACCACCCCGTCTCCCCTTACCGTCCAAGTTCGAGATATGGGGGGAGAAGGATTTAGTGGAAGCAGGATTTATTTCCCCATCGTCTTCAAGCGGGCAGGGGCGCTGAGATTCAACAGGTACCAATTCGCGATTGGCGTGCCTATCGAGATTACAGTCTCGGTTGTGATCCTGGACTACTGGGACCACACCGTTCCGCAAGCGGCTCTAATCACGATATTCTTCCTCGCAATGGTAATCATAAACTGTCTCCCCGTGCGCATCTACGGCGAGGCGGAGTTCTTCTTCGGGGCCATCAAACTGACCACCATTGTCGGGCTCATCCTCCTCATGTTCATAATCACGCTCGGCGGGTCCCCCTCGGGGGACCGCATCGGGTTCCGGTACTGGAACGACCCGGGCCCGATGAACGAGTACCTTCGTCCGGGGGCGCTGGGCCGGTTCCTCGCGTTCTGGAAGGTCTTCATCCAGGCGACGTTCTCGTACGGCGGCAGCGAGATGGTGGTGGTGGCGTCGGGCGAGACGGAGAACCCGCGACGCAACATACCCAAGGCGGTGCGGCGGGTGTTCTGGCGCATCGCAATATTTTACGTGCTCGCCATCTTCCTCGTAGGGCTGTGCGTGTCGTCGGAGGACCCGAAGCTGCTCAACGCCATAAGCAGCAGCGCGCCGGGGGCGGCGCAGAGCCCGTTCGTCATCGCGATCCACAACGCCGGCATCAAGACGCTGCCGTCCATCATCAACGGCGTGGTGCTCAGCTCGGCGTGGTCGGCGGGCAACTCCTTCTTCTACGCGTCGACGAGGGTGCTCTACTCGGCGGCGCTGGACGGCAAGGCGCCGAGGTTGCTCAGGTTCGAGCGGTTCGGGGTGCCGTACGCCTGCGTCGCGGCGACGACGGCGCTGAGCTGCCTCGTCTACCTCAACGTCAACAACCGCGCCGCCGAGGTGTTCTTCTGGATCAGCAACCTCAGCGCCGTGAGCACGCTCATAGTGTGGGCGAGCGTGTCGTACACGTATCTGCGGTTCTACTACTGCCTCGAGCACAACGGCATCGACCGCGACACGCTGCCTTTCAAAGCGCCGATGCAGCCCTTCCTGGCGTACTTTGCGATTTGCTTTTGTCTGGTGGTGGCATTTTTCAACGGCTTCGACGCATTCTTCCCGGGGCGGTTCAGCGCAAAGACTTTCCTGCCGCCGTACATCGATATTCCGATATTCTTGTCCCTGTTTCTTGGGTACAAGTTTGTGAAAAAGACAAAGTTTGTCAAGCTGTCCGAGATGGACATCTGGTCGGGCAAGGCCGAGATTGACCGACTCGAGCCGACGTGGCCAGTGGTCACGCCGCGGAATTGGCTAGAGAGGATTTGGTTCTGGATTGCTTAATGGCTTTTGGTCTTTTTCTCCTTTTTCCGAGGGAGAAGAGGCTGGGTTTAAAGGATAGTGAAACTTTAAAAGACAGAAACAAAAACAAATACAAAAAGTGTGGTTATTCTTCATGAGGTTTCGGCCGAAAACTAGTAGCTTACTGGCAAGACAGCTCTCGTGACCATAAGCGCTGAGAAGCTACTGCGAAACAGCCGTGGCAGCCCAAAACCTTTCACATGAGAAGATCTGATAAGGGAAAAACCACACTTAGTAGCCCACTTTGTTGTCTCGAATTATTGGCTACATGGTATTAGGTTAGTATCCACTATGGCGGCCGGGTAGTTCGGACGCCGCGTGGGTCCCCTTCAGTATTGCCATCCCACCATGTACACATCATGTAGACCCTTTAGTACAACTAGTGCAGTGGGATGGAGTGATTAGTAGATGCAGGTTTTTTCCCCCGTGGCGACGACCCTTTTTTTTTCTTTCTACCCTCTTTTCCCCTCCTCTTACCCTGCTAACGTCTACAATAGCGTGCTCATAAGTGTCATTACAAGGCAAAAGCCCGTGCTAGACGTGGACCCTTGTTCTCAGGCCAAGTCCTTTTTGTCCCGGTACTTTACGACCATGTCGGCACACTCGTGGCTAGCTAACCTAGTTGGTGGAAGCGGATATCGTACCAGACGGGCAATTTTTGCCTGGTAGTAGTATTTCGATCTGTGGCGCTTCATGTACCGGCACGATAAGGCAGGAGAAATTTTCAGCTCTGTCTGCTAAAGACGCAGAAGGTCTCGAGTGTGCCGTGCGGGGGTGTTGGTGGCACAAGCCACCCTACACTACAGGGGAGAGTATGCCGTGCTACACTATGCAGTAAATGGTGTCGGTCGGCTGTGGCTCGCGATGCGTGATGATGTGCGGCGATCCGACGGGGTTATTGTCACTGGGGCCGAGCCGAGCACGATAACATACACAAAAGACAGAGAGAGAGAGAAAGAGAAAGAGAGAGATGTGGCTCGCATCCTCGTTCCGGAAATCCTTGACACGGGTGAGGATAGCCATGCCATGCCTGGAAAATAAAGGATGGCGAGAGACATGGATGGCGATGGAGAATGGTCGAGAAGTTCCAGACGCAGAAAAATGTGAGCCCATCCCCCATCCCTCAGTGGAGGATCCATCTGTGTTCGGTCTCGATGGTCCTCGGATCGTCGCTGACAGGCGGGCCGGCTTCGCAAACCATTTGTCAAAAGCAGGTCAAAAAGTAGACCGGGTTGACCGATGCTTCTCTCCCCCCCCCCCCCCCCCCCCCCCCCCCCCCCCCCCCCCTGGGTCATTTTGGCCCCCATGTGCGATTTGGTCGTTCCTGGGCCAGTCAGTACCTAGCATGCGGACGGAAATTGGAGTCTAGGTCGTAAGGTGGGGGGGAAAATACCATACTATGGTAGTATGTCCTTTCTGTCGGGTTGAGTTGAGCAAAGACCAAGACCAAAATTGTGGTTCTTTACGAGATTCCTCGGCGCGAACAGCAAAAGAGTACTCCGAACCATAGGTAGTACATCTGGGAACATGGTTGGAAACGAAATAAGTGAGTGGGGTGTTTTTTTGTCTCTCAGTGCAGTGAGTGTGAGTGTGAGTGTGAGTGTGATGAGCTGTCTTGCTGTGCTGTCTGTCTACATAGTACCTAGATAGCATGAGAGTGAGTGAGATGCATGTGAGACATGGTCTTGAGGCTGCATGTCGACACCCTGAACCGAGTCAGGTCAACATTGGCCTGCTGACGTCTCGTTGATGGCACTTTGTCCCATCACAAAAGTAGGCACTCCCTGGCGGTCATCTTTGAATCACCCAATGATTCCCTTCAAGGGGGTGAGAATGGTGGGTGGTTGGATGCGCCATGACGACCTAAGAGGCGTAACCGTTTTGGGCTTCGGTCGCAGCGGTTCAGGAATGAAGGCGCAACGCTAAATCATATCTGATGGATCTGATAAAATTTTTATCAGTAAACTAGTAAGGTTTTTATTTTTATTTATTTTTATTTACTTTTTATTTACTTTTTACCAGACAATTTTCTCATCATCGCACCGACGGGATGGCCACCACTCACACATACACACACAAGTCAAGCACCCCATGTACTTACTAACTCATCATTCTTACTAAAGTAAACACTCAAGAGGATCTCATGTACCTTCAAGTACATCAAACCAAAACACACCACTCTCACACTCTAGCAACCGAGGAAAACGCCGCTAACCACTGATGGTTTTTGCTCCTAGCGCATGCGCAAGGAAGAGAAGTATAAAAAAAAAAAAAAAAAAAAAAAAAAAAAAAAAAAACAGGATACCAAGGTACCTACCATGTAGTCGGGAGCGTAGCCCATGCTGGATCGCCCCCCAACCTGTCTACCCACTCACTCACCTTTCACTAACTACTCTGATCTGTCGACTGGGCTTTCACGTACCGTATCCAGCCCACCGAAATGGCTCCGATTCGCAAGGTGGTGTCAATCCATACCATACCCCTTCCTCGGTGGCTTCCACAGACTGGAGACGGTACTGATGAAGGCTGCCGTCTTGCAAAAGTTAAAAGGCCGCGGATGTAACCTCACCACCTGTTTTTGTTTTTTTCCCCTGTCATCAAGCGGATCCCTCCCAATTTTTTTCTTTCCTCTTTCATCCTTTTTTTCATCCGGGTCGCCCATCTCATATATCACTGTACACATCTCCCTCTGGTTGAGTTGAGTGTGACAGTAAAGATCTCCCGAGCATCACCACGCTGCTTGAGACGGATTAAACTTCATCTGTTCTCACTTTAAGCTCTCACTTTTCACTCGGTCATCGCTCACCTTGGCGCACTGACCTTAGCCTGTCACCTTACCAGGCCTGACACAAGTGATCGACATCGCCGGACTCCCGAGCCAGTCTTCTGGGTAAGTTACGCTGCCGCTGCCGCTGTCACTGTCCACTTCCACTGCAGCTATCATCGTCACCCTGCCCCCTCCAACGTCCTTCTGGAGATCGAGTTCTGGAGACGCAGACGCACAGGAGTGGAGTTCTGCCGAACCTGCTACTGCATCTGCTAAGACAGACCCTCGTCTATCTCAACCTCATCTCATGATTGATTCACTTCCTCCACCTTACCGCACATCATCTCCTTCATGAGATACACGGTGCTAACCCTCACCTAGACCTGCGCCCATCATGGCCTCCGCTGATCCTCAAAGGGGCCTTGAGCACCCTTCCCCGGAAATCGTTCCGGAAAAGTCCACCCCCGCCACTGACGCCGCTGCTGTTCCGGCGCCCGCTGCCCATCACAAATCGGCCCACACCATGGGCTCCAAGTCTCCCGGTGTCGTGAGAATCGAGGCCATCTCTCAGGCCATCACCCGTACTGACCGCATCTTCATCTTCTTCGGCGTCTTCCTCGTCGCCTACGCCTACGGCCTTGACGGTACCCTCCGCTACGCCTACCAGCCCACCGCCACCAACGATTATGCCAACCACTCCCTGCTCGCCAGTATCAACGTCCTCCGCTCCGTCATCGCCGCCGCCGCCCAGCCCACCTCCGCCAAGATTGCCGACGTCTTCGGCCGTGTCGAGCTCCTCTGCGTCTCCGTGCTGTTCTACGTCGTCGGCACCATCGTCGAGACTTGCGCCACCAACGTCCAGTCTTTCGCCGGAGGTGCTGTGCTGTACCAGATCGGTTACACAATGATCATGCTCCTTGTCGAGGTCATCGTTGCTGACATCACCTCCACCCGTGCCCGTCTGCTCTTCAGCTACATCCCCGCCCTGCCCTTCATCATCAACACCTGGGTCAGCGGTGAAATCTCCCAGCGCGTCCTCAATGAGAGCACCTGGCAGTGGGGTATCGGCATGTGGTGCATCATCTACCCCTTCTGCGCCCTGCCCCTCATCATCAGCTTGACCATCGTCGGCCGCCGCGCCAAGCGCATGGGTCTGCTCAACTCGTACCAGTCCTCCTTCCACGCCCTCGGCCCCAAGGACTTCATCATTCAGCTCTTCTGGCAACTGGATGTCATTGGCATCATCCTCGTCATTGCCGTCTTCTCCTTGGTTCTGGTTCCCTTCACCATTGCCGGCGGCTTCCAGACCAAGTGGCGCGAGGCTCATGTCATCGCTCCCCTCGTCATCGGCATCCTCTGCATCCCCGCCTTTGTCTTGTGGGAGCGCCGCGCCCCTCACCCCCTGGTTCCCTTCCACCTCATGAAGGACCGTGGTATCCTCGCACCCCTGGGTATCGCCCTGTTCCTGAACTGGTGTTGGTACATGCAGGGTGACTACCTCTACACCGTCTGCATTGTCGCCTTCGACTTCAGCATCGCCGCCGCCACCCGTGTCACCTCGCTCTACTCCTTCTGCAGCGTCATCACCGGCTTCATCCTGGGCTTCGTCGTTTTTAGGGTCCGCCACCTCAAGTACTTCATCGTCGCCGGAACCATGCTCTTCATGGTTGCCTTTGGCCTCCTCATCCGCTACCGTGGCTCCCCCTCCGGCCAGAGCGGCATCATCGGCGCCCAGGTTCTGCTTGGTATCGCCGGTGGTATGTTCCCCTACCCCGCCCAGGCCTCGCTGCAGACCAGCCTCAAGCACGAGCACCTCGCCATCATGACCGGTCTTTACCTTGCCACCTACAACATCGGCTCCGCCTTTGGTAACACCATCTCCGGAGCCATCTGGACCCAGGTTCTCCCCGGCGTCCTCGAGGAGAAGCTCGCGCCCTTCAACAACGCGACCATTGCGACCCTGACCTACGCCTCGCCCTTCAACGCCATTGCCGAGTACCCCATCGGAACCCCCGAGCGATCCGCCATCATCGACGCGTACCAGCACGTGCAGCGCCTGCTTACCATCACCGGTATCTGCCTCACTGTTCCCTTGATCGCCTTCGCCTTCCTCCTGAGGAACCCCAAGTTGAACGACCAGCAGACTCTGGCCGTCGATTCGGACAGCGACAACGAGGCCGGTCGCAACAAGGACCAGAACGACCTTGTCACCAAGATCTAACGACCTTGTGAAAGAAGTATTTTAGACTACTACGACATTTATGCATTGTAATTTGGGGGGGGTCTCTACTGAAATGATAATGACCCGAGTCCGCTCGCTTCCCTGACAGGGGGGAGGATCGAGAAACAAACATTTCGATTTTTTAACTAGTAAAATTTAATCAATACCATCTTTGTTCAACTCACGTTTCTTTTTTTTTCCCCCTTCTTGCCGTGACCCCAATTCTTCACCGCCATTTTTCCCCCCGCCGTGGCGACCTAGCATTTGGACATAGCCGCCCCAGTAAAAGCTGACATGCGTCAAGGAAACCCCGCGCACAAGCCTTCAACGCCGCATCACGATCCGGCTGGGCCCGTCTTGGGGGACAACTATACGAGCTACTCAGGATGAAGAAGAATAGAAAAACAGCCGATCTTGAAGATTAAACATATCCACCCCGACCCAAAGCTTGAGCACGATCGTCTGCTTCCGATTGGTGTTCCTGCGATGGGCGCCCCGCGTGGGGTGACTCTGTTGCGACGTCGCCTACGCCGTTTTGCTTACTGACATATGCACGACCAGGGGGAGGGCCTCCGCGTGGTTCACTTGCCTCCTGGGGGTTATTATCCCTCGGTTTTTCGCGATAATGTTACTGAAATTTTAGGTTTTATAAGAGATGGAGAACTGGCCCCCCCCCCCAAAAATACGGTGCCGTCGTCTTTTTACTTTCTCGACTGACTTTGAACGGCGACATGTCGGGTTTTCTTCCAATGGCGAGCAAGACCGTTACGGTTCTTTTGGCGTGTGCCTCGTACGCTGCCGCGCTTCGAGTCCCCCGATACGCGACTGTTGCGTCGAGGGAAGTTGTCTCCGAGACGAAATATGACTTTGTCATTGCTGGCGGAGGAGTCTCTGGTCTTACTGTCGCCGACCGGCTGACTGAGGACCCGAGTAGTATGTTGACCAGTTGATGATTCTTTTCGCCGCTTGCTGATTCCTCAAAAGTCAATGTTCTCGTCATCGAGACCGGTCCCTTTGATAAGGACGAGGACAGCGTCCTTGTGCCCGGCGCGTTTTTCCCCGTGCCGTACCTTTGGCTCGGCTTGACGAGCACACCGCAGGCTGCCCTGAATAATAGGAGCTTTCCGGTTCCCGCTGGACGTGTTGTTGGAGGCGGCTCGGTCGTCAACGGCATGGTGTTCGTCCGCGGTGGAAGGACTGAATTCTCCGGCTGGGAGAAGCTGGGGGCCGAGGGCTGGGGTTTCGACGATCTTTTGCCGTATTTTAAAAAGGTAGGTTTCACACGACTTCGATGTGGCGAGAAAACTGACACCATCACAGAGTGAAAACTTCACGGCGCCTCCAAAAGACTTTGCAGACGCCGCGAACATTTCATGGGTCGAGTCGGCACATGGCCACGACGGTCCGGTCCAGGCGTCGTATCCCAACTACTTCTTCCCCGGAGCCGGTAAGTTGCCCTTATCCTGTACTTTAGAATTTTACCAACACATCATAGAGAACTTCTGGCAGGCCGCCCTCGAGAGCGGTCTCACGCCCTCCCCGGACCCGAACGGCGGCGACCGCGCAGTGGGTCTCTTCAACTTCCCCACTCTCGCCGACGCCACCACCCGCACCCGGAGCCACGCCCGGCTTAACCACTACACCCGCGTCAAGGACTCCCGGCCAAACTACCACATCCTCGCCGAGCACACCGTCTCCAAGGTCCTGTTCGACGGCAAGCGCGCCGTCGGGCTGGAATACCTACCCACTGCCGGCGGCGACAAGGTCAAAGTGTACGCGAAGAAGGAGGTCCTCCTTGCCGCGGGCGCTCTGCACACGCCTCAGCTTCTCCAGCTTTCCGGCATCGGGGCGAAGAAGTTCCTTCAAAGCTTTGGCATCGACGTCATTGCTGATCTCCCGGGTGTCGGCGAGAACTTCCAGGATCAGGGAGAGTTGAAGGTTCCCTACACCAGTACATCCCTCCCCCTCCCTCTCAAAACCCCAAGCAGGAATAGAAGCTGACCAGATCTTAGTCGCGAAACAAATCTTCCCCAACTCGGGCGCTCTCGACACAAACTCCACCTACGACGCGGAACAACGCGCCCTCTACGACGCAGAAAAGAAAGGCGCGTACACCATCGTCCGCACCCTCTCCACCAACCTCGCCCTCCCCCCGCTCTCCAACACGACGTCGACCTGGAAGGACATCATCGCCGCAGCCAACAAGAACAAACCGCTCACATACCTTGCCCCAGGCACACCTTCCTCTGTCCAGGAAGGCTACAAGCGCCAGCGGGCTCTCATCCTGGACCAACTCTCGGGACAAGACGTGCCGCTCGGTATGGTGCACTGGGGCACCGGCAACAGCGTCACTCTGTACTTCCTCAAGCCGCTCAGCCGCGGTTCCGTCAAGATCAACTCGACGGACCCCCTCGCGCAGCCCGTCATCGACTTCCGCACCGCGTCGGACCCAATCGACTTCGACCTCGCGGCGGCGCTCTTCGAGAAGAGCAAGGAAATCATGTCCGCGCCCGCGATGAAGGTCCTCGGCCCGCAGATGTCCGCGCCGTTCGCGGGCGCCACGGGAGACGAGTTGAAGGAGCTGCTGAGGGCGAACATGGCGCCTTCCAACGCGCACTCGTGCTGCACTGCTGCGATGGTGCCCAAGGAGAAGGGCGGCGTCGTGGATACGCAGATGAGGGTGTACGGGGTCAAGGGACTCAGGGTCATTGACGTTAGTTACTGGCCCATGGTCATGACTGCCGCGCCGACTGCTACCACGTATGCGTCCGGTGAGAAGATTGCGGATGTCATCAAGAAGGAGTATGGGATTAAATCTTTGTAGTGTGGGGTGCGGAACGGTGAGGATGTTTTCGTGGTGACGATGGGGCTTTTGGTTGAATTTGTCTAGACATCTAGACTACAAGGAAATACATGAACTATCTTTGTATTTGCTTATTTGCCTGCTTGCATCTCGCGGGCCATGACTTTCTTGAAGCGTGTCTTGAAAGAACAAAAGTTCGGGGTTGGAGTTAATGTCAATATCATTCGCAAACAACCCGCCCTCGGAGAGATTATGGTACCCGGATCGTGCCTTGTCTTTGCCATTTTGAGAATCATCGTCATTCTCCGAATTCTGATTGCCCTTTTTCGCAGAGACAGGTGCTGTGAACCTCCCTACAGCATGAGAAATGGTAACCGGAGAAGGATGCCCCGGGAACCTTGGAATGTCCTCTCGCAGCTCCGGATACTGCACGAAAAAGTCGGATTCCATCGTCCACGCCCGCAAGTCGCGCAGCCTGTCTTTGAACAAGGACGACAGGCAGTACGTCCCGAGCTGCACGTTCCGCACGTAGCAGTCGCGGAAGTCGAACGGCCACGCGATGCGTAAATGCTCCCTGAACATGTGCCAAAAGATGTTGTGGCAGTATCGATGCGGTGTTGTCGCGAAACGATAGCGTATTGCCGGCCTGGGGCGACGTCAGTCTTGGTCACAGTTGGCGGCTCGGAAACTTACCATGTGAAGTAGTCTGCTGATGGATCGCGGAACGGTGATATCTGCTGCAGTTGTCTAAATAGCGTCAGACCTAACCTGAACTGTTCAAACTACCAAGACTTACGATTTCAGATACCACTGCGGCACTACTGATGATTTCATCGGCGTCGGGTCGGTGTATGCCCGCATCAGCAGGTGAATCATGAACAACACACCCAGGCGCTCCGGCTGACCGCAGCCTGAGAAGCACATTTCGTCTAGTTGACGGACCCTCTTCCAAAGAGGCGTCATTTTCCCCGATTGACTGATGCTATCCCACCCGTGAAGGACCGCGTGCACCGGAATGTCCTCGCTGACTTGGTATTCCAAGTCCAACATAGCCTGGGAGATTGCAAAGGGCTCTTTCAAGATTTTGTTTGCTGCTTTCCAGTTGTTGCAGTTCACCAGCGAGCCATCGGAGAGTCTGCGTTTCTTGATGGAGCTTTTGCAGCTACACGTCGGCTTTGGCGGTGCTTCCGCAGTTGACGTGCTGGCTTCTCCGGTTGTCGGGTTGAGCATCGCTGGCGACGGTGGCAATGGGCCTATTAACGAAGAACGTACTTCTGTTGTTTCTGGAAGAAACATTTCGTTTAACCAAGACTGTTCAAATTCCAAGCCGGTTCCATCTGTGAAGTTACTTGTGGCAAATCCCATGTGTTTCAGATCGCACATGGTAACCTCAGAAGTGGTCGGCACAGGAGCTGCAACAGGCGGAGCCATGAAGTCCAAAGTCGACGGCTGTGGTAAGTCCAAGTTAACCAGATCCGGTATGGATTTGTTGTTTTCCTGGTTCAATGTTTTTTCAGAGTCCCAACCCTTGGCGTCAGTGAGTTGCTTAGTAAAAAGCGATGAAGTCGTCTCCAGGCAACTCATCAACTTGTTCCGCTGTTCCGTCACCCGCGACAACTGTGCCATGAGTGACGCTGTCTTGCCGTCGTCATCTTTCTGGCTGAGCTCTTCGACCAAGCTCTCCAAATGAGCGATTCGGTTCTTGGTCTTCTCCCGAGCGATACGCTGAGCTTTGCGATCGGCTTCCCTCTTCTTGAGCCGCGAGGATGATACAGTGGCGGGGCTCCGATAGTTTCTCGTGTCAGGAGTCTGAGGTACTTCTGGTGTGCTTTCCATGCCCTTCTTATCTTGAACAGTGGCTGATGTATTGTCCATAGAGTTATGCAACTTAGTGGGTATTCATCTGGTATGATTGTGGGAAGAAGGCGGGGAAACTGAACTCAGGCGCGGTCCGCAGTGCATGTGCATGATGCGGGGCGCGGGGATTTGAGCCGTCCACCTCGGTAGCACGGTTCTAGTGGCGGCCCGGTGACGCAGTCAGAAAGCACCTTATTTTCTACAGTTTATCGTCCAGTACAAATAGGAATATGTCAAGATAAGCATATAATTCATCAAACACCCAACCTTGCAAATTAAACTTTACTACTCGGCCTCCGCTTCAGGTAGAAGTAATAGGTTCCCGCCTTCTGAGACTTGTTATCCATGGCACCAAGCACAGTGTTCTCATCAACATAACGGAAGGCGTCTATGATGGGAAATTTGTCGTAAACCATTGCTGCCGTGACAACTCCGCGGAACTTGACCTCGCGTACCTGTCAAGTCATCAATGATAGTGCTCCATTTGATGGCTGTCGGGGCATAGTGTTCTACCCACCCGTGCGTGCCCATAGTCGGACAACCAAGTTCGTTGGCCATCCTTTCCGTAAATCACGATGGGGTCAACGTCGTCTACGCTGCGAAAGTCTTTACCAGCCCAATTTATCTTGACAAGTTGCTCATGAGCAGGATGGCCAGTGTCAAAATCGCCTCCCTCCCACTGACCGACCAGAAACTCTGGAGAGACGGGTTTGAGTTGGTCGTAGACTGCCGCGACGGTGGCTTCGTTGACACGGCCTCCAGACTTGGCGAGTTGAGCAAACTTGTATTCGGGTCTATAGATAGTCAGAACACACATACCACGTTAAATCGACAATACAAAACGCTACAGACGTCTGCGTCATTGTTTCCGTGGGTGTTGAATAGAAATATTAAATCTTGAGTGTTTCTGGTTATTTCGAAAGCTAACAATGACTAAAGTTCTCTCATGCTTTTTGAACTTCCCCTACTTGCTTTAGACACCAACACTCACTGCGTCGATTAACCCCGAAATGGCCATGAGCCTCAGTTCTTCACGTGGGGTAATGCTAAGATCTTTACCCTCACCCTGTCAGAGTCGAATTCCAACCATTTCAACTCGATGCGCTGCCCTTACTGGCCAATCATGATGCCTGTATCCAACCCCACCTTCAGTCACTTCGATTCGCAGTCAGCGTACCATACCAACGAGGAAGGAGAATGAGAAGATAGGAAGTGAGGGGTAAAGCGACTTTCCTACATCTTGCTTGTGACTACACAATCGCAACGTGGTAGAGCAGCGTTATTACTATCATTTATCTCAACACAACCCAAGCCACCACAGCATGAGTAACGTGCGGCCCGACGGACTTGACAAAGTGGACAACCATGGTTCGAAGAACGGCAGTGAAGATGAAACGAGTGGGAGAGAGGGACAAAGCCAGACTCAAGAAGCGACGCTTGATATGTTACTGGGGCGGAACACCGAATATGGACCGGTGAGCCAGCACGAACGAATGTAAACTAAATCATTATGCTTTTTATAGATTGCAAGAGCCAGCTGACTCTCCCCTCTACAATCCCCGTACACCTGCTCCTTCGATCGCACTACAATCCCCGCCAACGTTTAAACCTTCGGACATTCTTAAAGTTACAATGCGTGTTACGTATGAGGGTATCGTTGGGCAAGATGGTATCATGGAAAGTGCTACGCAACCTATTACCTTCCGATGCTTCTCAATCTACGGCCTTGAGAAAGACGTAGATCGTCATGGACTCCTTCTGTTTCTCCGCCGGACTCTATTTGATGATTATCAAGGGGAATGGGGATGGTGTGGGTCAGATAAAAAAAACATGCTTAGGGTTTCGTCTATACCATGCTCCGGATGATTCTGTCTCAGTAGCAACGAATGATTGCTTTACTAGCTTATATTCTGGAGAGACATGAACATCCGAGCTACGTTTTGACGATACTCAACCTAGTAAACGAGTACCCGGCGACATATTCTGTTGTATATTCAAAGGCGGATTGATAGATTGGTGGGATTGGGGCTCTGCAGAAGACCATGCGGAAATGGTTGTGCAAGTACCATCATACGTTTCGGGCAGGGTCACTAACCCTAGCGATAATGAAGGACGACCAGACATTATTATTCCAGCTTCGGACCCTGTTACATTTACCTTACGATGAGCGAATGAAGCTTGCGGATAGGGAACTCTGACTCGGCATTCTTCAGTACGGAAACTGAACGAATTTCAACCGAAAATCGGCCATTTCGAAAGTGAAGCCAATCGTGTTAGATACGTTGTGCTTACATAGCTTTGGCTCTTATGCAAACGTTGATACTGCCGAGTGCGTAGCGTAGGAAATCACTCATTTTTCGAATTGACTTGGGATCGGTGGTACTAACTACGATGATCACTCATTCGAACCGCATTACGCCCGACTGACTTTGGTCATCAGCAGAAAATGACTTTTTAATAATGTTACTGGATCAATAGAGATAATGCAGCGAAGTCTCATTGCAGCAGGGAAAATACCATGGGTCGACATTGTCATGGCATCCCATTTCTGTAGCTCCCGTTTTTCCCATGCGGAACCGGGGGAAACTGACGTTCGGGGGTCGGGGGTCGGGATCGAAGGTTGGTAGTTAAAGGAAGTATGATAGATAGGGGAATAATAGATAGGGGAAAAACGGGCGATATGATACTAGAGGAACTATTACCTAACTAGGGGTTAATAAAGGCTATAAAGAAGGGATCTCAATCGTATGAGGAATTAAGAAGCTAGAAATAAATATAGGTATTGTTATAAACCTTACTGATTAACTTCTTTACTTTATTTTATCATTATTCTTAATGTGTTTATTTCTCTTTCTATTTAATAAATGTATGGACTATTAAAGTAGTAAAAATATTACTTATAAGCTAAACTAGATAGTAAACTAATACTTTCTTGGAGGTTAATGAAGATGTGTTGCTACCAAAGTCATTCACATGTTCCCGGTATAAGATTGCCTTGATCGCTTTGCACGACTTAATACCCTGAATTGTCAGCTCGATGAGCCGACTAAACAGGCGTAGTTCAATCCTCGACGCGGCGGATGTAGCCCAGCCGAAATCGGCCTGGTGCGCAGACGTCGTCGTCCGAGTCAGATACTTGGTAGCCCGGCTCGAACCAGTCGGGGTTCTCCGCCACCCGCTTCCTCCGAGCATCTCGCTCAACTTTCAGGTAGTTGTCCGGGTTAATCTCGTAAGGCGGGTGTTTGGGGTAGAGAATCCGCGTGTAGAAGGGGACAGGGTCGTCACGGAAATAGTAGCCCTCCATTATGTCGTCCCATTCCCCCCACCACCGGTCGTCTATTTCCTCTGGCGACTCCATGTGAAGAATGGTAACCGTTTCCAAATGCTTCATCTCACGTAATCGCCAGCGGTAGGTTTCGTAAAACGAGTCGGAACATATGCCAAGAACGATGAGCTTGCGGACCATCGGGCATTCAGCACCGAGTTCTCCTAGAGCCCGTTGGTTCAGGTAAAAGGTATCGATGTCGAAGTTAACCCAAGCGTATTTTTCGGGATCCTTTTCCGTGGCGAATGCCTTGGCGTAATACCGCTGGAGATGTGTCCGGGATTCGGCGCAGGTGTGAAGTAGGGGCGGCGGCGGCGCAGATGACGGCCAGGGGCATTGATAGTAGGAAGGAGGTTCTTCGCCATACACGATCTGACGGGGCTCCATGGCCAGCTCCCAGATGCGTTGACGAATTTCCACGGGGAGAAGGGGGAAGCAGTAGAAAGTGGGCATCGTGGGTTGCTGTGAGTCAACTACGGGTTGTTGTGGAGGTGTTCGTCTTGTTGGGCGCAAGGGCGAGTTAGCGAGAGACGTAGAGGTTGACTGGAGTTTTTTTGGTGTGTTGGAAGAGTAGAGTAAGAATTTTTTGAGCAAATTTCCTGGATGGTAAATGAACCAGCTGCAGCGACTTAACCGTGAAGGAAGGTGGAGAATAACGGAAGTTCGTGAGCGCCCTGCCGAGATTCGTGGATGATGATATATCGGTCGATGGTTCTGATTACAGATTCCTAACCAAGCTAGCAAGGCTAACTATATGGTCCAGCCCCGATCTGTGAATACGGAACCCCAGATCGAGTATTATATACTGCAATATCACTATATGCCCATGATGCCAAGCCTGCATCAGCTCCGGTGCAATCCCTTCCCCCTTGCAGCTGTTGGCCATGGGTGGATCTCGACGAATACTGACGTGGCATGCCCTCGATTAGAATCCATTTAGGTTGAGAACTTCTTTATGTCGTGTTTCTATACTTCATCCATTGGTCCTCCTCGTGACCAGGCCAGACGGATAACCAAATTCTTCGCTCCTCACAATCGCTTGTTTTACTCTCCCTCGCACGCCTGAACGCGTGCTGTCACTCCTTTTACTATGTTTTTTCCTTCCTTCTCCGTATGCTTGCTTCTTCTGCCTGCCTACGTACAAGGCGCCGAATTGTTTGCAGGTTCTCCGGTAGTCGTCACTGCTGACACGAGTGAGTTTGTAGTGTTGTTTTGTGCATCCAGTTGGCTGACGTCCTATGTAGGTCCCGTTGATGTGACTTCTTTCATTAATATGTGTTTGTCGAGACCTGGAAGCAGGAAAATCCCCAGCTTGGGAAGGATGAGCTCCAGCGGGTCCTGGAAACTGCACAATCAGCCAAAGACTTGTTCGGCCCTGAGTCCAGGCTGAAGCGTGATGCCGGGCATATCAAGCCCACCCATCTGCCACCCCATATGCCTCTGCACCGCCGCCAGCTGGCCAACTCTACCCTGACCACCAACTTAAATCTGACCGCGGCTAGGGCTATCATTCGTCAGGCCCAGAAATAAAGCCGACGAAAGAAACCGGGAACGTTTCCAGAATCCTCGCCTGAATACCTATTATGCGCAATTCGGTGAAAAAGCGACGCTCAAGGCTCGTGCTGATGATGCTGCTGCGCTTGCTGTAAACAGAACTGTCGCGGTTGCCGCCGCCCTTGTCGCCGAAGCCGACGCCGCCCGTGAACAATCAACTGAGAACCCAACCCTTCCAGCAGAGCTCCTTCAACTCAAGAATTAATTACAAAACACTGACCCAGACGAGGAAAAGCTTGTGGCTCGAGCGGGAGGGGGCTTCTGGATGGAAGACATTGCCCATGTCGGTATAGTCCCATACGGCGGCGCCGATAATGACGGCTACGTCGTCTTCCGAAACGTCAAAGACTATGGCGCCGTTGTGAGTCTCATGCCCAAGCTGGCTTCAAGAGACGTCCCATGCTAACAACCTACAAGGGGGACGGCAAGACTGATGACACAGAGGCCATCAACAAAGCGATGGCGGATCAGGGACGGTGCGGTGTCAACTGCGGCGCCTCCACAGTCAAGCCGGCCATTCTCTACTTCCCGCCAGGAACCTATCTCATCAGCTCAGCAACAAGTACGGCATCCTGGAGGATTGGATTGAGTTCGGCGACCGCAGAGCAAGAATCGCCAACGGCTGCCAGTACGCCGGCGCTGACATCATCAAGTGCGACAAGAAGAACTCAATCTGGTGGCACGGCTGGCCGCTGCTCAAGGACATTAGCATCCCTAACCCCAAGGATGTCGCCAGTAAGTCATACGACAAGTCGCTCAGGCTCGCCACGGTGGCCTCTGACGCGCAGCGTTTTGCCCCCTGCGACCACGGGGTGTCAGGCCGGGGCGACTTGGTCGACGCGCTGGCGCTGCCGTCCTTAATGATATCTGAGGCTGTGGAGAACATGCGGAGCGTGGTGGAAGTGGCCGAAAAAGTGCTCGAGGCGGAAAGGAAGAGCATTATTGCCAACTTCCTCACCGCCATCTTCATGTTGATCCCCGTTGCCGGCGAGGCGGTCGGAGCGCTTGGCGCCACGACGATGCGCGCCATCATCGGCATCGCTGGCGAAGTTGGAAACGTCGGAATGACCATCTATGAACTGATTAATGAGCCGAAGGGTGCCGTGATGACCATTCTCGGCTTCGTCATGGGCGGCGGGGTCTCGCGCCAACCCTTCAGAGAAGCCGCGGCGGCCCGGCGTGGTATGAGCAGCACCGATACTGGCAAGCTCACGCCCAGGATCAAGAACGATATTGGCACCATGGCCCATGTGCGAAGCCAATGCCTCAAGAGGTAGAAATGGCGGCGCTAACATAAGAAGATGGTTTCTGGAGCGAAGCCTATCATTCACACCAAATCATTGATTTCTTTGTAAAACTCCTAGACCATGGGGCAGTACCAGCCACACCATGACTTTCAAGCAGATAGGAACAGTTCAGCATAGTGCTTTGCGTTCAATTCTAACACATCGTCCATCTTATCAAGTTATTGCTTTGTAAGAGCACTTATCCAAGGGATCAAGTTGGTCACATCATGCTGACCTCTTATGTAGACACGCGTAGCTCAACACCGCTACCTTGCGTGTAACCAAAAACCCTTTCCCAGCGGACTGGATTTGGAGCCAAACGGCATCTGATGGGATAGTAGAACCTCTAAGGGACATCTAACTGAAGCAAGTGAGCGATGCGTGAGTTACAGTTGCTCACAAGAGCTGCAAGGAATCCTTGAGTAATTGGGTATCCACATTGTCCCACAGACCCTGGAAGAAAGGTGGGATGGATCAAAGACAGACATGGGATGCCCTGTTGGATACCTATATCACATGGCCTACCCTCCCTCGATATCTGCATCGTAAGATAGAAGCTCGCGTGCGTTGGAACTAATCGTTGGAACTAAGAACGTTTCTTTGCATAAAAAGGCAAGGGGCTCAAGACTCCATTTCAAGGGCTTAACTTCCCAGCGCAGGTTGTCGAGCTGCCTCTTTCGTCTATGTGTCCAACAACCAACACTAGCGTGTCAGGCATGACCTTTTGTGTATAATCAAGCTTTAAGCTCGTTGGGGGCCGGTCTCACTTTCGTATTTTGGACCCTTTTCCCAATTTTCTGGCCCACCCCGTAAAGTGCCAAGGCATCCGAAGTCACGCACAAAGCTTGACTTCTACCTGCGGCGCAGGTGCAGGAGGAAATTAACCGCGTGTCGCCGCTTTTGGGAGTTCCCATCGCTAAGATCGGTAGGCAGATGGGTGCCCGTAGTTGGTCCAGTGGCCCACGATAGTTCGTACACCTCTCAAACTAGACGCTCTCCATTGCTATCTCTCTCTGTGTCCCTCACCTCTCTCTCGCCCTTCCTTTCTCCCCCCTTCCTCTATTAACTGTTCACGCTACAACGCTCTTTTAGAAAATCGAAAACCACTCTCCGTTTCTCGCCTTTCTTTCAACATAATCAGCATTTCTGTTTTGGAAACACGCAACAACGGAAAGCAATGGGAGTCAACCAACTCGCAGTGAGGGCCGTTGCTCTCCTCTCGCTTGCTCACCATGCCGCGGCGTCCATGGTTGGGCAGCGTCACTATCTCGCTAAGCGCGACCGTGAGCCCAACATGCCATACGATTTCAATACTATCAAGACTTGTACATGGTGGTACGACAATTATGAGGGCTTCAGCTGCCAGGATATCCGCGACTTGCGCTATGCCATCAGCCCAGAGGACTTTACCCGCTGGAACCCTTCCGTGACACTTGATTGTGGCAACTGGCAGGAGCTCTCCTACTGTATTCAGGTCAGAAGTGAGATGAAGACGGTCACTTCCAACTCGGCTTCAACAATCTCCACCACCAGAGTCGCCCCAAGCTCTACCCCGACGGCGCCAGCCCTGCTCGGGTGGACTTCGTTGGGCTGCTACACGGCCAACCGAACTTTGAAGTCGCCCTCAACGGCGGTAGATGTTAGCCTGCTCACGGTAGAGTCGTGTGGGGCAGCCTGTTACGCCGATGGCTTGGAGTATGCCGGCCTCCAGGCTGGCAAAGAGTGCTGGTGTAACGATTACGTGGGTAACGCTTGGGCGCCTAATCAAGATGCCTGCAATATTCCTTGTCCCGGTGACGCCTCGCAAACGTGCGGCGGTGCTAATGTCATCAACTTCTTCGAGGCCAAGCTCGACGACACCCTGCCACCCGGCCCCATCCCCAGCGACGAGCCAACCGGCCCTATCGCGTCCACAACAACTACCTCCGCCTCCGCGACCAAAACCACGTTCCCTGCCGCGAGCGCCACTCCCTCGTGGCAGGCTGTCGGCTGCTACAAGGACTTGTACCCGTCCAGCGACCACACGCTCAAGAACTGGGGGGGTATGAACTACGACACCATGACTGTCGCAGGGTGCCATGCCACGTGCGCGAAGGGCGGTTACCTTTTCGCTGGCGTCGAGAACGGCGAGGAGTGCTGGTGTGGCAACGAGGTCAGCTCACCCGAGATCAACGTCCCCGTCGCGGAGAATGACTGCAACAAGCCGTGCACCGGCGATGGCGGGCAGACCTGCGGCGCCGGATCCCGCATCTACATGTACAAGTACATCGTGCCATCCGTGCCGTGGATCTCGCTGGGCTGCTACGGCGAGGGAAACCCCCGGATCCTGCGCTACGATGTCCAGGTTCCGGGATCGTCCGCAACGAACAACACGCGCCAGGGCTGTGTCGACACGTGCGACCGAGCCGGTTACGTCTATGCTGGTGTACAGTTCGGGGCGGAATGCTACTGCGACAACATTATCCACGAGCCAGGGAAGCTGGCCCCGGACGGTGCTGCTGGGTGGTACGTATTACTTTTACTCTCTTTCTTCCCCCCCATTTGCCCACTACTTGTCTTTCTGTGGACTTCCCTTCCAGTTATCTCTCTATACATTAGTTCTTTGTGCCTGAAGACGGCATGCTAACATGGATTCCCGTAACTAGTAACATGGCATGCTCTGGCAATCCGAGTGAGACGTGCGGTGGCACGAGTAGAGAGGAGGTCTTTATTAAATCTACTGCGTTACGACTAGGCAACACGCCTGAGGGGAACTCAACTGAGAACTCAGGGGCGGCGTGTCACTATAGAATTAACGTATTCCTCTTATTAACAGCTGTTATAGTTATCCCTGCTAGTTGGAGTCTATAACAAAGTATGGACCTAACTGTTATATAACTAAATGTAGTGAAGCAGAGTGTTGAATGTAGGCATGTATTTAAAGTAGTATATTAAGTAAGGTAGCTTACCTTCCTGGTACGACCCGTTCGTTATGCCTAACAGAGGGTTAACGGACCCATTCAAGTCAACGGCTACGCTGTCAGATATATAAAAGATACACGGGAAACAAAAGGTCATCTCCGGAAGCGGAAGAGCTATCGACCGGAAGAGGTCACGTGAAGATTATGCAAGATACTACTGAAACGACTCTTGGCGTGTCGGCAGCCGACTCTTGAGAGGTCGGCTCGCGATGATAAGGAAGTCAGCCCCAAGGAATAGGACTTATATATACAACAGGACTTGAGCACCTGCTTAAGACCTCTTGGATAGTTCTTCAGCAATTAAGTTATGATTCATTATTAAATGACTTTCAGCTTAGCTTATAGTTTGTGATATCACTAACTCGTTATCTAGTCTAAGCTTGATCACCTTACCCTATCTGTTGCGAGCAGGCTAGGGCAACCAACTGTGGCACAAAGTAAAATTTTCGGTAATGATGACTCTGGCATCATTATCTCTTGTTCTGCACTATATAGCTGCGCCAGCCAGCTACCAACTGGTTGGGCCGTAACACTAACCCTCGATCTACTAATACGACCTACCGGTGAAACGATACGTAACCTATAGTTAGTCTTGTAGCCTCAAATTCTGAAACCAGAAACCCTATTGTCACTAGCTGGTCGTAACACTCTTCACTCTGTGTCATCATCATCCCTGACACTGTTGAAGAGTCTTCCTTAACAGCAGTACTTCTTTCATCCTGTTCATCAGTCCAAAAGGGCCTCCAATATGAGATTGATGCACCTTTGATCATGAGATGTGACTACTGCATGTCATTTTTACAATGCGTAAACAGACTCGTTAACTTTCATTGGCTATAAACTGAAAAACGGTTATATTGCGGGCAATTGCCCGAAGGTCCATCAACCTGGCGTGCAACTAGTTCCTGCGGCATATCTCTGCCTTTGCCTTGAACCTTCTGCCACTCTGATTTGGATAGACTTTACTTTGAATTTACTCTGTTGATGCCAATTCTGTTGATGTCAATTCTGTGTTAAATCTTCTCGCCTTATGGTAGTTACACGAACGGAGCATTGGCATCGATTGAAGTCGAACACGGAGTTGGCCCAGTAAAATATTGCCGCAGTTCATTTGATTCAGTCAAAGTACTGATGGATCACAAAAATCCGTTCAACAGGTTTTACTATCAATCCACCAAAACCGACAGACTTTAGAGTCCTACGAGATGTTCAGTCGTGATTCCAGGTCATGTTTTCGCAGGGATGCTGGAAACGACGGCATCTCCAGATTTGCGTGATTTTCACCCCTGCTTTTTTGGTCACCTGTACCTTCAAACGCACCTCTAGTTAAGCCGGTTCCCAGGCAGACTCAGACACAACCAACGAGAGTAACGAAACCAAGTTATAACTCTCTTCATCAAACAGCTTGCAGACTGCCGCAATTGCCGCAACTCCATTGACGCATTGACCATGTGATCGTCTCTTTTTGTGGAGACATACCCTGGGTCGCAATATAAACCACAGGCAGCAGTGAGCACCGCAAAAGCAGATAGACAACTTGCCAACTCCAACGTTTCTCGAGACTCGCTTCTCACTCTCTATCTTTCAGGAGACATCCTTGATCATATTCTCAATCAATCAAAAAAACTTATCTAACACTGTTGTTTTGGAGCACTTCGAAGCCATGGGAAAGGAAGCATCAGACCCGCCGCCCTACACCGAAGTACCAAATGGACTTCCTCCCCAGAACGACCAACCTCCTCCATCATACGAGGACGAGGAGCCTAGAAACGTGGCCACCACAGCCACCCCCTACCGACCGTTCCCAACGGTCATGAACGGGTTCTACCGCATGACGGGGATCAAGACCTTCAACTTGTGCGGCGCAACTCGTGACGAGCCATTGTTTGTCGTCGAGGTGCACACTGGCTTCAGTAGGAAGGCGCCTCTCGGGGCACGACCAGGCATTCTGTTGCGGAACGGCACAGACTCCAAGGACCCGATCATCGCCGCTGCTGGGGACGAGTCCCAGTGGGATCAGCGAGTCTACGCTTTCAACTCAACTACCGTCGTCCTGCTTCCTCCGCTGGAACGACGTAACAGTCTCCACGACATGATGACCGAGATGATGAAACTCAGGACGACCGGGGACGAGATCGCCGCGTTCGGCTTCTCGATCGAAGTCGGCGAGAAACTTGGCCGTAAGAAGTTCGAGTGGAGGAAGGTTAAGAAGGATGACGAGGCAAAGTCCGGTGGGTTCAGGCTAACTAAGTCCCTGGACAAGTTAGAACTGTGTTGGGGCATCCTCAAACTTGATTTGACGTATATAATTGAAATCATCCGGACATAATACTCTTCGTGTTTAGTCCATCCGCACCACTACAGGTATTGCCTACGTTGCTAATCCAAGTTCAGAACCCGCACACTCATCCCTCTCAAACTCCGGCGTATCTCATCTAGCCGCTCAGCAAAGTCAAGGCTCGATTCCTCCCTTTTGCGAACACCATGCGCCCCAGCCCCAACCAGCTCGTACCCCGCCACGTGAATGCCGCTCCACGGCATCACCACTTCTTCAAGACCAGCCGAACCATCCGTGCAGAACTCCAATCTTCTCTGAGACGTATGCCTCTCGACAAGAAGCCACCGAACAATTTCCGGAAACGGTTCCGCATATGCAAGCGCGCTTCGGAAAACACGACAGCCATCCGCGAGCACCGTGTCATACGCAATCTTCGCACCTCTGTAAACGAGCACCCTCACAGCGTCGAACCTGCCAATCGCACAGGCAACCATCAGCGCCGACCCCTCTACTGACCCCTCCACGTCAACATCTGCGCCATGAGCAAGCAATGTATGCAAACAGCCCATCTCATCCTGCACCACTGCATTACATAGCGGGCTGATGAACGCAGTCGGGATCGAGTTAACCATTTCCAACTTCTTCTCCTTTGGAAGCCGTTTGAGAAGCCGGATGAGAACACCATTCGCCTTTCCTTGCACAAACTCAATTATCAGAGACAGAAGCCCCTTGCGAATCTCACTGACTCGTGAAAAGTCGAACCCATAGTTGAAGACGATGCCCGGAAGCCCGTTGCTGAGAATCGTGTCGTGGACAGGCGTATATCCTGATTTGTCCGGCTTATACGGATCCAGGCCAAGGCTCAACAGCCATACAAACATCTCGGGATGCATTGCCTTTTCACCGCAGATGCTGAGAAGACCGACGCCGTCGGAATCGTATACTTCCAGATTGGCTCCGTGGTCTACGAGCAATTGGGCCATTTCAAAATGTCCCAGGACGACTGCAAGAGCTAAAGGCGTGTAAGATTGCGAGTCTCTGAGGTTGTGGTTGGCTCCCTTCTCCAAAAGGTACCTCGCTCCTTCGACGAAATCATTGCTAACCGCCTCGTGGAGAGGAGTGGTAGCGTTATTTTCATGAGGCATGTTAACGTCCGCTCCGTGCTCTACAAGAAATCTCGTAGTCTCCAAAAAAGAATTACTGATTGCTGTGAGTAGCGGAGTTGTTCCCTTTTCGTACGCCGAGTGATCATGTGAAGCAACTCGTTGATTGACTATTTGTCTTATGATCCCGTCAGATGTACTCGGGGTGTCGTCATCAGTTTGTTTTGCAATAATCTCCCTATTGTCAAGCACGCTACTGTTGGGTTGTGGCCAACGACGAGGCTCCCGGAGCAGCCGTATATACCTCTCAGGATGCTCGCGGATGTGATCGACAATGAGGCGTGCTCCTACATCATCTTCCCTGCGGGCAGCGGTATGCATTGGGCTCAAAGAATACTGAGTCCAGTCTGACAGGTCCTGTAATTGCGTCACTACAGCCTTTTCATCCGTGGATATTTCGCTTTTCAGTCGGTTGATTGCGTAGTGGAGGGCCGTAGGCTCAAATAGTTGACCCGACATACCCGGGAAGAAGCCGCCGATATGACGGAAGCAATGGCCTCCTACGAAGTGGGATGTCATGCCCAATTCGATAAAGAGACGACTAATGTGGAAATGCTGCAACTTCAAAGCCAAGACCATCGGTGAGCACTTCCCACAGGCTAGCCTGATAGAGTCCCTGGCCGAGGGCTCAACCAAGTCCAAAACCTTGGCGCAGTCATCCATATTTCCCCCAGCGATCAAATTCTCCAAGACCACTCCAACCACCTTTGGCGATGTGTTTGGTACTCCCAGTCCGTTTGGCGGACCGGGCACTATCGTCATCAGATAAGGCTTGAAGAGCCGAATTATATCCTTGCGGCCAGTGACGACTGCTCGCACGAAAGGCTCAGCAATATCCATGTGGCTGTTATTCTTTAGACCAAGATCAAGCAGCACACGAGTTGCTTCGATACGGTTGTTATGAACCGCTACTGTCAGAGGCGTGCAGCCTTGATAGTCCCTGGCTGCTGGATCTGCTCCGTGTTCCAGGAGAGTCCGCACGCAAGACGCAAATCCGCCCACGACAGCAGAGTGAAGAGGTCTCCAGAGCTCATCCACCGTAGCAGATTCAATGTCCAGTCCGAGGTCCTTTATGTATAGCTGAAGCACAGCTTCATGCCCGTTATGTGCCGCCAGGTGCAGCGCAGTACAATCGCGCATCGTGGTGGTGCGGTCCATACCAGTGGCGCCCCAAATAGCAAAATGAGAGACGCATTTTCTCCCCCAGTCAAATCCTGGCTTGCAATGTCTTATCTCCTCCAAAATACGCAAGCTCCCCCTCGAGGCGGCAGCGATTGCAGCGTCCATGCCGAAGCTGTTTGTGGCTGAGGGATCGGCGCCGAAATGCAGGAGAGTCAACGCAGCGTCAATTTGGCGCTCCTTGACATAGGACACCAACACAGGGTCCTTTCCAATTCCCGGTGGTGGGTTTGGGTCACAACCTCTTCGTAAGAGAGCCTCAAGCTTGCGATCTCGATCCAATACCATACCATCAATTAGCTTGTGAAGAAGACCAACGCCGGATGGATCTGTATCATTAAGCTTGCTGGGGTCTGCATGATCCAAAAGTGTGTTGAACATTGTTTCATCACAGCCATTGTACACTTGGCATGCCAACTCCATGGCCGACACACCATCGTGCCGTACGTGAAGGGACACCTTCATACCGACGAGATCCTGCACGATAACATGATTTCCTTGCCGTATAGCCAATTTGAGGTACTTGACAGCCTCTGGAGAATCACTGAACTCGTATCTTCGACTTGATGCATGGAAAATTAGTTCCAAAATGTCTCCTATCCAAGACGCTGCGGAAACTCGGTCTAGGCTAGTCTTTGTCCAGCCTTCAAGGACAGGAATGAGCCCTGATTGATTATTTTCTTGCTCATAGCTTGCTACTGCTCCTGCGTTGATCAGACAATTGACCGCAGTACGCAAAGATGCGCTGGCTGTTGATTCAGTACGCCATTGAGGGCCCCACTGACATATTACCTTTTGGGCAAAGCGTTCCCACAGTCCGGCACCAGTGCTGTCACAAGAAGCAAGAGTCTCAGTAGTCAGAAGTAGTTCGTATGCAGACGCAAGAAGCGATCGAGAGTTGGCAGGGTGATTAAGCGGCTTATCCGGGAAACGGCCTAATTTGGCCGTCTCATTGAAGGCTGCGAAGATGGTTTCTGCGGGCGTCATTCCCTCCTTGTTGAGAACCGGGGCATGGCAAGCTTTTTGAAGCGCCAGTATCAGCCCTTCCGTGGCGGAAACGTTCAAGAAGTGCAGAGCAGACTGCCCCTTATCATCGACGAAGGCAGCGTCAGCGCCAAAGTCGATCAAGCTGGATGCCAGTTCCTCAGATCCCCATTCAGCAGCGAGGAACAAAAGAGGGATCGTGCTCTGGAGGTAGGCGGGATCTCTTTTGCACACCTTCAGCATATGTAAAGCGCTGATTGGAGGTCTTATCGTTGACTTTGGCTCCTTTCGCATCTGCTTGAACGGGTAAAGAATGCCTTGTGCGATGGGTGTTTGGCCTCCCAGCATTAAACCCCTTAGGTTTTCGTCCATGTTTTCGTCATTTTCTACTAGACAGTCGATCAGATCGATATCGGAGTTGGCCGCCGCAAAATGCCAAACATTGCGACCGACGTCATCGGTGTCTGTTGTTCGAGCGCCGTAGTCGTGCAAAAGCTTGAATATCTCTGGCGATTCTGACAACATTAGAGGTGTCTGATCGTTGTTGTTGCGAACATGAACATTGACATCTTTCCGAGATTTCAGAATAATACGGACCAGCGGCAAACCATTTGATTCTACTGCATAATGAAGAAGTGATGTTCCCTTCAATGGCGTAGGGGGCAGCGAAGTACCGCCCGCTGATGTCGATACTGTTCTTTTCCCGGTTATAAAAATATCAGGGTCCCAGCGAGAGTCTTGTATAAGTCTTCTGACAATTGCGACATCGCCCTCTTGAACTGCTTCACGCACCATGAAGTCATAAGTGTTGTCTGATACATCAAGTTTCCTTGTTGTAGGTTCTATCCATGTGCTTTCCTCGTCGTAATGGTCGATGATATCGTATATCCCTCGTGCCAACGATGACATGTCTTCATAACTATCATATCCTATGACAGATTTGTCTAGGATCGCAGGCAAAACGCTTTCCAGAAAGGGACGCGAAATTTGCGACAGTATCGAAGGCCAATGCTTCAGGATAGAGTTATCTCCCTCAAACAATTGTACGAATCTCTCATCAAAATTAACACCCGATTCCAAAATGTTAAGAAACAGTTGCGGAGCCCGTAGATTGTGACAAACTAGAAACGACAAGGTGGCTAGCGAGACATGTTCGTCCTTACTTGGGCCGATTCCAGTTGTTTCAAGATGTCGCAATGCGCCAGCGTCCAAGAGTAGTTGAAGGGTCTTTTCTTGATGGGATGATGGGCGCATGTCGACGAGCAGTTGCACTGGGTCATCAACACGCCCTAATAGTGCGTTTGGTCCAAGTAGTGCACAGTAAAAAGATACCCCTATAGGGCTACTTTGACGGACGATTCCCTTTTGCTCCTCCGAAATTAGCCACTGGCAGAGACTAGGTAAACCCAAGGCAGCAGCCACATGTAGAGTTCGGAATGAGGGGTCAAAAACAACGGACATCAAACGCGATAATGGCTGCATTGAGAGAGCGCGAGAAGTCGTGTCAAATCGCTCAGGCCACTGCTTCCGTGCGTATTCAAGAATCCACTGCTCAAAGTTTGCCGTCTTTTTCGGGTGAAATAGACGCTTCAGGTCTGCTTGAATGATTTTGATCTCGTGACTATCGGGAACTTCAAAGGGTTGCAGAGCGCTTTCCCAATGTTTTTCTGCAATATTTGGCAATCGTAACGCGCTTTCACCGTACGAAGGATGCATCGCATCTCTTTGGGCAGCATAGTTCCGAAATGAAAAACAGCTGTCTGGCTTGCGGTTGTGAATTGGGTCCAGCAAGTTACTTACGCAAGTCTCGGCAGCGTCGAATGAATATTGGGCAGACTCTTCCGTTGAGCCATTTTGCCCATTGGCTCGATCTGACTCTTTCGGTACAAAATGGTTTGATGGTGGGATTCGAGAAGTGCTATTTGATAAGGCGATAACCAATGCGAAATAGTTGTCAGTAGCGGCAGCAGTTGTAAATACGCCCAGCAGCCGTTGAAGATGCTTAAGAACATTTTGATCGAGACTCTCATGCCCCATCTGTTGGTTTAGATTCTCAAGTGTTGTGCTTAGCTCATCGAGCAAGTTGAAGTCGGGATTGATCTTCTGGAAATGCATCCAGCCTTTTCCATGAGCGGTGAACTCTTCCACTAAAAGAGACAAGCTGTGGAGCGTGCCGCATAGTAACCTCAAAGTGAGCTTCACAGTTCCAACATGGTTTCTATCGTTCGCATGATACCGAAGTACCGAGTGGTATGATGCTGCTGTCCGCTCCTGGACCTCTGCCAGAGCCTGGCTCCAATCCCTCTTGGGGCTAGCGTCCATAGCGGGCGGGCTGGACACCGGGCGGGTAAGGTGATTCAGGAGGTATGTATATCTTTAAGTACGCGAGGCATTAATCACTGAGAGAAACAGTCGGGAAAATTTGGTGCGCGCGAGCGACCAGATAATGGCAAAAAGGATGATGAAAGGAAAACATGGGAAGGCTGTGAATGTCAGCGATGGCGAGTTGGTTAGAACTGTCGCCGTTCATTGGCAGTCGCGTCAGGCTGACGCGGGGCGGGGCCTTCTGTCCATTTAGAGCGGTTATCCCCTGATGGTGGCAGCACACCAAAACTTGGGGGATTATGTAAGATTGCATATTGTCTCCCGCTGTGGGCCATGCTTTAAACGGAAGAGCACCACTTTTGCCAAGAGATATTCGTAGTCTATGATAATTTGTACATAATATTGTGTATAAATCCGTATTCTTTGAAAAAAAAAAAAAGAATGAAAATATCCAAGAGGTTGAACTTGAATGCTCTTGAAAGATAGAAGCGGAGAGTACTTTTAATTGATCCGTCTTGCGCTGCGGAAAACATGTAGAAAACTCACTTGGCCTCAAAGTGCTGAAATCAAATCATTGAAGGCGGCAGCAATACATAAACTGAACGAGTGGAAAAGACAATATAGCTTAACAGAATTTGCATAAGCGAGTTATTTTGGCAGAAGTTTGAGTCGATTTGGCCTTGTTATCAATGACTGACCTAAAGAAAAGCTCTCAATCTAATTCTGACTGGGAGATAACTTGAGAATCTGGAAGGCCACTTTTAAACGGGGAACCTAGCTTTCCAATCTACCTAAAATTTTATCTTGTAAGATATCACGTAGTGCAGGTGACATACAGTTGAGCAGGTTTATATCAATAACGCCCAAACCTTGATCATCCACCTTATGCAAACCTGTTCCTGCAGTTACGGCCACCAACCACAAACACCAGTAGCTCAGTAGGTGAGAGTGAGGATTAAAATTGCTGATATATCATCGTCCAATTCCAAATAACCAAGCACATATGGTCGCATTCTTTTTTGACAATTAGGCAACAATTTAAATGCGGATCTTGCCGCTTTTTTCATATTTTTTTTATTATATATCATTTCTAAGAATAGGACCTTATTTCATTTGGCGAAAAGCTGGGCTTCGCTCCAGAAAAGTGTGTTTTGATGTTGTTGAGCTACGAGAAGGCTTCGATATATCTTGATCTACAAGCTAAATGGAGCTATGGCCTAGTTCTGGCCCAGGTGATAGATGCTGTCACTTGCAGTGATAGCAAATGAGGTCATTAGCGTTGTTGTTCCATGGTCTCGTGAGATGTCTCGCGACCGAGCGGGCTGGGGCCAGGTCTGGGCTCACGGTGTAATAACACAGGAAATAATCAACTGTCAATTTTAAGGTTCCCATCGCTTTGCTTTTGGGCCTACAGCTGATGAACACTCTATGGCCCAAGCTTACAGCCGAGATTGGGGATTAGGCGCTAGGCCATTGCTGATGGGAATTTGGTCTCTTACATACAACTGACTCTAACTTGAATACCGAAAAGTTCTCGGAGAATACTCCGGGCTACTGCTTGGAAGCTCCTTCTCACGGTGAGTTAGCTACAAAGTACGGCTTAGCGGCAACATTTGACACGCCTGATACAGACGCCGTCTTTCTGCACCAAATATGGAACATGATGTTTAATCAAGCAACTCAAAGCACACGGCATGTCTTCAGTGAGCTGTCTTGTGTGATGCTGGGCAGAACTGGGAAGAAACTCTTGACTGAATGCAAAAGTGATTTTCCCATGCAGCAATGTGGCAAGCTACCATGTCGCATCCAACACTACGCAATATCCACTGATTGACGCAGGGGTTCCCCACAATCACACCGGTGCATGGCGGCGGATGACGGACGCATCACGGCCCATTGATGGCTGGGTTGGGCGGTCCAGCTGCTCTCTGTTTGTGCATTTTAAGTTTGTGACAGACATTGCTTTTTCAAAATGACATTCCTCTCGGTGCCAAGGAAAAAAGATCAGAGGGGTCTAAAGATGAGTGTTGTACGGAAAAGAGGATGTAGTATGCCGGTGAGGCTTGACGGATGAATGTCTGAGGTGTTGTTTCCATACACTGTCTAGAGTACCTACTTTACCTAGAGAGCCTACCCAGGGTTCCTACCTAGAGTGTCTACGTGCCGAGGTAACAAGATAAGGCAATGAAGGAGAAGCCCCTCTATATGTGGGCGAAACCAGCACAGAACGCTCAGAATGGGAAAAGTGGTGTTGTTGGTTGGAAGAACTAACTAACTGGCTAGAGGGCTGTGGAGGCTGGCTAAGACCAGTGGTGGCGGCCGTCAGCCCACGTGACGGGCCGGCGAGGCCTGCCACCCACACTATACGTACTTTGAGGCGGTCAGTATCCACACGTGACTGCAGATTGTGTCTCACTTCCCTAACTCTCTGCCCTCGTCATCTTGTTCCTCCCATTTACCCACACAATTGAGCACTCGTCAAGGCCATTAAGAAAATTAAAGATACGATACACCAATTTTCGTCTAAATTCTCTCCACCGTGCTTTCTTACATCTTCTACCCCCTGTCTGATCCTACAGGGATCATATCCGGCCCGGACTAGGCGGAGATCGCCGCGATCATTCACCACCATTGTCAGACTCGCCAGCATGGACCGCTTGCGATGTCCTCGTCAGAGAAGATTGGTTAGATGCCGATCCCTTTCCACCTGAAGATAGATCGGAAGAAAGTGAACGGAGTCAGCCAGAAGGACCAAAACCTGACACACTCAATCGAAAGCCAAGCGCACAACCCTCCCCTTTTTGGCGCGCCATCTCCCGTCCCTCCTCTTGCAAGCGGACCGCCCACCCTATTCTATCTAGTTGCTCTGGTCGCTGGGTAACTCCACGACGCCAACGCCAACGCCAATGGCACCCACCGACACAATGTGAAGCCCAGCTCGGAGCAACCGCATCATAGAGGTTTAGAGCCTCGTGGGTGCCGTCGTTTCCCGGCCGAATGAGCCGCTGCTACCAACGGCCCATCCCTTCAATAAACGGGTTCCAGTTATCCGTCTCCAGATCACGGCATGTTCCATTTCATCTGCGACATGTCTTTCGATGATTGCCGAAACATTCATTTGTGCTGAAACATTGCCACGGTAAAGGTGCTGTCTTCACTCTCGCTTGGTCAAATAGATACACCGTCTTGATTGTCCGTACGACCATTCAAACGGATACTGTCCTGGCGAATTTCAACAGCGCCTGCAGGAGCTGCCTCTGTTTGAGTACTCTCACTCAAGGATGTTGACCGCTGCTTCCTGCGCGTCGCCCTATTTTTTGCGCTTCATCCACATTTGGCGCTAATGCGCGTACCAGCTGCAGCGTGCGACATCCCACCGCCGCCACCGACCAAAGCGCCGCAACGGCTTCGCTCCTCTTCATTGAGTCCATGACAGGGACAGGCGTTCCAGCCAGGTGGTCTGGGAGTGTAAAAGACACCCAAAATAGTGCCTATACTACTACATCGCCACGCAATGGCGGGAGATCGTCTCCCATGTGGCCCAAGATTTCCTGGTCAACATCCTTCGTCTTGGCCCTTCTTGTTGCTCGCCGTCATTAAAGCCAAACTTCAGATGGCATGGTTGCCAACCCCCCTCTGCTCACATTAGCGCCGACAAAATCACTCGTCCCAAAAACAGCCTGGGATACCGAACTTCTCGACTCCCGCCATCCTCAGCTCCAACGAGCCAACCATGACGCACGGCCTCTTTCCTTTTTCCACCACTTGCAGTTTGGCTTCTTGGATAGCCCCTGATGATGAAGCCTGGAACAACAGCACAATGCTTAGCCCAGCCCTTGAGTTGGCGAAGTAATACTACCTTCTGTCATGAGCAGCTCGTTCGGAGGCATGGAGATGATCAACATTTCGGCCATGAGTCCTAGCAAACCATGAGCGTCCGCCCATGTACCGAGCCTCAAGGCCGTGTTGACAAATGCCTCAAAAAATGCGGTGCGGACGCCGTCCGTAGCGTCCGTTTGTTCATGCTATGTAACGAGCCATGGGCCACAACGAACCCGACCTTCCCCCGCAAGTATGTGGCGTCGCCCTAAGACATCCTACTTGCCATGGCGTTTGACAAGCCTGGCACAACACCAAAGAGAAATCCGCCTTTGCGAGTCAGGGCCCATTCACAGCTGCTTCCCCTATAAGCACCTGTGTCGCAGCTCTGCCATCTCCAGAGAAACCGTTCTTGTTCGTGATAACATGTGGCAGTGGCGTCCATCACTTTGTTTCTTTTTACATAAGGTATGCTGCAACGGTTTCCTTCCGTTCAACGTTGAAATCTAATCCACTCAGACATCCATTCTCTTTCAACACTTTACGGTCTCTCGTTTCTTTTCCTTCCTTTGGCCAAGCCTGCCCGAGGGCTACCAGAAAAACAACGTCATTCTTTTCTCAACATTCATTCCATTGAATTTTCTGCACCAAAATGTCTTCCATGTCGAGAAGATCGCCGGTGACGCCGCCGTATGACGATGATGATAACGAAAGCCAAAAATGCCTACAGGGTTTGAAGACAACTCCGCCATCATCTTGTCTGCCAGTACCTACCATGACTTTCTCACCGCCTGCAACTCCTCGCCACGTCCGACCGAATAAAGTATCTCTGAGGCTGAGAAGCAATTCCGGCTTGACATTACACACAAACGAAGATGCCTTCCATCGTTACACAGACTACAACCCGGACGGATCCCCGAGGTCTCCTACCTTCGGTCCCGGCATATGGGCCAGCCTGGACAGCGTCTCGACAGGCTTACGTCGGAGTATTGGACCACCAGTAAGGGAGGTGGAACACATTGAGACCCTTCCGATTCTAGACTTCTTGGGACAAGAAGTATTTCAGATGATCCTGGGCAACGCGCAAACCTCGCAACGATTTTTTCAGTTCGCCCAAACCCGGGGGTTTGGCTCCGATGTCGAATTTCTTCTCCGAGTTCAAGAATATTCCAGATCGCTTACACAATTTGGCAAGCAAGCCTCGTCAATGCCGACGCCAACGAACCTCCCATCGCCAGTAACGAAGTCTCTCAACGCCGATATGAAGCAACTAACCGGTTCCGTTCTTCCTGGGCTTGAGACACTTTTTGCGGAGTCAAAACGCTGTGTGGAAAAAAGAGTGACACGATCAATTTATCCTGGTTTTGTGAAGCATCAGCTGGCACTCTGCACGTCAGCTTCGTTGTCTGGTTCTCGCGGTCCAAAATATCCCGGCCTTGGTGAATCTTTCTGCCTCACTGATGCTCTCAGTTCCGAAAACCATATCATCGCCGCCTCTGACGCCTTCTTTACGTTGACAGGATACCTCAAGACCGAGGCTTTGTCGGGTAATTGTAGGTTTCTGCAAGGCGCTCTCACTGATAGAGACGCTATTAAACGCATTCGTGACGCTCTATCGCGGGAAGAAGAATCTATCGAACTCATACTCAACTATCGCCACGATGGGTCTCCTTTCTGGAACCTGCTCTTCACTTGCCCATTGTCGGACGCTTCGGGTAAAGTCCGCTACTATCTCGGTGGCCAAATCGATGTCTCTGAGAATGTCGAAGCCTATAAAGACCTCATGCGGGTCTTGAACTTTGGTCCGGCTCTGGATGAAGTATCAAAGGACGATGGTACGGGCCGGGAGTCACGAACCAGCCGGCGAATGAGTCGGACCAGCAGCCGCGAGCGGAAATCGGAGCGCAGAACCAGCCTTCGAAACCGGGATAGCCTGCACAACAAAGGGCCGAAGAAGAGCCTCTTTCAGCCTTTCCGCAAGAATACGACACACAACAACAGCAACAATCAAGAAAACACGGCACCCTCGCAGGGCGTAGGGCTTGGCCTTGAGCAATTGTTAGCTGTTGCAGGCACAGAGGATTGTCTCCCGGTCGGTTCCCAGGTCCAGTCTGTTTACGAAGGCTACAGCCGCTTCGTAATCCTGCAGAACACAGATGGCCCTATTGGTTTCCCACCAAGGACGTCGTCATTGCCGGCCGATCCAAGCAAACGGAAAGCGCCTCAGTTGAGCGTCGCTTTCTGTTCTACCGCAGCACTGGAAGTACTTGGTCTGGGGCTAGTCTCTGACAGCATCATGCACCGAGACGTGTTCACAGTTCTTTCAGAACTGGCTGACTCTCCGTCCATCACGAAGAGCTTCAAGAACACTGTGCGCGAGCGGGTTCTTCGGGACGGCAAGGCGGCGACCTTGGATGTGATGCTCGGCGGCGGGTACTTGGCGCGAAAGGGCAGCCTTATTGGTCTTGGTGGGAGATCATCCAAGGAAGACTCTGAGGGCCATTCAAAGAAGCATCACCGACCGACTAGCAGGACCGGATTCGCCGGCTTTGTGAGCGAGTCAGGCAAGATGGAGAAGCTTACTACTTACTGGACGCCGCTGAAGAACGCCGAGGACAAAGTTGAATGGGTTGTGCTTATCATCACGCCGATGAAATGAGACCGACTTTATTTGTTTGTAATGTAATACTACCTAATGTACATATTTCTAAGGGAAGAGTAACAGGGATGGGCAGCGGCTGCTGGTTTTAAGATAGATACCTTCATACACCTTCATTGCGACAAGAAAATCGCACTACAATCGCAATAAGGCTTTTCAGCCATCATTAATGATAAAATATTTGCCTGGTATTTCCTCTATCCACAGATAATGACAGTGTAATATCGACATGAAGTAGCTTATCCTGGGGAGTATTTCAGATTTACGGCAGGTTATTGTGACATAAGGTAGGATGGTTTGTATACTTTTAGGGATCATTGCACTGTTAGTGACAATTCTTTTCCCTACATCCAGCTCGGGAAGTCACAGGGAAATATTTTTTTTTTCTTTTTTTTTTTCTTTTGCTTCTGTTTTGCGTACCTGATAATCGTGTGTAACAGATAACTTGACTATGCGCTGCTATACACGCTCTTTTGTGTTTCAGTCAGGTTCGGAGTTCAGAATCTAGTAACATCTTTCTTCTACTTACACATCTTAGCTTTTGATCACGTTAACATGAACCGGTACGAATGGGGTTTCGGGGCTTTTTCTTAGCCCGATGCATAATATTGGCTTGAAGTGTTATCTGAAAGGTAACGCAGTGTTTGCTTATTTTTCTCATAAGTGTTGTAAGAACGATCTAGTACGGGGTTGTTTACCCATGCGAATGCTCTGTTGTTCTAGACACGGCATCCATCGAAGCTCATCTTGCGATATAGTCCCCAAACCTCCAGGAGCCTCAGAATTCAGCCCTAGAACTTAAGGTAGTGGGGACTGCGAGTACATGATGGTATGTAGGCTCTTTAGTTTCTCTACCTACTGAAATGTTTGAGACTTGTAAAAAAAAAAAAAAAAACAGTTATTGGGTTATTCCATGTACCAGCCGTAACAGCTTCAGAGAGTGTGATCATAGAGGCAGACCTATGTTAGATGGCTTCGAAAGACTGGGAAAAGAGGGACTCTACTAGTAGAAAGTTCAGTCTAATACGAGGATGTGGCGACATTGGGGCTGGCTGAACCTCTTGACCCTGGCTGCCTGCACCAGTGGTCTGGTGGCGGTCAGCTGAACTGGTAGCAAGCTAGCCTCGGGTGGATTATAGCAAGCCTGAATAGAATAAGAAAGCATGGACATAGGCGAGTAGTGGGTGTTCTTGCCAGAAAAGGATACTCGCATCCTTTCTAACCGGATCAACTGCGTTGAAAGATGGATTTGTGGGTTGTCGAACGGGAGGCAGTGAACGACCAGACAATTTCGCTGTGGCTAGGGACTTTCTAAAATTGAAATAGATTCATTCAAACAGAAAACGAGGAACTTTTGGATGATATTGTGTTATGACCTTTGGTCTGCTTTAAGCAGAGCCTGGAGGTATTCCTATTACCATGAGTAACGCGGTCCTTTTCTTCGGAGGGCCACGAGCGTTTCATTATTAATTCATAAACTAAACAATGAGTTGATAGTCACTAGAGTTGTATTTGAAATTATCATCTATGTCATATTTTCCCCCGCGTCTCGGTTAGGCCGACCGTACATTCCCATTTGAGGCACATTGCAGCTAAAGTCACCAGCTGAATGCGGGGAAAACTTGGTTGGGACAAGCGGTTGTCGTCAGGTCTCAAATCAGACATACCCGCCTCCTGGTGGATCAAGATGCCTTGGCAACTCAACCGCATATCCCAGGTCAAAGTTGCCATTGGCCTGATCGCTGAGCATCGCACTTGCATCGAGTGACGCTAACCGAAGAACTGGCCGGCTCGTCCCGCCTCTGGTTGCAGATCTAAGGCAGCTTGCAGAACCTTCGGTTTAGTGCTCTTGAATCTGTGAATCGTGCATGATATATTGACGTCTGCCCTCCGAACGGTCGCACACCGACATGTCACAAGTCATATCGTACACAATACTGATTTCGATTAGATCCCTTTTTTTTTTTTTTTTTTTTTTTTTAACAAGATCTACTCAAATGTTCGCTTAGCGATGCCCTTGGCTGCTGAAACTGTTGAGAGCTTTTACGTTGAGATTGTTCCGTCAATAATCCATTGGTGCCCGCTTCCAAGAAACGCGGGTATCCCTAATGCACTCAATCATCTTCCAAATGATATGTGACACGGTAGTGCCTGTCAAGATGTTGTGTCTTTCTACGTCCCGAGCGGGGAACACTGGCCGGCGGGAGCCATCGAGATGAGTACGCCTAGATCAAGACAACAACAGACGGCCCAACTTATCAGGAAAAAAAGACGAAGAAGCTTAGTGTCATTCTGTGCTTGTTTTGTCTTCGTATTCTGCCAAAACATAACCAATAGAAGGTATAGATTTGGTTTGGCGCGGCCTCTGAAAAAGATCGCCCATGCTCTAATCTTCTCTTTTTGGGTAGTATCGATCTGATCTGGGTTGAGCTGTCATGTTGTTTGTGTTCCCGCGGTGCATGCAGTGCCAATGTGCATGTCACGATGAGAGAAACATGCGGGGTTGTGAATCATTGAGGGGTTTTGAGACGAATATCGAGCGTCTTGCAGCAAGAATCAGCTCGGAAGCAATCACAGTAAGGGGCTGTGTTTGGTTCGGTTGCCCACTTGCCATTGCCTAGATACAGAGACTTGCTCACCAGCTGGATGTTAAGGCCAAAGCACCATCTGCGTTTGTCTATAAAGCTTCGTCAAAAGCCCAGCTGTCAAAGATTAGCAACCGACCAAATATCAAAAGTCTAGCATTGAGACAGAATCACATAAACACACAGCACCAGATTTTCATATCTCATCGCACCACCAACATGTCCGGTCTTTCTACAGCCCCCGATGAGCTCCTCGGCCACCAGCCACCCCCACCCAGGCACCAGCCGTCCCAGTCCATTCCGGAATGGAACTCCGGAAGTGGAGATTTATCCCAAATTCTGCCGCCGGTAGCCTCCTTGCCAGTCGGCGTGCCTACGGGCCGCCTAGGCAGGTCTACGCCTGGTCAGGGAAACACCCCTGGCGTTACGGAACCCGTAGACGAGATGGACTTCACCAAATTCAACGCGGCCATCATCGTACTCCTTGGCATTCTTGACAAAGCTGGCCCTAACGCCTTAGACAAGGCCGTCGAATCAGCCAAGAGAAAGATTCCGGACTATATGAGCAAGTTCAAGATCACAAATGGTTTTAGATTCCTCGTGTTCGCCAACGACTTGCTAAAGTGGCAACCTGAAGAGAATGTCCAGGGCAAGGACATCTACGACATCCTTTGCATGTTTTACTTCGTCCTTGACCAGGAGCCGCTCCTCGGACTGCAGACGAGGATCCGACCGGACTCAGTCTATTTACCACTCACTCCGCTCTCGAGCTGGATCGTAGTGTTTGCACAACTCATTGGGCTGTTCATGGACACTCCCATGTCTGTCACGCCCAGGACACTGGAGACCTTCAAGAATTCCCCCCTGTACAACTACAACGAGGCCATTGAGCCTCCTGGCGGATTCCGGACGTTTAACGAGTTCTTCTCCCGGCACTTGAAGCCCGGCATGAGGCCGATTTCTGACCCACACAATGACAAGGTCATCTGCTACCCCGCAGATTGTACGTATGACAACAGTCTTGAAAACCAGAGCATCGTCGAGGTCAACAACTCTGGCGAGGTCCTGATCAAGGGTCTGCCGTGGACCATCGACATTCTCCTGCAGGGCAGCAAGTTTGCGAGCGAATTCCACGGTGGAGTCTGGATGCACGCGTTTCTCAACACGTACAACTATCATCGCCAGCATGCGCCCGTTTCCGGAAAGGTCATCGAGGCCAAGAACATCCAAGGCGCGGCGTACCTTGAGGTTAACGCCAAGTGTCAGCCCATCCGGAAGATGGTCGTTACAGATGAGGAGAAGAGCCAGGACCCCAAGTGCGGACCGGAGGCGCCAGACTCTCCAGGCTATCAGTTCCTACAAACCAGGGGCTGCGTGGTCATCGAAAACGAGCACCTCGGCAAGGTGGCTGTGTTGCCAATTGGCATGGCCATGGTCTCCGGAGTCAAGTTGACGGTCAGGGAGGGCGACAAGATAAAGAAGGGCGATGAAATCTCTACCTTTTTGTTCGGAGGGTCAGACATCATCTGTGTATTCCAGAAGCAGGCCGGCCTGAAGGTTGAAGACTTCATAGCTTCGCCAAAGGACGAATTCGGCAACCAGACGTACTCCAAGTACGGAACCATTCTGGCTGTGGCGCCGTAAAAGGCCCTGGACCTTTTCGGTACATTAGAGTATATCTAGTACTGATAGCCTTGATGATGGCTATATAGTTACAACTTGCAGCTTTCTGCCTGTAGGTAATCTAATATAGTTTTATGTCAACTAGTTTAGGTACCAGAAAATAACCTCTAATATTGTTTAAACGATTTGTGGTTGACCTTAACGTTGAAGATGCCGGGTGCTAATCATCATAAGAATTCTTTCTTCTGTGGCATCGTCATGAAAGATCAGAATGGCAGAATCTGGGGTTGTATGAGCCTGAAGTAGGAACTTAGCTTCCTTTCTAAATTTTATTTTAGTTTTAATTTTTTTTTCATGTCTCTACTGAATTAGAAACGCTCCTGTGAAACAATGCTGCTAAAGAGCAACTAGATACTACAAGCTATATATTATTAGCTTGAGATGCCTTTTATGGCAACGGAGGAGGACCAGGAGGCTCACAAGGATGTCTATGAGTGGGTAGCTCAGTCGCTAGCAATATCCTCCTAGAGCGTTATGCCTATAAGAAGAAATTCTTAACAGTTTCGCTCTAATCGGTATCGCTACATAGCTATCCTTGGTAGTCAGACCATGTGCTAGACATCAATATAAGCAGCTTACACGCCAGAGCCGTCACATACGACCATACCCATTGGAAAACTCGGGATCCCGTCCGCTCTCCTATAGATAAGCTAATGAGGGCTAGATTATCTAGAAGAGCGGGATCCCTGCTGACTCAGCTTGCGAAACAGTACCTGGCTATATCTCTACCCTTACGCTGCTATACTGTCCTCCGTCTATAACTACTTCTATCCGCCTACCTGCCTTAACGAAATTAACCTTCTCTTATGCCCCTGCTATCTTCCTCCCTAGACTTCTCGACGTTGCTTTACTATTACCTTATACGCTACCGCCCTCTAGCCCTTCTTATTATGCTTGATTTCCTACGAGGGATAGCTAGACGTAAGAAGCCTACGTGTTAGGCTGTAAGGCTTTTACATACCTCCTCTTTACTCTCCCCGACCTTTCTTATTCTCTTTTCTTCTTATAATTCGTCTAATTCTCTTAATACCTACTAGAGTCTCTTACTTCTAATCTTTACTATCCTACCCTTTTCGCTCTTACGCTATCTACGCTATAGCAGATCTATTATCTAATTTCGATAAGGCTTTCGTTTATAATTCTAAACCTAAGAGCAACTAGGATAAATTATATAAGATATTTTGCAAGGAGTTCTCCATATCCTACGAGGAGGTTAAGCTCTGCTTAGAGGATCTAGAGTCTAGACGATAGGCTTTTCGGGAGATATAGGTAGCCTACTTATAAAATCCGCTTCTAGATTATAGGAAGCTAAGTAAGAAAGTATAGCTTACGTAAGATAAAGCATAGCAGGTATAAGTAAAGTAGGTAATCCTGGAAGGAGTAGGCGTGACTTAGTTTTACGAAAGCGATAAGTATTACTAACGCTCTCTATATACTAGATTCGTTATAGAGGATGTTAGACAAGACCTAGAATAAGTTATAATCGAGTTATATCTCGACTCTAAGCTTGCTAATAGTATCTACTAGATATTTATCGAAAACTATATTAAGAAGTCTACTAGGTGTTACGACCCGTTGGACATGGTCGCCAACACGACCCCGCCTGGATCCCGGCGGCTAACGCAGGGCATATGTAACCCAGCCGGACAGGTGTAACCAGGGATCCTCGGAACGGAAGAACTATGGACAAGTCACGTGGCCTCGGGGATAACGCGGGGTAAGGACAACCCGGGCTGGATATGTTGGATATGTCAAATATCCAACCGATCCCCGGATATGTTGGATATGTCAAATATCCAACATAGCCAAGATAAGGAGGACCGTTCAGGACTTGTATATAGGATGGACTCGAGCCGGGCTCGAGGACAGACTTCCATAGCTCTTCAGCAATCAACTTTGTGATTACCCTAACCGGTACTTTCAGCTATACCTAAGTGACGACTACTCTACGACTCTTGTTGAGGCCTTGACTGATCACCAAGACCTTTGAAGATCTACGATCTATTCGACCAGGACCACGGAACGACTGTTACTACTCTCAATCCCTGGCTTACTGTTAACACAAACCCACTGTCAGTTAGCTGGCCGTAACACTAGGCTTTATTTGATACTAGGAAAACAAGAAGTCGTTAATATCTAGCTTGTAAAGTCGGCAACCAGTATCCTTGATCTCTAGGATAACCTTGTCAGTGCTACTAAACGAGGGGTGTTATAGAGGAAGGGCTGGGAAGACCTAACCAATCCTGCCTAGAAGCTTATGTATTACAAGAAGGATAAGTTTGCAAGCAAGCCAGCAAGCAAAATTTAGAAGGTCAGTACTCCTCTTTTATTCCTTCCTGTTGTTATGCTTGGCTGATGATAGATAGGGTAGTGGATAGAGGGTAGTCTAGTAGACAAGTATAAACTTAAACGGCGCCAAATATTCGTTAAGAAAGAAGCGACGATCGATAACGTCTTGATATTTATCGATACGTTGTGGACTCGTGCGAGTGATATACCCTGTAGCGCTACTACCCGTCTCATAGTTTATACAACCGTTCTCTTGGATAGCCTTGGAGGCTAGAGGCTTGGAACTTTAATGAATTTTAAGTACCGCGATATCGAGATGGCTGTCGTTAGAGACCCTGAAGACTATAAGCATATAGCTCTTACAGCTACGATCAACGTAGAACAGAATAAGCAGCAGTCCAATAAAGTATAGACTTCCCAGGACGATATATAAGTAATCGATATACCTATGGTGACTGACCTTCGAATGAAGTATCTCTTTCACCGTTCTTTCTACACCTTGCAAGAAGGTTTGCATCCTACGCGCTCTGGTTTCTCATGCACTTTTCGACAACGCCTTTGATCCCGAGTTTGACTCGTTCGAGAGCTTGCTTAATCGGCCTAACTTAGAAGACGTGGATTATGCTAAGTTGCCCTGGAAGGAGGAAATCCTAGACAAGCTAATTATTCCGATACAGTACGGATATTTTTGGAAGATCTGGCAGCGTATGCTTTTTATGATGGGCTGTCGAGAGAGCCTCTGGCTGTATGCGATGCGAGTTGGTGCTAGCGGTCGACTGGACAGTAAGATCCTCTACCTTCCGCTAATAAAGTATTCAAAGTCAAGTTGCTTACGGACGACAGGACCTCTTACTCCAGCCCTACGAAATTATATTCTATCAAACACGTCACGGGTCTATAAGAAAAGCTACCAGCTAAGACACATCAGAGAGAATCTTGCTTGTATAGCCTACGGCGACCTAGCAGGCTAAAGCAATGCTCTTTATCTCATGATACGCAACGCTACATTTACCCGAGACGATAAGGCACCACTATACCCAACAAAACCAGACTTAGATACATTTAAGAAGCGGAACAACGTACAGAAACGCCAACAAGAATATTAGATAGTAGTATCGTTATACGGTATAGGCAGTGCTAAGGCGAAGAGAATAGGCGCCAGGGTCTGGGACCTTATTAAAGCGCTATCTGCCTTAATAGTAAAGCTCCGACAGACTAAATACTTTAAGGAAGCTAATAGACGAAGAGTTTAAGGTTTTTTAACAGCCGATATACAAGTAACGCCTACCAAAAACCTTTATAGAAAAAGCAAACACTCGAGATTTATAAGCAGTATCGCTACGAAGATCAGCACATATTTACAAGACAAAGCCGTAGACATTAAGTACAACTCTCCCACATTTATTAACTACCTACTAGCATTTCTAGGAGACGAAGATCTTACTAGCTTCTATTAAGCTCTTCAAGTACTAGAAAAGACAAGTTAGCTAAAAAAGCGTATGCCTGGTTACTACGAGATATAAACGCCAGGAAAATACCTGCTATGCAGCTAGCACTATTCATAGCGTTCAAATCTGACAAGATATTATAAAACTAGGCATTCTTGCTAGTTCGGTAGACCGTTTCTATGCCCACCCTGTCATTAAGCTAGCCAAAAGTACGAAGTATAAAACAAGGCAGACTAGAGTAGTTACGTCATACGGTACCATAGCGAGGAAAATACACCGCATTTGTTACCTCAAGGCGCAACTAGTCGGAGGAAAATTCGATGTCTTATCTGCAGTTCGTAGCTGTCTAGCATACACAATCTTACGAAACACACGCGCGAAATTCATCAGAAGATAGGCTTATTCACGAAACCATTTTACTATCCAGAATGCTATCGTTCTAGCCAGCAGATCCCGATATCAGACCGGGAAGACTGGAGCTAGCATATGAAGTAGACTTACAAATCACGAGAACAAGAAGAACCCCCGTCCGAAGGCTAGACCAGACTATGTCTCATATATGGTGAGAGCTTCCTCAACAAACGGTTCATAGAGCACTTTCTCCAGATTCACGTTCGGAAGCAGGCGAGTTTTTGATCGTCCATTTCATTATCCCGACTGCCAGAGCAATGGCTAGCAAGTCAGGATAATGGACTACGGTTCCTGGGTTTAGCATGCTGCAGAGCCTTACGAGGCATCTAGTCTTAATCGATATGAACTGCCTTTGATAGCCAAGCGTCTACTATCAGATATGGACCAAGCTGATATGCTGATGGAACAGCCTGCGAGGAGCAAGAGGCGGTGTAAAGAAAGTAAAGATGAGGTTGCGTTGCCAGTAGCGGGTGAAAAGCCAGCTCCGCTACAGGTTAAAGTGCCCTTGGATCTAGGAATGTCTGCGACGCGTGCGACATCCCCTTGTGGCATACCGATTGATCCTCTATTATATAAGATTGCCTAGTTGCATACAATACGACTGAAATGACAGACAGCTGTAACATAGCCAATTCTTAGTCTAAGGTAATAGACTCAATTTACAGGGATTTATACTTGGGCTCTCGAGTCCACTATAGATGATATTCCCTTCGCAGCTCCCTCTCTTCCTTCAAAACCCCCTCTAGTTGCTGCTGTAACAGGCAACGCTTTTGTTTGCGCTTCAATTGCCGTGTTTTGTCGCTTATGATCTTTTCCGCCTCGTCTAGCTTGCTGTTCTTTTGTAAAGCTGAATACGTTGGATTTACCCGCAGCTGCTTTCCTAAACCCTCTGTCTAGTAGTAAGGATATTTATTAAGAAATTAAAGCCCTGCTTTTTATAAACATTCACTATGAAAAACATGACCTAGGACTTGTTAGGGGCTATTCTTGAAAGAGCAACGGTGCAGGCTACTGCAACGAATTGCTATGAGGTGCCTATCATAGTTGTTATAGCAAATCGCATATTCCACGTCATAAAGTACCCAAGTGTCTTGCGGGCTTTTGATATGATGGCTGTACTTGGAGCAAACTAGGCTGCTGGACGAGTCGTAGTCTTGGTAGTTTCTGCAGCATATTGAATATATGACCTTGGTTGTTGTTAGCATGTAGCATGGGCCTAACGATTCGGGTATAGGGTGCACCTACGCAAGAACACGTAGTCAGGAGAACCCGGTCTGTCAATGGATGATAGCACTAGGCGCAGAAGTAGGAAAACTCCGGCTCAGCATCCGGTCTACTAGCTATTGTGTTATAACATAGTAATCGAGAAGTTGAAAGATGAATAATTCAAAGAACCGAGCGAAGCTTATTCTTTATTTATACTTAGAGAGTAGGACCTAGCGCTATATTATCTTATAATCAAATTTATGCGGCGCGGCCGGCCACCAATCCGCTTACTAGAGAGCAGTCTAGTTGAAGTTAGACTAGCTAGTCATATACTTCCGCTGTGTGACCTCGGCGGGCGTGGCATCTAGATTTGGCCTTGGATGAGGCGAGTCCTGCTTATTAGAAGTGCTGCCATCATTCCTCCCAACAAACTATTCCTTGTTAGGTAACTTAGCTATGGCAGTTTCTATTGCTAATGAGAAAGGTGCTGTAGTTGCAAGCCCAATATCACCCATCCGATAGGTTCGGGGTTCCGAAATATTATCTAAATGAGGTTAGAGGCTACGTAAGTATGCAATATGGTGACCTACAAGGCAATGATCTAGACTGTTTAGCAGATACCTGTTCCTCTGTATTCCCCCGGTCTCTGGAATGTAACCAGAGAAAGCATGAGAAGGCTAGGACGGGGACAACAATTGCGATAGCCAAAATGATTATGAAAAGTGGTGTGCCCTGTATCGTGGGTCTGTAGGCCTTTGAATCCGTCATCGACGCGGTAGGTTTGACGGTAGTTACGATAGTTATAATAGAAGTGGTAGAAATACTTGGGGCAGAAGTAGTCAGGGCTGTAGTAGTACTGAGTCTCGTTGTAGAAGAAAAGGTTATAGTATCTAACGCAAACGAAGAGGTTGAGAATAGCGTGACAGCAAGGTTGTCAAGACAATCAGCCAAATCACAAGGATCGACTACACAGCATCCACGAAACCTATTCTTGCTACAGACGTAGTAAGACTTTTGCTAAGCATAGTTCTAACGATAAAGGTGTTGGTTCTGCATTATCGTTCTAGTCTGGGACAAGAATCGTATTTTCTAATGCAGTTGTCAATATTGATATAACGAGAATTTGTTTGCCATCCTCTCCTTCAGAGATCCAGCGCTTAGGGGTTTCTAATTTAAGTAATACTCTTCTATTCTAGGACTAGCTATCAGCTAACGACACCCTAACTTTAATGCTCCAAGTTTCTACTTTCTCTCTATTCATATCACACAGATATCAAGAATATATATACCGAAAGGCACCTTGGGATGTAAGCGTCTTGCCTTGCTTTCCTAGGTGTACTGCCGACGCCCCGGCTTCCCGGGGCATTTTGGCAAGCCAGAGGGCTGCCGACGCGAGCGAAGAGAGAATCATGATGCTGAGCTTGCAACTTGGAGGCCAAGCGGAGGAGGGATAGACAAACGAATGATAGTCTGCTATGGGATGAGCGTGAGGTTGGCAGGCGCGGACACACGACAACAAGGCGGCGAAGAAGAGGGCCGAAGCACATCCTAATACCAGCCAGATGGTGTCGAGTCACGACGCCTTTAGATTAGCCCGTAAGTCCATAACCCGGAATAGAACCAGAACCGGCTTCTCCTCTATCAGTTGTCAGGGGGGTTAGCCAAAAGGGCTTCGTCTCCCTCGGCCAAATCTCATCATCGGCATAGGTATAATAGGTAGGATTTCAAAAAGGTTCATAGGTGAACAAGTGCTAAGAGTTAGAAATCATACGACGTGCTTTAACCATATAAGTATCGGATCAATTCCTTGATAAGGCTATAAAAATTAGCTTAGTAGATATTACATAATATAACACCTAGTAAAAGCTACCCTAGGGTATGATTACCCCTGTCAAACCAATAGCAACTAATCTATATCTAAAGACGGATATATAAATATCGTAGTAGTTAGTTGAATTCTTTTGTGTCCCTTTATCTCCTTGCTTTAATTACATTCTATCTACCTTACCGAATATCTACTTAACTAGGCATCTATTCTTGTCTCCTGCTACTTCGGTCTCTCTAGGTTGACAGACAATTTCAATGGCATCATTCGGTCCTTTTTCCCGGCTGCCTCTCGAGCTGCGCCAACGCATCTGGCAATTGAGCATGGAGCCCCGGCACGTGCTTATGGGAAAATGCGAGTATCTCCATGCGCAATCAAGCCCACCAGCCGTTCTACAGGCCTGCGTGGAATCGAGGTCGCATCTCCGAGGCCGTTATACCCAGGAGGCTCGTTGCGGCTGCAGTGGATCATCGGCGTCGCGCGCCATGGTGAACTACGACATCGATACCGTCTGCATGACCGCCTTCGACATTACTATCTGGTCGAGTGCCAAGGATGCACCTATCAAGTACCTGGCGCTCGAGTCCAGGGACTCGGAGGCCTTCTTCTGGAACACTAGTGGTGCCGTGAGGGACATCGCAACTCTCGAGCACCTAGAGATACATCCTACGCCAGGCTCATGGCCGGAAAGGAAAAAGGCGCTCTTGTTGCAGGATTGGATCTCTCAGCTAGAGGTCTAGTACACCCCGTGCCCCCCGGCGCCATTCCGAACAAAGATCATCAGCCCTTAGCCAGACGTCGACATCCCTGAAGTTAGAGCGGATAACTTTGACGAGATATCGCGGGCTTGGGACAGGACGATAGGGTAGGCGTCAGACGGCTCATCGGAGGCTGACGAGCCGTTTCCAGATATGTGTTACGGCCAGCTAACTGACAGTGGGTTTGTGTTAACAGTAAGCCAGGGATTGACAACAGTAACAGTCGTTCTGGGGTCTGGTCGATTGAATCGTAGATCTTCAAAGGTCTTGGTGATCAGTCAAGGCCTCAACAAGAGTCGTAGAGTAGTCGTCACTTAGGTATAGCTGAAAGTACCGGTTAGGGTAATCACAAAGTTGATTGCTGAAGAGCTATGGAAGTCTGACCATGGGCCGAGCTCAGGTCATACTATATACAAGTCCTGGACAGTCCCTGTGTCTTGTCGCTGATCACTGATCAGGTACCGGTGAGCGATCAGTGATCGTTGGTGAGCGCTCAGTAGCTCTGACTGAGCGCTCAGTGACCCATACTACCTGCTCAGTCTTATCTTATCATCACGTGACTTGTACCATAGTTCTTCCGTTCCCGAGTGAGTCCCTGTTGTTCCCGTGATCCTGCAGTACAAATGTCCTGTTCTAGCCGCCCAAAACATCAACAACAGCGAGAACGAAATTTTTGAAAACAGCATCAAATTGATCAAACCACGCCCGCTCGCGCTCTCAGAGGTCACTTTGGGCATAATGTCATCCTCGGCATTGATTCTGCTCCCAAAGAGCCTGCTCGTGGCCGCGGGCGGGCTCTGACCACGAAAAATTCGAGAGCAAGCCACAAAGTATGACACGTCAATAGACAACACCATCGACACCACCGCGGTTGAGTCACGGGCTATCACGTGAGCACAACGACCAAGCCCAAACAAACATCAACACCACAGCCACCGATAGGTTATGGGTCGCCTATCACCCCCGACAAAGTTTGCAACGTCCCGCGACAACAACGACGACAAGCCCGACAGAACGGTATCACCTCCTGCATAGAGAAAGCACCAGACACCAGGCATGCTACGATCGATGCCACAAAATACTACAGTTTGCAGACAGATTGGTCCCCTGTCGCCCCCTCCGCGAAGAAGGATTGTCGCCCCTTCAACGTATGACAATGTCTGCGGAATCTGTGTACGAGCTCTCATACTTAGTAATCGGACGAATCGAAGCGGTTGGAGCATTGTGTTTTGCGGATTGAGTCCGACTCCAGGCGGTGGATGGAGGTGGTGGTCGAAAGATGGAAACATAGAGCCACATAGGAACCCAGCATGAGGCAACAAAAAGATTTACAGATTCAACTGAGATATAGCACATGCGAGTCTGAGAGGATGCGGACAAGATAAAGAGACGAAGCTGAGGGCTGGGGGGAGACTATAGGTATACAGAACCAGACATGGTGCCTAGCACCAACAGAACCGAAGTAGGAGGACGCGAAAGAAGGATTCTAGAAGGCAACACCAAGCGAGAGAGCAGGCAGGAGGACAACAATCTTCAACAGAGGGCATAAACACACAAGAATAGATAGCATAGTGGGAGCTTGGGGACAGCTGGTCCTGATCCAACAACAGGGCGAAGTGGGGCGTCGCGGTTTATCGTCGATGCTTCGGCTGTCTGCCAAACCCCGCTTTCCGGGCATAGCTGCTAGCATAAGAGCGGCTTCATAACCGTGTAGGAATCAATCAATCAATCAATCAATGTTCTAGCCGCCCGACGCCCAAGTGGGTCGTTCAGCTGTTATCCTTGTTTACGGGTCGTAACATCAGGTCTCCTCTCCAAGGGTCTTGTCCTCAAGACCAGCTTAAGTAGGTCGTCTGCCCTCAGGTGGGAGGGCGCCCAACTTGCTTCCTTTAATGATGCTCACATCATGTCAGGTCGCGTCAAAAAACGAAAGGTCGTACGAGCGTTCGATTCTCGTGCGGAAAAGACAAAGCAGCGCGATTCCCTCTTGAGTCTTATCTTGGGCAATCGTACCGTCATGCCTGTTTATTCCTCCTGTGAGGTAAAGGGTTTTTCGTCGTGCGAAGCTTCTCTTTCTGATTCCTCTCGATGCGCCGAATGCGTTCGTGGCGGCAAGTCCTACTGCGACCTTCAGGGTCTCAGTGCCCAACAACTTCGTCGGATTGGTGATCAGCATCAGAAGCTTGAGGATGCTTTGGAGAAGGCAGAAGAGGAGCGTCGTGCTCTGGACGCCAAAGTAGAGCGTCTTCGAAAGCAGAAAAAGATGTGGTTTGAAAAGATGATGCGCGCGGTGCGCCGTGGTATCGACAGTGTGGAGGAGTTAGAGCGTGTTGAGAGAGAGGAGGCAGAGGCAGAGCAGCGTCGGGTAGAACCGGTTCGTCCTTCGGCTGATTCGCCTCGTCTGCCGGTGGAGTTCACAGCGGATTGGGATACCCTGTACCCGGATGTCGCTTTGTCGCCATCCTTGTTGGCTGAGTTTGGTTTGTTGGATTCAGGGTCGGTTGTTGAGAGGCGGAGTACTCCTGAAGCGTCTCCTGGGGGTGTTGGAGGCCCTTAGTGGGTTCCTTTAGGCGGCTCTGGGGTTCCTAAACGAATGAGAGGGTGTTTATCCCGTGGCTTGTTTGATCGTGGTGGACGGATGATGGGTTGTAGTTGTCGTAGTCGAAATTGACTTTTTGGCGTTTGTTTTTCGATTCGTACTGGTGCTTGTCTTTGTTGTTCTTGTTCTTGCTGTCTCCAGTAACGTCCGAGTTCTTCCTGTGCGTTTTCGAGGCTCTGAGGTAGTTCCCATGTGTTGTCTTCGTGTCCGTATCCTTTCCACTTGACAAGGTAGCGGATACTTTTTTGTTCTTCGATGTGATCGATTATCCGTTCGACTTCGTATTCTTGTTCTGGATCTACTTCGATATAGTCCGTAGTGTACGATCCCTTTGGTGCTGATTCGAGAAGTGAAATGTGAAAGACTGGATGACACTTCATGCTGTCGGGTAGTGCGAGTTTAAAGTTGACGTTGGATACCTTCTTCGTAATTTCAAAGGGTCCAAGTTTCTTGAAGTCCAACTTATCGCTTGGTCGTTTTGTTTTGATGTTGCGGCGGAGAAGGTATACACTATCCCCCTCCTTTAGAGTTGGTCCCTCAACTCTTGATTTGTTGGCGTATTTGCGCATGCGTTCGCGCACAAATTCGAGGTCTCTGGGGAGTTCCTGCTGGATCTCCTTAAGTCTGTTGATGTCTGCCACAGCTTTCAGAGCTGCTGGGCCTTGTCGAGGTTGTCCGTAGGCTGTTGGGTTGAATCCATAGTTCAGATAGAATAGTGATTCTTTTGTACTTTCTCCTACTGCGCTGTTGTAGGCGAACTAGGCCATAGGTAGCAGTTGAACCCAGTTGTCTTGCTGATAGTTGACGTAGCAGCGTAGGTAGGTTTCCATGATCTGATTGATTCGTTCTGTCTGGCCATCGGTTTGCGGATGGAAAGCGGTGGACATCTTGTGGTCGGATCCTAGCTGCGAGATCAGGGATCTCCAAAACTTGGAAGTGAACAGCTTGTCTCTGTCGGATACGATTTCCTTCGGCATTCCGTGTTGGCTTACGATCACCTGCAGAAACTTGTAGGCGAGGTCTTCTGCAGTGCTAGACTCCATGTACGGGATGAAGTACGAATACTTTGTGAGTCTGTCGACGATGACGAGGACACTGTCGTAGTGGACGTTGGTCATCGGTTCACGGGACTTAGGTAACTTAGTGACGAAGTCCAGCGAGATGGATTCCCATGCGGTTTGCGGCACTGGGAGCGGCTGTATCTTTCCATAAGGCTGATGTCGGCTGGGTTTGCTTTTCGCACAAACCTCACAGTCCTTAATCGCTAAAGATACTTCTTGTCGTGTAGCCGTTTTGTCGTAGTGTTGGCGGATGCGTTTCCATGTCTTAGTTACGCCTTGGTGACCGTGTGCGGGTGCGGAGTGTATCTCCCTAATGGCTTCAGGAGACATCCTTCCAGGCGTGCTGGTACTGTCTCTTCTGGCCATCATTAAGAGTCTGGCTGCTGGCACAAGGTCTCCGTTTTTATCTGCTTTGAGGATAACTCGGGTTTCCTCAGGTACCTGGACCTCATGGTCCGGTCTTCGGCTGAGGGCGTCGGCCCTGCCGTTCTCCTTGCCTTTCCGGTAGATGATTCTGAAATTGAATTCTGACAAGAATTCGGACCATCGAATTTGTCGTTTGTTAAGATCTTTCGATGTGGTGAAGTGTGCGAGATTCTTGTGGTCGGTGTATACTTTGACCTCGTACTTGGTTCCTGAGAGTTGCGGTCTCCATTCTTTGAATGCTTCGATAATTGCCATGAGTTCCTTGTCGTGTATCTGGTAGTTGAGTTCTGGGCCGTGTAACTTGCGTGAGAAGAAGGCGCAAGGGTGTAGTCGTCCTTCGTCGTCTCGTTGGCCTAGTTGTCCTCCTATAGCGTAGTCTGAGGAGTCGGTCTCGACTTCGAATGGTTTCTCGGGGTTTGGTATAACAAGTATTGGTTCCGATGTGACTTGTTGTTTGATCTCGTTGAAGGCTTGTTCTTGTTCTTCTTCCTATTGCTAGGGAACATCTTTCTTCGAGAGTCTCGTGAGAGGGTCGTTTTTGTCTGAGTACCCTTCTAGGAACCGTCGGTAGTAGTTCACATATCCAATAAAGGATTGTACGTCCTTAACGTTCTGTGGTATAGGCCAGTCTCGTACTGCTGCGATTTTGTCTTTAGATATTTTGAGGATTCCTGGGGCTATCGTAAAACCTAGGAATTCGACTTCTTTGGCGTGAAACTTGCTCTTCTCGGGTTCCACTAGGAGTTTGGCGTCTTGCAGTTTCCGCAGTACTTGGTGTACGTGTTTTTTGTGGTCTTCCAGAGTCTTGGAGAAGATTAGGATGTCGTCGAGGTAAACTACGACGAACACATCTAGAAATTCTCGTAAGACGTGGTTGATCATCGTCTGGAATGTCGCGGGTACGTTGGTAAGTCCGAAGGGCATCACAAGGTACTCGTAATGTCCTCGGCGTGTTCGAAACGCTGTCTTCCATTCTTCACCTGATTTCATCCGGATCAGGTTATAGGCTCCTTTTAGGTCGAGTGCTGTAAACCACTGTGCTCCGTGCAACAGGTCTCGTAGTTCGGAGATAAGCGGTAGTGGGTAGCAGTTCTTGATCGTAATGTCGTTGAGTTTCCGGTAGTCGACGCAGAGTCGTAGTTTGCCGTTCTTTTTTGGTACGAACAGGATTGGGTATCCCGCTGGTGATGTAGAGGGTCTGATGTATCCCTTCTGTAGATTTTCTTCGAGGTAAGCGTCGAGTGCTTCCATTTCTTTCTGGTTGAGTCCGTAGATTGCTTCTAGCTTTGGCTCCTTCCCTTCCTTAAGGGGTATCTCGTGGTCGTAGTTGCTGTGTTCCGGGAGTCCGGTCTCGAGTTCTTCGGCGAATAGCTTCTGGTATTGCCGGTATTCTTCTGGGATAGACAGAAGTCGGTCTTCCTTGCCGATGTCTGTTGCTGATAACGTCCTGGCGTTTGCATCCTTTATCCGTAGGTATGCTAGAAATCTCTTCGCTTCAGGAGTCTTGAGAGGTTCGTTTGAGGCACCGTTCCGTGGTTGCTTCTCAGTGACTGAATCCTGGTCCCAATGGAGTTGGCCTGTTCTCCAATCTATCCGTGGGTTACTGTCGTATAACCATGGTCTTCCAAGGATGACATCGTACTTGTCTCCTATCTCCGTAATATCGAAGTTGAGTCGCTCATTCTGGCCATGGATCTGCATTAGGAGTTGCGCTGTCTCCATAACAATGCGTCCTCCGCCGTACTGGACTTGTTCTCCTTCAACGGTGCTAAGTTCGTAGCAGTCTTCGGCTGCTTTTCTTTTCCAGGTTATCTTTCTTTCATTCACCGTTCTTGGTGATATGAAGTTTCCTTGGGCTCCGCTGTCGATCATGGCGGTAGCTGTTCTTCCGTTGAGCTGTATTTGGACTTGTACATGCTCGTGTCGTTGTGTCGTGGGCGTCGTTGCGCTACATAGGGACCTTGTCTGGGCTGCCTGTCGTTGTCCCTTGTCTTCGGTAGGCGAGTCTAGTTTTTTGACTGCTCGTCCGTTCCTTGTTCGTCGTTTTCTTGCTGTTTCTTCCATGCTTCGTCTTTCTTGATATAGTGGACTCTGCACTGGTCTTGGTAGCAGTGATACCACTGTATTTCTTCGTCAGAGTCCTCTCCAGAGCTGGTGTCGTTGACTGAAGCGACTTCAAAGGCGACTTCCAGTTGGGCATGTTGGCGGGCAACATCGCGAGGTGTTTCCGAGTCGTTGGGGGTGTTCTTGGTCGTTTCTGATTCGACCTGTTCTTCCAGTTCTTGGTTGATCTGGCGGATCCGTGCGGGATCTCCTTGTGCATGTTGTCGTCGTTCGATGTGTGCGTCCAGCGCACCGAGTTGTCGTTGCCACATAGGGTTTTGTAAGTCCTATTAAATCCGCTACAGGTTGGCTTGTCGTCCTGCGTAGAGGAGGTTCAGTCTTCGCTGATTGTCTTGTTCTAATTCCTCGTTGTCGTTCATACTGTCGAGCTGTTCGATTGTCTTGCGCTCGATTTTGCTGTTGCTTCTATATCCTACAGCGAGGGTCCGTTTAGGTGCGTTGGTAGTGTCGTAACCAGATCGTTCTTGAGGTTTCTGGGGGTACCATCCTGCGTGTTCCTTACTGCTAGAGTGGATATGGCAGTTGTCATCGAAGCAGGTGGTCTAGTTGAGTTGTTCATGAGGGATCGTCTTCGTGGCGATACTCGCTTGTCGTTTCTCTAGTACCGGTTGGAAGCGTTCCTTCTTGGGTGACCTGCATTCGTATGCTAGGTATCCAATCTTCTGGTAGTTATAGCACTGTCTATCTTTCTTCCAACTGTCGTTCTTTTTGTCGTTTCTCTGTGTAGCACTAAGGTCTATTGGTCTACTGTGGTGACCATAGGCAGTACTTTGTCGGGGGTTGTTCCAGTTGTTGCGGGGTCTATTGTCGTTTCGCTGGTTGTTGAACTGGTGCTGAGGCTGCCACTGGTACTTGCGTCCTAAGTTGGGGTTTTGTCGTTTTTCGCCTCTTTCCTTTCGTCGTTCGAAAAGCCGGTTGTCGATTTTGATGGCGAGTTCGGCGTACTGGAGAAAGTCGTCAGGTCGATCAATCTTGATGATCTCGTCCTTGACTTCGTCCTTTAGTCCTTGATAGAACATGAAGATCTTGGTTTCCTCGGTGAGGTCGAGTTGAACGCTGAGTTGTCGGAAATTAGCGGAGTAGTCTTTAGCGGACTTAGTCTGCTTAAGTTGTGCTAGATCTCGTTCGGCTTGTCGCTTTTCGTCGGGGTCTTGGAAGAATAGCCTAAGCGTATCCTCGAATCCTTTAAAATTAGCGTAGATGTCGCGGGTCTCGGTGGTGCACTCGTCGAGGGTCTCGCATTTAAGGTATTCTTCCTGGATTGGTTCAAACCACTTGAGGGCCTTTCCTCGGAGGTAGGTGGCTGCGTGTACTACTTTTTCGGTTTCGTTAGTAAAATCTCCATAGTAAAAGTTCTAGTAATTTTTGACCTGAATCAGGAATCCTTTGAGGGTCCCGGGGGTTCCGTCGTAGGTGACAGGCGCACTGAGCTTGAGCTTTTGTCGTCCTCCGTGGACGGGCGTGGTGACGATGTTGGCGGCGGCCCGGAGGGTGGTGATTTCCCCCTGGAGTTCCTGGATCTTCCGGAGGTTGGCGTCCCCCTTGATGTCTTCTTCCAGCTTCTTATAGGCCTGTCCAGCGTGCTGGAGTTGCTTGTTGAGGTTTTCTATTGCTTGTCGGTTTTCGTTGACGATTTTCTGCATGTCTTTTGTCTCGGCTTCTTGTTTCTGGATTATGCGTCGGAGCTTATCGTAGCTTTCCTTGGTGAAAGAGCCATCTCCATCGGAGTCGTACTTGAGGTCCGGCATGTCGAAGTCCTCAGTGTTGGCGGGCTCCTGCGCAAGGCTCTAAGGCTGGTTGCGCGAAGAGGATGAGGATCCTGGAGTGGGTGATTTGGCAGAAGCGCGAGAAGACATCTTGTCTATACTGTTTAGTAGTTCTCAAAAGGTGACTTACTGAACAGGAGCAATCAAAGTGTTACGGCCAGCTAACTGACAGTGGGTTTGTGTTAACAGTAAGCCAGGGATTGACAACAGTAACAGTCGTTCTAGGGTCTGGTCGATTGAATCGTAGATCTTCAAAGGTCTTGGTGATCAGTCAAGGCCTCAACAAGAGTCGTAGAGTAGTCGTCACTTAGGTATAGCTGAAAGTACCGGTTAGGGTAATCACAAAGTTGATTGCTGAAGAGCTATGGAAGTCTGACCATGGGCCGAGCTCAGGTCATACTATATACAAGTCCTGGACAGTCCCTGTGTCTTGTCGCTGATCACTGATCAGGTACCGGTGAGCGATCAGTGATCGTTGGTGAGCGCTCAGTAGCTCTGACTGAGCGCTCAGTGACCCATACTACCTGCTCAGTCTTATCTTATCATCACGTGACTTGTACCATAGTTCTTCCGTTCCCGAGTGAGTCCCTGTTGTTCCCGTGATCCTGCAGTACAAATGTCCTGTTCTAGCCGCCCGACGCCCAAGTGGGTCGTTCAGCTGTTATCCTTGTTTACGGGTCGTAACAATATGCCCCCTCATGGTCAGGCAGAGGCTGACCCAGGGACCGGGGTGCAAGCCCTGTGAGCGGTCACCTGTTTGGCCCACACCCTACGGTCTATATTGACGCAGGTACGGATATGAGATACTCGACATAGCAAAATCAGGCCTTACGACAGGGCTGACCGGTGGATCACCTTATTACTTTGTTCTATCTTATTTCCTATCTTATTTTATTTTCCATCTTATAGTCTAACATCTCTTGTCGTTCCTTGCATCTATAACATGTTTATACTGCCGTTATAGATAGCCGAAAATCTTAACGTTTAGGAATCGTAACCGAACGGGATAACGGGGATAGTAGAGGTAACGCTGTTGCTCTTTTAGCCTATTTACGCATTCGTTTCTTTATACACTCCTTCATTCGCACCTTCGTTTCCTCGTCGCCACGTTTTCTTCATAGCAGTCCCTCATTATGCGGTTTCCCGTCTTCATCCTCAGCCTGCTCTGGCTCGTTCCCGGAGCCTTGGGCGCCGGCAGACGAGCAGTATATGAGAAGATCCTATTCTTCTATGCATACCGAATCGACCAGCTTTTACCGGAGGACCAGCGAATAGTAGGCGCAAAGTATGTAAAGTAGCCTACTAGGGAGGAGCTGCTTTATGAGGACCCGGGTAATAATAAGCCTAAATATCTTTACTATAAACCAAAACAACCAGCCAGGACGGTCTATACTCTCGGCGAGTTTATTAGGCATATCGATAGCAACAAGGGTAAGAACTATAAGAACCAGCTCTTCGTTGATAGCGTTAAGTAAGACGAAGAAAAGCTCGACTTTGACATAAAGAAAACGGCGGAAAATATTATTAAGTACGATGCTACTGATGGTCGTAACCTGCCCTACCGCCTCTTTAAGGACGGCGCTCTCCCTGCATATCATGGGGCCGATATTATTAAGAACGGCGTGGTTCTCGGTAAGAAGAGGGGCTACGACGGGTCGCTGAATTCCATCTTCGATCGGATGGCCTACGTCAAAAGTACGCTCCCCCAAGCGACCTTCGACCGTCCCGACGTCAAGTTCCTCTTTGATCGGGTCGAGGAGAGCCGTACCTCGGTGTTAGCCGCGCGCACGGCCGACCATGACTACTAGATCAAGAAGGACTTCGTAGCCTATATCCCAGCTATTAACGTCAAGACAACGCCGATAGGCTACCAGGAGTAGGTCGACAGCCAGAACCGAGACATTAAGAAAATCCTGACCCCCGAGACTATTACCGCAAACTAGGCTGCTATCCCTAACGTCGAGGACTAGATAAAACAGGTCCGAGCAGACCGACTAACGGACGCGTTTGCTAGCCCGCTCTAAGGCTAGTAGGCGAGGGACTACTAGGTTATAATAGAATGTTATAAGCAAGGAGGAACGAAGATTAAGAATGCTATTTATATTTAATTACCTTATCAACTATCTTCTCCTTATTACGTTTTTAATATACCTTTAAAACTTTCGATATACTTAATAGATAATACTCTTAGGCTTAATACGACTTTATACTTATTTTCTTAGGCATAGATATAATAACTATAACAAGTCGATAGTAACGATAGTTAGAGCCTTAGCCTCTCCTTAGTCCCTTCTACCCTTCCTTCTAATTCTTACCTTTCCTTCTTTAGATACTCTAAAGCCTGCCTATCTAACTTACAAAGTAGTTACGTTTCTTAATTACAAAGATAAATTATAACTAAATCTACTCTAGGCTAGTCTTCCTAACTTAGTTAGTTATATACTTACTTATAGGATAGTTATGCTTAATTATATACTTTCTCCTCTTTTCTTACGAATTTTTCCTTTTATTATTAATATTTCTTCCTTATTAAACTATAAATTAAATAATTACCGTCTATCTTAGGAATAACTTTAATCATTATAAACCTTACTAGTACTTTTACTTCTAGGGGGTCTAAACAAGCAGCAGGGTCTAAAATCAATAGCTTGACGGGCTGTCGCTCCGAGCCGTATAGCTAAAAGGGAAGCAAAATCCTGTAATTATTCGTCGTTCGTTAGCCCCTTAAACAAAAACCTATAATACTTCTATATTAAGCACCCGGTATTATAGAACTAGTTTAAGGCTACTTACTCTAGCCTATTTAGTAAGGAGGTTGATATTAACGGTGTCTGTGCTGGAAATGAGCTTGTGTATACCCAGGCCCTACGCGGGAAGGTAAGGCTCTGACCGAACCGCTTTGGAGTTGTGAGCTTGGGTGCCTGGAGCAAGGCTGAAGGTAGGGCCTACGAAGGGCTGTACGAGGAGGTGTAGAGAGTGTTGAGAAGCCCGATAGTAGTCCGCTGATAGGCAGGGAAGGCGGATTGATGTTGACGGGGACGAGTAGGTATCTTGCACTTTGGCGGCGGATGTCATGCCCAAACTGGCATCCCATTTACGATGCTAGATGATAGCTGCCTTGTGAATAGCCTGATTATTGTTAGGTGGTCGACCTTAACGTTGAAGATGCCGGGTGCTAATCATTATAAGACTTCTTTCTTCTATAGCATCGCCATGAAAGATCAGAAAGGTAGAATCAGGGGTTATATAAGCTTAAAGTATAAACTTAGCTTCCTTCCTAAATTTTATTTTAGTATTAGTTTTTATTCTTATCTCTACTAAATCGGGAACGGTCCTGTAAGGCGATGCTACGAAAGAGTAACTAGATACTATAACCTATATATTGTTAGCTTTAGATACCTTTCATAGCAACGGAGGAGAACCAGGAGGCTCACAAAGATATCTTTAAGGGGGCATCTTAGTCGCTTAGCAATACTCTCCCAGAACGTTATGCCTAGAAGAAGAAAGTCTTAACAGTTTTCCTCTAATCGGTATAGCTACATGCCTAACCTAGGTAGTCAGACTATGTGCAGGACATCAATATAAGCAGATTACATGCTAAAACGGTCACATACGACCATACCCATTGGAAAACTCGGGATCCCGTCCGCTCTCCCATAGATAAGCCAGTGAGGGCCGGATTAGTAGTTGGGTCGGTGACGACCAGCGAATACCTGGTGTTGTATGTTTTGTATTTTTTTACCATCCTTTATGGTCTTCCCTATTATCACAATTCGCCTTCTATTGCGACCATGTCTATGCTAAATAACTGCTAGAGCTTGGGCAAGTATAGCGAATGGAGCCTCCTGAATGGAGATACAAACCTCATTTACATTATGTACCTTTCTGTGGGAGCCCAGCTATGCCCTTACCTCAGTGCCAGGAACAAAGCTGCACGGGACGCAGGCTCGCCCTGCGTAAAAAGCCGGGAAAATGGCGAGATAGCTTTCCAAGGCTCAGCATGTGCGACCGTGATGGCCTTGAGAAGAAAGCATACGGAGCCGAATTGTTTCGGCAATCCGTTGAGGATAGGGTAACTCTTCGACGGCGTTTCCTGGGCGGAGGTGTCGTATTGCCTATGGTCGTCCTTAATGGAGCCACTTATTGCTAGTGGGTATTAGTAGCGTATTACTTATCGATGTTTCAGACTCTAGTTTTACCTCGAACTGGTAAACTCGCAACTTTTCGAGAGAATAGTCAATCTATGGGAACCGACAACTGACAGTCCTTGACAAAGGCGAAAATTAGACTAGCCAATAGGGCTATCATATCCTTCAACGAGAGGAGACTTGTGCAAATCTTCTCGGCTTTCAATCTAGTCAGTTGCTCTTGAATATTAAAAAACCGTAGCAGTCCACAGGACATGGCAAAGCAATGGCTTTCCACGCTTTGGCTATAATCATTTTCTGATGCATAGAAAAGGATTCTCTTACAAGCTTTGTTACGCGATCTATAGAAAAAATATATCAAAAGGGGCTACGGTTGGTCTGGCGCACTTGGGCGACGTGGCAATCAACGTTACTACAATACCGGATTCTTATTGTGACCATACTTGCTCCAAGCCTACAAAAGTGTGAACCGGACACTGGGAAAAGAGTGTTTAGCAACCTGTTCTATAGGTATTCTATGAATGTCCTTGGTCTATCGAGAATGGCCTGTTGGGCCGCAGTCCTCTGTATCTTTTCCATGACGAGGGCTCCGCGACGAAGGGAAGCTAGCTGCAGGCATTCCATGTGTTTAAGACACCGAGTAGCTCAGGAATCAGGAGCAGTCTCGAAGTCCTTGTAAGAGTACCCCAGTCCCTCGGGCTTACGCTTTTCAACAGGGGCTTTTTCGAAGTCCTTGTAAGAGTACCCCAGTCCCTCGGGCTTACGCTTTTCAACAGGAGCTTTTTCGAAGTCCTTGTAAGAGTACCCCAGTCCCTCGGGCTTACGCTTCTCAACAGGAGCTTTTTCAAAGTCCTTGTAAGAATATCCCAGTCCTTCAGGCTTGCGTTTCTCGACAGGAGCCTTTTCAAAGTCCTTATAAGAGTATCCTAACCCTTCGGGGGCACGCTTCACCACGGATGCTTCATCTTTGTGAACCTATCGTGAGCTGAAATTAGCATATTGCCACCAGATTAACTAGATGTACAACTGTCGTGAAGAACCTACATGTTCGCCAGAGGTGGGTGCAGCGGCAGCGGCAGCAGCAAACATGGCGATTGCAACTTGAAAACGCATTTTGTCCACAGAAAGACTTCAGAATTTATAAGAGCTTTTGAACTATTGATTCTTTTTCAGAGAAATATGGCTTGGAAACCCAAAGATAGTAAAGAAGTAAGTATATCGTCCCAAGATTCGTCATGCGAGGTTTATATGTCTGTTCAATCTCACCTACCGTTCATAGCTTACGCCAAATGCCGCGTCTTGCAGATATCCGAATTTTCGATCTTTCTCAAACCCGAAAAACTGCTATCTGGTGCTCGATAGTGAGGTACTGGAGACCCGGTACGCATTCTGTAGAGTCTCGCAGACACCAAACACAGCTTCGGCGCCCAAGCAACATGCTGAGACCTAGCAAATGAGGCCCGGACCGGGCAGTCTTCGGATTCGGTACTCATCAGATTCGTTTTAGCAGGATAGATCGGGGTGTATCAAAGGTGACCCGACGGCCTCAATACGCTCGGATTCAACACCGGCACCACATCCCTCCCATTGGTGCGGACCGACGAACAGGATCGGTTGGCATTTGCGGAGTACGACCGTGATAAACTAACTTTCCATGAACTAGCAATTCTACTCAATGTCTCGCATTCATACTGACAGGCACTTCAACCGCTGGAAGGGGTGCACCTGTCTGTGCACCGTAGTCGTGCTAATGAGGTCCCCTAGTAGCCAGTAATTCTCAATTGCATGACGCTTTCCCCCATAACCTACTCGTTCGGAGAGAAATTGGCCGAATTCCGCTTAATTACAGGTTGTTACATATGTCAGCCGAGTACATTAGTGTCTTGACTGATCCTAACTCTATGGTTACGTCGAAAGGTTCATATGAACACAGTAAGCTTTGAGCTAATGACTATGTTCTAATCCACCAGAATAATACATTTCTACATCTAACTTTCCTTTTGTTCTAATTATCCTTCTTCTGTATCTCCAATGTCGCTGATGGTCGCCGATACATCACCGGTGCCAAGGACACGCACTACTCAGGTCATTCGTCTTTGGCCTGCTAGCTCGGACCGATCAATTAGCCTTCTCTGTCCGTTTCCACGATCTCAGAGTGGAAGTGATTGTCAGGCGACCCGTACCACCATGTCAATATCTTGTAGGACGTTGGATTGGATTGAGAGCAATAATTCTTGAACTGATATTATCATAATAAGCTAAACAGCATCGAGTGATGTATTGATTTGTTCTGCTTTTTGGGTGAAGATGTAACCCTGGGAGTACGCAAAGATTTGTGTCCGTCGGCCAAAGGAAAATAGATATGATGCCGAATGAAATCCAAAAATACTCCGAGGCGTTTCCCTACCCGTAGAAAATCTCAATGGTGTGAGTCTCCGGCGTGCGGGTTTCTTGCCTTCCATTCTGCCTCATCTTTCTTCAATCGCGCCCACGCGTCGCCTACTCTAAGTAAAATTAAGCAATTTGGTCAGCTCAATTAATGAGCAGAATTTCTTAGGCTCACTCACGGGGTCTGTTTTGTCTTTTGCCGCAATTCGCCATACATATCATCTAGATAGGTATTGTGTCAGCAATTACCTTTCACCTGGTGGTACATGGCAGGCTTTGACCCACAGTAGCTCCGATCATTCAGATGGCCATGTTTCTCTTTCCATGCTAACGTCGCACACCCACTTCTCGCACACCCCCACATTTCGCACACCCATAAATTGGGTTATCATAAGGTATTTATTAACTTTATAACTATAAGTCTGATTCGTCTCCTGCAACTGTGATACTATCGCTAGTTTTAGTAGGTAATTCAGGCTTGCTAGATTTATCTAAGCTATCCTTAATTTCGCTAGCCTTAATTTAGGCTTTGTGAATTGCCTCAATGTTGGCAAACTTCGAATTTGGGCTAATTTGGACCTTACGCCGCTTCCGTACCATTCCAGCCTCAACTTCTGCTTCCAACATTGCAATCTTCTTCTCTGCTGTAGCCAATTGATATTCCTTTTCATCAAATCCCTTTTGAAACTTCCGAAACAACAGTCGCTTCGTTTGCTGATCTTTATCCAACATGCTGAATAAGCTAAGTTGAACATATAGATCAACTGTCTTCCTGGGCGTTGACCAGGCTACTATGTATGTAGCAGATGCCCAGTTTTCGTCTTTTCCACCATCAGAGGCCATCATAGGCGTAGAATAGCCTGGCTTTGAGGGCTTGGAAGCATTCTCAAGTAGTAGAGGGCTTATAAGCGGTCAGCTATCGAAATAGGCTATAGTCCTGTTACTTTCTAGCTACTTCTAATATTCTTACTTAAAAATGCTATCTAGTATGCTTTTCTATAGCAGGTAAGAAAGTTCCGTTTACTTATAACTATAGAATCGTTATATTAAATAAGGTATCTAAGCTTTTTTTGATAGGTTGCTATTACGGCTAGTTAGTAATAGTAAGGTTTCTACTAATAGAAGTTAAGGCTATAATACTAATAATAGGTCTTACGTCGTATATAAGTAGATTATACTAGTAGATTAAAGGTTAGGGTAAGGTAATTAGTCTTATACTAAGTAATAAGTTAGAGTAATATTACTAGATAAAGCGAGAAGTTGCTGCTACTGCCGCTAAAAGCGGTGGAAAGTGTCGCTATTTTAGGTGGTGTTAGCAGTTAGGGGAGACAAGCTTTGGGGTAGCCAAGCCGAGTACTAAGTACTTACAGGGCATTCCCAAACCTACTTATCAAGGTGGGCCCGCTGCTGTTCAGATTTCGGCGTCTTCGCCTGTCAACAGTCCGGTAAATGCTCTCGGCCGGTGATTCTGTTTCCTTCGGTTTCCTCTTCCCAACTACCTGGCTTCTGCCATTTATAGAGCCGCTTTCTGCTTTGCACAATGACCTGCCATTACTTCGCCAGAATGACTACTGCCCGCTATAAAACGCGGCTTTGCGTTCAGCTCGTTCCATCATGCTGCATCTACCGCACTACACTCTTTTACCAGTTTTGTGATAAGACTACGCCTTCGAACAATGCCGAGAGAGAGGCACCTTGATTGCCAGACTGTTGATGCCAACGCTAGCACACAGTTTATCAAGCAATTCACTGAACATGAGACGAATGAACGGCGGAAAAGGCGCGCACCGTCGTTCTCTGCGGAGGAGCACGATGCAATCCGCAAGAAGTTAAAGACAGTCCCTTTCATCAATCCAAATTACGCCCACGAGACCAAGATCAATGTTTCGGTTGTCCGCAAAAAATGGGAACGGTTAGTCATCTGTGACACACGAGCAATCCATTGTTGCTAAAGCATCAAACAGCTACTGCCGTGAACAGCACGAAGTTGAATGCGAGAAGCAGAAGCGTGGCGAGTGTGACGAGTTGGTGTGGGGTGACTGGCAAGCGGCTTTGACAACTGTGGCCAGAGAGACGATGATGGATTTCTTCTTGCGACTTTGCGAGTGGTCCAAAGGCAAAATCAAGTCGTGGGGCACCACGCAGGTATACATTCGTCATTTCCAACAACTATACACACAGTTGGCCGGTCGTTATGTGGACCGGAACGACATCAAAGAGCTCTACATTGTAATTGCCACCATTTCTGGAGTTATCTTTCTGCGTCACCATGTTAACGTGAGCTGCCCTAGTTTCATGACCGAGTTTTGGTTCCTCGCTTTGGCTTACGAGCACCCAACATCAATGGAAAGCCGGTCGTTGCCGTACAAGGTCTTGAAATCCTTCTGGTTTTCAATATTGCGTACGATGTTGGTATTTTCCGGTCAGAAGGACAGCGCATCCAGCTAGCTGGTTGCTATCAGTTGCTGTGTTACACTGGTGCACGACCTGCTGAGCTGGTTCATGCCGAAAGGGAGAAACCCAAACACGAAGCTTGGGATCTTTTCAACTGGGATGAGGACGCGCAAGGCGAAGATTCTCTGTTGCTTGACAAACTGTTGCGACAGGAAACCGCTGATCGAGGGCGTCCCAAAGCCTTGTGCTACGAGGACATATTGATGATGATTGTTCGTCATCCAGTAACCGGACGGGCTATACCAGCCATGGCGATCAAATTCATCTATCATAAGGGAGCCGATAGGAAACCTAAGCCGTGAGTAATTGTTGTGTGCAACATTTTGATCTGTGCCACGTCCATCCTTGGTTTTCAGTGTACTTTACTCCCGAACAAATTTGCTGGGGCTAATCATTTCAAGGACTATTTTTTACTTCACACCCGCAAGAAAGCTTTTATTTTGTGCCGTGAGCACTATCATCGCCTTAGCACTTCGTGACCAGGCCTTCGAGGCGGCGAGCCTAACAGATGCGAAGGCTGTTCTGGGGTTGAAGATCCGGGGTCCGGTCAAGTCCATGGCTCTACGATGGAAGAAATCGATGCTGAAAATCCCGCTTTTTAGGAAGTTCGAAGGCAACAACTTATCTAAAGACATGGCTATGACCTATGCTACTTTAAGGGATCATATGCACCGACAAAGCCTTGATGCTGGCTTTGAGAAACCGTGGACGCCGAGATCAGCTCGGAGAGGGGCGGCGAACGCAGCCAACGGTGAGTGAGATAAATGAGCTTTTATCACCATAGACAGATGCTGACGAGCTTGGGCTGCAGAAAATGCCCCAGAGTCCATCCGGGATCAGGTGATGCGTCATGATCCTAAATTCTTCACATTTCATGGCTCTTACCTCAATGAGAATGTCAATTTCGATCTGCAGAACGCTTTTCTCGAAGAGAATGCGGAGGGACAACTTTACCAGTTGTTCACACATGTCAGTCTTACACGTGACCCTCGGGCGACAAGAGACATGGTACCTGAAGAGGTTTGGAAGAACATGCCGCCCGATCCGGAAATTATGGATTTGGAGCGACAGCGACGAGAGTTGAAAGGAGGTCAATATCGCATACAAGGTATGGAGAACGAGGCCAAAATCCGACAGTTGACGGAGAAGATCAACACCAAGCGAGACCAACGCGACAAGAAGGTCGTGAAAGCGTACCGCAGTTATTATTTTTACAATTGTTCAACTTGGGACATTGAGAAGCAGGCACTTGGCATCGAGGACGAGGAGTACACTGAACCGGCCATCAGTTTGGAAATCATTGAGCGGGACAAATTGGCCAAGATTCTGTTTTATCAACCCGCCAATTGCACTGATGATGAACGAGAGAAGTTTCAGATCGAGGGCATTGACTTGATGGTGGCACTTTTCGGCAAAAGAGAAACAGTCAGACGGAATCGAATCCACGCCGACAGTCAAATCCCTCAACCTCACGTTCAAAAACAATGTCAACCTAAGCCTATCCCCCTCATCCTTGATCGGAACCAGTGCCCTGATTGTGTCGGCGATGAGAGGCTCAGCATGGAGGAACGAACATTCAAGTACAGTCGATCGACAGTCAGGAATGACCATTTCGACGATCAACATCTCCGAGAGCGAGAGAGCGCTGTCCGGCGTGGCGATGATATACAATGCCACCACCCCCAGTGCAAATATGAGAAACTGAAAACGCTGGACGCGTTCAGAAGTCATGTGAAAATAAAACATGGGGTTTCACTGAGGACTTCATATCAGGTCATGCGGAGAAGGACTAAAAAATTACGGCGGATACAAATGGCTAGAGAAGGGTTGTCTGAAGGCAAACCCAACGGGTGACGCATTGTAGGCCAAATAATGTTCCAAATTAAAAGGTCGTGGCTCACCCATGGGGAGCTTGGATAGAGAAATGAATCAGAAGTATTAGTACATAAGTTAAAGAAAATAATAGCAGCCTATCTTCATGATATACATCTATTTTAACATGCATGCAATCGACAGCCATCTCCAAATATGAGTCGACACTTGAGCGGTACCTTACTAGCCTCGTTGAATTTGCGTTCCCTGGCGTTTAGAATTGATACGGCTTGCTGGTATCTTGGGTGTGATTAGAAAACATAGTGATTAAGTGTATTAATGTTGTTGTTATGATCTGATGGGACCCATAAGCATAGAAGCTCTGATTGATCTATCCCGTCCTCAGCAAAAATGAGGTCCAACTTGAAGAAATACTGACAAGGCCTTGGGTCATTTGCCTGGGTAAGCCTCGCCCTCTTTTCAGTCTTCTACATTCAAGTTTCTAGGGGCCTTGATCGGAGAGTATTGCGCTTGTCAACCCGCGCGCTTGCCCACAGTGAGCCTCAACATGATGACATCAGCTATGAAACGTAATGGTGGTTATTCTCTCGGAAACGTTGAAACTTACTAGCAGTGTTTGCGACAATGCGCAGTAGGAGTGTCTTTTTGCGGGAACCAACATCATCACCGCCCTCAGGAGCTTAATTGGCAAGGGGTGGCTTGGAGAGGCACTTTTTCTGCCAGATCCACAATAATTCTGCCATATTCAGCAATTCTGATTGGATTCATGGTGATTCTGCCATCATGATAGCTCTACCCATATTTGCCCTTCCCATCTTGTTTGTTCTGCCAATGTTTTCTGCCCCTTGGCTTTTCTGCCGCCTCCGCCCCCTGATCACTGCAACTTTCTGCCGCTCCAGTCCATCAGCTGCCGTTTGACTTTCCAAGGTTTCTGCCACCTTTTTTCTGCCGTCCCTTTTTGTGCCGTCCCTTTTTGTGCCGTCCCTTTTTGTGCCGTCCCTTTTTCTGCCGTCCCTTTTTCTGCCGTCCCTTTTTCTGCCGTCCCTTTTTCTGCCGTCCCTTTTTCTGCCGTCCCTTTTTCTGCCGTCCCTTTTTCTGCCGTCCCTTTTTCTGCCGTCCCTTTTTCTGCCGTCCCTTTTTCTGCCGTCCCTTTTTCTGCCGTCCTTTCTGCCGTTTCTTTTTCTGCCACCTCCTTTTTTCTACCTTCCCCTCAGTCGTTGTTTACGCCGCCTCAGCTACCCTATTTGCCAACCACACTGTGCTAAAAGTTCAGTAAGTATTTCTCACGCTAATGTCTAAATTCCCTCAGAGGATGATTTCACTAAACACATCTATCCCATCGAGTGCGATAAGGCAACAGGTACATCGTTCCCAATGTTTTATCCACTTTTACCCCTCATAAAAGGGATACATGAGAATATGTAGTGTAATTAACCTCTGGTTTTCCTATCTTTCTTTACTTCCTGCTTCGTAACTCGAATAATTTTAGATACCTGTTCTATCCCATCGAGTGCCAGATGACCCCATTTTCGCCAAGGGAGGGGTAAAACCAATCAAGGCTCAAGTATTTGCTATTTTCATCAAATAATGTACTTAAATTTATGGTACATCTGTTCTTTAGAAGTTGCCAAGTATTGGCGATCCCTACCATACAGCAGACTACATCGCAACGGCGATAGAATAAAGGTGCACACAAAGTATTGATGATGTATGGTTCTCGTACGGAGAAAAAGTGGCTATAAAATGGAGATTTTAACGTTTGGCGAAAATGGGGTCATCTGGCACTCGATGGGATAGTCAGAATATGTAGATAACAGAGGTACTAAATATCTTCACTGTTTGGTTGTCTAGAAAAAGTCTTGGCTGTATTCTAACTGGCCGGTTCCCCTCACGGGTATGTACCTGTTGCTTTACCGCACTCAATGGGATAGCCTGTTCATGACCAGTTATGCATCAAGATACTCACTCATAAGGTACATTCCGTCCTGCAGTTGCTAGTATCGTAAGATGTGGAATAAATACATAAGGTATCACGCCAGCAGCGTGTCAGGCCACACTGTGCAAGTCAGATCCAATGGCCACCACCGCATTAAGGCAGCCAAAAGAGACCATATCTTCCACAATCACTTCAACCCGCATTTCTACAGATTATTTCCCAATAACAAACACTAAGCAATACAGTAGTCAGCGAAAAAGCCTTCATCCTATTCCCAACTCTCTGATCTCTCTCCGCTCGGACGTGTAAGCTTTTTGCTGCTTACACAGTGTGGTTATTTTGTTTGTTTTATAGATCTACATCGTAGATGTGGTGTACGTCAGCTTAGACCGGATCCACACAGTTGAACATGTTCTCCATCTCCAATAACAGACGTTGGGTAATCCAAAACTGGCCCTTCAACCCACTTAAGACCCCTGGTGTTGATGACACAAAAGCCATTGTTTGCTCTAAGAAATTGATGGAGCACCCCTATCAGTGAAGAGCTCCAGTGGGTTGGTATCGCCGTGCTAGTTCAAACTGTGTCGATGCCAAGATGCCAGATGTCCGTGCGGAAACACATCAGAGAGTTGCAGAGGGTTGAGAATAAGCATGAAGCCCTTTTCGCTGACCCCTGTAAGAGATTAAATCTCTTTCAGAGTATCCCACGAGAACGCTATCAACTGTCAATAGAGGCTTGACTAGGAGCAAAACTATCGCTGCTTGACGAACACATTCCAGTCGTGTTGCATATGAAAGTGCAGGAAAGCGTTGTCGAGCAGAGCTGCTTATTTGGAAACGATGCCGGCTGTTCGAAGTAACGGAGTTCATATTGCATCTGAAGACGCAGAAAGGACTAGAAGATGTTGTAACAGAAATCAAAAACGCACCTATATGGTGGGCGAGTCTGGTCTTGGGATGCCGCCCTCGGCAGGGGATGTGAGTGGGTCACTCGTGTTCCAATCAATAACCTGTGTGGTCGTTTGACCGTCGCTGCTGGTTGTTCTGAGGTGTAGCATCCGCTGCGGAGAGGTCTTTCCATACACTTGGGCCATTCGGGGTGAGGGTTTTGCTTCGGTTGTCTTGGCTGCTGCCGAGCAAACAGCCTTGATTTCGGCCGCCAAGCATTTTGACGCTTTACTGGGCGTAGAGCTCGTCTGTCGAGGACGAGACCGCGGCGCTGTCCACTTTTCCTGCTTGAAAGTACCGCTTTCCTCGTCAGAGTCGGAGAGGAGGAAGGTGGATACATTGGTTTGTGCGAGACTAGGATGAGAGGACTTCTCGTTTGATGAGACGAGCCGCAAAGGGGAGAAAGCTGAGTGAAGCTTTGAGCTCATGATGCAAGTGGCCAGTTTGACTTTGTCGCAATGAATATCGCGGCATGTTTGAGGACCACACGGTTTGAAAGCAAATCCTTGCTTCTCTTGCTGCGGCGTGGGGCTGAGAAGACCAGTCCAGAACCAGCTCCTGGAATTTGTCTGCAGATGCGACGGAACGACATTGCCGAAGGGCCTTGCTGCTCGGCTGAGAATGTTCATTGTCAATGGTCAGAACCGGCTCTTTGAGGTAAGGGTCATGAAGTGAAGGCAATCGGAGCTGGATGCGGATCCCTGGGACAGTAGACATAGAGAAGGGAGTCGCTTGTTGCTTATTTGGAAAGGCCCTTCAAAAGAGGTCGAAACTGACTTCGATGCTGTGGGGGGGTACTGGTATATTTGTGGTTAGCAGCACTAGCAGAGTCCTTGTTGCAGGGTTCAGGGTGCCCACTCCTGAAGCCAGAAGCGGCTCTTCATACATGATTGGATCAGCGGAAGACGTTGACTTCCAAAGTCAGCTGTAGATAGTAACCTAAAAGGGGGGGAAAAGGCTCCGATATTGGAAACAATGTGTGCAATTGGAGAAAGCAGTATGCTTGTTGCAATCGCTAGCAACACCATCGCAAGCATATTTCCATAAGCCAATAATGCACTAATGTCACTGTAAAGACCTCTTTCCGACGCTCTCTCAACCTTTACTCGCTCTTTACTCGACCTCTATAGTACAATACTGTACAATACTGTACACTCTCAACTTGTTTGCAGGGCGTTCAAAGACACTAACGATACAGGAGACAAGACCAAGCTAAGTGCCCAAACCCGGTCGCGAGCAGCGTCGTGAGGCAACCTACGCTTACACTCAACTCTACGTCAGTTCCGAGCAAAGCCAACAAGACCATTCGAATACCCACATTGTATGTAGAAGCCAATTTTGGCAGATATACTATACTGTAATATGAGATACACTTTCGGCTTCCTGTGAGTTCAGTACGTTGTGCACCTAATGCTGTAAGTAAGTATCGCCTGAACAGCAAAAAGAAGCCCCTCATCGCAGACAAACAGCAACTGCACGAGTAGAAGTGAATGAGTCCATAGATTATGAAGCCCTCCCCGGCGCCATGTCCTGAGGTTACATGAACCAAGATATCTCACTTAATACCTACAAAGGTCCTTCCCTATGAAACCAATCCCCCTTGATATCGCGTGGCATGTCTTCAACCATAGCGACACCCATGTTCAATCCCAGTTTGCACGATGCTCGCGCGACTGGCATTCGTTCTTCAATCCCCAACTTTACCAGCACGACGTCAAGAAGGGTCGTCACTCCGCCATCTTTAACACCATTGCCTATTGCACGGACACGCAGGTAGCCCTCGCCACGCTTGAGCATAGCTACCGAGCCGGCGCTGACTACAACAAACCGGCCGTGATGTACTTGACCGAAGCCCAACAGCCCAGTCCTTATCTTATCACGGCTCTATATCTGGCCGCTTCGAAAGGCTATTCTGATATCGTGTCGTTTCTCCTCGACCGCGGTGCAGATATCGACGGGGTCCCGGACTGCCGGTTGCGCACTCCCGTTTTCATATCCCTACTTAGCCGTGATGCAGAAACGTCCATGGTCCTCCTCCGGCGTGGGGCGCGCCTTGAGTCTCCCGAGTTCGGGATCAACGCACTCCACCAAGCAGCTGCTGCGGGACTAACCGAAGTCATCACCTATCTGATCGAGGAGAAAGGACTGGGAGTGGACACGGTCGACAGCAACGGGGACACACCGCTGATCCACTCGCTATTGTCACCGTCTCCGGAGACGGTCATAGCTCACCTGGCACGGTTCGAGGTGGACGTGAACCAGCCGACGACGATCGACACCTGGCGCATGACGGCGCTGAGTATGTCGTGCGAAGACGGTATGTTCTCTGCCGCCCTGTCTCTTTTGGAAGCCGGAGCGGACGCCACGGGCGAGTCGGACGGCCTGGTGGAAGGGGCCGACCCGGCGCTGCGCATCTACGAGCAGAAGCCGCTCGAGCTAGCTCTGCTGGCTCGTTCTGAGAAAACACACGGGAGAACGGCGGCGGCGAAGCAAAAGCTCGTCGACCGTCTCATAGAGTCTGGCGCCGACCCGGATGCGACGGTCTGTATTTCTGCGCGCTGCAACTGGACAGGGCCGCTCTTGCTGAAGCTCGTTCGCTTGAGGCGTCGTTGGGAGGCCGAATTGTTGCTCTCTTCAGGCCTCTTGAACATTGACCAATGTGACTCTCATGGTGCGACGACTCTTACTTGGACGCTTTCGACGTGCCATGGAGACCCCGTTATGGCGTCGATCCTGTTGCGGCGTGGTGCCAAGATGGACGAAGGAGTGTTACGCACCGTTGTCGATAAGCTGGTGCGGCTAGCATGTGTGAGAGATCATTGGGGTGTGATCAGCCTCCTGACACGAGAACCCAAGTTGTTGAAAGTATTCCACGTGTTATACTCGCACTGTTTCTGGGTAGCTTCGAAGGAGGGCGATGCGGTAGCAACGCGATTTGTGCAGGATTCGCCGAGGTCAATCGTGCGCATGGTGACGGAGATGCTGAAGAAGGGGATCAGTCTAACCAAAACTGGGGTCCTCCACGTGATGCGTTCCAACAAGTGTAGGAAGGCAAAGCCAGGGCCGGTCATCGCAATGATGTTTTCTTGATTTTGCATTGAGGCAGGGAGTGTTTTGTGGGGAGATTATCTGCGTCGTATCGGAGGGAAGCTTTACGGACGGGTTGACCGTAGCAGAGATACATCGATAGAACCGATGGCAGTGATAGTGATGAAATTCATCAGATTCCAGTAAGAATCGCAGCAAAAATAACAGGTTCCCGAAAACGGCCGAAAGATTTCTGGTCGGAAGGGGCTTCGTTTCATGAAAACATGATTGCGCACTAATCCTTGATGACAAGCGACGGATACGTTGCCCCTTGCAGAGGCCGCCGTGCCGTCGTTTTATATGCCATTCTTAGAACGGCAAGACCAAGGGCTCCGCAGTTGCGGAAAAGTATAATAGTGCAACGTATGGCACTTGCGACTGAAGCTCTAGTATCATGTCTCTTTCATGAACAGTGAACTCCTTGAGAACGTTTGCCGGAAGTGTCCCGAGTGACTTCAAAAACATGGAATCTCCTCGCCACGAAAACTATTCTGCCTTAGACGATTCGACTGGACGCCTCTTTGAGGATTCGTTTCTTGATGAAAACGAACTCGAGCAAAAGTGGACTCCTGATGTCTCCAAGCACGGGCATACTCGAAAAAGGGCACGTGCTGGCAGTTGTAGGCAATTCCACCATCCTCGTCACCAGCTCACTCTAACTTGACAAAGCCAGTACCGTCCTCGCTACCTCCGATGATGATTGCACAGTGCCAAACTTGCCAGACATGCCAGACACGCCAGTTGCGTACACGAGACAGACAGATTTCTGGATAGAAAGGGACGTGGTTATGAAGGCAACCGCGCGAGCTGGCGCTGTAACTGCTCTCGCGCAGGAGGTCGTGCGGGAGGTTGCGAAGAATTATTAGCCCGTTATCATTCAGATGGAATTTGACGGCAGTGACGAGACGGTGTTTACTCTGCGTATTTCGACTCAGGATGGGTATGTTATCCAGGGGATAACGGACATACTGGAGAGATTCTGCTCACGTACTGAGAAAGTCTGCTAGCTACGTTGTACATAGCAACAATCAATGAACTAGCCACGTTTTCAGGTTTTCTCTGTAACCAACAAAAACCTCGCCTTCGAAGTGCCTTCGAAGTGCCTTCGTAGTACAGTGGTTATCTTCTCTCAATTGCTTGGTGTCAATACGGCATCTCGGATCAAGACCAGAGAGCACGTGGTCCATGGACAAAAGAGCACATCTACGCGGCTGAGTATAAGATTGCGAGTTCGAAAGTGGCTGCATTGCATACCTATAGACGATTTTGTCTGCGCGGTTGTATATAAATTGAGGTTGTATGTTGAGAGCTGCTGGACTTCTTTCCTCTTTACTGCAGTGGTCTTCTTCCTAGAGCATCTTTCAACCCCACAGGGAGACATTAACTACACAGTATTCTATATCCTTACTGTAATACAACGCATCACTGAAACACCGCATACCGCATGCTGATTAGTAAGCATGAGGGTGCATAAAGGCACGGCGGTCAATGCGGCATGGTCACCGCTACTTGACGTAGTTGAGGTCATCTGCACTTTTGAAAGTGATGGCCGAGTGTTCTATGGCGTAGTTACAGAGATTCCTCACCCCTTCGTGTGGGATTGGCTAGATTATCGCCAAGTTTTATGGGTCTTTGACGATGGAGACTGTGTCAAAGTATGGCAAGAATGTGTGGATCGACCTCGGCTGAGCAATCCTGCTTGGACGTCATGTCTTCACTCTATTGTGGGTTGCTATGAGACCGATGGCGGCTATGTTCTCTACGCCGTCAAGTGGGACGGCTACGCATGTCCGACGTGGGAAGCGGAAGAAGACATGTCAAGGTACGTCGACCTATTGGCGGAGCACGATCAGACTTGTAAGTGTAGGCAAAGGTCGTGAGTGCCGTGGCGTGGCGTGACCGAACCAGACGACGAGCATAAGAGGCAAGGCCAACAAGTCGATTTGCAGCATAGTTTGAATGGAGCTCCATATAGCTCAAATCACGAGCACAAGCTTGTTCTGCACCGTTGGGTCTGCGTCCCCATCAAACGACATTCGGCAAGAAGGTTCTCTGTCACACATTATTGTACAATGCCTGTTTGACCTCGCTCCCAAGCCAAGCTCCCAAAATGGCTTATTGCCTGCTCTAGTTCTGCGGGCGCTTGTATCTTGGCCCTACCTGCTGAACATAGGCGTGCGGGTGGGCCGTGCGGAAACAGCTCTTTCGTTATATGCACCCAGAACGAAGGAGCCTCTTTCGTATCGCGGAAGGGACCCACCGACCAAAGAACGGCTTCGTCTCAAGCGCTCAACAGGAGCCATCGTCAAGTAGAGTATTCGAACATGACACACTATGACACTGTGTTTGAAAACCGCCGGTCTTCTTACTTTCATCTGACCGTTGGCTAATCGAAATGTCGTGTCATTGTTCGTTCGACTTCGTTCGGCGTCGTCAGCGACTGTGTTTCTTCCATATCGCCTTACACCGCAAGGCCTCAATTTTCTATCACATGGTCGGAAGGGAAACATACCATTCGGGATTAGCCCTACGAACCAGCTCTCAACATCCCTTTTCTCCCCAGAACATTCCTTTACTGCGCTCACCTCCGGGGTACAGGCGTATCGAAGCCGACGCCACATTACCAACAACAAGAACAATTATAAGTCTTCCGCCGGGGCATACAGTACTAGCCTGCGCGCGGCGGGGCTTTTTTTGACCAGAAACATCAACCTATGCATCTAGCAGGAACAGCAAGAGCGGAAATCAAAGGCGAAGCTTCCGAATAAAGTTTCAATGAATGCGCCATCAGCGACGCGAATGAGTTGACAGCGTGGGAGGACTCCATTGAAGCTAGCAAGTCATTTGTTAGCAGTATCCAGATCATTCGTCGTCTGGATTTGGATAGCAAGGCAGCCGGTCGTCCTTTAATTACGGTCATATTGGAGCAGTCTAGACTTTGCAACAACGAGGTAGGGTAGACGTGGCTGCACGCGCGGCATAAGTAAAAGGACCTCAACAAACACCATTCCATAACATTAATGCATCAGATAAGCTCTTAGAATCCGTAGCTTTGTTAATATAGCTTTCACCATCCAACATTACTACCGCTAGCCCTTCCATACTAACGGATTTTCAGTTGAAAAGAAAATGATCTTTTTAATTATTTGTTCTGTGTAATATAAATAATATATGCTTATGCCTAAGATATTCATGCTAGACTTAAACAAAAGTCGTTATGTTTAACAGTGTGAACCGACTCCAAGCAACGTGAAACAAGGGAAAAGGAGAGAAGCTGTTATGAGTCCGATGAAGCTTTATAACCAGGAAAGAATGGCGTAGGAACTGTGAGAAGTCCGCGTTGGTCTCCGGATACATCCCAGTTATCGCCGTTACCAAGCAAAACGTCCATTTGCCCGACATGCTGGGCATCGGAGCCGTAGTGGCCTGGTTGAAATGGCTCGACAGACGTATATTTGCCGGAGACACCGGAGACACCACTGCCAAGGATAGCACCAGTAAAGTAGGCTTCAGCACACGAACTGTCCATAACATAGCTACCCAACGCACTGTCACCGAGTGGCTCACACACACTGCTCGCACAACCGGGACACCATCCACAATAATAGTTGTAATTAGGAAGGATAAAGTCCGGATTATAGTTGTCTAGGCTGGGGATGGCAAGAAGTTGCTGATCGCCTAAGGATTTCAAAGATAAAGGGCTTGGACGAATTAACACTCATTTCCTAATTGATGATAGGACGATGTTCTTACTTACCATTCGAAGGAACTACAACAATAAGGAGGAGGTAGCATATGACTTAAGTAGTCTTGGGGACCTAAACTGCCGAAACCGTCAAACATTTGTTGCTGGAGGGCCATACTGAAATCCGTTACTGCGGACGATTGCGCCTGCATAGCGTACATGTCTTCCAAAGTGGGTTCCCCAGTGGAAGTCAGTTTGATAGACGCTAGCAGTTGGCGTACCGATGTGGCATGGCTCGTAGTATCAGGCGACTCAACATCTATCTGATGGCATGTGATGTTTGTTGGCAACGGCAGGTCTTCCGCTGGCGGGGTGTGCGGTCTGCATACAGCCTCGGGACGAACCTCAACCTCCTCGGCTGAGACTGTTTGCGTGTCCATATTGGACGTCAGCAGGTTTGGAATTGAGATTCGAGAAGCCATTGTCAGTTGGAGGAGGTTTACAAGTCCGCTGAGTTTGTCGTTCAATCTTGAGCCGTGGTGAAGCACAACGTGAAGTACGTGACTGAAGGGATTGACGTGCTATATAAGTTGACGGTAAGAGAAGGGCATGGGCCGGGCATGGGCATCTGGCGATCAGTTGCAAAATTACATTATAGATGCAGGCGCGCACAGAGGCGGCTTTGTTGTGTCTCGGTTGCCGTGAGCGTTCTGGACGATGCAAAGGGTAGTAACAGCGTAACATTCAACGAGCGACCTACAGATTCTGCAGTCATGTGAACGTGACGATGAATGCAACGACCAAGGGGTTCCGTCAAAGTCTGCTCACAAAGCCACGCCAATCACCGGCTGAGGTGCTGTGGCGTTCGAAACCTGTTGTGGAGCCTGATGTCGGTATTGCTGCATGGCAGCCACTTTTAGATCGGTAAGTCGATTGTTTGTACGTGGCAACTCGTATGCGGAGTAGCTCAGCCAGATGTGGAGCCGCTTCTGGCGACTTGGCCTGACAAGGCCATTACTATAGGTGTCACTAGGCGTCTTCGCTCGCGATCATGGTATTGCTAACATCGCGCTTGCCCAAAGCAGTAATTGACTCCCGTTATATGTTTGTGAGGCTGTTAAAACTCGGAATGAAGTGCAGGATGCACGGTCAAACAACGGAATGTAGATATTTAATCCCTACTTCGTGTGGCCGAGCATGAAGCGACAAACAGACCCTAAGTTCTAGTATGGGGCTCAGAGCTATTCCTGGCTTCTAACAAACAGCAGTTATTCTCAGGGTTCCAAAGGCGCGGTCTTGTGGTTACGATTTGTACAGTATGGAGCAAAAACCTCTTCCTCTTTTGCACAAGCTTTCAATGTTTGGGAGAGCCAGAACCTGCTGTTACGTCTGTTTCGAACGTCTGTCATTGGCTGTGGTTGCCTGTTTGCAAACACAATGTGTAGTCATAATGGCTTGGACAGTGCGAGCGGTATCTCAAGCCTAGAGTATACTTGATTATGCTCATTTTTGGCCGTGGACATGGGCCATTCTCCCTACATGATGCATCAGTAAGCTGTACACAGTGTTGTGCCCTTCAATCTCAGCTTGTGTGGGGCAAATCAAGAGAACTGAAGTGTGTTTCCAAGAGGAAGAGATATATGCTCATAACTGTATAGGAGGGCTGCTACAGTTATGTGCAAAAATACCTTCCTCTTTGAATACAAACAACTTCACTCTTAAATCAGAGTGGAGCCAGAAAAGAACTCAGATCTACCTAGCATGGTCGACAATAATCCAGAAATGGCTCTAAAATAAGCTGCAATTAGCAGTGATTACCTAGCGCTGGAGGTACTCAAAGGTATATAGCAAATGCCCGTGTTTAATCCAATTACATAATGACAGTGTAGGCAACAGGCCACAATACCTGGAATAACCGCTTTTTCCTAGCCGGTACGCAAGTGTGTAACTATAGACAGTGTGTTCCAGAGAATATTTCACACTATGTGGAGAAGCTTTAGAGAATAAAAGAGTGTTTTGAAAGAGGAAGGAATATTTGCACATAACTGTACTATATAAAGAAATCTTTCAACGTCGACACATTGAGCTAATCTTACCCCTTACAAAGTTATGTATTAGACTATCTTCAGGTTTTATCAAGCGTATACATATATAGTGTATACATATATGCTAATGGATAAC